GTTGCGTGCAATCGCTTCAGGTTCTGGCGTATTTTTTGCAAATTTAGCGCCCGCAAGGCGGATCTGATGTAACCGGAGCTGAAGGGGACGGAGGGTCTTGCATCCCTCACGCCTCAGAGCGCAATGACAGTCGATGTTCCGTTCTCGAAGGAACGAAAATAGTGGCTTCAGCTTGGAGCTGTCGCCTTTTGAAAGCAGAGGGATGGCTCGTTTGCTCTTGGGTGGGAACTTGAATAAACGGTCAAGGACGTAATAGAGAATAGGAAGGAAGTCGCTCTGGTTAGTTTGGAGTCTAGCGCCTGTGCAAATCCTGACCGATCTATGATTCAGTGACGGGATGGAGCCCATGAAACGAAGAGCGTACTTAGCTTCGCCTTCCGCGATGTTAATCAAATCCTCTAAGGACCGAACTGCTAAATGGACCAGTCCCTCTGAGATAAACAAACGGCCGGGTTGTCCTTTGACGAGTTTCCTGACGCAACTTTTCAATATTCTGAGGGCGAAGTACCCAAAAGTGTCATCTCCACGGGGTCTTGTGAGGAAATTGATAAGATCCTCCAACGGGGAGTATGGCCGTCCCATGTCCTGGCGCACCGCCTGGCGGATAGGATTAAGGCTACTATCGCGCATTGAGCCTCCTCCAATTGAATCCCAAATAATAAACAAGGTGATGGCATTCGAGAATGGTCCGTCAAAAGGTAAGGCATCGAAGTAATTTTCCAATTGGTTCTCGATCCAGGCACGGAGTCTCCTGGCCTGGTGTCGGTGCGGCTCCAGAGTGCCATTGAAATGAGCCTGTGAGCAGAGAGTAAGATAAACAATCGAGCCGCCGGAGGGCTAAGACGACTTGCCTGTCCAGACTGGAAAGGTGTGAATTGAATGAATTGGACATATTGCCAAATCGGAGAAGCCGTCACCATCACCGAGTTAAAATTGTCCTTGATCTCCTTGGATTTCCCCACTGTCACTGGCATGCGGTGCAAGGCATCCAAGGCTGGTGTTATGTCGCAGTCCATGATGACCATGTCAAGGTCGTCATTCTGGGGGGAGTACCTGCAAGCATAATAGATTACATGCAAATACATGTCAGGTTCTAGCCTGTTCATAAACGGCATAATTAGTATTCCTAGTCAGCAAGAACGAAAATAAGAGGGTACCAGTTTAGCCGGGAGAGAACCGCCTGCACGTTTTCGACCGAAAGGGCGTTCAGACAGCCTGATGCAATATCTAGGAATGCTTGAGTCTGATTGAGGCAGTATCCCTGTGACCTTGACGGATCCAGGAGGAATTCCATAAGCGATCTGTGCATGAATTGAATCTCTGGTGATAGTGCTGAATGTGTTTCGTCTTCATAATTTTGTAAAATTATAAGAGAGCGTAGATCCACAAGCCAGGCTTGAATTGTCCCCGGTACAATTCCCAGAACAATTTCCAAGAAAGGAGCTGATTGTAGCAGATCCTGTGTGTTGTATGGCTTGTGATACACCAACATCTCTGCCTTTGCAGCCACAATTGCGATTGCGAGCATTTTCAAAATGGGACCAATATCCGCTCGGACCGAAGAAAGAATATATCTGTATACCTCATCCAACCGGTGGTACGGATTTTCTGCTCCGGTCGGTTGGAGGCCAAGGATGACCTTGAGACGTTCCTGTGGTGAGTCATATGTTGCCTCCATGAAGTCCATAACAACGCGTGCATAGAGGAAATTGCTGAAATCTGCGTTACGCACAAGCGTGTCAACTGTGCTTTCTGATGGCCAGGACTCGTCAATAGCACCTCTCGAGGGATGTGTTCGTTTAATGTCGCGGAATTTGTCGAGGATAAATTTACGTAGGTCACCAGACGCGTTGAAGTCGCGCACGAGATCGATACGCTGGAAGCATGAGGATGAGGCAAGCTTCTCAAAAGCGCACTCGATGTGGTGTTCCGGGCGACTAATGATAAGAAACTTGATGTGGCGAATGGCGGGCTGGAGGGCGTTACAGATCACGTTGATAATGGTGTCTTGTTCAGCACGGTCCAAGCATTCGTCAAGACCATCAATAATGAAGCTGAAGGTGCGAGGATGGGCCGTCGACGGTAGCTGAGAGATGGGATTAATAATTAAGGACTGAAATTGGGACTCTGTGGATTTCTGGAAGATTGATGGATCCCTGTCGAGAACATCTAAAATATACGGCTGGATCTCCGGAGTGTTGATTGCAAGTTGATAGGCGATAGTGGAAATGAAGAGTTCAGCGCTGTTGCGTTTTGGTGATGTTCTAAAGAAGAAAAATGACGCGGCCAGCAGGTCAAGTCCCTTCAGTAGTCGAGCAAGTGAGCGTGCAATAGCTGTCTTTCCTGCACCTGCAGTACCGAATAGCCATAGAACGGATGTAGAGCCCTCTCGTGTAACCCAGTCCTTGAGCCTATCGATGGTCGCCATGCGAGTTCCAGGATGGCATTGAGGAGGATCAGCTCGTTCATTGGAATCGTGTGAAGCGTTAGATGCAATGTGATCCTTGAAAATTGTGGTGACTTTCAAAATTATTGAATGGAAGGAGATCGGAAGGCCCAGGGCTTACTGATCTGGTGGCGAGACCATGTCCTATCACCCGCGTTGTAGACTTGAATCAGGCTGCACCCGGTCAAGGTCGTATTGCTGGCGTTCCCGAACATCGCAAGCTGAGGTGTCGCTACCACATCCGTATTCATGCTGCTGCTGACCGATGGAGTTGAAGTGTTGGCCTTGAGAAGAGAAGCAGGCCTCGAGAAGAGAAGCAAGCCTCGAGTCAAGGTCGGATTAGACGGTCTCTGCACGAAACGTGGAGGCAAACGACGTGGGGTCTGCAACCTGGCTTACTCGCTATTATTAAGCAGCCGCTATATGCGGGGGAAGCCTCGTTATGCCATACTAGCATTTCTCGACGCGATCAGTGTCATCTTGAATGATGAAGCAACAGGGGCACTCGGGATCACGGACGCCACCGCGATGACAACGACGTACTGCTGAGTGACAATGACAGCGACTAATGTTAAAAAAACATTTGGGCGCTCCTTCAAGCCAATCTGGCCCCTCTAAGCCAAGATGAAAGCTAAAGGCGACGGGAAATCCTTGTGGAATCGTACGAGGCAGGCCTTGCGTGCCGAAATTTAATTCTGCAGATTTCGTCAAAAAAATCGCGGTTGTAAACTCCACACACACATTTAAAGGTGGATTCTCATGACAAGATTACAGCACAACAGCACGCTCGAGGTCGACCGATGGCTACCAATTTACCGGTGACACTTCATGCTTGTTTGTCTGGGTCCTCCTATAGCCGATGGGTTTCTCGCTTCGCTCGCGATTAGACGCCCAAGATTTATGTAATCTCCGCTGCACAGGTTTTTCGTGCAGCTGGTGTTCGTTTGAATTTTGTACCGGAATTTCGTTGCGACCGAAGCAATCTCCATATTTAGTGTCTCGAGGTACTGATATCTTGTAGGCCATAGAATAGCAGCAGCAGTCCGAGTCACCGCCAGTGCAGAATCTGGGTGTCAACAGATCCTTTGTCGGGTGCAGCGACTTGAAAGCATTCTGCGAGGGAAAGGGGAAGGAGTCCAACGCCGACGGAGGCTCTGAGTCGGGTCTTTTCGAAAATGCGCTTGTGTTGGCCGAAGAGCCGGAATTGGTGAGGACGTGCGATGGATTGCATCGGGTTATACGGTCAGTCGTCACGGCATGGCTTATACAGACGCAGATGAGGGTAGGGCGGGATTTGGAGAGGGGAGGCGATGGGAGCGTTTCGAGAGGACGCGCACGGGATGCCAGTGGTGGTGCACGGGCGAGTCTTTTTGAGATGACGAGAGACTGGCAGTGGTACAAGGAAATGCTTGTACAAGGGTTTCTAAGCACCCGTTAGAGTTCATCGGCAATGGGGTGCGGGGTACGCTTGGTTCGTCCATTCCAGCATCTGGACTGGTATAAGCTAAGGCTGACGGGTGGGAACGGGCCAGGAACTGGCGCTCGAGAGTCCCTGCACTCCCTAGACCGCGGTACTGAAAGTGCGTTGAAGTTGAAGAGCTAGGCCTGGCTAGGACGATGGGTTATAGGTATGCGGATGCGGACCAGGGCCTATCTCGCGATGACGGAAGCCCGGAGGGTTGCAAGGCCAGGAGCCTCAATGAATGGACGCATGGAGGTTTTGCGATGACGACCAAAGACATGCGGCCAGGTGGATACGGATGACGGGCGTACTGGGATTTGGGACAGAAAAGAGTTGGAGAGACGACCGATGCTCGACGACAACGTTCGACAAAGACGAAGGTGCACGGTGCAGGATCTGACGTCGGGGAACGGAAAAAAAACCTAGCCGGGGTTTGCCGGAGCGGGCCGGCATCGTTCTCGAGGCGACAGGCAGAATTTCTTCAACAGCAAGGACAGCTTCTAAGGCGAGGTTCCGGGGTCCTTCCGTTCTGGCAAAGTTTCAGGAGGAGTCGGATGGCGAGGCATCGCTTGAGCAGTGGTGGTACAGACTTGTGACGGCAGCCGCATGCGCCTCTTGGGCATAGAGGTGTGCAGAGTCTAGAGATTTGTCGTGCAGGATGCTCTCGACATGCTGCAAGGATTTATTGATAATTCGGTATGTCTCTAGCAAACACTGGGGCGGGTATGAAACCACGGACCATGGTTTAGCCGCCGCCGGCTTCACAATCGCCTGCCCGGTGAGAACTCTTTGGGATACACAAGACTTATTTGACCCGAACGGGTGTGAGCCTCTTCCACAACCCAATGGTCCTCCACGAAATAAATACTCATGCAAGCAAGGCGTGGTTCGACGTCGACGGGCTGCGTCTTCCCCTGCACTTGCATATTCACCTGTCGAGAGGACAACGCCTTTCCTCGCCGAGCTCAACCCACGGCGTCCTCCTATAATTTATTTTCGATAATAGGCGTCGAGGATTCGGACGAAATCCATTGACAAACTCCCTCCCTCGAATTCTGCATCTCGTTTGAATTCTGTCAAGCCCGTCATCGCCTTCCCGACCTGACTTTTGTGCCTTCTCTTGATTGTCTGAATCGATATCAGTTGAAACCTTGTATGTACATATAGACATAGCGAGTGCCTGTCGCAGTGGGCCTTCTGCTACAGGGATGGATAATCCCGAGCTCTATCTCGCACCCTTGCGTCTTTGGCTGAGGTACTTATCTACAGAGAGGTTTAAGTCGAAGAAAGGTGTATGTCGAGACAATCCAGACGCATTTAAGTATCTTCTAAAGAAAACTGGGGAATACCCAACCCACTAACATTCTGTTAGGAGGCTTTTTGATTTCAGTAGAATACTCAGTAGAATACTCTACACACCACGCATCAAGGATGTAGGAATGAGAATTGACCGCAGAACACTGGATGCACGGGCCCAACAAAAAACATAATTTAAAGAATAAAAGTATCCAGTGATTCGGATACGGGGAATCGAACCCCGAGCTGCCGCGAGCATCTCGAATGAGAGGCGGCAATGTTAGCCGTTACACCATATCCGAGTTTCAGCTCATATGCTCTGATATTTATAGACTCTGCTAGGACACGAACTTGAAGTCCCCGACATGTAAACTCCTGTAAACCCCCATATGCATCACGGAGTAATCATGGAGTAACCCGCATCAGGTAAAGTTTCCCTTATCCGGCTAAGCAGGAGGTGCGTGCACAATGGCCGAGAGTAGCAAGATTCGTCACTCGTCGCAGGACGCGGCCGCAAAAATGTCGTACGCAAGTAAACCATGGTCGGGCACCGACCCGGGGCGGGATCGCTCAAACTCCCGAGTCACTGGACAGAACCCCGACGTGTGCGCTTTGGCCTATATTCGGCATGGTTTCCTGCTGACCTCCAGCAGAATGAGGACGAGACGCAGAAGGCCATTCACAGATGCGGCGGTGGTGCGCCACCTCCACACATTGTCACGGCTCAACGGCGCGACCGGAGCGATGGGCCAAGGTTCCGACTCCTCCATTGGATGATGTGAACGGTCCAGTCTCCCCCCGAGCCACTCTGATTCGAAACTCAGACTGCGCTTTCTAGCGCCACTTGACTGAATGTAGATTGTTCCTAGAGACCTGTGAGCAAAATAGACCGACTATAGGAGTCCAATCAGTGCGAAGGTACGAGCGCAATGTGAGGGCGGTGCGTTTGCGGCAGTTTCCGCGAACACGTTTATCTCTTGTAAAGCCAAGAACTATATTTGCGTCTGTGGCAAATCGCACTCCCGCGCGATTCGACGCACCAGCCAGCGCCCCTTGAATGAAGGAGATCGCAGGGGATTCCCCATGACTCCAAATCCGTTCTGTCCAAACCTCTATCGAGGTGCACCGCGCGCTTGGCCTAAATCACGTTTAGCTCATGTCCTGTGCATCACCTGGATAGAATGCACCTTCGGGATGCTTCCTTCTAGCCCGAACGTTCCTTTGAATTTTGTTCTGTTCCCCTCGTCTGAATATCGACTTGTCGGCCGGGGAGTGTGGGAGACGGCCCGCCCCCAGCACCGGCGCGTTCGCGCAATCGCTCCTGGAAGACCGGCGTAAGCGACTGGCCAAAAGCCCGTTTTGGACGCATAAACAATGGGCACTGGGGGGGCCTTTCCGGCGTCCGGCCTTTACCCTGACGAAAATGCCAGAGATCCTCCGTGTCGCCGGGTGGTCGGTGGAGCTTTGGGAAGGAGACGAGATGATCTCATCTTGGGCCAAAGCGCATGACAGGGTCGGGGAACGGTCACGTTAGGAGAGAGATATGGCGTGTCCTATATAAAAGGCGCGCGTGCGCTTGGTTCTTTCCCCCCATAAAACAATCGCCGCACGACGCTAAGCTAGCAGTGCTCCTTTACGCTCTCCCATTTTCTCTATACCCCCATACCCTTTTCCGACCTGTATACCACAACTTCTATCCATCGACGCCAGCTATCCTTCAAGCACCACTTGCACAAAACAGCCTTCGTTCAACTATTTACTCCCTTCTACACGTCGAACACATCCTTCGCCATGCCTTCCTCCAAAGATACTCCTACTACCCTCGTTACGCAGATCCTCTCCCACTTTAAGAACGCCACCGGGCCCCAAGAACGGGACAAGGTTCGCACCCTCCTCAGAGCAGCGCTCGCGGAAGGTCGCCTCGACGGAGAGACGGTTGCTCTCCTGCTAAGCTCCAATGAGTTTCTGGCTCAGCCGAGAGCGGGCAAGGTCGACGAGATTTCCAGGCAGGCTGAGGGTATCATCGCTAAATTGGCTGAGAGGGACGCGCTCAAGGAGCCGACATTTCAAGAGGTAAACCTCTTCTTCCTGGCCTCCTTGACTGACTCGGACTGACGCGCTTTCCTACAGCTCGAGCTCCGCCTCGCCACTCCCAAGCGGAAATACAAGACCGTGGCTCCGTACACGAAAACGGCGAAGGAGTCGCGTCTGGTCGACGCTGAGTCGTCGTCGTCGTCGTCGAGTGCAACCTCGAGTAGCACAAGCTCGGCGCTGCCCGACGGCTCGCGGGTACTCTCTGTAACGCGGGTTATGCAGCGGACGCAGGGCATGCCGGAGCAACGGTTCGAGATGCCCGGGGGATCGTCCCTTGGGGTCATGAATATCGGGTTGGCACCACCGACAACGTCCGCGACGGGCCACTCACCTCATCTCGCGGGCGCGCCAATGCCACAGGGCCCGCACGCGACCCATGTCTCCGCCTTCCAGCTGCAGCTTCCGGCAAGCAGCTCTACCACTCATGTTGCATCTCCCCAGCATCCCCAAGCGCCCGCGCTGGAGCAATTCCCCCCTCCGATAGGGGCGTACATGGCCCCGCTCCCTCCCAAACTCTACGCACCTCTTGCTCCGTACGCCCACCCAGTCACCGCACAAGCTGTCAACCCCGCCCCGAGCCCCGACTTTACGGCGGTCCCGAGAGCGCTTGCGGCTGCACCGCGAACAAACCCCTTGCCGGCCATGAAAGTCTATCCTGACGGGATGTCGGGCTACCTGGACTACGGCATCCCGGTGACGCGAAACAATCAGGAGGAGACGATGTCGACGGCCGTCAGTATTCCCGAAGATTATGGCCGGTGCATGGTTCCGCCAGGCGAGGTGTCAGAGAATGCGTCGCAGCCCGAGGGGCCGATGGCAGGGCTTAGAGAGCTGGAGGATGTCATGGCCGAGTTGGACGGGGAAGCCATGAAGGACATCGCATTAGAGATATATCGCATGCTGACAGAGGGGCAGGGTGCGATGTCTAGTGCTCAGTGACCGACGTTCTTCGCTCTTCTTGTTTTCTATTTCGTCTTTTGTTTCCCGTTTCCTCTTTCGTTTCGTCTCACCTTCCGAATCATTTTCACTATCATTATTGCTTTTCTGTGTTTTCGCTCTTCCTATGTACATTGCTTTCTACGCTTTCTCATAACCTCGACGAACGTAACACCCGCTGTATTTATCATGATCCCCTCCATGTCCGTGTACCATACTCACATCACCCATCTGAATCGTAGTCACTCGCCTTCCTCTTGTTTGAACATCATCTACGCAGTATAATCGGCTCTGAGTTGAATACAATTTCTTAAATACCTATGCGCCTCAGATATTGAGAATGACTTCAGTTCGTAGTCTTGAGATGTCGAGGAAGTCGGGAGGCGCATCAGTCGGGAATCGGGATCACTCGAAAAGGGAAATATAGGTGCCACGACGGGGCGCTTCGAATGTTCTCACAGTGTGAGGATTAGCAGGAATCACGAGAATACCCTTCGATTTCGCATTTCCCTCAGGGTTCGAAAAGTAGCAGTGTCGAGCCACAAAATTCCTTTCGGCGTTGTAATGAGTCAGAGAGGGGCCCAGAGCAATGGTGCCAGGGAGCGCAGAAATCCGGAGATCTTACTAGACTCCGCTCCCTCACATCTCTAGATTGACATGAAATTGAGCGATACACCCGGGGTCTCTCTAGTGTGGCCTCCACTAGAACGCTTCAGAATTATGCGTTGGCTTTCACACCAAGCACATGCAACGCGGTGGGACGGCGTTTCCCAATGGGGCAGCTGAACGTTGTGGACTCGGAAATTAAATATGTGGCTCGATCGTATGGGTATGGTGCGCGACAGACAAAGGAGAAGCTATTTTATTTTCGCCCCTTCGCTACGGCGTTCTGTTTTCGGCAGAGGTGCGCGTGCATAAGATACGGCGGGCCACAATTTTCCTGCATATAAATTGTGGGCGAACGCTTTGTCTTTCTCCCCAGAAACAAAATCCGCTCACACCAACGCGCGGTTGTTGACATACCCTCATATCACCTTACTTCGACGACCTCTTCAATACACTACGCCTCTGCCATGGCCTCTTCTTCGGCAATGTCTTCGAACACCGCAACAAGGTCGTCGCCTAGAAAAAAGGTCCATTGGTCACAACCATTGTCTAAAGGGCCCAAGCCAACTGCTGAGGGGACAACGCGCGATGTGGTACGCTTCTGCCTATATTCTGGTGATCGCTGCTAATCTTGTCTCTGTTTCTTAGCTCGCCGACGTGGACCTGGGGATATCAATAAACAGAAAAGATCCCCTTTACAGGTTCCTCAGGGAGACTTACCCTGACAAGAGTGATGAGGAGCTTCGGCCTCTCCTTTTCCTGCCTGAGGATAGTTGAAGGAGAGTTGTAGCTACGGTGTTCTGCGCGTCCCGATCTCAGTTTTTTTCGAACGCTCAATGTACACGCCGTAGTTATATATAGAATATTCATCTACTTTTTCCGTCCTTTCTTACTTAGTGACTTAAATTTATCTGATGCGCATCAGCCGGCCGTGCGCGTGACATTCTATGCAATGGCCCGAAAAGGGAATTATATCCTGAAATGTCACATCCCGCCACCTGATCTCGTCGATAACGATGCTTTCTGAGATCTTGCTTTTCTCTGAAATGACGAACAACTCGAACCCATTTTTTTCGTGTCAGTGAGTGTTGTAATTCTTATGCAAGCGACGTTCGTCGATTTCGCCCCAATTCATACCAGATAGAATGTAAGAAACGTTTGACTGGACCGAATGACGTGGCCTTCGCAACTTCTCCATCTCGCCGCGTTGCTCAATGAAGAACTGTGCAAGACCTCAGGAATAAGATACTGTGCTACTTGTATGCGCGTTCCCCCCTCTGACTGCCGCAATATCCAAAATGCTCGTCTCTACTTCCACGTTTGTCCTCGTCGCCCAGGCACCTGGAAACGCCGTCTAGACACGCGAGAAGTGAGAAGACGCATCATTCCAGACTATCGTGGTAGAAAAATGCTTGTGCTCTCTGCTTCGTGGTGCTAGTCCCCTAGAATCCGATGTTTGGATGTTGGGTCCTGGTGGATGGGTCAATTGGGTTAGTAGTGTTCCTCTCTTACTTGGTGAGGATTGGTATCACTCATCGTTTTGAAGTTTCTGGTATGAATGCACTCGAAAGATGAAGATGAATAGACGGCTGTCCGTCCACAGTTTTTGGGCAGAAACCCCTGTTCTGTCCAGAAGCAGTCTCGAGAGCGCCGGGGATGACTTTGCTTGTCTCCGGGGACTAACACAATCACCCCACGATCCAGAATTAACGCGCTCCTCATTACGTCTAGCTGGATCATGTCCTAACGACGTGACCTCTTTCCAAGGTGTCCATTCGCAGCCGTCGTCTGCGTGGATCAAGTCGTTTGAGGACGGGTAGTAGTGCCTGCCGCATTCCTTCATGTCTCCGAAAGAGGGCTCTCCATCCCTTCCGCAGCGGACCTACATGGGCTTTGACAAGCGATGCCGTCGCTTCCCTGCCTTCTCGCCCCTTCCCCTCTGTATTCCAGAAAGGCCAGAAAGAAGAACACCTGGCACCTGCCATGGGGAGGCACTCAATGGCTGGTCACAAATCCAGCCTCCGCAGACGTCGACGTCCTTTCAATAACAACTCTTCCTCTCAATGATGACTCTCGCTAATTATATTCTTGACATACCATGAACAGGTGAGTCGCGTTTTCGACTTGAAGGTATCGTGACCGATGGGTGGTGGTCCAAGCGCAGATATTATTGCGGCACCCCATATACAATGCGCATACCTTCGAACGAATTCCACAGAATTCCTATGGGCCATATCGCCGATTACGGGGACACTCTGTTCGGTCGAAATGTATGCTGAATGCTGAACGCGGTCACGTTACCCAATTTTGCCCCTAAATCAAGGCTTGCGGCTCCTTCCTCTTGCCTCTCTATGCCATCCTCCCTCACGTCTGGCTGCCGGCCCATCATCCCACTCTCTTCCGTACTCACTGCCACCGCCACACCCTCGCCACCGTCGACACAATCCCCGACTTGCTCGACGACAACATTTCCTGACCACGGCACTCCATCCAGCTTTGCGAGATCTTCCCTTCTACACGATGCACTCCCCATCATACGACCCCTCCACATCTACGACCCCCTCATTCCAAGAGGTCTCATCCACCTTCGATTCGGCGGACAATACAGTCCCCGTGGCAAACGGTCAAATGAATGCCACTCACCAGAGAGACGTTGGTTTCTCTCCGCGTCAACTGGTTCGTTATTTCTATCTAGATCACCCTGTCAGGCCCTTAAAATTCTCCCTAGAGTCATGGTAACAGCAGCTCGTCGTCTTCGGCTGCTGCAACCCCGGCCAGCACCAGTGAGTCGTTGTCGACCCCACCCACATCTGTGGATGGGCAATCGGTGCGTCTCTCCTCATATCCCCAGTTAGTTGCTCCTTCACTGAGATGCCATATAGCCGCCGGATTCTACGTACGAGGAACGTCAAGACGCAGTCGAGTATGGGGCTGAAGGTCCAGGCAGGGGCGCAAACGCGAGGCAGAGGTCCAAGGTATTTCGTCACCTACATATGCTGGTTCAGATCTGTTCTAAGCAGGGATGCAGCAGAAAGCTCCTTCCACTCCAGCGACAGACGGATCGAATAAGAGGAAGAGGAAGAACGGTGCGAAGGTGAGGCGGCACTATCGCTCCTTTCCCAGATTTGCTGCTGATAAACCTATGTAGAAACCTTTGAAGAAACGGCTGACGAGCACAGGTTTCTACGAACACGTTCATGCAGAGAATGTCACGCAGACCGCGCCTGGCAAATACAAGAAGCCAAAGGTGACTCGCGTTGACGGCAGTCTGGACCCTGGCATGTCCTCCGGAGGACATGCGTTCATCCCTCCGCATCCGTCAGCTATCGCTGCTGGTCCTGTGGTTGCTGCCACCTCCCAAGCGGCTGGGCGTCAACCAAGCGCCACGAAGATCAAGCGGCAGCAGACGCGTCGTGACGCTGCGAGCCCGTATGGGCTACCGTCCAATGCACAGGGAAAGAAGAAGTCGAGAGCTCCGTATTCTCAACTGCCGCCTGCCCAGTTCCCTACAACCGTTCCATCTCATCCAGCACCGTATCTGAATGAGGCATACGAAACATGCACGGAGTTCGACGCCCATACTCAACCAAACGCTGACTTGGTTCAACAGTTCCAGGGGCCTGCAGTTGGGCCGTCATCCCTCGGGGTGACGGATTTCAGCCAGCACCAGGAATCTTTTCCTGCCATTCGTGGGCTCGATTCTCGACTGTACGAGGCCGAAGTCACCGCCGCTCCATTCACGCTCCAGCCAAGTCTTGACATGCTTGCGGGCGTGCACCAATCAAGCCCGTACAATGACAATCCAGGGCAGTACCAGCCACCATTGACCCAGCCCGACACTACCCACCATCACTACCACTACGCGCAAACCGTCTCCGGCCCCCAGGTATCACCTGTGATAGTAAACTACGGCCCCCAGAGAGTATTGAGCTATCGTCAAACCCTACCCCAAGGATACGAACAACAAATGGCCTTCGGCGGTCGAACCTTCTTTCAGCAAGGTTCATTGCACGCCAACCAGGGGCCTCAGGCCCATGTGGCGTTCCCTTCTGACTACTACCCGACACCTCCGGGGGCGTACTACGCTCATAATCCTTACCATGTCCCTGTCACAGAGTGGGAGGGGTACTGTACTGATCAGGCTAGTGCAGCTGGATCCCCACCATATGACACATGGGCAGCGCAACACGGCGCACAACACCCCCGATTCCCGTGAAAGTTTTCATTCAGGTTGTTGCTTCTGTTCTCGTCGCTTCATTTTGCATTTTCTCATTATCGTTATGCTCTCCGGACTGCTTTGTCTATGGTTTCTTCTCGCTTTCGTCATCAGTACTCCTTTGACTCTGCACTGTTTTCTCTCTCGTCAACCCATATTTATGCATCGTCCATGGAGACCTCATCCTCATACCACATTTATCTCTTCATCCTCGCACATCCCTGTATCGATAGGCTATATACGTATAGCTAACGCCTCTTTTCGCTGTGACTCTGTTCTGCCACGCTTGTCTCTGGCCCTCTAGAGCATTTTTCCTCCGCTCCGCTCTCCCCAGGCAACCCTCATACACAGCATAATCCTACCCACCGTGACCAGTTACCGTCGTTGCTATTTGAACTTTGCAAAAGCGGTAAATGTACACATGTAAATGTCTAAGTTTTTTGTTCGTCTCTTCTTCACGTTCTTCTCTACCTTGTCTGTTTACGACTCATAGCGTTCAATCATCAATCGAGTATTTAGTTCAGGAGCCAATGGTATGAAGCACGATTGGCATTGTTAGACTAAGTCAACGCGATATGGAAGGCGAGTGCCTGTGAGCGTCTAAGCTCAAGCGTAATAATACTCTAAGTGTCCATCATCGGTTCGATACATATCACCCGTCCTTGGCTATTGCACTTCGTGTAAACCATCTCTGAGGGTAGTAGTCCTTTGCTGCCGTATCCCCCAACTTCTTCTGATTCACAGTTATCTTATCCTCCGGCCATCTCGGACTACATTTCCTCGGAAGGTGTCCCTCGATTTAATCCCGAATATTAATTTCTCTTCCCTATGTATGAACATTGGTACCTATGAAAGGATCATAGTCGTACTCTGAAATTAACCACTCTGGCGCAGCACAGGCCCTACCCTTAACGACGAAAAGGGCGTGAAACTCGAACCAACGGGGTTCTGCTTTATTTCGCTGGTCAAAGAAAATGGAGCAACCGCGTCTCTTTGAACTACCAAAGGTTCGGGCTTTCACAATGGTGACCTAGGTCATCTCCTGCCACCGACTCCCCCTTTGTCTGGCCAGCCGTATATCAGCCTCTCGAGGCAATGGAGCACCCACTCACCACCCATATCCCCCCCAAATTTTGCCACTGATGTCCTTGACATACCCAAAGCACCACGCGCCGACAACCATACCACAACCAACGCCCACTGACCGTCAAACAATCCCTTTATCCAAAGAAGCCGCCTCACGCAGCGCACGGCCGAGTTCTGGCTCAGCCTGTCAATCCTCAAAACGAACAACGATCAGGAAGTACAGGTTGAGCACAGGACGGATGGTGTTCGGATGGTATGTTTCCTTCTCCTTACTTATAGACACGAGCGAGATGCTAAATCAAAAAAAGAGCCTCTGTGCAAGAAGCATGCACCGCAGGAAATCGGAGGACAAAGGAACGGGCGCCATGTTCGACAGGCTGACGGGCTAGCCTCAGCGGCCGACTACACGTGTCGCTACCACCGTTGCGCGTTATCCTGGACAACCCCAGCGACCTACGTCTGGATTTTGTCAGGATGGACAAGCAATTCAAGGGCCACCAACAGCCTACGACATTCCATGTCGCTACCACCGTTGCGCATTATCCCCCTTGTCCCATGCCAGAGGCGGAAGGGATGCTGCAGGGTTGAAGCTGGGGATGAGGATGTCGGAACAATCCTCTATACAGGTTTCTCAGGGAAACCTACCCTGACAAGAGCGACGAGGAGCTTCGGCCTCTCCGTTTCCTGCCCGAGGACAGCTGAAGGAGAGATGTGGTTACTCTTCTTCCACAATGTCTCGCAACACCGCATCTGGCTCATCCCCCCAAAAAAGGGTCCATTGGTCGAAAGAATTGTCTGGAAAATCCGAGTCAGTTTCTGAAGGGACGACGAGCTATGAGGTAGGTTTCTGCCTATATTCTGGTGATCGTTGCTAATCTTGTCTCTGTTTCTTAGCTCGCCGACGTGGACCTGGGGATCTCAATCAATAGAAAAGATCCTCTTTACAGGTTTCTCAGGGAAACATACCCTGAAAAGAGCGACGAGGAGCTTCGGCCTCTCCTTTTCCTGCATCAGGATAGCTGAAAGAGAGATGTGGTTACGTTGTTCTTCCATTTTTATCTGCACCCTCTCACTCTGCGCGTCCCGATCTCGATTCACGAAGGGCGGGGGCGAGTGACACGAATCTATTCACGAGTCTCAGCGACGATACTATGAAAAACGGCAACAACGACCTACCGTCTGCCATCCGGTTCTCCAGAAGTGGAATACTGACTTTCTAGACTGAGCACTGAGGGAGCTCTTCCATTATCACCGAGCGAACGAACTGCGGGAGAGATGTCCACCTCAATGCGAAACCCATTGACAGAGTGCAACTGCACAGAAGGTAGGATGATAGTGAAAGAGCGTGGAGGAGACGATCGAAGAGAGCGGGAGCAAATGTTATCTTGTCTTCATCTTATCTTATCTCACATACCCTAATTTCGAAAGAATTTGAACCTTCTTTCTTTCTCGAGTTTGACTCGAGACAGAATATTTCAGAACACTGAGAGGGTGATAGACACGCGGTGCTCGACCAATGTCCCAAACGAGAGAAGCAACAAACCCCAGACCTCACAAAAACGAACCCACTCGGGTGCACCTTAAGTCGGTTGTTGGTCTACTCTACGACGGATCGTGTTCTGCTAGGGAAATTCGCCGCAGATTTCAGAGGGCCTGATGCACCTCTCGCTCATCGCGGGAGAGTTGCCTTTATGTCACAGGAACTTTGAAGTTACCGATCTCAGTAAGCTAGACCAGGATCGTTGTGCTTCCTTGAGAACTTGCTGGGCAGTGCTAACACATTCGAGAGTAGGAGCAACAGTGAAAGCGGCTTCTTCTCGTTTTTCTAGCGTGTTAGAAGATGTAAGACGTCATGGTTCAGTATTGTTCTTCCGTTGAAAGATGTGATTACATGGTATCATATATGCGCACTACGGAACCCTTATGAGCAAACAGAGAAAAGTAAGAGTCATAAACGTAACAAACGCGTACCTAAATCTAGTCTGGAGGACAGCCCGACCATATCGTAGACATGGAATGGGTATTAGAGCTTCGCCTTCGGAGGTGACGGCACCATGATGATGTGCGTGCCGGAGACGACGAGTCGGTGGTGGGTTACGTTCCAGATCTGACAAAACGGCAAATCATCAGCTTCCGCAGACCCTACGGCCAATCGACTCGAAAATGTCACCTCAGTTCGCGCAGAGTGAACGCGCGCTCCGAGAGTGAGAGTTGTGTTGAATAGCCGGAGTTTGTCACCACTATGACGCGAACGTTTGGTCAGGATAGGTAGGAAAGGATGAGGCAAGGAGATGACACATACAGTCCAGCAGGAGAGTGGTATATCATGTTGATAGACTGGGATATGCAGGGGTAGAGCTCGCCTTTCGTCTCCAGGCTCAGAGCACTTAAGGCAATAGCGGAGCATCTAGAGAAACAGCGAAACGAGCCAGGTAAGCTCACTGGGATCTTGGTCAAGAGGTCAAGGGTGACACGCACAAGTCGACGAGGAATGCCGAGCACCCTCCGTGGATGCTCCCGCCACCATTCAGCATATCTAGAAACCTCGTCAGCTCAACAGTTATCAGTAGCACATCAACACCGAAGACCGCCATCTTCACACCGCCCAGCTGTCAAGTTTTCGCGTCCTCCTGCTCACCTTCCTTCACATCCACCTCCACAACAAGCTTCGCTTCCTTCTTCTTCTCGTCCTCCGGCTTAGGGGTAATCGAGATCTCCGTCACCTTGAGGCGCTTCTGTATAGCCTCGCCGAACATGGGGGTGGCGCCTTTAGGGCGCTCGGACATGAACACAGCGCTCAGGTCGCCGAGTGTTTGCTTGACGAGAGGGGAGGCATTGCCTTTGATGTGCGAGATGTCGAGGACTTCGCCGTTGGCGCGCACGGGGACTGGGTCAGGCATTTTGAGGAAGAAGTTTTTGGGGCAAGGAGGGTGGGGTAGTTGAGGGTATTCAACTTGGAGAGAGTGTGAAAGCAAGAGCAAGAAGAAAGCAAGGGGTTAGAGCTTATGAACGTGATTGCATAAATATTTCGCTGGCTGCAGTCCAGAGAGCCGGCCGCAGTGGGTGTCGCGAGGACGAAGGAGATCGTCGTGTTACGCGGTCTGTAGACGGTGTGGGGAATCTCCAAGCCGCCGGCCACTCGGCACCCTTTCGGATACGTGAGATCCGAGATAGACTAAGATAAGATTAGAGAAAGTCAGACTCCGTTCATCGACGCATTGACTAGTTTGACGAACAGTACTAGTTCGAAGACATGCTAGCAATTCCAAGCCAACAACCTTTACGAAAAGAAGTCCAGCTCCTCATCCGCATCCTTCAAAGGCTCCTGCTGCACCTCAATTTCACTGCACTTCCACGGATCGCCCTCAAACCTTCGCTCCCAGCACGAAGTGCTTGTGAGCTGCACAACCCTCAACGACCTACAATACCGGTTCCACCCAGCCAAATAGTCCCTCAGATCCGCCTGCTCGAATCCCAGGCTTTCGATGGACCGCTCGAGAGGACACGGCCGTGGGAGGACCCAGCCGCCGACCGAGGAGGAGGAGAGCGAGGAAGAGGGCGGATACTCGTCATCGCCAATGGAGGTAGAGGTGAAGAACCCGCCGCCGTCGAGGTAGACTCGGCGGGAGGTCAGGGTGCACGCTCGATCTTGTATGACTTTGATCGTATGCAGCTGCGTGAGGTCGAACAGCTACGGCCGGTTACCACAAAGTCAGTCCTCTACGACTGCGCTCGATAATTATTTAAAACCGGCATCTGCCTACAGTCAAATATCCAAAAGCGCAACATACTCTACGCTCATAGTCTTCAGAGACAATGGAAGACATAGATAAGGAACCCGACAGGCAAAAGACCTCTAGTAGAGTTTCCGAGCATGCGCATGGCCTGCACGGTGGTAAACGCCTTGGTGGCGTACCGAGGGCAGATTCATTTTAAACTACCCAAAACCGTCTGAAGTGATGTCTGTTGCGAAAACCGAAGTCAGAACATGGCGTCTAGCAAGGCCACCTTCGTTGGCCATATGCCCATGGACCTCGATGATGTGGCGACTCTCATCCCAGCCTCTGGTGTCCCCGACGATGTGTGGATCGACATCTTCGAGTCGACTGATTCACCTGCAGCAGTTGCGATGCTCAGGCGGACATGCAGAAGGTTCAACACACTCGGTTTAAGGCCATCGTTAAGGGAACTTCGATGGACGAAGATGGAGAGCACAATCAAAAATCTGCAGGACTGGGATCCGTCGGATGGGATCTACAAAGATCTTGTTGTGTTCCCGAGGAAGGTTACAATAGGTGTTCCCTTTGAGTTCAATTCGCGAACGAATAAGTTGAGCCAGGACGAGGTGAGTTCTCTTTCTTTGTACCCTTCTCCACTAAACTGTTTGCAGCGCGAGGCAGAATATGAACTTCACGACTGGATTTACCGCCAGCTGCCCCGCTTCACATCCCTCAACGAGGTCGCGTTCGAGAACACTGTCATATGTTCCTACGTGTACGCTGTTCTCGCGCAGATCCCGGCCCTGCGCACGCTGAGCATCTCCAACTGCTCCGCGACATCCCTCATCGTACCCTTAGCCGACCGTCACCTCCAACCCCCACGCGATCTTCAACACCTACTCACTCACCACCCGGACCGGCCGCACCCTTATGCGGGGTTGCTTGAGAACCTCCCAATCACCCACCTATCCTTCGACCTCGGGACAGCGGACCTGTCGGATCGCAATCTAGGGCCACCGCACCCTCTGCACTTCCTCGGCGGGCCGAACCTGACGTCGCTCGCGATACGCTGGACGGAGCACGTATCGTCTGTGTACACGAGGCGAAAGTGGACTTTGCCCCAGCTGACGGCACTCGAAGTGACGATGCCGGTCCTGACTCGCGACCTCGTCGACACGCTCGTCGTGTTCCTAGACAAATGCCTACTCAGGCCGAGGATGAAGTTGTCGATCAAGGGGCATAACCTGAACCAGCAGGACACGACCGGAGCGGCGACGACACCAGTGACGATACCGATGAGAGGTTTGTGGTCGTACACGGGACCCCTTGGGCTCGTTGTTCGACAGGAGGAGGGAACAATGACGCAGATGGTGATGAACGAGCCGCTGGAGTTGCCGGGGGTGTTGCGTGGGATGAGGAGACTCCCGCGGCGCATCAAGGAGCTGGAGCTGCAGGTACGGAAGTGGGACGTCGAGATCCTGTTCGCGGTGCGCGAGCTCTTCCCGGGAATCAGGAAGCTGATAATCAGGTACGGGAGTGGAATGTTCCCTGAGGTTTGTTCTGTTTCCTTGGTATTTAATTCAAACATTCTGATTTATCTTAAAGGACTTCCTCGTCACGCTGGGTTCGAGCATCTCGGAGATTAATACTGGAGAGATCGCACTAGGAAAAGAGGTAGTCCTCGATCCTTTTGAGTCTTGACGAGAAGAAGGGTTATAGGTCTGAAGATCTGAAGTACAAGCTTGTAAAAGAAAAAGAATGTGACCAGCAAGTACTGTGATAACAGGCTGAGGTGATAACCCTTATCATTTGTGCTGTTACGTAAGGAGCTTGTCCCTTTTTGGGAAATGATTTTCGTAAGTTCTGGTGGTTGTTCAGCAATTTAAGGGATTAAGCTGAAGGAGACGGGGAGAGACGAAATAGAGGGAGAATTGACGTGCGAATCTGTTTCACTGTTGAAAGGATGATGATGAGTATGGGGTCGGATCGTGTGAGGGAAATGTCTTGTAGCCTCTCGTTAGGGACCGTAATGCTAATGTGCGTCGTTGCCTCTGTCGTCGTACAAGAGTGAGCTGGAGAACAAAGAGACAAGTGGCTACGCGTAAGTACCGTGTCCTTATCTAATCTAATCACAGAGTGGGACCGTAATCGCATCGTAGCCTACCTCTCTCTCCTACACTGTTCTCAAGACTCAGTTGGCGGCGACAGTCTACACAGTTCTAATGTCAAAAGCCATTCAGAACTATGTGCTCTAATTCTCTAGCTGAGGGTCGATTAAGAGGAGCCAGGTCAGTGACCGTCGTAAGTATACTGGTCGAAGTATCGCACCGCGTGGCATCCCCTGGCATCCCATTAAGTTTATTTCCTTTCGGGTCTAATATCTTACTATCATGCTCTCTTAAGTTCTTCCACATGGCCGCAACTCACTTCCGCGTAGTTTTTCCACCTCTACTAATGACCAAGTTCAAGTCCAACAACAACGACGAAGCCTGGGAGGTGTAAATTGAATCATTTTCGCAAGCTTTCGCTGTGCGACAACGAATGCCGATTGGTCATATATCATGGGTAAGAATTCAACATAAGTATTTGACATCACGTTAACATTGCGTCAGGAGTTATCCTTATTCTCGTTATCCGATTTCCCGTTAAGACTCGGGATATTACCCCCTTACTTCTGTGTCTACTCTGTCATGCCTCTTCCTCGAAATTCTTAGCACTGGAGGAAAGAGGCGGCCCGGCCGTCTCCGGTGTGGCGTCCTGCCGTTTTCTTTCCTTTCTGGAGCGAGTTCAGGTCCGATCTAATCTTATCTGCAGCATCTCACCAGTCCGGTGCTTTGATTTGCCGACCGGAGCACCCAAATATCATGTTCACTTCCTGATCTTCGTCGAGTTCCACATGGCCAGACATAACTCACTTCGTCATGTTCTAAGTTGATTCCCAAATCTCGAATCGCCGCGACCACTTCAATCTGACACTAAATGGCCAACTCCAATTCCAACAACGACGCCGACATAGCCCACATCACAGGCAACGCCCCCGCGCACGTCAAACGCGCTCTGAGTGACCACAGGCCGATCTTGGGGAACCGATTCAAGGAACACATTCCCGGGCCTATCTTCTTCGAGGTTATACAAGATAGGTTTCGAATGACAGAACTGTCGATCATCAACTCGGAGGGATCAGACGGGAATCTGGAGGCGAGGGTTGTCGTTGAGTTGGACGTGGAGGAAGGTGTGTGCGCTATGCGTATACGTGCTGTGTATGCAGAGCGTTTCTAACTTGAATAACCGGTGGTTTAATTCAGACATGCTCAACGGGAAAGGCGAGATGCATACCGGGTGTTCCGCCTCGCTCATAGACATGTAAGTGACATCAACGGCGAGGATATTCTAAACGGATTCAATGTTTCAATGCTAATACCTGATGCCTTGCGTAGGGGCTCGACACTCCCGCTTCATGCTCTCGCTATAGCGAAAGGCATAGAACAATATGTAAGCGTGTCCCAGACGATGAACGTCATGTACCACTCGCCCGCAAGACTGTGAGTTGGTGCTTGGGCCCTGGCGACCGGCCTGCAACGGTGGTTGACTCCTTTTTGTTCATATGCTAGAGGCGACAAACTAAAGCTGATAAACACGACAATCATCCTCGAAGGAGATGCACATTGCGCCAAGACAGAAGTGAATTTCCTGAGCTCATGTTCCTGCTATCTGTCGCTAACTTGTTGTCCATAGATTTGGAATGCGAGCCGGGGCGGACTCGTCGCGTCCGGGTCGCAGATAAAGATGGTCCCTTCGCGTCTTCCTCCGCAGAAGCTTTGATATCAGGTCTTCATCCGAGTCCTATATCACTTCGGGTTTCGAGAGTTAAGGAATAAAGCACCCGCAATTGAGACGCATACAGTGACTGGCCCCGAGTCCCCGACGTAAACATACAATCTTTTTCTCGTTGACCTCCGGGAAAAAGAGACATCGAACCATGTCATGTAATTTCTGACTCGGTCCATGAGCCGGCATCCGCGATTCGATTTCCTCAGTGTGTTCGTAGGGTAGTAATTCCTGGACATGCTTGGACAATTCAGATCCGAGTCGCGTCACTTTAGGGCCAGCTCTGGCGTCCACTGTAGTTCCGGGCCGGCATGATCTGAATCCCGACACCAACCCCGCATCAGCTTCGAATTCGATTGACCTTCTTCCACTCCGGGTCGCCCCAGAGGCGACGTCTATGTGCTCTGACTCTTTCACGGACACCACCACCCCTACTGTTACTAAATGGCCAACACCAACGACTCAGACGTATCCCACATCGCGGGCAACGCCTCACCACACATCAAGCGAGCTTTGAGCAACCACAAAACCTTCTTCGGGAACAGGCACAAGAAGTTAATACCGGGCCCCATTTTCTTCGAAGTTATACAGGAGCGCTTTAGGACAACGGAGGTGTCGATTAGTGAGCGCCCGGAGGGAGGGCTGGAGGGAAAGATCGTGGTTGAGGTTGGTGTGGAGGAAGGTGAGTTTAGACAAGAGTCTTGGGGTGAATAGGTGGGTAATGGTGGGCAGATATGTTGAATGGGAAGGGAGAGATGGATAATGGGTGTTCGGCTTCGCTGATAGACATGTGTGTCCACAACGTTCACGGGATCTTACAAATTGGTTTCCAACTCTATTGACTAGGTGTTCGACACTTGCTCTACACGTCGTCGTCATGTCCAAAACTTCAGAAGAATACATCAGCGTCTCCCAAACTATGAACCTCATGTACCATTCACCAGCCAAACTGTGCGCCTCTCTTTCTCTCTCTTATGCCTCCCCCAAGACTCCCAACATTAACCTTGCCCTTTCCAGAGGCGACAAACTAAAGCTAATAAACAAGACAATCGTCATCGGAGATCACGCACATTCCGCTAAGACTGAGGTACATATATTCTATAAGATCATCCTCCGTCTGCCCTTCCTAACCTGCTCCTTTAACTACCACTCCCACTAAATTCTCCCTGTAGATCTGGAACGCGACCCAACATCGACTCGTGGCGTCAGGCGCGCAGATAAAGATGATACCCTCCGGCATGCCTCCGCTGAAGCTGTAACACCATAACACCGCGTCTTCAGGACCACAGTCCGCTCTGTAAATCACTACGAGTCACAAATGAACCGTTCGGATTACGAACTGCGGATCTATGTCAAAACCAAGCATTTGGAAAGGATGGAGACTTACGAGATCTACATGCTCTAGAAAGCCCCGTGCCGCCCGCTGGAAGCAAGGCATTGCCACCCGGGAGGACAAAAGTCGATCGACGAGCAACGACGAAACCTCGTCCATGGTCTCTCTCGACTATGTTTTCATCTTGAACTCAGACCAACTCAGAAGAGTCGTCTAATCATCCATGAGAGTTCTTGAGCTCCGCCAACTGCGTCAACAACCGAGCTCGTTCGTTCAACAATTCCAACGTTCTCGAGTACTGGGTCTGGACAGCTTCGGCATGCGAGTATCTTTTCTTATCCCTCGACCTCGCCCGGCTTGTATGGGCAGAAGATGAAGCCAAGGCGGAGGCAGTTGAAGATATCGACCGACTAAGTTCGAACGACGCCACTTCTTCGTCCTCGTCAACGGGCTCGATGTACCCCGTAAACCTCACAGAGGTGTTCGGACTCTGGTTTGCAGAGAGGCGGAAGGAATCTTCGAGTGGCACGAACGATTCGGGTACCGAGTTTTTCCGTGACCTTGGTCGACGAGGTGAAGGTGACACTGGCGAGGTCGGCATCGAGCCCGTGTTACAGATACCGGGCTGAGAAAAGAGAAGTGAGGACATGGGCAGCTCGACTTCGACTTCATAGATGCACTGTGGCTGGGATTGCGGTTGAGGATGCAGTTGGGATTGAGGCTGGGGGTGCACCGCTCGTCGTTGAGCTGCTTGAATGGAGAGAGGTTGCCGAGCACGTCTGAGACGGAGGAAAGAATCTCGTCGTCTTCGGTGTCGTAGTTGTTAGTGGGGTTGTGATTGTCGTCGAGGTGCGACCCGTTTGGATCGTGGATGCTGGTTATGGACTCTTCACGGGAAGAGGGCCGCAAGAAAGGAGAGAGGGTGGGTTGGGACCAGGAGTGTCTGCCATTTGTGGTTGTGGTGGTCGTTGTGGTGGTGGTGCTGTAGGGTATGGTACCGGTGGCTGAGGAGCTTGGATGGAAGAGAGACTCGGCGTCGAGGTCGAGCTGGGATTTGGGTGACAAAGGCACTGGAGGGCGCCTCTGTGGCGCTCTTCGGTGCGTTGGAGAAGGTGTCCTCGGTTCTGCCCTTGGGGTGGCAGCACTATCCGCCTGCCTCCTCCGCGGGATGTACGCACTCTCGTCCATCCTGCTATGCTCCCCGTTCCTGCCCCTGGTCTTTGGGATGTACCCCATCCTCCGGCCGATCCAACACAGGAGCTCCGCAACGAACAGCACCTCGTCCCACTCCCCGTCGGCGAGGCGGCGGGGGTCAAGCTCGGACAAGCCGACGTCGCGCTTGATGATGTCTGTCTCGAGAACGCCGAGGAAGACTTTCATGTTTTGCACCTTTGCCGTCCTCGACGTTGAACCAGGCGTCGACGTCGAGGCAGAGATGGAGTTGGAGGTGGATGCATGAGGGGTCCTGGCGTGGTTAAGCTCGGGTGAGGGAGAGCCGGAGCGCTCGATAAGCGGTATGCGCATGCCGAGGATCGACTCCAGGATAGCGATGAGCAGGCTGGGCGTCAGGTCTGTTGGAGAGATCAGAGGGATTGGCACGTTCAGAGAGGTCAGGAGAGTGTTGAGTTGCTCTACCAGAGTGCTTGAGTCTAGTGAGGGCTTGCGAAGGGAGGTGGGTGCGTATTTTGGGTGCATACCGTAAGCGAACTAGATGTCGCAAAGGCGTCCCGGGGAGTAAGCTGTTTAGAATAAGAAAACAGCAAGTTCAACAGAAAGTTCAACCAAAGTTGAATGCAAGAGGGGAACCAAGACAACAAGGCGAAAAAGACGTAGTATTCGCGCGTAAAGGATAATGTAAACCTGCAAAATAGACATTAGATTTCAAGCTAACGCAGTGTTCGATCATGATAGGCGCCCACCTCCTCTCCAGCTGAATGTTGATCGTCAAGTTCAACTTCGGCAAGCCCCTCCGTTAGCCTCGGGACACAGCAGGGACAAGCACAGCCACACACGACCAAGCAAGCGAGCGTAATGACCGCCCCTAAACAGAAAAGGGAACCGCGACGGCAATTATTGAAATGACAGAACGCGTCCGATTATTCCCTTTTTTCAACCACAACCCACTGAGAGTTAAACGCGTCAGGCATGCCGCGTAGGTCTACCGCCACAGATGGAAGTCCAAGACGAGTCAAGGAGGAGCGCGTTAAGGTGAAGGAAGAGAAGAGGAGGAAAGCGCGTAGTGAGCCTGAGGAAGAAGAGCACCAACAGGATGAGCAAGAGCAGGATGGGGAGGGCGAGCCCGATGAAGAGCAGGACGACGAAGGAGAGCAGGCCAGCCCTCGCGGCTCCAAACGCAGACGTACGAACGGGGACGGTGACTCTGTCCCCAGCGGCACCCAGGACGACGAGCCTGTCCTGCCCAGGGTCAAGACACTGCCCCGTGGCGATGACGGGTAAGTTGCCCTTCTTTTCCTTCTACTCTTACACAGTGCTGACAGCATGAAAAAAAAACAGGTACATCCCAGGCTCCATCGTCCGCATCCAGCTGCACAACTTCGTTACCTATGACTATGTTCAGTTCTTCCCGGGGCCGTATCTCAACATGATCATCGGCCCCAACGGGACTGGCAAGAGTAGTATCGCGTGTGCGATTGCACTGGGGCTTAACTTCCCTCCTCAGGTGAGTATTTCTTTCACCTTTTGAACCGACCCCTGTTCATTGATTTGTGGCTTTGTACGTGATTGTAGATCCTGGGCCGTTCCAACGAGCTCAATTCATATGTCAAGAACGGGACGTCGTCGGGGTATATCGAGATTGAGCTCAAGGGCCCGAAGGGGAAACCCAACCTCGTCATTCGCCGCAACATTAGCTCGGCCTCGAAGAGTTCATCGTTCTCTTTGAATGGCCACTCGGCCACCGGAGCTGAGATTAAGAACAAGATGAATGAGCTGAATGTGCAAGTTGGGAACTTGTGGTAAGTAGTTAGATTTTCCTTATAGCATATAGTAACGTTTTTCCTCCTTGAAAGCTCGTTTCTTCCTCAGGATCGCGTCTCCGAGTTCGCGGCGATGACCCCACAAGAGCTGCTTAGGGAGACTCAGCTAGCCGCTGGAGACCCAAATCTGACGAAGTGGCATCAGACCCTCATTGCAGCTGGAAAGGACCTTAGAGCTCTTCAGCAGGTGGGCCTTTCTCTAACTTCAGCTATGAGTCTCAGTTGTTGACCATGTCTCTTAGACAATTAAAACGGAGGAAGACTCCCTGAAGCAGATGAAGGAACGTAACGAGGGCATTGAACGAGATGTCCAGCGTTATAAAGAACGCAAGAGGATTGAGAGAGCGGTAGGTGTCTTTTATGGTTTTGTTGTTGGTAATGTAGCTCTGATGTATATCTCCTCAGATCGAACTCCTCCAGCTCCTCATTCCAGTAGCACAATACCGCGAAATTCGCGAGCACTTCCTTGAGGCTAAGGAAGTCCAACGTAAATGGCATGAGAGAGTCAAGATCTTGCAGGAACGAAACGCTCCAGCGCACGAACTGCTCAAGTACGCCTCATTTTCACCTCTCATTCGGCCTTCCTTACTTCCTTCTTACACCTGTATGTCTCAGGCGCTATGCACAGGACTACAAAAATGCTGAGAAGGAACGCGACCATCTCAAGAAGAAAACGCAGGAAAAGTTCAAGCAGCTCAAACAGAAGAATCAGGCTAGTTTGGCTTTGGTAAAGTTTCTTTTAGTTCGAGCTACCCAACCTGGTCTGATGTGTTCTTTTTTTCCCCTTTCTTGTGCTCCAGGAACAAGAGGCGCAAAACCTGACCGAGCAGCTCTCAACGCTCAAGGATGAGGAGAAGGCCCGTGCCAAGCAAATCCGTGTCCTGGAAGGGGAGGTGCAGAGGTGGCGAGAGGAGGTCGCCAAGCCACCTCCTGAAGGTCTGGCGAGTGACGAGGAAATAAAGCAGGCGTCGGTATGTGTGCACTGCTCGCAAAATCGAATATCTTCGTGTTTTTAGTTGCTCATTTTGACACTTGTAGAAAGAGCTCCAGGATCTGAAACGGGCTGTTGGCGAGAAGATCGAAGACTTCAACGAGAAGATACGGGCCCAGGTTAATATCAAGGCTGACCACGCTCGCGCCCTTGAGCACGCTCAGAAGGCGTAAGTCCCTACCATCTTCCTGCCTAGATATCCTTATCTGAATTCTTTTCTTTTCTCAGGCTGGCAGCCCAGAACAACGTCGACGTGCAGAAGCTCGAAATGCTAAAGAAGTGGGACAAAGACGTGGCTGACGCCATCGTTTGGGTGCGCGACAACAGGCATAGGTTCAAGATGGAGGTCATCGAGACGCCGTTCATGCGCATGGCGATGAAGAACGATTGTAGGAAGTGGACGAACCAGGTCGAGGCGTGTATTGGTGCTGGGCAGATGAAGGTACGTTTTTGACTTATCTGTCGTTGTTCCATCGCATTGTTGACAATCAATGTTCTTGTAGACTTTCGTTGCACAGTGCAAGGAGGATGTGGATACGCTGAATCACTACATCAACGACGAAGGCTGCCTTGGACGGAAGGTCCGCATTACGACCTGGTGGCGTGCCCACCAGCCAGAGACGCTCATCCCACCTCCGATGAGCAGAGATGAGGTTCTCACTTCCCTCTCATTCGCCCTATTCCTCGCTAACCGATTTTCCCTTCCCTCCGTAGCTCAAAGAACAGAACTTCGACGGCTACGCCCTCGACTACCTCGACTACCCTGCAGGTCTCGAGTGGTTCCTGACGAAAGAGCTCAACCTGCACCGCACCGCCATCGCTCTCAACACCCGGATTGACGTCAATCGGGTCATGGATATCGTCGCGCGGCCTTCTTCTCTTCATCCAGGCGGGGCGAACTTTGTTTATGGGAGCACGATGAACATTGTGACGAGGTCGAGGTATGGACGGAGGGCGGTGTCGAACTTGACGAGAGATGTGCAGAATGCGAGGAACTTGACGGCGCCGAGCAGTGAGTGGGCCTTTCATTGAGGTTGTCTTAACGTTTGCTGATGGGCTGCCCTTGTTGTGTCTACTAGTTGACCCTGCCGTCAAGCAACGTCTCGACGAAGCTGTAGCGCAAGCATCGACCCAGCTCGGCCTCGCAGAAGGTTCGATCAAGGAGTTGAAGCAGGCGATGAGCGCTCTGGACCCCGAGAAGGAAGTGTGCGACGAGAAAGAGGTAAACTTCTACTCGCTGCTAGTGGGCTTTCTGGTGCTGATGGTTGGTGTCTTGGTAGGAGAGATTCAAGGCGATGAAGGACGAGAAGATGAAGGAGGCGAAACGCCTTGGAACCGCCAAGACCAAACTTTGTAAGAAAAATTCTCTCGCCTTTTGGGTGGGGTTTTGGATGTTGGATGTTGATGATGATTTGGGATGGTAGCTTCGAAGCAAGAGTCACTCGCAGGACTTCGCAAGTTGCCGTCGGCTGAGCAGAAACAGAAAAAATTGCAGAAGCAGCTCGTTTCGAACGCTGAGCAGAGGATGGAGTTCGCGAAAGATTATACAGTATGTCTTTTTCCCTGTGCTTGATGCTTTGTGTTGCTAATCGACTTCGTCAGATCCTCGTGCATAACATCATCCACGAGCAACAGCGTTGCACGGTCGTAGGTCTGAAGTATCTCCAGATTGCAGCAAACAAGGCTGCTTTGCAGGATCTTTGCGATCGTAAAGACGAGAAGTATCAGACAGCTCTGAAGGAATACAACGCCGGTACGGACTGTCTCCTCAATCTCGGTTTCATTAACGTTCTTACATAGTCAAAAAAGCCAACGAACGCTTCCAACGTGTCAAAGAGAAATCTAAAGCCCTACGCGACAGGAGCCGGCACATCCTCGATGGTGTCGAAGACGACGTCCGGGACGCCTTTGAGAACATCGAGAACCCGCGCCTGCAATATGACAGCGACCTGAAGAAGGCCTTGGAGGATGGTACTCCGCTTCCCAGCAAGGAAGGCATTGACTTTAGAACGGCGGACGAGCTCGATGCAGAGCTGGAGACGCAGAGGGCGGAGCTTGAGATGAACATGAACACGAACCCTGGTGTGGTCGAGCAGTATGAGAAGCGAAAGAGAGATGTGAGTAGTATCTGTTTTAGTGGTGATGGCGGTTCGTGGGCGTGTATACTGATGTTGACCGTGTGCAGATTGAGCAACTTGAGGCTGCTGTTGCAGAGAAGAAGAAGAGGGAGGAGAGGACTCTCGGCCAGATCAAGAATGCTAAAGTCCGCCGTCCTTTCTTCAGTTCTTCGTCCCGTCTCATCTAGGCATTTGTTCCACAGGACAACTGGCACCCAGCCCTGCAGAAACTCGTCAACAGTATAGGGGCCAAGTTCTCTGCCGCCTTTGATCGTAAGTACTCTCTCTTAACCCTCACTTAGAACCAGTTCGAAAGCCAACTCGAAACCCTTTCCTCTAGGCATCGGTTGCGCTGGCGAGATCCGCATCAGCGAGAACGAGGACTACGAGAAGTGGGCGATCGACATCCTCGTCAAGTTCCGCGACAGTGAGAAACTACAGCTCCTAACGGCTCATCGCCAGTCTGGTGGGGTGCGTCATCCTATCTTCTTGACAATTTTTTTCCGTTGGGTTTTTTTTTGGGTGGAGGGCGTGGAAGCAAGATGTGCCGTGTTGGGGTAGTTGGGCTGATGATCGTAAGGGTCGTGCCGCGGCCCTCCTTTTGGCTCTGGGATGTGTGCTGCTGCATCAGAGGATGAGGAAAGATCCTTGGATATCTCTGCTACCCATCTGTTCTCTTGCCAAAATTCGGGCAGGCTGGGAATGCCCTGTCCTGTTGTTCTTGTGGCGTTAACGTTGAAACCCATATGCTCATCTATTCTCAACTTTTTCTCATAGGAACGATCCCTGACTACCATCCTGTACCTCATGAGCTTGACGGAAGAGGCACGAGCTCCTTTCTCTCTCGTAGACGAGATCAATCAGGTATGTGCTTTTTTCGTTACCGCTACTTCACACCAACAGGCTTCTGATCATACCTCCTTGCCTCTACGAAAATTTTCGCTCCAATTCAATAGGGCATGGACCAACGGGCCGAACGTGTCGTCCACAACTCGATGGTCAACGTGACCTGCCAGCCGGACAGCGCACAGTACTTCCTCATCACACCCAAGCTGCTTCCTGACCTGGAGTACCACGCAAGGATGAAGATTCTCTGCGTCAACAACGGAGAGTGGCTACCAGAGGAAAGGAACCTCAGTGGCCGCATGTGCGATATGATCGATGGGTATCTCGCGCGGCAGAAGGGGTCTCGTTCCGCGAAGGATCTGTGAGGTCGTCTTGCTGGGCCCTGCCGGCATGAAGGCCGATTTTTTGGTTTACTCACTTTTCTCACTATCGTTATTTCCGTCCGGGCTGACGGAATGGTTTCACTTGCTCATCCTTACACCTAGAGCCTGTCAGTGGTCACTAGCACTACCAACTCTGGCGTGCTAGATTGTCTCGATTGTGCTACATTCGTGGATTATTTCTATTTACCATATGCTCTCATCCTGCTATTGCCGTACAGTGTCTATAGCTACTTGTACTACTTGTATGGTAAATTCTCCTACAATAATCACCCAAACCTTCATGCGACTTGTGTGGACATCTTATCTCGCTAACGCGATAAGATAATTTGCAAATCTCAACTTCTGAATTCTCGTCAACTGCCGTTCTTGAACACCTTGAGCCCGTTCCCCGACGTCCAAAACCCCATTCTGGACCTCTGTGGGTACATAGAAGCACGAAATGGCGACAGCTACCACACCAATCACTCCCCTTCCTTCAGCCCCAACCTCGAAGCTCAGTCATCTCTCGCAAGACGAGCAAGACGCGCTCAAAGCTGCCGTCTTCCAACGCCTCCACCCACGCGCCTATCTCGAAAAGTTCCTTGCAGAAGGCGTAAGACCAGATGGTCGCCCATTTGATGGCTTCCGTGACGTGTCTGTGAATGTCGGTGAGTGCAAAAGTTTTGGTTGCGGAGAGCAAGATGAAAACTGAAAGTCCCACTCTGAAAGCGTAGGCTCCATTTCTACGGCAGATGGTTCGGCACTGGTTCGGATGGGGAATACGACGGTCGTATGTGGTGTCAAGGCAGAGATCGCGGAGCCTGAGTTGGATAAGGAAGAGGAGGGGTTCTTGGGTGCGTTCTCTTTTGCGACTCCCCAACTATGAGATTACTGAACGAAAACCGCGGGTTTTCTGAACAGTACCCAATCTCGACCTACCAGCAATGTGTTCGCCCAAGTTCAAGCCTGGTCCGCCGTCAGAGGAGGCCCAGGTACTTTCAGATAGGCTTAACCAAGCTTTGCTCGCGTCAGTCCTTCCGCGTACCACATTCGTCCGCCCTATCTCTCACCCCGAACTTCCGTCTCCGTGAATAGCTCAAACCTCCTACCATTGAAAACATTGTGCATCGAGAAAGGGAAGGCTGTTTGGGTGCTCTACGTCGACGCAACCTGCATCAACTACGACGGAAACGCATTTGACGCGACACTGTTGGCGATGGTGGCGGCTCTCCGGAATAGTAAGCTCCGTTGCTCTGAAAATTTCGACCCGTATTTATGACTACGTCACAGCTACTTTGCCGAAAGCGACCTACAACGCGGAGACAGGTCAGACACTATGCTCGCGGAAGACGCTCCGTGTGCCCCTCCAGCTTTCGCCTAGCTCACCCATCAGCATGTCTTTTGGGATCTTCGACTCGTACGAAACCCTCTCTCCTCTTCGAATCAAGCTTACTAAAACGATTTCTTTTACTATTTTCTGCAGAAAAGATGTGCTAGCCGATCCAACATCGTTCGAAGAACCTCTGCTCGACACGACCATTTCCATCATCCTTGGAGATTTCAACCAAATCGTATCAGTATCGCAGTTTGGTTCTGCTACATTAATTGCAAAAGAAGATGGGCAGGAGACGAGACGAGACACTTTGCCGAAGTGCATCGAGGTTGCGAAGGCAAGACGGGAGGAAGTCGCAAACGAGATCTTTACCCAATGAAAGGCCTACCTTCTAACGACTGCTTACGCATTATGAAAGATTCAAGAAGCCGTTCTGTTGCAATTATACCCTCGACGTGGCTATAATTCAGTTCGAAGTGAAACAGGTTGGCACGCCGGATTTATTTTCGTCTACGGATGAATGCGGCAAAGCTCATTGGTCTCTGCCTGGCGCATTTTCGCTACTCAAAAAGGTAATTATATCCTGAAACGTAAACGCACCAGTGCTATCTCGAAGTGATGGACCTTCAATGTTCCTAACTTTCGAATTTCTCTTGCTCGACGTGGTCAGTGAGCTAACTTGGTATTACTGTGTTGTGAATGTCAAAAAGGTCTCAGCGGAGCCTGAAGCGGGAGCCTATCACTACCATTATATCCTCAGTTTCAAGTCTCCCCCCACCAAGTCTTTCAACGACTTAGGTTTGTGATAAGTCCAATCTAACCAGAAGTTCCGAGGGCGCCAATTACTGGGATGAATCTCGTGGAGGATCTCTAGTTGAAGTGACAGGTACCCGACATATTACTTCACGAATGATACCTCACCGCACTAGTACTGCAGAGCGTGCTATTCGCTGAACCTTGGTGGAGCAGCGGCCTGCAAGAACGCGTCCCGGGTGGAGAGGGGGAGAAATACTAATGCGTCTCACATCTTGGATTTTCTTGAATGAAGATGAAAGGATCAGTTCAAGGACTTTAAGGGGTGTGAATATCTGACGCATCATTTCACACACCTGCCGAACTTGCAACAAGACTGAGATGAATACAAAGGAAATCTCAGCGCACTTCTATTTCTTTGTTAGTCCTATCCGCAAACCAAATTGAACTATCGACGGCGGGCTTCCATGTCCAGCATTTCTGAGATAAACCTATGCCGTTTATCTCCACCTCCTGCGCATCTCGACGTCTTCCAAGTACCCTCCGGCATGAGGCCAGGAATTCAATAACTGGGGTTCGGTGTAAGTAGCATTTCCGCCTTCCCAGACGTTGCAATTGACCATGATTATCATCTACGTTTACAGTCATCGGTCGGAATTGTTGACAGCATGGTCATGTGGACGGCTGCCACGTTCGTATCGCCTCGAACTGAAAAGCACATAAAGCCCTTGAAGTGGGGGTCATTCTTATCATCTTCTCCCATGGCCACAGTTCCACCGCCAGCCTACAACGTACCTTCAGCGAGTGGGCCTGTTGAAGAGCCCGACGTTCTACCTCCTGTCTACACGGTGCCAACCCAATTTGCCATTGGATCGTCGCGAACGACGGTGCCGTTGGTCAACATCCAGGAGATCAAAGGACATCTTCTACTTAATGCATTCGCCGAGTTGAAGAACCGCATCCTGTCTGCTGACGTCCGAGCACCGAACGTCCCTCCTGATGAAGATCGCAAATGGGGTTGGTTTGTGGCTTTAGCAGTGGAACGGTCAGTAATCGTCAGTTCTCTGCCCATGTTTCCGCACCTGATCTTGCGATTTGATCTCATGTATGTAGATTCGACACCTGGTGCCGTGGATTGCAGGCTGATGACTCTGGAAAGGATACGGATATCGTTCTACCACCGTTGGACGTTCTCATGGTGTGTTCCTGCGCGTTTGCTCTTTCAAGCACTCTCTGACTTCTGAGTCTTCCCAAGGTATGGCACGCGTATATGTTGAATCCGCGTTGGTATGCAGAGGATTGTCTCGAGAAGCCTCAATGCAAGATCTTGAAAGAATTCGAACCTCATTTCACAAACGGTCTTGTAAGTTGCGCCTATTTTCCGCTGGAGGGGTATTCTTCCTTAAACGTCGGCTCTATAGAAAGGACAATTCCAAAGCTTGCTTTCGGCACCTCCTTCTAAAAGTCGACTCGACGGAACTATAGAACATTTGTCCAGTTTGACTTCATCGACTACATGAACTCAGTGACGACGAAGAGAGTCGTCTGTCCTTTCTGCAAATGGCCTGTCGAAGTCGGTCCGTATACAACGCACGTTTGTTGCTTCTCAGCCTTAAACAGCCTTTGCAGAGCTTATGAATCATTTCGGCACAGGCTACTTGCAGCAGAGGTTCGCAGCGGTGTGCCCCAAGTATTGTGGTATCGGCGATATAACCAAGGAGACAATGGCTCTTCGTAAGGTTGCGGACGACCTCGCAGCCATACCACCATCATATCTTCCGTGGGTTTCTTCCCTTCTAGTCAAAGTGCTTAATCAATAGCGCCGAACATAGTGGAACAATATTCAGTCCTACGTCTAGTTCTGATCCTATGACCGCGAAGAAGATCAAGGAGAAATTCAAGACCAAAAGCAAACCATTTAGGCTCATACTGAACCCCCCGTATGGAAGTCCCACTCACCTCAAAGATATGTCGGATTCCATCATGAGGTACACCAACTTTTCAATGTCCAGGCTTAGAACGATCATGGGCCCAGTGTCACGATTGTAAGTCCTACGTTTATTGTTCCCTAGAACGATGCATTGATTGGTCTCGAAGAAACTCCAAGATCCTAAGTGCTTACAGTGATGACAAGATATACTCAGTTGAGCTTGTCGGAGCAGTCCTCAGGCAAGGATCGTTCGTCCAGAAGATGTACGACCTCGGATGGACGAAGCCTGGCTTCTTTGACGGATCAAGCGACGAACTCGCGCTCCAGCACGCGCTGGCACGGTACCATGCGTAAGTGTTCCACTACATCCTCTGCAAGAACCTTTACTCATAGATTACCAGTTTCCTAGACCTGATGGCCTCCTCTCCTGCCTCTTTCTTCGTGCCTACTCTCGACATCGATCTCGTTTGGCACACACATCAGCTTATGCCCTCAAAGTACGAGTCTGATTGCAAAGCCTACATCGGCCGGTTCATCGACCACGACGACAAAGTCGAGGGGCTCCATCTCTCCTCTGCCTTCGACATTACCTGCTGCGCGTGGAAGGACCGCTTTGGCGTGTCCTACACGCACTGCGGATGCCCCATCCCTGGTGATAGCATCGGCAAGCGTCTCTCGCGGCTTGTGGGTATTTATGCTCCCAACACGCAGGCCCCGTCGCACCTCCTTCCTTATGACCGCCCGGACCTGTTGAGTGCAACACACCCGAGCGACCATAACGCCGTCCGATTCACGGCGAAGAGCGAGACGATGCACCGGAACATGAGCGCACGGTACGAGAGCCTGAGGAGGAAGAAAGAGAAGGAGGCACGAAGCGCCGCGAAGAAGGCGTTGAAGCAGGAAGGCCAGGTCGCGCCGACGCTGAATGCCCCGCACCTCCCTCGTGTCCCAGGAGGAAATACCAATGGTACTTCGAATGCGAAAGACAAGAGAAACGATAACTTCTACTGGTACGGTGCGGCATTCTTAGTGCCAGTGCCCATCTTCTTTGCTGCAGGAGCCGTGGGCGGATGCATTGCTGCTGGTGGAACACATGTCACTGGCACTGGAGGCTGCGGTGGTGGGGTAAGTGGTCCTGTACTTGCAATTCTAGTTCTGGACGTTCATGGACTTCCACTTTCACCAGTGCGGAGGCGGAGGTGGTTGCAGAGGCGGCTGCGGAGGTGGTTGTGGAGGCAGCGCTGGAGATGGCGGTGGTGGGTGCGGTATGTGCTCCTCCTGTGTTCTATGCATTTACCATCCTTACGGTTCTGAATTTTAGGTGATGGTGGTGGTGGTGGTGGAGACGGCGGTGGAGGTGGTGGCGACGGCGGAGGTTGATTTGATCACACTCCGGATAAGAACCAAGGTCTGACTCACACGAATCTTGCTTAACGCCTTGAATGCTGCCCAATCTAATCGGCAATGAGACGTGCTTGAATATTTCAGGAGGCATGATTTGAACCTACCAATTGACATATGGCTAAACAGAACTTGAGTACAGCGATTCTCCCTTAGCAATCTGCTTCAAGAATCGAGCTGACTGTCGTCGAGCTCGCATGTCAGGCTGTGACGCCGCATGTATATGCCGGAAAGGATTTCGCCGGAACCCATTCACAATTGTCTTCAATCAGTCTGCTCCTCCAGCCCTTCATCATCATTGTCGTCCCGCCTGCGCTTCATCTCAAATTGGGAGGCAGCAGGGTCATTATCGGGCCAGTCTTTGCCAGCCAACGCCGTTTCAAAGTACTTGACAAATGCACGGCGGTCGTAGAGGGGCTGGCTCTTCTCGTTGGGGAGAATCTTGAGGAGGGCAGCCATCCCAGGAATGGACGCCTGCTGATGCAATGTTTGGACGATCTTGTAATGGCCGTACCAGAAGTCGATTGCGCGCAGCGCCTCGTCGATCCACATCGTAAGAGGCTCGTCGCCGATGATCTTCAAGAAGTCACCGATGTGGCCGCATTTCGAAATGACAGTCCGTGTTCGCTATTTTGCTCATAAAGTGGAGGATATAATGAAGGACCAGCCAGACGAAAGACTCGAGGTCATTGCGTCTTGCAGCTTGTGCGACTGATTGATGTTTGCGAGTGACTCTTACTACCTGGTGGATGACTGTAAACGCGTTCCGGAGACACAGAAGCCAATTCCTCTAAAATTGTAACACGCTCGAATGATGATTTGGGTCATCTGTATGGATGCTCACATGAGGAGTTGACAGTGGAAGGGGAAGCTGACCCTGAGCATCTTACTGACCGTCTAACGGGCCCAAACAGGCAGTCGAAAATAGCATCGAAGGTACTAGAAGAAGCAAAAAGGCCTGCGTATATGTTTTCTTTCGCATTCACGGCCTCGACGGAGTCCAATATCGGCCGAGTTATCAGCTTTCTTTGTGATCCGTTTCCTCGAGCAGTCTCGAAATATGAAGTGGATCGCCTCTGGACGAACGTCCAACCTGTCCTAGAGTCGTTTACGCTAGTGATTTTCGAGTCAATGGAGTATCAAAAATTCAGTCAAAGTCTACTAAATCTACGAATCGCAAAATTCGAGGGACAGGTAGGTGTTTGGTAGCCGGCCCAGGTCCACAGTCGTCGAGACACGTACAATTTATATGCGAGTACCTGTATATGCGAAATATATTGCAAATGTCAAATTGGTACCTACTATTTTGGCCCTTACGTTCGTTAGGTCTCTCAGGCTTTATGACACTTACAACACCGGTGAAGTTGATTCCTCTTGTTCAATTTCGTTCAGAAAAGTAATCTAATGGGTGGTGTTTATCAAAAAGGGCACTGACTTCGTGGGGGTGCCATATACGTTGACGCCACGCACGAGTTACCGACTTTGGATAGAAAAACAACTGTAGGGTGATAGCCGGCTGCGAGACATTGTATCGTCTTCGCAACAGATTCGTCTGCGCGTCGAAATGCGACACCTTCGCTCAGATTCGGTTTACTAGGTTCCACTTATGGGAAGGATTCCCTCTTTCGGACGAATGATCGACAGAAAACATCCGCGGCCTGAAAGTTTTTTTTTTGCCCTGCACCCACCTGAAGTTGCCGATGACTAACAGTCGAATGAAAATGAAACCCTGCGAGGTGAATGTGGAGACAGCGAGCATCGGCTGTGGGGTTAAGCCCAGTTTGTTGATTTGGTTCGAGAAGGGCGCGGGTGTGGTTGCGGTTCACCGGTAATACCTGGCCCGAACCAGAGGCTTGGGGCATTCGGAGTTCCGCACAAACTATATCGTGTTTGAACGGTAAATATGGAATCAGAAAAGAAACTCGGGTCGAGCAGAAAACTGCGGAAGCCAATCTCCATTGAAGACACGCGCGTATGTACGGCACTACCGAAACAAGGAAAGGAGGGCCAGAAGAGTGCGTAACAACGGACGTTTAAGATCATTTCCGAATCCCCCACATATAATCGCGAGGATTCTTTGAATATACTAACAATCCCACGAGAAGAATCAGACGGACTACAGTATCCCTATTTATTGTTGGGTCGATCCTTTATCCGTGTTTCAGATCTGGGGTAATCGAAGTAACGTTACGCGAGCTACCTATTCTTCAGGGACGTCGTCCTCAAGAACACCCAGACGCTGCCGGACGCGTGCAGTCTGCAAAGAAGGCCAGATTATGATCACCGTGATTTACTCAGATGGATCACTTGATTTCGAAATCTCCCACCGTGAGAAACAGGGCCAGTACATGCACACGGTTATAGATGCGGTTTTCTTTTCTTGCTTCTTGTCGCTGCACCAGCCATTCCATATGATAGGACGTTAATCGTTGATCGTTTCACGTAGTCAATGCATCTAGGAAAGGGATGATGGCGGTATTTAGACGAAACGCGATTTTCACTCGCACAAGATCTAGTATGTTGCTGACTCTAATCACCTTTCTGTGAGGAGCAATTACCCTTTTCTCGATGGCTAAGAAGGTGATTCAGGTTAAAACGTTGGGAAAGCCTTTTACGGCAGCTCATTTCCCCGATTAGGTAGCACTTAAAGATCTTCAGCAGGATGGCGATACGATCTCATTTCGGCCCGAGAACCGTAAGAGGAGGCTATTTCGCCTGTAAGTAAAAGGGTTCGGGATTGGACCCAGCTGCTCAAAGATAATTAGGCCGAAAGTTATTGGCTCACTATGTCACCCAGTTTCGTAGTCCCAGACAAGAATTTTCATGGGTATAGTCGTACAAACTAGTATTTTCCCTTACTATTTTACCTATCAACAGATATCTAAAGTACCCCCAACCAAAGATTTTCAGACCTGCACCACACCTTTCAGCACCGCAAATTCGGCATTGATGATGCTGCTCGTCGCGGCACCTATCGACACATTATTCGCAAGGACGACGAACTTAATATCGAGCACCTGGCACTGCCGGACCCTGCCCACCGAAACACCCGCCCCGTCCTGGTAATACCTGTCGAGCCTGGGCTGGGGTCTGTCTGGCTCCTCGTGGACAGTGATAGCGTGTCTGGGGGCGGATGGGCACCCGAGAGATTGTGCGTCTGGGGTGAACGCAGCCAACGCCTCACGAACCTGTTGAGGCGATGGGGGAGGTCTCCTCGCGAAGCGTATTGACACGCACTCGGTGTGCCCATCGATAACCGGGACTCGATTGCATGATGCTGACACCCGCAGGGGCTGCTTCGCATGCATGTCGAACGACTTGGCCCCTTGGTCGTCTTCGGCTACACCGCCGAGGATCTTGAGTGTCTCCCACTCCATCTTCTCTTCCTCGCCACCGATGTAAGGTATGACGTTGTCCAGGATGTCGAGCGACGAGACTCCCGGATACCCGGCACCGGAGATGGCCTGCATCGTCGTAACCAGTGCAGCTTCGATAGGGCCGAACGCCTTCTCAAGCGCATAGAGGGGTATGACGTATCCTGTCGTCGAGCAGTTGGCGTTGGTGACGATAAAACCCTTCTTGAGCGACAGAAGCGACTGTTGTTGTGGAATGATAGCCAGGTGCGAGGGGTTGACGAGGGGCACGATGAGTGGGACATTAGGATCGCGGCGGAAGTTCTTCGCATTGGAGAAGACAGCGAGATCGGCGGCACGGAACGCCTCCTCTGTCGGGATGAGCAGATGCCGTCAAAGTTTGCCGATCAGTCGTTTTTATCTCGCTCGCTCGCAGGTGAGAGCTCACCGATATCGCCCGCAACGTCCGCATCCAACCCAGAAAACACCACTTTGCACTCCAAGAACTCCTGCGCGACACACGGCTTGACGACGATATCCCGCACCGACGCAGGAATCGGCGTCACCTGCTTCCAGTTAACGGCATCCTTGTACGTTTTGCCTGCTGATCTCGGCGATGCCCCAAGCGCATGGATGGTGAACCACGGGTGCGTCGACAGCAGCGTTATGAACCTCTGTCCTACGGTGCCCGTCGCTCCGAGGACACCAACAGGGATAGGGTTTGTAGGATGTTGCATTGTTGTTCGTGGGTATTTTGAGATGTGTTGCGATGGCCTAGAGGGGCTGTCGTTAGAGCTGCTGCTGGGCCGTGAATGAGATCGACTAGAAGGAGTCGTGCTCGACGCCGTAGTCGTCGTCGATGACAATGATGACGGTGCCATCGTCGTTGGCGGCGAAGAAGTTATGTGGAGGGAGTCGGGTACTTACGATTTGGATTATCTGGAAATTCGCCGGCCACGTGATAGGCGCTTATCTGATAACCTGCAATTATCCTTAAGCGCCTGTTTGGCGTGGATAGAGTATTGATGCTCACTGTTTTACTCTGCAAACACCTCGGCGGTGTCACGGTGGATAGAGTATTGAAAGAACAAGCAAAGTAGCTGACTCGATGTCTTGGATATGGGAAGTGAGTCATTGGTCAATTTTCCTCTGCGACGATCTTCGGACGAAAACCATGACGCCACGGATCGACAGCGGGTTTTCGGACACAAGTCCGCCCGACCTTAATTTTGTTGAAGTCTTCATTCCACAGCACTCGAGAAAACAAAGTCGCACGAACTCACGACGAACATGAGACGAACGAACCAGCTCTAGTGCCACCCTCACGCGAACATCGGGATTCGGGAGAAGAGCAGTCTTCTACGATGCTTAATGGACGTAGAGACTCCCGCAGATCATGAACATGTGCACCACGCACACCAACGCTCGCCTTCCTCTGGACCGAAAGAGCCACGGGCGTTGTGGAGACCGCTCTATCTGAGGTTATCTCCCTCGTCTTATCATCTCAGAACCAGAAGATGTACGAGTGCACACCGCTCAGTACGCATGCAAACCGAACATGACGACTCACGAGCATCCCAGAAATAGCTCTGCACAAGCATACGTCAAGCTTCCATGTCCAGTTACGTCCCCCACAAACCTTCGAATTCTCTCACCGCACGCAATTTTGTCCCCTGGCACGCGAACGACAGACACATGGCGTCTGGCGTGGCAATTAGTCAAGTTTCTCTGGCTTCCAGGATTAACCTTCTTCGCCACGCCACGTCACGCCACGTCCATCACGATCTTGCACAAGTAAATAAGCGGGTATCACGATCGAGGCAGGGGGCGCATAATTAATTCTAGGCACGTAAGATACGGGTGTTCAGGACGCCGACTGCGGGCATAGGCAATCAAGATATGGGCGCTGTGGTTGGAGAAAGTGAGGGCTTTGGAGTCGTCCCTCCCCACTCGGGACTTGGGACTTGGGAGAAGAGAGGCGTTTCGAGAAGGTGGCACCAACATTATCCTCCGATGAAAATAGATGCCTAATCGTGCCTTACAAAAGAGCTGGTGCTCTATTGACTCTTGGCTCGGTGGGTACCCGAGGACGAAGTGGTGTGCGCGGACATACCATAGGGCCTGCTTGTACCCGGCGGCGGCGGCATCGATAGATGGTCTCTACCCCGCTCATGTGAGCGAAGGTTATGTGGTGCGGCTTACGGGGTGCTCCTGGTTGTGTACGGCTTTCGGATAGGTCGATACGCGGTGGATGAACCTGGTCAAACGAACAGGTTCATCAATGGTGCAACTGACCCGCCCGTGAAGAGCTTTTTGCCAGCCTGAGATTGATCATAGCATGACCATCAGGAGGCCGAAAACAGTGTAGCGCCCATGATCAATTCACTCAGGCCAGTTATCTCTAGAAATGCTCTTGCAAGATGTGCCCGATGCCGATGTTCACGTACAACGAGTCGACGGGGTCTCTCAACGTCTTTCGGCCAAGGCCTCGAAACTCTCTAGATCTTAGGCTGTGTCAGTCTTATCGGTATGAATGCTTGAAACCAATTCAGTGCGACTAAATCGAGAGATCCTGAAGCAGGGTTCTATAGACGTCTCACCAAGCTCGAAAGTCATTAGTCAGAAGATGATAACCCCTGGACTCCAGGACCTTATGGGCTAGACTTTCTTGAGGCGTTCATTGATTTCTCGTCAGCTGGGAGATCAGCTCCAAAACGTTTCTCAGTACCTTCAATGTAAGAAACACCGAACCAGGGTCAAGAGAGGGGCGGTGAGGGTGAGATAAGATAACTAGCCTATGTAGTTTAAACTTTAAAGCAGCCGACCCGGACCGCGGACCGCGAGCCAGACCAATCGGCTCATCGGCTCGATTCGGACGCTTGCTTGGTTCCAGCAGATGTGCACAACAACTTCGTCACGAACCTCCACAACGACCTCGCCTTCTGCTCACTGTCCTCGACGATGTCCACGCCAGCAGACGCCCACCAACGAACGATATACGCCCCGGCGGTCATCTCAAACACCTCAATAACAACCGTGAAGTTCCTCTCGGCGTGCTTCGCTGGTGCCGCGGCTGGCATTCTTGGGCTGGTCAACTGGGCCGGCTTCATTCTCTTTCTCGTCTCAACACTGTTCACGACGGGGGTCATATACGCGGTGAACTGCAAAGGCCGCCCGAGAAAGTACTTCCAAGGTGGTGTGATGGAGGTGATGAACCCAGGACAGGACAACGCGTTTACGTTCGTGCTCGTGTGGACTTTGTTCTACGGTACGTGTTCATCTCCGTCTTCTTTGGGGTCTTTCGCATGCTGGGAAAAAGACTAAGGTTTGGTGGAGGATGGAAGAGGGTTCTGGCTGTTTATCTTTTGCTGATTCCCGAGAGTGCCGTGAGCTGACTGCCCTTCCTGCCGGTACCCTCCTTCCTGTCCTGCTGTCCGACTTGATCTCTCCGTGCGCCACAATCGACCGTCCCATCTGTATCCACCTATTTGTTTCCGGCATTTTGTGCTTCCAGGCATCGTGCATGGTGAGTAGGCGCTCTGTTCTTGCATCATTCTTCAACCCTCTTCTTGGAGCCCATGAACTTTAAAACTACTATTCCGATGCCCGATTTCCGAGTTTCCGGGAGGTTCCTCCGCCGACGACTCACCGACCGATACTGCATGGTTGCTTGCATGGCATTTTTTCCTTCTCTTAGCATGCTTCGGCCTTGCGGTTTCGGTTTTGGTTCGGGAGACGCTCCGCGGAGCGCGCCCCGAGTTCTTCTTTTGCTGCGGCCCCGGGTGGCGTCGTTAATTTTTTCTGGGGTGCACCTATGAATCAGCTCAATTCAATTCAGTCGATTCATTCATTCAGTTCGAGTCGGCGCTTAATTGATGACGCGTGCTGACTTTTCTTTCTTCTTGGGCGCAGTGTATGACTAGGACCTTCCTCGGTTCTAGACTCTTCTCTTTGCAAGTCGGACAGAACCTGTTCTCGTTGTACTAGATTATCTATTTCAGGAGGTTGGGTATGTAGGGCGGTCGAGAATAGACGGAGGGGAATGGCGCCATTGTACTTCACATGCATATGTGAGTCATCCATGATTTCATATTCTGTGTTCTTTTCATTTCCCGGCGTACTGGCCCGTGTCGGGCCTTTTGTTTTTGGCACACCCTGGTGTTGTGTATGCGACGAAGCGGTACTCGACTATACGCGCACCCGTCTTTGACCACGATACAGGTTCAACGCGTTTGGGGGTCCTTTCTTTTCATATCTTGTCGGAATACCCATCCAGAATTTTGAAATGCTCACGCGATTTTTTCTCTCTTCTCGTGCAGTTATTCGCCGGACTAGGGAGTCCAGCCCTTCATTTTGCTATTAATCCTGCTATCATTAATCACTCCCTGTGGGTACCCACAGTGGATGCAAAACTTCCCACCGATGTGGACCGTCGGCGATGAGACGTCCACTTAAGCGGCTTTTATGACGTGAAAGACCATACGTCGAGCGTACACCCGTCTTACACGCCCTAGGGCGGGTGATTGGGCGTTTAAAGTTACGACAAAGAAGACCACGCGAGAGATTCCATTCACCTTGACTGCGAATTTGTCATTCATCGACGCTAGAAGCCCAAACCTCAAATCGTCGAAGCCTCGAAGACCTTGTCCTCTGATCCACTCCCACCCCTTGCCACCCTTCGCACCCTTCACTAGACTCCACAAACCTTCGTATCGCGTGGGTGCACGGCCCCGCGTTCGCTGGCCACGTTTACCACGTTTCGCTAAATGAGCGTGGTTCTGAGCGAACTCCTCGGTGATCGCTGGACTGTCAGGTCTTCTGTCGCGAGGACGAGGTAAATATAGGAGCTTCCGTGCAGGTGCGTTCGGGGCGCAGGATGGTGTGGTTTTCTGAGCGCTTCGGTGTACGTATGTGTGATGTGAATGTTTGGGTGTGGTGTTAAGTACGGCAAGGGGGAATTCATGCTTCTTTGAGTGCCCTACGCTACCTCAGTTGACGAAGAGCACGCATCAATGGCGGCAGTGTGGGAAGAAGGCTCGGAGGTCCGGAGAAGTGGGTCCATGTGTACAGGCTCGTACGCGAAACCCGTTTTATCGAGGATGGTATTTCCTTGTGCAGAGGTATTGACGCCCGGATGGACACCGACCGGTCGTGGTCGTAGTCGCCCGATGACCGACGCCCGACGATGCCGTTCGACTATTGATACTCTATTCTTTCAGAAATGAGAGTGAGAGTATATTGAATAGAAATAACGTACACCCGCTGCATCCCTAGCGCCCAGGCTATCCAACGACCTGGGTACCCGCAAAGGCGCGAGAAGATGATCCAGGAGGCTTACGGAGGAAGCACTGGAGTTTACATACGACGTGCTGCGGTGGATGTCGTCCAATATATATGTGGTACGGCAGAGAATACGATTGTTGAGTAAAGGACGAGCTTCGAGGATCGTCGACTTTCCAAAAGACGTACTGCCAATGCTTGTCTAGTGTCAAATGTTCGGCGGCCTTCTGGCTCTTCGGTTGAGTTGGGTACGTACTTATGTGCATCCGGGTCGTTCGTTTCGGAACGCTGATCGTCTTCATAAAGGACGATAGACCCAGTCCCGCGTCGAGGATGGGGCATATGTCTTCCTTCCAACTCAGCGGTGGTACGCTGCTGGTGTGATTCGAAGGAAGGTATGTAGGTAACGGCACTCGTTGAGGATGCATACTTTCCGAGGCTCCTAGCTCCTGGTTTCTTGTTTCCTCGAGTGCGGGGTTGGATAGCACGCGCGATGGTTGAGGTAATAAATCCGAAGATCCCAGAACCTAGCGAAAACAGGAAGGTCAATTCATAGCACTTGAGCTTCGACAGCCGGAAAGCATCCTACCTAGAAAAATGGTCCAAAGCTTCACCCCTCGTCTTTATTCTCATCCGCCTCTAAATCCATAATTGGCGTGTAGAATAGTAAATACTGGCAGTCGTGATCGAGGCACTTACGCAGATCGCACCTACGACTAGTACTCTCCTTTTCCGGCAGTGATGGCGATCACCGCTTACTTAGCGCGTGTGGGCCCGTTGCGCCGCACAGTTTCTGTCAAACAAGGTATCATACATACTTGCATGCATGCATGTTACAGGAATGTGTGAGGATCAGTATTTGAAAGAGTTACGAAACGGTAGGAATAGGAATAGGAATAATGGTGATGAAACACGAGCCTCTGAATCGTGAGGGACGGTAGCAACGGTGGAGCGAGTGGGGAATGGATAAGCAAGGAAGGAGAAAGAACCTGAAAGAAGGTGTTTGGGAGTTTATTGGCCATCATGATACATCGGAAAGCCTGTGTACGGAGTCCCTACGGGATGCTGCAACGCTGTTCTCGAGTATACATATTTAGCGGTGAACGTTGAGCCTATACCATCCGGACAATAATGTTAAAACAACCGATGCTGGATAGATGGACCCTCGCCTTGCTCGCCGACGGCTTCCTCGAGCTCCATGGACCGATACCCTCAGACGAATCCTGCTTACTACCTGCACGGCCCGAAAATGAGCGTCTTAGAGACGCCTTGGTGCCTGCCCTGCCGTCGATATCGATGGAATCGATATCGCAAATTGCAAAATTACATTCGAAGCCAAGTAGAACTTCAGTGCGTCTTGTGAGCCAGCTCGGGCCTCCGGATTTATTTATTCTCGATCGATCATGATTCACTGGGCTGGGTTGAACGATTGAAGCTGGAGGGCTTGGCTTGGCTCCGTGGATGTGGATGTGGATGGATCGTATTAGTGGATGATGATGTGTGCGAAAGGCCCAAAGACCAAGGGTGCAAAAGCTCAAACACCGACGAGAGGTCCAGGCTCTCCAACTTCTATGCACGACGGAAATAGTATATGGGCTGGAGAACGTGGATGGGGCGTAATCAGTGATCAGTAGCGATACGATAGGTGAGAAGCCATGGCCGGGCGTTCTTCCAAGCTCTTCGTTGGTTCCCACTGGCGCTCGTGTGTCGTCGGTGGTGGTGATGGGTGTGTAATATGCTCGAGCTGACCGGATCAACATGGGAAGGAGTAATTTTGGGCAATGGGACGGGGTGCCAAGTGCGCCCTAGTGACGAGGCCTGACAGAAAACGTGGCTAGGAAGGGTTCTTCTGTCGATGGTACGTACGCGATGCGATGCGGCGATTATAGATAGCTCTCTGGGATCTTATAAATCTAGAAAGCGGACTGAGGTGAATCTGAGTAGGTTTGATGAGGGTGATTCTGTCTAGGTGGATGAGGTAAGGGAGTGTTCCCTAGAGTGATTCCTGGCCGTTCGGACAGATGTCGGGGGAGATACAGGGCATGGGATCTGGCGATTGGCGGGGCCACGTGGATCGACCCGGGCTGGTGGGTTGACAGGCATCCACACGTGGCTTGTGTGGCTGTGCTGGCCGTTCCGGGGGAGGCAAACCGAGCTGCCTCGCCGCTCGGTCCATTTATTATTCCACTCGCCAGCCCGGCTGCCCGTGCTCTCTCCCCCTTCACCATGCCCACTGCGTCCTACACCCTCCTCCAGTTCGGCGACGATCCCCTCAGACACCGCCTCGTCGACAGCGACGGCCGCGATGCCTTCACAATGTGCGTCTCTTCTCTCCCCCTGCCGCCCCCTCATTGACATAATCGTGACAGACAAGAGGTAGCGTGCCCCGCCGCCGCTCAATCGTCCTGCGAGACAGCTGACAGCCTCACAGGTAGCCCAAAATCCCAACCCAGTCGTGCGGCTCACCCGCGAGGCAGCCTGGTCGCAGCAGCACCCAGACATCATGGGCCCCGACAATTCGTTCTTCTACCTCGGACCAGAGTCCACCGCAGGCTACATCGTCTACGGCAATAATCGCACCAACATCCCCATGAGCTTCTTCCTAAGGCCGGGAAAACAAAAAGGCAGCCTGTGCGTAGCCCACAACCCTCTCCAACCTCCTTCCTACCCCGTGGCTGCGACCGCACCGAATCCCGGGCTATCGCAGACCCACCACGATGTCGTCCACCGCCCATACCGGCGAATGACTCCGGGCTAACTTGTGCTTTCCTGTTCCAGGTCGCGATACTTCAGGTGTCAGAACGGGAGGGACTACAAATGGAGGATCGGCTCGCATCGCATGGAGGTGCGTGTTTTGCCCCATAAATATTCCCCTCGTCTCCCTCTTGCTCTCAAGTTGCTGATCCCTTTTTTTCTCCGTTTTTGTGCTCTTTTTCCCGCCGTTTTACCCGACTTTCGCCTGTGCAGTGCTTGGACTCCGGCCGGACCACACTCGCGACGTGGGAGGTCAGCGCGCCAGACCAAGAATACTACGCGCGCCTCGTAATCAACAAGAACGCCATGTCCCTCGTCACCGAGATCGTGACAACACTCGTTCTAAACCGCATGGCGCTAGCGCTGGGCTGGTAGATTATGATTATGACTCACGCTACGATCGATATGCATGCCCCCAACTTTGAATTCGACGCACCATACCCGAATCTGTATCGATATATCGCTTTTTCTCTCCGCCACTTCCATTCTACAGCTACCATCTACGATGACGCCTTCTCTCTACAGCGCAAATTTCGTTCTCCGTTCATAAATATATCCGTAGTCTTGCCCCCGATGACGTGCAGTATTTTTGGACACGCTGCTCAGCAAGTTGAGTTGACGGGACTTGTCATTTTCCGTCTTGCGCACATTGTGCGTCCAACCGAAAAAGACCGTCCATTCAACCGCCGTTCGCATTTTCTTCTCTTGCCACATGAACATGAACGAAACAGTCTAACGCCGCGGCCGTGGTACCCTCGCGATTGCAACTTAAATGTACCATTCTAGTGGGCTATCTTGGTTCTCAGGACACCATCACTTCATCCGTACATGACTTCACACCAGCTACGCCACTAAAACCCACACGACCGCGTGCCCTACACTGCACCCCAGACCCCAGACTCCCTACGCCACAAACTTCAAACCAGCCCGGCGCTAAGCGCTTAACTTTAACCCATCAACCCAACCCATTCAACCGCTCAACCCACTCAATATCCAATACTCAATCCGTGTCCTTACCCTTCAGTTCCTCCAGCAGCTCAACCAACCCAGCCCACTCCGGCTCGTCCTCAAACTCCTTCGCACGGCCCACGAACGCCCTAACCACGCTCCGCGCCTGGAAGCGCCACTTGTACCCTTCCACGCGCGGCCCAAAGTTGCGCAGGACGTCGACGATCTCGTGTACCTCGGCGACGGCTTCGCGGAATTTCTCCAGGTTGGACTCGGCTGAGAGGGTGGTGGAGGAGGTGAGGGTGAGGGTAGAGGCGGGCCCGGCACGGTACGCGTCGAGGTAGGCTTTGAGGGCGTCCGCCCACTCGCCCTGCCAGGAGAGCAGCCGGGCGTAGGACCGGAATATCCGTGGCGTTGAGAGGCGCGGGAGGAGCGTGTGCTCGAAGAGCTGGCGGACGGGCCTGTACAGCCCATGGCCCTCGTTCGGGTTGTGCACCACACTCCTATTTCCACTTCCACTTCCGTCTGGGGGCGCTTCGGCAGCCGCATCCTCCGCCTTCGCAGGCGCCCGCGTGACAGCGTCCACCAGCCTATCCAGCACGTCCTCATCGACGGCCAGCGCGCCCGCCTTGTCCCCCGTCTGCTCTACGATCCTGCTTAGGGCCCGGCAGGACTCCTGCAGCTCCCCGACGTCCATGGCGACGATCATGTAATTGTACCACATGCGCCAGTTCTCGTAGCTGAACCGGAGACCTTGCTTAAGCGCTCGGAACGCGAGAAGCTTGTTCTCGAAGGAGATGCCGGGTGTGGGGAGGGCACCGTCGTCGGGGGTGGATTTGGGATAGGGAACCTGGGTTTCGGGAGCAGAGGGAAAGCAGATGAGGAGTCACATCAGTGAGAGAGTGTGTGCATTAGGTCCACTCACCACAGATACGTCCTTCTCCTCTAGAGCTATCGTTTTCCGCCCCCCTATCCGGAGGTACATGCTCGCGAGGTTGTTCCAACTCTCCCCATCCTCCTCATCGATCGCCACACAGCGCCCGAACGCGTTCTTCGCGCCCTCCCAGTCCTCCACACGCATGAACGCGCACCCGAGGATGAACCACGAGCGCGTCAGCAAAGGGTTGATCTTCACCGCTTTCTCAAGGCACCCGATCGCCTCCCTGTACTTCCCGCGGGCGAAGTACCACCCGCCCAAGGAGCGCACCGCGCGCCCGGACGTCTCCCCGGAGAGCGTCCACGCTTTCTCGTAGTGGGCCTGAGCGTTTGCGGGCTCGAGGTCGCCGAGGAGACACCAGAACTTTGCGTGCCGGGTGCCGTCCTCAAGGGCCCTGCGGCGCGTCGACGTGCCCACCTTTCCCCGCGCGACGACCGCGTCCGCTTCGGCCTTGCGCCCCTCGAGCAGGTCGCGCACGATCGTGATGCCCCGCTCCGGCTTCTCCAGCGCCCCATAGCACTTGACGACCTCCTCCCACATCTCCATCCGCTCGAATATCTCCAGTGCGGACTTGATCACCCCCAGGCTGAGGAACCGCTGTGCGAGTTCTTTTTCCATCTCCCACCGGCTGGGAAGGGGGATGGAGTGGAAGTAGAGCAGGCGCTCGGAGGGGGCTGAGTCGGCGGTGGGCATCTGGTCTATTAGTGCTTGTAGTTGGAAGGTGGAGCGCTCTACGGTGCGCGTGCGGGACGACTCGAGGCGCGAGCGGAGGAGCAGTGCCATCGTGTGCACCGACCAGTTCCGCGGGTGGGAGATCACACGCGCGACGTACGGCGCCATCTGCTCGGCGGTGAGCCCGTGTGCGGGGGACGTGTTCCGCACATTCAGGCAGAGCGATAGGAGGATGCACTGGTCGAGCGGGTGGAGGGGCGGCTGCGACGAAGGGTCGATGTGACTCAGACGCGAGCTCGACCCTGCAGGATGCGACGATGTGAACTCTGTTTGCTCCAGCAGCGTGTCGTCGTTGAGGGCCATCGTCTCCGGAACGTTGGCGTCGGTCGTGTCTGGCCCTGCGCGAGCATCGGGCGTTTGGGATGATTCATCCTGCTTGATGTTGTTGGACGCTTCTCCCGCCGAATCATCGTCCTTCAATTGACTCTCGGCCAGCAGAACGAGCTGGCTGAGCTCGTTCACCTGGAACTTCGTCCGCTTCCCGAGGGCTCCGGTGAGTTCGTATTCCAGACCCGTCGATCTTGCGGCTTTGATAAAGTCTTCCTTTGCCAATTTATCTTGCGAAAAGTGGTGTTCGAGGAGCCCAAGCTCCAAGTGCAGCCGTCCAGCGAGATCAGGCTCGCTTGCTAGTGTGGAACCCAATGGTTCGAGCAACGCCCGGAAGTCTTCGGGCGTTATTACAGGTTCATCGAGGATTTGCTGATGGACTTTGGCCACGCGGAGTCTCCACCACGATATCGATTGGATGTGGTTGTACGTCAACCCCACGAGAAGCTGCGACAATCTCAGAAAAGCAGGGTCTTTCACAAGGTGGTATGCGGGCTCGCCGCCATAGGCTAGTTCTGTGATAGCTTTCGCGTGGAGTGATTCTTCTGTCCATGAACTTGTTCCATCGGAATCGCCCGTCAGAAGATCCAGAGGACGAATACCCAGGTCAGGGCCTGTCCAGTTGGCTTGCACGAATGCGTGCAAACAGGCAATGGCTAGTGTTAACCGCACTAGCTCCTGTTCGAGGGAGTCGGAGCCAGGATGTATTGATAGATCCAGTAAACCTTTGAATGGAAGATCCAAGTCGCGAGAGATTGGTCGAAAAAGTGTGCGAGCCTGCGAAGATGTGAGCGCGTCCCGAAAGCGACATTCCACGACAAGTTTTGCAAGATCTGTTGCGGGCGCTGTTGTTTCTGATATTTGAGCATCCCATTTACCTCTCAAGAAAGACTTTTCGACCAAAGGAAGAGACGCAGCGGCCATTTCTCGAGATCTTGTAAGGTGTGTAATCAAAAGTTCACTTCGGGAAGATTTCGAGACTGATGTCAAGCACGTGCCGACCCCAATCGATCAGCTGCCTGAAAAGGAAAATCCTCGTTCAGAAATTCGGTTCGGCGGCGTCAGAGCCTAGACTCCGCCTCGACCACCAATGCCCACTCTCGGAAATATTCCGTTTGTGCGAATTTATGTAACCGAATGCCCCTGGAAAACGTGGAGGTTGACGTTGATGTCATTTGTGTACACAACTCTACTTGTTACTGGCAGATTTCATTTTCTGGCCTGGCCGGCGAGACGATGGCTGCAGGACGTCAATCGCGCACGATCTACCGCCAATGGCGACGCATGAGAGAGTTTATCCAAGCGGAAATAATCGCAAGGGTCGAGAACTCGCGGAACTCCGTGTCCGCAAAAGACCAAGTAAGAGGCCCGCTCGGTTTCCAAACCATATGAAAACACCCCCAACAATTGGATGGAGTACGCAAGTCGGTTCGCCTTTTCGATCAGCTGATAATGCTAATGGCTAAGAGTCCATGTTGGGTTTTTCTTCCTTATCTGCTTACAACCTCCTACGTCGGCTTCTTCAATTACAGTTTTTCTCTTACCAAGACCAGGGCATGTGTTGTAGACCAGGTAACCCCGGTCCGACTCCCTCACGCCTCTACGACCTTCTACTACGTGAAAACCCAAAGAGAAGTTGTCCGGTATATCGGGGGATTGCTCTTGCGTTGTCGGAATAATTGGAACGGATTTACATCAGCTTACAGCGGGTACGATTTATCAGGGTCTCGGCCAGCTCATTCACTACGAATATATTTTATCGATGGGTCCGATACCGCCTCGTTTCCTTCTACACGAAATTGGAAGATAAAGTTCCGCAGATTAGTAAAACGCATACTCTAATTTTCAGGGCTCGAGGAACACGACGCGTAGGTGTCAGTTGTCTTTGGATCCCTTTTGAATAGAAGAACGAACTTTATTCTGTAACCCCATGTTTCAAGTCCTGCCGACCAGATTGATAACAGGGGCCGTGGACTATAGCCGAGGTGTATGAAGAACGGCATCAACCTCGTGTTGCCCGTCAGTTCAGTGAAATGAAAGCAGACGGGTTTGGGGTACCGAACGTCGCACTGAGATTGTGTTAATCCTGCGGAGGTAATTGAGTCGTATGTCCTTCAATACAACTTACTTCCGTGCTGTCACAGTTAGTATTGAGTGCAATGTGAGATTGAAGGCTGTAACTGTAAAAGCCTCGTTGACACCCGAAGGCCGAGAGGCCACCTGCTTTCTGAATTTGTTTCTCTTCAACGCCCGTCCACGGGATGTCAGACCTTGGAATTTACTTCAACCTTCTGAATTCGATCCTTCACGGAGGAGCGATTGCAAATAACTCAGACCATGAATAAGCACGCCTGCCGGTGGGGTGAAATCTAGACCTTCGGTGCCCATTTTAGGGTGAAAACGTACTCAGAGTTATGTTAACTCCTCTCAAGTCAGTGGGGCAAATGAAGTCATATAGCCCCCGTCCGTACACCATCGCCCAAATTATGACCTTGGCGTCGGAAAGCCATCTTTCTCTTGTCGCCAGGAGATACCGGGGGATACGGCGTTCATGGGAAGAGAAAACCCTAGATCTCACAAAACATCGTATTTCTGGAATACTGGCGTTCCCTGAATACCGAGAATTAAATACCTCTCACCTCGTGGTTGCATCGAGGATAAGCGCCGAGTTCAGTTCAGATGACTGTGAGATTGTGAGATCAAGAGAAGATTTAAACATACATAGAGCGAGAGAAAAAAGGCTTTACTTATTTACCGTCTTTAATTATATCTCTGCTGCGCGTGTTGGCGTAAGCAACGCGGACGAGCAGACAAAGGAGTTGGGAGTGGAGTCTCGTTCGGTCCGACCGGTCCGCAACTCCGTCGCTCAGCCTGGATCCAAATAAGGAAAATATTTTGGTCCTTCTCTCTCGTCCATCACGATGACGGAACCGCGGCTCAGCACGGTCTTCGACTACTCGGACCTACGGCTACACCCCAATGGAAGGCGCGTGTGGCAACAGGACGCGAACTTACGACCCAAAATCGCCAAAGTCGCGGTACAGACTGGACGCTCGAACTGGATCGCGCGAGATGCGGGTGGCGTAAGCGATGTGAAGAAGTTCAGACGGATACCAAAGCCGAAGAACCCTTTCGCGGAGGTGAACGCGCAGGAGGAGGAACAGGGGGAGGTGTTTGAGGGGGTCGAAGAGGAGGATGAGGAAGTGGAAGTGGAGCAGGAGGCTACGGAAGAGAACGAAGAGCAAGGAGAACAAGACACGGGTGTTGGCCAGAAACGAAAACGGAAGAGAATCGACCAACAGAAAGGCAAACGCCAGAGATTCATGGCGTACGACACGTATTTGGCCAGTGAAGATTACTTTCCTACACCTGCGCCTCCGCCCGCCGAGTCAGATGCCGTTGCACGTCCATCTACTACTCCAAACTTCGTCCTGCCTGAGCCATCTGGGGTGCGAAATCACATTTCTTTCCCGCGATTCTGACCTGACATACAACTCCATATAGGATCTTCTAAAGTGTATACATCGCTACGCCTCAGAATATTACACAGAACGCGGCCAGCTGCTGAATAGCTCGCGATCGTACCGTATAGAGCAGCGAGCGAAGCAGCATCAACGTCATCAGCAACAACGGGAGGAAGGTAGGACGCCATCGCCATCGCCCTCTGAGAGCTCTAGCTCCAGCGGCTCTGAGTTGGATAGTGAGTCGGGTAGCGACTCGGATGAAGATTACGAAGAGGGGGAAGGAGCCGAAAGCAACACAAAAAAAGGTAAGGGGAAGGGGAAAGGCAAAGGGAAGGCAAAGGCGAAAGGAAAGGGAAAACGGAAGAGGAAAACGAAGCGCAGAGGACAGAGCAAGCTCTATGTCGATATGTACAAGGTGTTCGATGGCTCTGCTCTTCTTGCACTGGGTTAGTTTCATCATCTTTGTCTGCAAGCCATCTCGTCTGACTTCTGTCTCTGGCTTATAGGCATGCTTGTTCAAGAGCATATAGCTGAGCTCCTTGCGTCTCAATCACTCGCGAACTGGGAAGAAGAGTTTCGAAACGCCTACGGCGAGGACGGGGATGAAGATTCTCTGGAAGAAGAGGTGGAAGACTCAGGACCTGAAGATGTTGATCGTGATAACGATGAAAACGCCGCCGGACGCGACACGGACCAGCGTGTCGAAGGAAAGAAGACGGCGCAGGAAGACCCGGAAAAACAAGAACAGGATGGAGAAGACGACGAAGACGATAAACATGAAGACATGAAACTCGAACTCGAAGAAGACACGAGCGAAGACGAGGACGATCTTGCAACCACAGTTCCTTCAAGTCACGATCAAGCTAGAATCACCGCCACTGCTGACCGCCTCCATGTTCATCAGGACGATCCTCTAGGACCTGCTCCTATTTCCAAGCTGGCTGCCTCCGACGATTCCCCTGCCGACAAGGGCGAGGACGGATCTGAGGACGGCGAAGACAGCAGCGACCTCGACTCCATGATCGAAAACAGTGCAGACGGGGACGATCTTTCTGAGCGCTCAACAGACACGGCGGACTCGGACGCGGAAGGCGAGTTCAGCTGATTCATTTCATTTACTGCTTGTCATTCGCGCGTCTCGGCGAACGCAGCTATCGCCTTCGGATCTACCAGGCCCAGAATCCACTCCTTTTGACCAGGAAGCCTCCTGTCTCTTGGTTCTTGGAGAACTTGCCGTGCTCGTGGTTTTCGATGCCAATGCTGTACCATACTTGGAGGTCACTTTGCATGTTCCATACCATACGCTCCTCGGTTCACGGGTCCTCAACGTTGATCGGATTCATCTTATGCCGTATGCTATTCAAGTTTCTGGTCCTACCTGTGCTATAAATGCGATGGCACTCCGGGAGGTAGGACACCGGAGAATCTATAGGTGTAGTATCATTCCAGGAGTTTTCTGTTTCTCGACAGTGAGTTTTTCGTTATGATTTTTCGCACCCTCGCACTGATAGAGACGGCTCAAGGGTTTTCTGTTGAATTTTCAACGAGTTGAACAGGGATCTGGAGGAAGATTTCCACCCTTGTAGGCGAAACCTCGGAGGACATCTCTGCGTTTCGTGTTCGCCGTCGTGTGCCTCTTTGTACATAATGGCCGAGGTTACATCTTGTGATTCTTGGGCAGTTGGCGACCTCCAGATGACCACGATGGGCGGTGGTAGTCGAACAAGATCCAACGGAGATGTAGAATGCCCAATTTGTAGGGGTGTAATATTAGGATTAGCACGCAGTGTAAATGAAGGTACAAAAGTAAATGCCTATGAAGCAGGGGCAGTAATCGCAGGGGATTCAGCAGCAGCACCCTCGATATTCTTCTTATGCTTTTCCCGGAGCTTCAGGAGTGTCTGCGACGTCGTCGGATGCTTGGGGTCGAAGTTAGGTGGGATGGTGCCGTCCTCGAAGCTCCGCATGATGTTTGCACCTAGGATGCCCATGCGGTAGGATGGAAAGACTTTGAGACGCTCTAAGCGGCGTTCTCGCAGTTTGTTTTTGGGTAACATGCCGGAGACGGCCTTGCGAATGATCTGGTCGGCCATGAACATGAACACGAGAATGGGTTTGCTCAGGTGGTTTTCTCGTACCTCGTCTGGGTGCCTCTCTTTCATGGTCTTGTAAGGTGTCTCCTTCAAACCTCCAGGGTACATCGTGTGCTTGCGATAGAGCAGTTGCTCCTCTTTCCGTCCAGTGACCTTCACCTTTCTCGAATTTGTGACAATGACATAGTCCCCGCAGTCCACTGCGTTTCGAGTCAATACACGCATAGAAACAGAAGGCTATGGTCGCGCACCACTGGGGTCATATATCGGCTTATGCTTGCCCATCAGCACCAACGCTATCCGTTCCGCAAGTTTCCCAAGAACACGGTCGCTTGCATCGACATGGTGCCAGACTCTGGCGTATGCAAGTGCGGTCTATAGTCGGACTCGTCAGTATGGAGCATAAACTAGTATTTTGCGGTGACGTACGTTACCAACGGCTTGCGACATGGCTCGAGGACGACGTGAACGATGACGAGCTCAGAAATTTCGTCGTTCTGGGAAAGAATTTCCCACGAAAGGAGACGAACCTGCCTTTTCCTATTTGGGACGTTCTCTCATCTCCCAACAACCATGCATTTTGCGCAGAACATGTCGCCTGACTACTCCTCTGTATCCAGAATCAACTTGGGCGCAATTCTGAACTATTTAGCTAGAGGTACCCGCACATGCAGCCGCTTTTCGTCCTCCGACAATCCCCATCACGGTCAGACCCCCATCAGAGAAACTGATTGAACCCAAAAGCCCACTCCGTTTGGCCATTTGTAAGTCAAGTCTCCTGTAAAAGCTGGAAGGACCTCGCGACTTTCAATCTTCGATAAACCGCTTACCAACCATGTTCTTTGGGGGCAGCTAGAGTGGACATTTCGACGGCGTTCTCGGATCCCTTTAACAGCTAGCCAGTGTCTGGAACCCTTCAGCTGACCTGGATGAAAGGATAATCGGAGCTTCTCTCTTTGCAGCTATCCCCAATGCGCTGTATGGATTGGTTCGTCTCGAGGCTCCAGCTTATGGGCTGCGGTGTTCTGGGAACTGAGAGCTGCTTCTTCTACGGAACCGGCGGTTGAATAGAAATGCTTTGGACACACCAACTTCCTGATATCCCATTGAGAGGTACCTATTTCCGACTTCGCCTGCTCGTATGGGCATCAGGGCCTTGTTGTGTTACCTCGTGTCGGTTTCACGGCTAGCTTCACAGCTGGCTCTTTCTCCAGGACAACTGCTTCAGCTATGATACTTGCACCAAGCTTCAACATATCGAAGACGCCACTACTGAGACTTTTACAACCCATCACCTAAGCTCAAGTATGGAAGCCTTGTCTGCGTCTATGAAATACCCTAAAGTCGAACACGATCACAATCTCCGCCATTCGAGATGCTCAAGGGTGCTTCTTATCAATTTCAAATTTCTAAGAACTCTTGTTTATCTTGAACCTTCTCCTCGATGAAATTGGGGATAGTTACTGTGTCCCCGACATGCCCAGTAATTTGAACCTCTCATTAGCTCTGGAACTCGCCTGCCTTTCGGAGATCAAAATTCGCCACTCTGGCTCCAGCACCATTACTCAGTATAGAGTTGCAAGAGAAGGAGAAGGCTAACGACGGATTCGGTGGACGTCGTGTTTCCAGACAGTCCCGAGTACAGAAAGCAATAACTAAACAGACGGTGAGTCCTACGACCTCTCAGAACGTCGCTCTAAAGGGGAATGCTCACAACTGGCGTCAATTAATAGATCTTCCTTCCCAGAGTCGCAAAAAAAGTGGCCAACCCCCAACAAGTAAATCCGTCAACTGTTTCATCTTCCCCCTTCTTATTATATCATTAATACCAGCGTCCTACCGGCGAGCCCAATTTATTATTCGGTATAGAGACTCCTTTCTGATGCCTGCTCCAGAGCCATATCCAGAACACCATCATTCTGTTCCACTTCGACGACAGACGAGTACGGCAGCTTTGTCATGCCACATAGCAAGCCTGCAGATAAGAAGTTCGTCTGGTTCGACGTGCTTCCTTTTACCGCCTCGTGGATTTGCCCAGGTCCACGGATATTTTAGTCTGTGCGACCGTCGTGCTTATTCCATTTCTACCAAGAATATTCCTAGGCATACGTACACTGGTAGATGGCAAGAGACGAGCCACCGTTCGAGCCACCTGTTTAGGTGGGTTGTTCGACTTTGTGCCCGGTTTTGTCGTGGTTTTCTTACCAACACAAACACTTCTCCCGCCGCAGCGCCACGTTCTCTTTGTGTCCACTAGAGACGCCTCCTGGTCCATTTCGTCCCCAAGCAGGATGACATCTTGATAGGCAGTGCTCACGACGACGAGACCTCGGTGTATCAAGTCAATCAAGGCAGCCTTTCCTTCAACGTTCGGCAATCAACGATGTTATCCACACAGAGTCGCGGTAATTCCCCTCAAATATGCAATGACTCCTCAATCGATTGGACAGACCGTGAACTCTCGGCCGACACGTCCTCCAGGACAAGAATGAAGTTTCCGACAGACAAGCATGCGAACGACGTACGCGCCTGGCGAGTGAGAAATTCGGTAGAAACCGTTTTCTTTGTTGTTTAGAGGGCTTGCTCTAATCTCCTTTGATCCTGGTATCTTTGGGGGAAATTCATCGCCCTTACGATTTCCACACGTCGGCTCATAGCTCTCCCAGAGGTGTGGAGCGACACATCGCTGATCGCTTCCCGTTTGCCTTCTCACCTTCATAATCCACCCTTGACCCACCGTAAGTACGACGGCCGATGATTCGACGGCCAGTACAGTTGCCATACAGGTGACAACGCCCTTGCCGTCATTTGTGATCAGCCGCCACGCCCAACGGGTCTACAAACCAAGCCTGCCAAACCTTACCGCTAAACGGAGTTGCGGCGCCAGAGACCGGCAAATTCAATGGTGTGTGAATCAACACCAGCCTGCTTAAATGACCTAATAATCGCAGCGTAACAGCGCTGGGTTCTCGAAACAGGGTTGAATGTATTCAGAATTTGACGTAAGACTTTTGGGGACGAGTTCGTGATCAGAGCACTTTACATAAGGGTACTCGAGCCACGTTTAGCGCCTTAGGAGCCCCGCGTGTGAACTGAAGTGCAAGTTTGGGAGCAAGTGGGCTTTCCTCCAGAGGCGCCTATATGGAGAATTTGAACTGGATCGCTCGTGGAGAGGCGCCTTTCCCATGGTCAGATCATAGCAATTCATTTCCGGTGTCCCTACCTCTATTATATTCTGACATGATCTGAACTTAATGTCCGTATCTCCCGGTAAATAGGAGAAAGCAACGCGGCAAGGATCTCCCCCTCCTCGTGACCTTGAATTCATGATTGAAAGTTGATAAAAGCCATTTTAGTTCAGAGATCACAGAGGAGGAAGGAGAAATAAAGATAAATACGAGACGAGAATAACTGGTATCTAAATCATAGTGAACGATGGAGTATATTCCGGCTGTAAGGAAGGGTTAGAGTGGCCTAGTCAGCAATTTAGCATGGTAACGCTAAAAATATCGTGTAATGGACCGTCCACCATCGATTGACAGTTCGACTCAGATATATCGGATCTTCAGACAGACGATATTTAGAACATGTTTTTCCTGCTTTGCGCTGACTCAAGAGACAATATTCAAGGGCAGGCATCCTAAGGTATTTAGACCATACAGTATACTTCAGGGTGTACTGAGTCTTTAGGCACGATAGCAACACAACAACCCCAAGTTTAATCCCAACGAGAGATAAGAACCATTTTCGACGTTAGATGGTAAGAAACGACTGGGATTAAAAAGAAGAACCCAGCAATCCGACAAAAGATGGCGCATTGTGACATTTCAGGATATAATTACCTTTTTGAGATTGAGACTGTGCCGGGCCGGGACCATAAAGCTCTGCTATTTTCACTCTGGACGAACCTTAGCAGAAAAAAAATACAAGGAAGACTACTGCTGCTATAATGAAACCGACTCCCATCCTTACCACACGAAAATGCCAGCATCTCGCGACACAAGCTTGAACGCGGGCAGCGCAGCTCCAAAGCGAGCTTTCATCGACCGCAACGCAGCCTCTAGCCTTTGAGCCGCCCTTCACTCCGGACTCTATGGTCCAAGAATAATCCCGTGCTTCCTGGCTCGCTTCGTAATGCTCCTTTCTTCTTCCTAAGACTCTTGTACTTCTCCTTAAGGTCCTTCCGCCTCTGCCCGCTCTTCGCCACGAACCAGACGGCGTAATGGTCGCTCGGGTGCGTCGCACCCAGCAAATCAGGTAGGTGGACACTGGACAGGTAGGAACTCCGGAGGCGGTGCTTGCGGATCCGGTGGGTCGATCCCGACAAGCCGAGTGAGACGATTGCCAGTGCTGGTGCCGGTGCTATCTCTTGGGACTGGTCACCAGGGCACCCGCAGCGAATATATGGATATAGATGCGGTCCTTCCAGGTGCGATACGTATCGTCGAATGCAGACGAGAGACGGAGCCTCTCGCTCTTGTCGTGGTCGATGAAGTGCATAACGTAAGGCCATACTATGCATGCAGTCCGCCGACTCCCGACTCATATTTTTGTGAAGTGGAGTTCGAACTCTTTCAATAATTGGAATCCGAGCCTCATGGTACAGTCCTCCACATACCTGGCATGTTCATAATGCCCAAACGATGCTGGTTTGAGAGACAGCAGGCAGCTGCCGTCGACAGAGTCTGCTCTGGGCCTCTGACAGATGTCATTAGGCATTTATTTCGAAGGAACATAAATTACATACTGAATATTAATCCTGTTAGACGTGGGTATAAGTTGGGCATCGCAGCGTTCAGCCCCTAGAGGAGTGCGTATGCTGGAGAAGGGAGCCTAAGGGAGCGTTTCGCTGATTAAGGGACTACATTAATTACATAAGCAGGTGCAAAATCCCACGGCTAACGCGCACACGTGATAGGTACCCCATCACGTCTGTCACGCGACTGTGACAGCTCGCCTTTAAACCACACCAACACTTCTCCAGGATCGGACACCGTTCACGCAACATTATCTTGATAATTTGGTACTCCAAACAGCTTTTGAGTGACATAGGTGTCCCATTGCTCCTTATTCACTCGGACGGAAAGTGGCCCAGGGCTGAGTGGCATACCTACCGGGCCACAGTTTTCTACATACTTAAACCAAGCGTCGTACTTTTGGTAAGTGTATCTCATACCATGGCTTCTTCCTCTGCTCCAGACAAATTGATTCCAAAGTTTGCAACAACAGGATCTCCCGTTAAAAGGAACCAACAAGGCTCCGCTCGCTTCTCGCCATTCACGAAGAGTGCAAGAGAAAAGCAAGGGCTGATGGCTGCTGAGCTCACTGGCGAATGGGTTGGACCCATGCAAGCTAGATCGTTTCTCGACAAGTTACTTCCCCTCACGACGGGTCCGGCACCGAAGTTTAACGACCGCCATTTCTACAATATGCCATGTACGGGCATCGAGAAAGACTTATACACGCCTTTTGTGAGACTTCTCTCTTTACTACTCTGGCCTCGGTTGACGTATGACTTGCTGTAGATACGAATGGTCAACCAAGCCTCTGTGCTTCCCGGATTCAAACTCATCAACGTCGCAGACCGTCCGATGGGACATCGGTGAAAGGGAAGAAGAACCATCCGGACATCGCCCTCTACGAAAAGGACGTCAACACAAAGGTCAACAAACTGCAGTACGAACGGCTCGAGTGCTTCCTGGAGCTCAAGACTCTCGATAAGCTCCAGGATCCCTTCCAGGACCCTTCAAGCAAGACTACACAATATTCGCTCGAGTCGACAACCAAAGGTGGCACGCTCTGTAGAGGTCAGATCGCTGGGTACGCTGCGCAGTGGTGTGCTAGGCAGCATCGGACGCATGGGTTTTCAGTTTGGATCGGCGGCTACTGGGTGCGCTTGATTCGTTTTGACCGCACTGGTGGCACTGTTTCAGAGAGGTTCGACATCCGTACACAAGGCGGGCTTTTGCTGGAATTCTTCTGGCGCCTAACCCACCTCACACGCGCCCAACGCGGCTACGACACGACGATCCGGGTAGCAACCCCGGCCGAAGAGGCACTGGCGAAGGAGGAGCTTGCGAGGTGGAAGCCGGAGAAGGAACGGCCTGTCGTCGTCATGCAGGTTCCAAACGGAGATGCGTTCCGTGAAGTCATTGCTTGGGGTTCGATGGCGGAGCCTGAGTCTTTGACTGGACGTGCAACTCGAGGTTATCCGGTCTGGGATAAGGAGCTCAAGAGGGTGGTCTTCCTCAAGGATGCCTGGCGCTCTGACGAAGACGACATGGAGAAGGAGACCGTCACTCTCTCCAAGCTCAACGCCGCCAAAGTTCAGTTTGTTCCTAAACTCATATGTGGAGACGATTTGCCTGGTCAAGCCACCGAAACGCATGCACTTGCAGCAGAAGAATGGAATCTGGGAGCACAGCCTGAAGACCTCGTCCCTCGGGTCCACATTCGCTTTACAGAAGATTTCATTGGAGTCGATATGTGCAACTTTACCTCGTCGAAACAGTTCCTTCAAGTCGTTTTCGACGCTTTCACAGGTATGGTATGGTCTTCGATTAATTGATTGAGAATTGCTGATCGTTGGTGATTAGCCCATCGCGAAGCGTTCGAAAAATGTGGCATTCTTCATCGCGACATCAGCGGTGGCAATATCATGCTCGACGAGAACGGTCGTGGTATCCTCAACGATTGGGACCTTGCTCGAACCGTAGCGGAAATCGAGAAAGGGGCGAGGCAACGACATCGATCTGTACGTATCCTTTCATAGCAACTATATCCTGCCCTTACTGACCATCTTCTATTAGGGTACTTGGCAGTTCATGTCACACACCTTGCTCGCCAACGTCAAGAAATTGCACAAGCTGCAAGACGACCTCGAATCTTTCGTTTGGCTGGTGCTTTATTACATTCTCCACTTTATGGAGCATTCCAAGCTTGGAGACCTCGAGTCGATCGCAGCGAGCATCTTCGAGCAAAATAGTGAACACAAAGACGGGTCGGTTACAGGTGGAGACGGCAAGTTAGCCGTCATTTCGAATCGGGGTCACGTCGGCGACGACTTCAAGGTCGTTGGCAACGACCCACTTACGACGTGGATCGACGAGGCACTGTGCTCAATCGATTTTTGGTACGGCCATCACAAGATCGTCCAAACACTCCAGCAGCAGGCGTCCATCCCTGGGATGGCTGCCATCCTCAAGATGCTCCCCGACGAGAAGAGCCAGCCACTCTATGACCACCGCGCATTTGTTAAGTACTTCGAAACCGCGTTGGCGCGCAAAGACTGGCCCAAGAATGACCCTGCAGTTCCCCGATTCGAGATGAAGAAGCGTAGGCGCGACGATGACAACGATGAGGGGCTGGAGGACAGTCTGAGTCGAAGAAGTTGAGGACGATTGCATATGCCTGCAGCGTCACAGCCTAACATGCCCGTGCGACGACAATCAGCCCGACTGCTGAAGCAGATTGCCGAGCGTGAATCATTGTCGTAGCTTTTGGACTGGAGACGTATTATTTAAAATAGTATTTATTCGCCTGTCTTTTGTTTTTATTTATTGCCCTTTTTTTGAATTCGCAGAGGTTCTATTTAAGCTTGGCCATAAACCGCTGTTTTGTAGCTGACTTAAGCTTGCCAATAGGGAGGTTCTTTTGTAGGGTCTTCGTGAGTTGTGCTTTGGGACTTGATCCAGCAGTTGAATGCCTTTTTTGCCTCGCTGTCCGCCTTTTCGTTGCCTTCGATCCTGAAGTGCTTGCCTGTCTGCTATCAGGCCTCATCTAAAATATGCAAGTGCCTCCCATTAACGATTGGATTAAAAATACAAGATTCCTACAAGTCAGGTCTTCATCCCTGAGTTCTGTGCATCTGGAGAGCGTGCAATATTCAACTTCCACCGCCGCCGCCACATCCGCCTCCTCCGCCTCCACCTCCTAATTTCAGAAATGTCAGGACTGCAAATAATAGTACCAAGGGAGAGCGCTTACCACAACCACCGCCCCCTCCAGCGCTGCCCCCACACCCACCGCCACACCCACCTCCGCAGCCGCCTCCGCCGCACTGGCGAAAATGAAGGTTCATGAGTGTCCAGCAACACATCGCGAGTCAAGGACCACTTACCCCACCGCCGCAGCCTCCAGCTCCAGTGACGTGTATTCCACCAACAGCCACACATCCCCCCACAACTCCTGCAGCGAAAAAGATGGGCACGGGCACCAAGAAAGCCGCACCGTACCAGTAGAAGTTATTGTCCTTCTTGTCTTTCGTGTTCGAAGCACCATTGGTACTTTCCCCTGGGACACGAGGAAGGTGCGGCCCATTCAGCATCGGGGCGGCCTCGCCTTCCTGCTTCATCGCCTTCTTCGCTGCACTCCGTGCCTCTTTCTCCTTCTTCCTCCTCAGGTTCTCATACTGAGTGCTCATGTTCCTGTGCATCGCCTCGCTCTTCGCTGCGAACCGGACAGCGTTGTGGTCGCTCGGGTGCGTCGCGCTCAGCAAGTCCGGGCGGTCGTAAGGGAGGAGGTGCAACGGCCCCTGCGTGTTGGGCGCATATATGCCCACGAGCCGCGAGAGGCGCTTGCCAATGCTGTCGCCTGCACCCGGGGCGGGGCACCCGCAGTGTGTGTAGGGCACACCGAAGCGGTCCTTCCACGCCCGGTAGGTGATGTCGAAGGCGGAGGAGAGACGAAGCCCCTCGACTTTGTCGTCGTGGTCGATGAACCGCCCGATGCAGGCTTTGCAATCGGACTCGTACTTGGAGGGCATGAGTTGGTGCGTGTGCCAAACGAGATCGATATCGAGGGTTGGTACGAAGAAAGAGGCAAAAGAGGAGGCCATCAGGTCTAGGAAACTGGTAATCTACGAGTAAGGAAAGGTTCTTGTTGAGGATGTAGTGGAACACTTACGCATGGTACCGTGCCAGCGCGTGCTGGAGTGCGAGTTCGTCGCTTGATCCGTCAAAGAAACCGGGCTTCGTCCATCCGAGGTCGTACATCTTCTGGACGAACAACCCTTGCCTCAGAACTGCTCCCACGAGCTCGACTGAGTATATCTTGTCATCATTGTAGGCACTTAGGATCTTAGAGTTCCTTCAAGACTATCAATGCATCGTACTATATATGATAGATGTAAGGCTTACAATCGTGACGCCGGTCCTATGATCGTCCTAAGCTTGGACATCGAAAAGTTGGTGTACCTCATGATGGAATCCGACACTTCCTTGAGATAAGTGGGAGTTCCATACGGGGGGTCCGGTATGAGCCTGAATGGTTTGCCTTTGGTTACGAACTTCTCTTTAATTTTCTTTGCGGTCGTAGGATCAGAACTGGAGGAAGGGTTGAATATGGTTCCACTGTGTTCGGGTTGATTTAACATGATTGTCTCATCGTTTGGGGTGGACGAAACGTACGGAAGAGATGCTGGCGGTATGGCTGCGAGGTCGTCCGCGACCTTACGGAGGGCCATTGTTTCCTTCGTTATATCCCCAATTCCACAATACTTGGGGCACATTGCCGCGAACTTCTGCTGCAGGTAACCTGTGCCGAGCTGATTCATAAGTTCTACAGAGGCAATCTTGAGCACAGGGCAACAGCGAAAATCGATGAATACGAACCGACTTCGACAGGCCACTTGCAGAAAGGACAAGCGACCCTCTTCGCAGTCACCGAGTTCATGTAGTCGATGTAGTCAAACTTGACGGATGTTCTAGAGTTCCAGAAGTCGAGTCGCGCCTTGGAAGGAATTCCTGAAAGCAAGGTTTGGAATCGTCCTCTCTATTGGGTCGACCTGTTAGGAAGAATGTTCTTCTTGCGAAAAACTAGTACGACTTACGAGACCGTTTGTGAAATGAAGTTCGAACTCTTTCAAGATCTTGCATTCGGATTTCACGAGACAATCCTCGGCGTACCAACGCGGATTCAACATATATGCGTGCCATACCTAGCGAAGACTTCGATGTCAGAAAATGCTCGAAAGAACAAATGCGTTGAAACACACCATGAGAACGTCCAACGGTGGTAGAACAATATCCGTATCCTTTCCAGGGTCATCAGCCTTTAATCCTCGGCACCAGGTGTCAAATCTACAGTAGTGAAATCAATCTGCAAGAATAGGGCCGGGAACATTGATAGATTACTGACCGTTCCACTGCTAAAGCCACAAACCAACCCCACTTGCGATCTTCAGACAGAGGTGCATTCGGTGCTCGGACATCGGCAGACAGGATACGCTTCTTCAGCTCGGCGAACGCATTGAGGAGTAGAAGGTGCCCTTTGATCTCCTGGATGTTGACCAATGGCGCCGTCGTTCGCGAAGATCCAATGACAAACTGGGTGGGTACCGTGTAGACAGGAGGCAGAACGTCGGCCTCTTCAACAGGTCCACTCGCTGAGGGTACGTTGTAGGCCGGTGGTGCAGTTGTGGCCATATGGGAGGAGATGAGATGAACGACGTCCACTTGAAAGGCTTTATGTGATTCTCAGCTCGGGGCGATACGAACGAGGTACCCCTGTCCACATGACCATGCTGTCAACAATTCCGAGCTATTATTATACAAGGTAGATGATGATCAATGGTCATTTGCAACGTCCCGGGGGGGAAATGCTACTTACTCTGGACCACACGTATCAAGCTCCCAGAACTCCTGCCTTCATGACCACGGAAGGGAGGAAAATGCCCAATTCCGCAGCAGCTGGCGATAGATGCCATAGGTTTATCTTATAGAAATGCTGCACATGGCTGCCCCGCAGCGGCTGCCTATCCACGTTTGAAGGTTTGCGGTTCAACAAGGATCAAAATGGGGGAGGGGGCTCGATGCAAATAATTGAGTTCCTTCGTTATACGATTCTTCATGACATCGGACGCGTTCAAGCTTTGGTCCTCATGGACGCTAAAATCAATGAAGTCCAAGCTGCGGAGGTGGGACAGACGTGGGAAATTATCTGTCATACATTCCCACCATTACATAATGGCTATCCTATCCTTGCTGCTACCATGCCCTCTCGCTCTGTCACCAATGCAAGCTGGAGGCACATGGTCGTGTGCCTCCGTTTATGGCTAATACCCGTCTGATCAGTCAGCAGAGGCATGCTATCAATTTAAAATCAAAGTTGTGAGACGTTACAGTAAATTGCTACATCTTAGGTGGAATTAATGGGAATTAGCTCTCCTTCCTGCAGTACTCGGTCGACTGCCAGTGGGTGAGTCGAAGGACCATTTCACCTCATCTCACCCTGGATGTCTGCTTATAATTCTATATTCAGTTGTACAGAAACCTCTTTTCCAATTGACCAGCACATTTATCAACGTTTCGAGGATCTTCTCGTTGCATATAGTCAACACCTGCGCTATGATTGTGGTGTTTGATTCTCACTGCTCTGGGTCCTTGGGAGGTTTGGAAAGACTCTTCGTGGTTGCCTCCATGCGGTCGACCACACTGGAAAGAGGCTTCTGACGTCATAACATTTGACATACTGTCGAGATGTTCAACCAGCGCCACACTTTCGTATCCTCCATCGGACCGTACATATGGCTTATTTCTGTGGGAGTGGCAAGCGACCACAAGACCTCAAGCAGCCTGGACCCCTTGCGTGGGGCTTGGGACCCACTGTGCGTTGTCCTGGGCTTTGTGCATGGCAACCAGACACCGAATGCCGCAAATCGGCAATTTTTTCTCCTCTCCGCCCGGGACGCGTTCTCGCAGGCCGCCGCTCCACCCAAGATTCAGCGAACGGCACGCTCCGACAGAAGTGCGGCGCGGTATGGCATTCGTGAGGTAATCCGTCGGACACCGGCTGAGGAGGCTTTTCATTGGTACCTTCTATTAACTATGGCCGATTCTGCCGCTCATGTTAGAGCACACCCCTGTTTTCGAACACGCCCATTTCTGGTGATGTTCGTTGGGTGCCTGTCTTCCTCTCATCTTCTTCGGAGAGATAGCGAGTTTCCTTGGCCACATATGACGACACCGAGCTTGATCGGCATTCAGATTAGACACGCCACTCACACGTGTGGGGGTTTGTGGGGCCGGAATGTGACAAATTTCGGCCCAACCGAACTCTTCTAAACGCCATGAGACTCTCCGGTTGCGCCTGCTTGGTCCCCCTTGCCTCCTGGACCGTTTCTTCCTTTCGACGACCGCATACACGAACGATTAACCGTCAGCAAATTTCGCGACCGGCTGAAAGACGACGCGTCCATGACTATCATTACTGCATCCGGATCGAGCGTTACGGAAATCCTGGAAGGCAAGATATTCCTTGGGAAGTAAGTCTGCTCGTCGTTATCATCGTCGAGGTGATTTCCTGATTCAACGACCCCCTTCAAGCCTGTCCGCCGCAATTTCTTCTGAGGAGAAGGCTAAACTGGGCATTACCCATATCGTTTCTGTCTGCCCGGACTACCCGTCCACTGGACCTCAGCATCTTCGTATCTCCGTTGAGGACTCGGAGTATGCAGACTTGTTGATCCATTTACCTGTTGCATGCCGGTTCATCGAGCGCGCGATAGAACAGGGTGGTCGAGTGCTAGTCCATTGTGTCATGGGTATCTCCCGCAGTACCACGGTCGTCGCAGCCTACTGTGAGTTCGATAATTCCCGCTCTATCGGCGGTTGACTCACGACTACTTCAGTGATGAAGACCAGGGGTATGACACCTCCCAATGCAATCCGATATCTCAAGCAAAGTGATTGGTTTCTCTTTTTGTGCACTTCGTAACCTAACATACTACACCCAGAACGACATCAGATCCATCCAAACTACGGATTCATCAAGCAGCTTGATGTCTTTGTCCAATGCGAATTCGATCCCTCGCCTTCTCACCCAAAATATCGGTCATGGAAACGGCGGCATCAACAGGACGTGACATATTTCTTGAACCATATGTCGGACACCATCTCTATTATTCCGGATAGGCTACTGCTCAGCAGGTGGGATATTTCTTGTGTTCTTTCAGCCTGCTTGGTACGAGCGAATTTATTTCTCCGACCACAGCTCCTTCCCCGAGGACCCCGACCAAGCCCACTCGTTGCTTTCCGACATAGGCATTACACACCTTATATCCCTGTCGCCTGCCCAAATACCCTCATTGGCTGTCTACTCTGGAGTAAGACACCATCAGTTCAAAATTAAGGACCAGTCCTCCGATGGTCTATTGTTCGCCCTGCCCGATATCTGCGCCTGCATCCGGGATGCCGTGGATCGTGGAGGCCTGGTTCTTATTTATAGCCAGAACGAGACAAGAGTTTGTACTGCAGCTTGTGCCTTCCGTAGGTGGCTTCCCTTGTTGGTCTTTTGTTTCTGCGACTGAAGACGCCTTAGTGATGTCAGCTATGCGATATTCGCCAAGTCGAGCGTTTAGCCTCCTCGAGGATGGTACGTTGTTTTTTGCCCTCACAGCACGAATGAAAAACGCCAACTAACGGTTTACGCATAGCCCTCCCTTTGTTCAACCCGACTCAAAACTTCTCGCGCAACCTTGAACTCTTCCATGCGTGTGGATACCACCCGACACCCAACCATCCTGTTGTCAAGGGACACCCCGCATCCCACAACCGCTCCTCGAGTGATTCAAAGACGAAAGATTTGGGCAAGGCTGCCACCAATATTTTGAGCGAAACTACCCTCGACCTGAGCGCTTTTGGCGACGCCTTGAGGTCGATTCAAGTTCAAACCACTACTCGATCTTTCGTCAGCGCGAGTTGACATTTAGCAGCATTAGATTCGACAAATTGTATATGTAGCATGTGCTGCATTTCTATGTCTGTATTGATACCCTCTTTTCCTTGCTTCCGTCCATCCCGACCCGCCAAGACCTTACGACCCAACTGGGGCAACGGGCCAACATCGAGTAACCGAATAGCCGAATTTGAAGCTTGCCTCTTGCAACCTACCACAAACCTTGTCAATTCCTCCACTCTGCAAATGCCCCCAAAGCTTGGTATTCAACGTCCAAATAATCGCCTGGAATACCACAGGCCGAAGATCCACTGGAATGAGGCCAAAATACCGCCTCTGAGCAACGAGTCGAAGAGGTGTTCATCCGCATGTGTTATTACCCCGCATTCAGGCGTACTGACTGTTCTGCACAGGTGCTTGCGGAACTTAGCTGCTTACAGGCTTCCGAAGCAACGTCTGAGCTACCCTCGATCGAAGTGTGCTGCTGTTCTCGTCGCGTTATTCGTTGGGAGGCATGGAGATCTCTACGTGCTACTGAATCGGTAGGTGTGTTGGTTGAAGGGACTAATTCAGACGAGCTATTTTGACGAGCGATCATTGCGCTGCAGGCGGTCGGCGAACCTTAGAACATACGCAGGCGACACGTCGTTACCTGGCGGAAAGATGGATCCAGAGGACAGAAACCTCGAGGATACTGCGGTGAGTTTTATACCCTGTGGAGAGCGCCTAGAGACCTCATTCTTTCGATCTAGCGTCGAGAAGCATTCGAAGAGGTCCGGAAGCCTGCCAGATGATAGAATTCCACCTCAACGCGTTTCAGTAGATTGGGCTACCTCGCGACCGAAGCAAAGTTCCTCTTCTATGCATCTTGGAACCTTTCCTCGCTGCCGAACTCATCGTCACTCCGTAGGTTTGCATACCCACTCCGTCCTTAACATTTCTTATATAAAGCAACAGTGTGGTTGTCCTGATCCTCGATAACACACTCCGAGTACGCGCACGTCGTCTATGAAGCAGATTTCTCTTAATTTCGATTAGCCAATTCTCAACTCGGATGAAGTGACGAGTCTCTTCTCCCACCCGCTGGTCTCATTCCTCAGCTCCAATTCGCCATATCCCTCCGAGCCAGACACGCTCGAGGTTCCATATCACACCTCTTTCGAGACCAAGTTCAGTGGACCACCTCATCAATCCTTCAGGGTGCACCAGTTCCTGACGGGGCGGGAGGCAGGAGGGATCAAACCTGTGTTTGGACTCACAGCGTACGTCTGTCGTCCTTCAGACTCTTGGATCCTCATCTCAGTCTATTGACTACAATAGCGGGATGTTGATTCAAACGGCTACGATTGGGTACGCTCGCCAACCCGATTTCGAGGTCAACCCTCCAAACGCAGCGACAACAGAGGAGCGGATAGCATGGGCTCTCTTGCATCGGAAGGTGTTCCAAGAAGCTTGCGAGAAAGAAGGCGTCGACGTCAGCGCCGCACAACGAATTGTCGACAACTTTCTGAAGAGGTTGCAGGAAAGAGAGCGGAAGCAGGAGGAAAAGGAGCGCAAGAGGGAGCTGAAGAAGCGGCAGAATAAACTCTGATCTCCTAGAGCCTTCTGTTGGCGACATTGTTGAACCTTATGTCCGTAATGCCCATTCTTGACGTCCACACCCCATCTGAATAACGCAGGAATCCATCCATTAACCGGCTTGCAGTGATATCTATACTATTTCAAGACAATGCGAGACTATGTATATCGACAAAGAGAGGAGATGAGTCCATCGATACTATTTGTGTTACGTGCCTACAGATGTACGGGTGTGTGTTCGAGCGAGAGGAAATGTGTGTTCGAGCGAGAGGAAAAGAACAGTGTCCAATGCGAGTACGAGGATCGAGATGATGACTGAAAGCGAAGAAAACTACCTAACGAAAAGCAACTGGTGGTCCAAATGATCTAGAATGACTGTCTTCGTGCAAAAAGATGGCGTTGGAAGATGGAAAGGATGGGCATGACGGATTGACTATTAGGGGTAATAAAAAGAGCGTCTATGATTCCGAGAGAATCTTGTCGATGGACTGGTTCAAAAAGTCTTTTCGTGGAGCAAGATCTGCCTTTGGGAATCGGGCCATTATCGCTTCGCGAGCGGTTCTAGGTAGGGAAGGGTCAGATTCGAGTACCATTTCAGGCGAGACGAGAACATACTTTTTTGTAACAGTCATCAAATCCTGGGTACTCAGGTAATTTCTAAGGGCATTGAATAGTTCTTCGTCAGACGGATTCGGATTCTGGCTTGGGCCGGCGAAAGGGTTGACCGATGTAGCCATCGAGAAAGTCGACATTGGGCGTTGCTGTAAACCTCCTCCAAGTGGTGGCAGAGAAGGCGGAACAGCACCGATCTGCGACCCACTCATGCTACCACCACCAAACATGTTCATGTCCATCATGGGGTTACGCGGCGGCATGCCCGGAGGTATCATCCCATACATGCTTCCTGTGTTTTGATAGCCCATAGGTGTCATCATGGTCATTGGCATATGGCCGTAGACAGAGCCACTGTCAGATCCACCGCCAGGGAAAGGCATGAACGGTAGTTGAGGAGGGCCGTACTGGGACATGGCTTGTTGCTGGTTAGTATGGTGGGAGATGTTGCTGTGAGACTGTTGACTACCGCCTCCAAGACGCAGGTTCGGATTTGAGCTGTTGTTGTAAGTGATGTTTGTGTCTCTGTAGTAATCGCCGGACTGAGAAGCTTGGTTGTATGCATGGGGCGAGCCGTCGCGCGAATGAGGGGCATGAGATCGTGACCTGGATTTGCTCTCGTAGCCAGTATCGTCTGAATGGCGCGTCCCAGTTTCCCAAGCTTCCGCTTCGTACTCTGTTTCGAATGGGTCAGACGTATGATGATGAGAGTGCTTCTACCGATAAACTTACCGCTGAATTTCTTTAGAGGAATCATCGATTCGTCAAACTTCTCGTCCTCATTCGTGATTACCTTCTTGTCCTTCCCTTCACCGATGACGACACGAGTGTTACCCCAACTGAATTCATCCATACACCAGAAAGAGTAGATAGGCAGGAAGAAGCTGTAGATGGGATACCTGATGCAAGCGTGTTTGTAAGCGTTTCTCGCAAAGAGAAAGGCACTTACGAGAGAATGTAAACGATCATCCACCCAACCAGCATGAATTCACGCTTAATGATGAAGATGAGAGCCTAACGATGAGGTCAGTTTTAAGTAATCAAGGCCACGTAATATGAGAACGCACTTGCAGACCATAAGTAACCGCCAACATAATAATAGCAATTTGAGGCAGAGCAGCTGAGCCAGTCGCGACAACGATGATCAAATACACCAACTATTATCCGTGCTCAGTGCTGCTAATAGCGCAGGAATTCAGTAAGACTCACATAAACAACTGTGGCGGGAAGAATCTAGGAGGCGCGAGGACCAAGTCAGTTACATTGACAAATAAGTACAGAAGAAACAACTCACGATGGTTCCGAGTAAATCGATAAAGACGAAGAAGCGCATCGAGAAACAGCAGAATCCGCACAATTCAGCAAGGACAACCAATTCGCAAAGATTGTGCACGGTGGAGTTGATCCATCGCCGACGCTGAGAGAAAAGTACACGCCACGACTCAGGAGCCATGGTATGCGCGACAGCATCAGGGATAAACTTAGTCTTGAACGTAGGGAAGTGCTTCATCAAGAGGGTTGTCAAGAATCGATCTTCACCAAGAGAGAAGAGGTTCTTCTTGTGGAGGGTGTCTACGTTCGGTTCGGCGTACTCCTCAATAATACGGTTGGAGATGATGATAGGTCGTCCCTTATCGGCGGTACGGATGCGATATAGGGTGAAACAACCAGGCAAACAAGTGACTGATCCGAACAAGCTTTCGAAGGCCTTCGACAAGTGGTGAGAGATGTAGTATTCATAGACCTGGATCATCGTCCACCAGGATCCTTGCTCGTTCGTTAGTTTCGTTTCACCACAGATACCGATGATTCGAGAGTCATCAGCACTAGACGCCACGAGACGGTTTAAGGAATCGGGAGTAACCGTCTGAAATAAAGATCAGTATTCCTTTCAGCAATGACGGAGGCGTTCTTACGGTGTCCGCATCGACCGTGAAAATGTATTCGTAGAAGGCAGGATCTATGCCAATAACGTTGCGCATCTGATGGTATATCTCCAGTTCCAAGGGCGACATGGGGCTGTCGAAGTGTACTCGGTTGAGGTAGTGAAGGAGAAGGATTTGCGAATCTCGCTTTCCACGATTGCCCGGCTTCGACCTTTCAGTAGGTTTGCCAACTTTGACAACGACCATATAGCTGCATGTAAATGAGCAAAGGATCTCATCTAAGAAGTCATAGAACTCACGGGACGACATGTCCTTCGAACTCGTACAGACCGGAGTAAATTTTGCCATAGTTGAGGGCTTTCGACCCTTCGCCGACAGATTTGAAGAGGAGTGGCTCAGGATCAAGGGAGGGATCTACCCCGAGGATGTCAAGGACGATGCGAGGCGTCGTTCGGTCGTTTCCACTTCCGATGATGTTCCCATCGCAGATAATGAAGATGAGTTTCCGTTTGTCATCGTAGTTGAGTGCAGCGAGAGTATCGATCGTACGGCGCAGGGAGTCTTCGCCTTCAGTGTAACAAGGCACTTGGCACAACACAAACTTGTCTTGCAATTCTGGCGACCGTTTGCTTCCGAGTTGCAGTGCAGCCAGGACTAAAGGGGCGGTTAGCAAACACTCGCACTGATCAGGCAAGAAGACTGACACTTCAGGGCAATGGACGCCATCAAGATAGCAGAGAAAACGAGCAACAGGTAGTTCTGAACTTGACAACGAGCCGACTTTCGAAAATCCGCTTGACCAGCTAAGAATACGTTCTCCATGCACGCGAGATGTTGGGCCCGTTTCTCAGCCGTCATGGCGTCAAGGACCCTTCCAAGAGCGGTAGAAATATCTTGCCCAGCACGTTGTCTGAAGATATCAACGAAGTCATCATCAAGGAAGTCGTATGGTCCCGTATTCTGGTTAAGCCCGAGAGTGTGCACATAATCCGTAAGGTCGTAAAGTTTTGTGTTGTAGATCCCCCATATCCTAAAGAAAATAGATATTAGTTTCGCTGGGATGAAACGCTACAGGACGTACTTGGCAGTGTCAGTGTCCCTCGCCATAGCCAAAATCTGCTTCCTTTCCCAGACGAGAGGACCCTTCCTCATCGTTCTCATTTTTGGGAAGAAAGTATCGCTGTACCAGGTTGGGCTTGACATATCAGGACTCTGCGTCTGGAGCCTCCCACTGGTGTGATGTGCAAGCGGTGCGAGGTCCGTAACGTTCTGGACCGTCAATTGAAGAGTGTCGTCTGTAACCAGACCGCTGCAACCGAGAACCAAGGGAGGAGGGAACAAGTACGTCAAATCCTGACCAGCCATAGATTCGAGGTAGTCAGGCGAATTGCTCTTGATTCCAAATTGGCCGTTGCTGTGATCTCCAAAGATAAAGTCCGTGACGTCATAAACGACACCTTGGATGGTGACCCAATAGTCGTTTTCTCCCTGATGTTGATTTACTTCATTGAGCGACCAGGCCTTGTCGAAGTTCGGGCAGAGAAGGCGTCCAAACTCGACGATGTAGAAAATGACGATCCCATTGAAAAGGAGGATGAGCCAGAAAATCGTGACCTTCTCCCGCCAAGCGAGACGAACATCAGGCCGCTTCATCCTGCCAACTGTTCGCAAGAGGAAGGATGGCATCCACCATGTCGTAGCCCAGACGAGCCATAGCCACCATCGCCTCGAACGACTAGATGGTACCTCTTCCACGGCGTTAGGAGCGTCCTTGACCAGCATGCCACCACTCTCCTTGTCACCTCCGGGACCTCCAGGGCCACGAGGGTTGTAGGGAAGCATTTCTGGGGTACCAGCTTCCTTGTCAAAATCGCCACCCCATGCCCCGCCATCGTCTGGGTCTGAGAAATCTTTTCCTCCGTAGCCAGGAGTTCTTAGTTCACCAGATCCGTATTGTGAAGGGTCCCGGAATACTCCTCCCTCAACACCACCTCTCGCCAACAGCAGGTTATCAGCACTGTCGCCGAGATATCCTCCGGCTGGCGGCGCTAATCCGTCGTGTCCATGAGTAAAGTCGGTGTTGTCATCTGGTCCAATGTCTTCCTCTTCATCGTCCTCAACAGTCCCCCCAGCTTTCTCCTTTGCCCGGAGGGGATCTTCAACAATCTTCCATGCCGCGTACGATAACCAAATTGAACGGTGTCCACAAATGTAGTCGACACCTTCCCTCCAACCGTTGGCCCTGGCACATTGAACGATCCGCTCCTGATCCGACCCCCGCATCGTTGGTACGTATCTGTCACAGAATTCGGCAAGGTCGTAGTCTGCTACATATTCAACGCTCTTCCGGGCGACAATGTCGGGTAAGAGCAGACTCCTGATCTGCGCCTTGACGCGCCGCTTGTCGAACGAGTTGGGAGAACTTGAGTCGTTCGGCCTGATGCATGAGAGGGTCCATAGTCGTGTCCGGTCAAGAGAAGAGAATATTTGGGAGAGTGTGAAGTTCAGTTGGGACGTGACGGGGTATGTCTTGCCTGGATCCAGGGTGGGGTGTTCTTCCTCTTGGGGTGGAAGCGTGTTGTTTGGAGAGAAAATGGGAGTCGGCTGCCTCAAGGGCCGCGATGACACCTGGGTCTGGACAATGGTGTTCTCGTCCTTGACATGTCTCTCTGCCGCGAGACTGGGCCCGGACAGAAGCTTGGAAACGAACGACTCCGTGGAGTTGCGGAGAAGTGAAACGAAGGCGGAATCGATTAGGTCCGAATCCCTCTCAATGAAGTTCGACGCATCGTAGGAGGCTGATCCAGCATAGTGATTGATACCGAACAACCGTCTGTCTGAATGACCGCCGACGCCGGGACTAGCAGCGAATGACGCATGAACACCGAACTTGGAAGCGAGCTCTTGAAGAAGCTCGTCGTCTCTGTGGTCACCGCCTTTGCCGGACTTGAAGGTTGAACAAGCTTTGTTGACGACGCCCAGCAGGCCGCCTGGCTTCCGTTGCGATCTCTCACTGAGCTGAGCACCACGAAGCAGCTCGATGCATGCACCGTTATCCATGATGGAAATGTCGGGCAGCGAAATGCCGTCGGTAGCCATTTGTCCATTGTGGCCAATCGTTTCGAAGGTGTGTCGAAGGACATAGGAATGCAGCATCTCATCGGCAAAGTTGATGCAAAATTCGTCGAATCCGTTGTGGCCATAGGCGGAAATTAATGGTTGTTGACCAGAAAGGGACATCGATGTCGTGCCAGAAGGACCGCGGGTCTGATAACCTGGTTGGTCGAAAAGGACAATTTGGGTTGGCGGAGACACATCTTTTGAGCTGGGTGCGAGTCGGTGGTTGCATGTCTCGACAACAAAAGCGAACAGGATGGCGTAGAGATCCCTGACGCATTGATCTCTCTGTTTCGAGCTTTGCTCTGCGCTCAGGAGGACAGTGAAGAGCTCCTTGCGGACATAATTTGTCTTGTTGGTCAAGATTTGGCCGAGGTCGTCAGGCGAAACACCTAATAATCTCGCTCCTTGTTCAAGGATGTGACGATTGACGACATAGGCCGAGACGTCATGAGCGTCCCCCTCTGCGAACTGCAGGTTACCAAGCAGGAGGATGGCAACGAGGAGGCTATGAATGGACGTCATATGTTTGGGCTTAAAGCCGAGGGTTCGCATGGCCGCCCTAAGTTCAGTCATGGCTATGGAGTCGTCACTGAACGGCCCTGAAGGGAGGCGGAAGCACCCTGACGAAGCGAGCAGGGCATAATCCGAAGGGTCTTCAAGATTGAAAGTGTCGCGTTCGGTGGTCGTTGCTCCAGCGAGGAATTGGTAAAAGACGTGGTAGGTTCGCTCTTCATGCGTTAGCCGATTGAGCCGTGTCTTGTCAAGGCCAAATGTCAGGACTTTCGCCCCGCTTATGCGACCGCGTTCGTTGAAATGGAGTTCGAGGTAGCGTCCGTGACGAGATGCATTGGGATTCATGAGAGTTTTAGCGTTGCCAAACGAGTCGAGGACAGTGCATAGTGCTTTGATCTGTTCACCAAGCTTGACTTCCTTCTTGGAGTGTGTTGAAAGTCGTAAAAGCTGGTTCATGAGGAGGCGAAGACTTGAGGTTTTCCCGGATCCGGTGATTCCTCTACTCCGTGTTAGGACAGCCCAAAGTTGGATGACAAGACGTACCTTGTCACTACGGCCTGCGACTCATTTCTCCGTCGCATAAGAAGGTACACCCTCGCTGCCATGTCATACAAATGTGGTTGTAAAGGCCGTGGCGAATCCACCATGGGTAAGCTGGTGTCCTTGTACGACCGCTCCTCGTACTCCTTCGCGCTGACATCGTTGATGTTGGCAAGTGTCTTGTAAGGATTGACCGCAACCAAATTAGTTGCCCCTATTCTTGTGTACGGTAAATCCGCGCGGAAGCGAGCCTGGAGGACAGCGAGGATGGCATCGTCGGAAGGGTAGATAGTTGCTGAGCCTGAGGATGACACAAGGTCAATGAGGTCACCCGAGGCAATGGCCTGAGTGTTGTGGTTCGAGGCCATCGACCACCTCGATGAAAAGGAGGATAAAAGAGAGGAAAGGCTGTCGCTGCTATCGTGGACGACCAGAAGAGGAATGCGTGTGTGAAACTCCACACCTCTGCCGACCTGCTGGTGGAGTGCAATTGTCGTATTATGTAAGAGCTAAGTCAACACTGGCAGCCATTCGTGACTTATCCTTCGTTAGCAGGGCATAAATTAACTGTTAATTACTTCCACATTTCGACCACGTCGTCACTTTCAAAGTAAACTGCCAACGACGGGAGTATACGATGCTCTTCGAGGTTAATGTAAGTACCCGTTCGGGTATTCATACCTGAAAGAAGCTAAGATCTTTGTAGAAAAAACTCTTTTCACGGTCGGATCGTGTCAAGGGAGTCGATTTCCACCCGACAGAACCATGGCTGCTCACTGGTCTTTACAACGGCTCTGTTAACATCTACAACCACGAAACTGGTGCCATTGTGAAGACTTTTGAAGTTACCGAAGTCCCGGTGCGATGTGTCAAGTTCATCCCTCGCAAGAACTGGTTCATCGCTGGCTCGGACGACTTCCAGCTACGCATCTTCAATTACAACACCCATGAAAAGGTCGCTTCGTTTGAGGCACACCCAGATTACATTCGATGCCTCACAGTGCATCCGACGGCTAGCATCGTTCTAACCGGAAGTGACGATATGACGATCAAGGCATGGGATTGGGACAAAGGCTGGAAGTGCATCCAGGTAAGTTCTAGCATGCTAGAGGTTGCACACCCGCTGACGAGGAATAGGTCTACGAAGGGCACACCCACTATATCATGAACCTTGCCTTCAATCCTAAAGACTCCAACACTTTTGTGTCCGCGTGTCTCGACCGCACCGTCAAGATGTGGTCTTTAGGATCGTCAACGGCGAACTTTACGATGGAGGCGCACGACAAAGGCGTGAACTACGTCGATTTCTACCCGGGCGCCGACAAGCCGTATCTTGTTACGACGGGCGATGACAAGACGGTCAAGGTGTGGGATTACCTGAGCAAGAGTTGCGTGCAGACAATGGAGGGACACACGAACAACGTCTCCTTCGCCATCTTCCATCCAAATCTTCCTATCATCATCTCAGGCAGTGAGGACGGGACGGTGAAGATATGGAACAGCGGCACCTATCGCATCGAAAATACGCTTAATTATGCTCTCGAGCGCTCATGGTGTGTTGCGCTTCGCAAGAACGCGAATGAGGTCGCAGTGGGCTTCGACGAGGGAGTCGTGGTCATCAAGCTCGGCAGGGACGAGCCTACGTTCAGCATGGATCCCTCTGGCAAACTCATCTATACAAAGAACCACACCGTCTTCTCTGGCAACCTACAAACTATCTCCCATCCTTCAGATGACTCTCCGACATCCTCATTCGCTGACGGAACTCGCCTGCCGTTGTCTACAAAGGAAATCGGTTCGACAGAAATATTTGCCAACTCCCTCATGCACTCTGCCAACGGCCGGTTCGTAACCGTGGTCGGAGATGGCGAGTACATCACCTACACCGCTTTAGCGTGGAGGAACAAGAGTTTCGGCAACGGTATCTCCTTCGCTTGGGCACCCGACTCCAACACCTATGCTGTTCTCGAAAGCAAGGTCAAACTAAAGGTGTACAAGAATTTTAAGGAGCGACCTGGTGTCGGTATGAAAGGTGCTGGCAGCTGGTCAGTTGAGAGCCTTCACGGCGGCACCCTGCTCGGTGCTCGTGGTAATGGCTTTGTGATGTTCTGGGATTGGGAGACTGGCGAGATAGTCCGACGGATTGACGTTGATTCAAAGAACGTAAGTTTCTCTTGCCGTTTTTTGCTGGATAAATGCTAATATCCCAGGCTGCAGGTCTTTTGGTCAGGAACCGGCTCACTGGTCGCCATCACTGCCGACGATTCTTTCTATATCCTTCGTTTCGACCGCGACGCGTACAACATCAAGCTTGACGAAGGCGCCGAGATTACCGATGAGGGTGTTGAGGAGGCTTTCGAGGTCGTCGCTGATATTCCAGATAAGTATGTCCTTTCCTTTTTCGTTAGGTATATTCTGTTAATAATCACCTTCGTAGCGTCAAGACGGGCAAATGGGTTGGCGACTGTTTCATCTACACCACTGCTTCCAACCGTCTCTGCTACTTTGTCGGCATTGAATCGTATACCATCAGTCCATTCGATACGTTGGTGTGCCTTCCCCGATTTCATTCAGCTCAATGCTCACACCGCGTTGCGCAGACCGCTATACCTTCTTGGTTATATCCCAGCCCACAACCGCATCTACCTCGCCGACAAGGACCTGAATATCTATGGCTATGCGCTCTCGCTCAGCGTCGTCGAATACCAGACCGCCGTGCTGCGAGGCGATATGGACGCCGCTGCTGAGATCCTCCCTACCTTACCCAAGGACCAACTAAATAAGGTCGCCCGGTTCCTTGAAGGACGAGGTTCGTTGTCTGCCCTGCTGAGCAGGGCCTCGTGCAGAAACTAACTATTGTATCTTCATCCAGAACTTAAGGAACTGGCAATCAAAGTGACGACGGACCCAGACCACAAGTTCGACCTTGCACTATCGTTGGACGACCTCGACACCGCCCTCGATATTGCTAGAACAGTGCCAGAAAACGAAGCGGAGGTCAAATGGAAAGCACTCGGAGATCGGGCACTGAGCGTGTGGAGATTCGACCTCGCCAAGGAGAGCTTCGAGAAAGCGAACGACCTTAGCGCGTCGATGCTTCTGCTGTTGGCAACTGGCGACAGGGAAGGCCTAAGAGCGCTTGCGAAGAGAGCCGGTACGTGCTACCATTATTGAATAATTAATTGTTTGTTTTTGAATTGTCGTGATGCAGAGGAGAAAGGACAGAATAACTTGGCCTTCGCCATAACCCTCCAGCTAGGCGACACCTCTGGATGCATCGACCTCCTGCTTAAGACACAACGTGCGCCTGAAGCAGCTCTCTTCGCCCGTACATATGCACCCAGACTAGCGAACAAGACAGTCGATGCCTGGAAAACTGACCTCAAGACGAAAGGGCGGCCCAAAATTGCAAACGCTATTGCTGAACCCTCCGCAAACCCTGAGCTCTTCGAGGAAGACTGGGAAGTAGCTTTGGCCAAGGAGGAAGAAGCACTCTCAAGTGAGTGGAGTCAACACATGACATTGAGGGCTGACTGATGTTGATCTTGGTATCTATTTTGCCTTGTATTCTACAGCGGCAGACGGTCTTCTTGTGGACACGACCTAATTTCTCCTTTGCTGTGCCCCTGGACGGATGTCTTCGTTTATTGTACCTACTTCCGCGAATCATTTAATGGAACCTCTCGATTTCCTCTCGTTGCACGCCCGTCGTTGAAACAATCACATCAAGGCGAGAATGGTAGGCATCATAGTCATGTTGAGTTAGTGATTTGGATCTCTAGAAAGGCTGTTCATGGTGCAGGCAGGTGGCATTTATACCTCGGATCGGACGGCCCATTCCACCCGACTGAAAGGAAACAAGCCATCTATCACATTCTCCTTACGAAGGTGGATCAATACTAACCGCAGCGCCAACAATCAAGTAAATGATGAGGATCGCTATTGAGGAAGCACGTCAAAGAGTCAGCTATCTAGTGATGCGCAGCTTCAAGGTTGAAGGAATATCCTACGCACTACTTGTTTTTGATAGCGAGCAGTTTTGCATGGTGAGGTCCCCAGAAAGAGGTCTTATAGTCAGGCTCATAGGTGTCGGCTTCGTTCTGTGAGCGAGGTAAAGCATCGGCAGCTGGGGAAAACAGCGAATAACGTACTAAGTAGGCACCTGAATCTGGCGTCAAATCACGAACAGGAGTCCAGAAAGTCTTCAGCCTTTCATACGCGTTTTCGCGTTCCGAGCGGGTCGAATTGAAATTCCACGCGTTCATCGACAACACCTGGCGAAGAATTGTCTGTCAAAGCGACCGAAACAACCAACAGATGATCAACAACTTACATGCCAGACTGCGGTCCTCCAAGCCGGGTTAATCGAGGTGCCCTTCTTATCAACGTCCTCGAACACATAGGGGGTTACGGCGAGAATCTGGGAGAAATCGGATGAGACCATCGCCGTGCTCAGTGCACTGAGCACGTCGTCATTCGCCACGAGATAGTCAGGAATCAGGCGGCTTGATCGCACTTGTGGACGTCCAACGGGCTACTCAAAAGTCAGCAATAGCTCTATTAGGTAGATCGACGAGAAAGAAGAGGATACATTGGTGTTCGGCGCAATGAACGTATCGAAAAAGTCGGTGTGGGTGGGCATCGTAGAGAACGACACGCCTCCGCCTACTGATTCGAATGCAGAGGCGACACCAGCAGCAGACTTCCGGGCAGACTCTGCATCCAGGAGAGGGTTGGCCCAGACACCGCCTGAGGCAGGAGGCTAGATTCAGTGAGGTTCGTCAGACGGTGCATTTTAGCACTACTAAGCAACATACAGCGATGTACCCGCCCCAACCATCGCTGGCCATTTGAGTAGCGTTCTTCCCTAACGCCCTGACGAGACTGATCGTGTTCTCAGGGGTATTCTCGTACGTGCCGAGGACGCTGTAGATTTAAGATCTCTCAATCATGCCTTTCCTCGCCCAGCAATCCAGGAAGAACACTCACACTTGCATTATTACTGCCGGAGATGCAACGAAAGTACCTTCCAGCACGACGCCGAACGTTCCTCCCCCACCACCCCTCAGGGCGAAGAAGAGATCGGGATTCTGGCATTTGTTCACAGTCCTGAACTTGCCATCTGGCGTGACAATCTTGTACTGGAGGACACGGTCGACTCCGAGACCCATGGCAGGTGATAATACACCATGACCTGCTCCCTGTACATGGCTGTTGAGCCGGTAGACGAACCGTCAAAATGGGATGAATGCGGACCATTGACCAGCCTCCGGTTGCACCGACAGCTGGATCAGCACCGGCTAAGATGGTCACGTTGTTGGCGCGAGCGAAGTCGTAGACTGCGCGGAACTGGACGCCGGCCTGTGGAGGAGTTGTGATACAGTTTGCAAACTGATAGCGGTGCCAACGTACGCCAAATGTGACAGCAGTTCGTGATTCATCTGCACATCTATCTGGGACGAAAGTCGTGGTCAAATTGATCTATTGCAACGAGTTAGGAGGAACTTCGATGACGAGAGGCGTGGGCATACAGTGTTGAGATTGTGTGTCTGAAAGCGTGTCATCGAGAGGGTCCATTATATCTGAAGAAAATGTTCACGTACCCAAAGGGCAAGAGTCCCTGGTCCTGCACTTCGTCCGATGTAGTCATGCTGTAAAGCCATGTCAACGTAATGTTTGTCAGTTAAACATCATTCAGCTTACACCTGAATTCTTGATCACAAGCGGAACCTTCGTCTTCTTCGAAAATCTATAGGCAGCCTGGATATCCTCTGGGCCTCTCACGTCGATCTGGGAATTTTGTAAGAACAGTGCTTCTTTGATACTAAGAGAACTCACGTAGTAGTCGGGGACACTTCCTTGCATGCATTGTCTTGGGGCGGTAAAGGCGGCAGGGTTGCTAGTGTTGGTCCAATCCAACAAGCATCCGTCGCCAGTAGTTTGACAGGTCTCCCATTGCGTGACCTGGTAACCACCAAAACGAGACGAGCGGAAGACTGTTGAGAAATGTCAGACCGTCGGGCCCACCTACAGCGCGTGATGGAGCGGAAACGTACGCTGGTCTTCGTACAACGCCTGAACCTCTCTACACTGAGACGGATGTTCGGCGTTCGAAGGCGTCCGCGTGAAGCAGGATTGGGAAAACGGGACTCCAATATGCAAACGACCTCCTACAGTTGAATTGAGGGCCTTCCAGACAGCTTGCGTTGCGCCGCCACACAGAACGCGACTGATGAAGAGTCCGAGATGAAAAATTGAGAGCGAAAGAGAGCCTGGCATGGAGAATACCGACCTATATCACAGGAAGCAGTCTTTTAAGGAGGCCATAAGTCAGCTAATTTAAAATATTGGGGACCATATCAATGCACCACGGGAGTAAACCAGCTTGTTTGACGTTGGTACAAGACAAATGACATGAGATGCGGTGGCGAAGTTGTACATATCTCATCTCTCGATGAGATATCTGGCTTCTTGCGCTTTCTGGCGCACCTTGGATAGGCATCGTAGACGGGCCAACGTGAAGATGGGAAATGCGGTTGACCTCCATTCTTATCTGACTAGGATTCGACAGAAGATTGATGGGAAACGGCCACAGAAACAAGGTGTTGAAATACTACGAAAATTGTGAGTGCTGGAACACCTTTCTCTCGACTACTTCTCACCAAGAAGAGATGGAGAGACAGAATGAATTCCCCGGAGTGAGTAATCATCCCGAAAGTTGTTGCACGTAAACAGAACGCGATGAAACGCGATGTCACATGTACGTACTACCCGAAGTTGGCAACACGAGTGGATTACGTTCAATTGAGGTAGACTTCAGATGGGGGAGTAGTCATTAAGAGGTCAGAAGAGTGATGCATTCAAATCAAGCTGGTCGAGGCTTACAAGATGTTGGATTGATATCCCAGCGAAAAAAAATCGACCTCATCGTCTGAGACCATATTGGGAACTTGCCTTGAGATCACTCATTGACAAGCGATATTTTGAGTAGAAAGTACTATGCCGCTGCCTACTCGGTCAAGCTGGACCTGAGAACCAAGGCCGCGTTGGATCCGGTTCTGACAATGTTCGACGGTGGCCTGATGGTGGCATTTCTTGGAATTATGCAATTCATTCTGAATATTCAACAGCATCGCCTCGTCGCCGTAGTCGAGTCAGTAGTAAGGGACCAGTCTTTGCGCAGAGGTTTTAGGATTAGATGAGAGGTTGGCAAGAAAGCAAGAAAGCAAGAGTTCAACTCGTCGTGATTCATGAAATTGGGCAGCCGCGCTGTGGCAGTGCTACAATTACCCGAGAGATCATGTGACCGCCATCATTCTTAAGCGCTTATCACTGCATTGAGGTTCGCAACTCTCTCTAACTCTGCCCTAATTGAGGACGACAATACTCACAAACTTGGTCTCAAATATTTACTTTTAAATTCATATGCTCACATGCTCTTCAGAAACTCGTGAATTCATCCCGTCTATTATTGCTATTAGTACATCGACATCTCTTTCTTCATCTGCGACATCGGACGTCTTACATCACCTTGGCAATGAAGGCGAGTGCTTGATGAGCGAAAGTCGCTTTAGGTATGCTTTCACTGCAGCATTTGCGTTCCATCAAAGTGGACACCACCCTAGATTGAAAGGTACTGCTTATACTGCCTGTCCTCGCATTACATATGTTCTATCATAAACAAACTTGGTTCGCCAGCCCGCAGTGCAGGCTTAGCGCCCGTTGAAGATACAAAAGTTCTTGAGTTCTGCCTCCTGTTTACGCCATATCGACCCAGTTCGTTACTGGGTCCCCCCAAATGACAGCGCTCTTGGACAACATCCCAGATATCAAGGGGTCACTTCCTCCGCTGTGTGAATTCGCTGAGCTAAACAAGCGTATCCTGCCTGCCGAAGTCCGAGTCCCCAGTGTGCCTCCTGATAGAGACCGAAAATGGGCTTGATTCATTGGTTGGATTTGCGGTAAAAAGGTCAGTCCTCTGATTTTACGTCTGTTTATCGCATTCCGGTTCAGTTTGGGTATATTCGACACCTTTTAATTACCACGGGCTGCAGTCCCAGGACTACGGAATAGACATAAACATTGTCCTTCCACTCATAGTGTGCCCAAAACCTTTTGTTCTACGAAAGTTCTGATTGGCTCCAAGGTACGACATGCGTACATGCTTAAATAATAGTTTGTCCAAGGTCATAATGTATCCGTCAGAGTGTGGTGAAGAAATGCATCCCTGTAATCCAGGCGGAAATGAAGAGCGCTTGCATCCACAAAGAATTCACGCCAGGGAAGAACTCCTCTCTTCTGGACACGACCCGGTATCCTCTTCGCTGTACCCTGGATGGGCGCCTTCGGTTTGTTAAATTCCTTACTTCCACAATTTCTTTGATGGAGTTTCTTGTTTCCCTCTCGTCGTGCTCCGGTCTTCATTTCTTTGAGAGACAATCAAATAAAGACAAGAACAGTGAGGTGCGGTAGTTGTTACATGAAGGGTATGTGAGTTGAGATGGGTTAACCAGGTCCGATCCTCATAACTAGGATGATTGTTCATGGTGCGGGCAGGTGACATTTATACCTGGGGTCGGACGGCCCCTTCCATCCGACTGAAAGAAAACAGGTCACCGTATTAGTTCTTGGACGTGACAAAAGAGCATCGATTACTGACCGCAGCGCCAACAGTCGAGTAAATGATGAGGATCACTACGATGAAGCACGTCAAAGAGACAACTGTTAGCTACGTGCAACTTCAATGTCGAAGCAACTCCAACGCACTACTTGTTCTTGATAGCGAGCAGTTTTGCGTAGTGAGGCCCCCAGAAAGAGGTTGTGTAGTCAGGCTCATAGGTATCAGCTTCGTTCTATTCTAGAGATAGAGTATCCGAGGCTGCAAAAAAGCGAGAGACGTACGAAGTAGGCACCAGAACCTGGAGTCAAGTCACGGACAGGCGTCCAGACAGTCTTCAGCCTTTGGTACGCGGTTTCGCGTTCTGAGCGAGTCGAATTGAAATTCCACACGTTCATCGAAAGGACCTGGAGAATATCCGTAGGTCACAATGGCTAAAGCGACCAGGAGATGGTGGGCTACTTACATGCCAAACAGCAGTTCTCCAAGCTGGATTGATCGAGGTGCCGTTCTTGTCAAAGTCCTTGAACGCGTAAGGGGTGACGGCGAGGATCTGGGGGAAGTCGGATGAGACCATTGCCGTAGCCAGGGCACTGAGCACGTCGTCGTTCGCCATAAGGTGGTCAGGAATTAAGCGGCTCGATTGGACTTGAGGACGGCCAACAGGCTGTTACAACATTAGCAACATTTCCACTAGATGAATTGGACAGGTATGAGCGCTTACATCAGTATTCGGTGCAATGAATGTATCAAAAAAGTCGGATGCGGTGGGCATTGTGAAGAACGACACCCCTCCGCCTATTGATTCGAATGCAGAGACGACACCAGCGGCAGACTTCTGGGCTGCCCCTACATCCAGGAGAGGATTGGCCCAGACGCCGCCTGAGGCAGAAGGCTAGACCCAGCGACATCCGTCAGACAGAGTAGATAAAGTATCAACGAGGGACAAACAGTAATGTACCCTCCCCAACCATCGCTAGCCATTTGAGTAGCGCTCTTCCCTAGTGCCTTGACAAGCTTGACTGTGTTCTCGGGGGTATTTTCGTACGTGCCGACGGCGCTATGAACACAAGCCAAGCCCTTAGCCACACCTTTTCTCGTTCAGCAATTCATGAAGAGTGCTTACACTTGCATTGTAACCGCTGGGGAAGTGATGAAAGTGCCCTCCAAGACAACACCGAACGTTCCTCCGCCTCCGCCCCTAAGGGCGAAGAAAAGATCGGGGTTTTGACACTTGTTCGCAGTTCTGAATTTGCCATCCGGAGTGACGATCTTGTATTGAAGGACGCGGTCGACGCCGAGGCCCATTGCGGGTGATAACGCGCCGTGTCCAGCTCCCTATGCACAGTCATTGAGCGGGCAGACTGGCTGGGAAGGTACGACGAATGCGGACCATTGACCACCCTCCCGTGGCGCCGACAGCGGGGTCCGCCCCTCCTACGATGGTCACGTTGTTAGTGCGAGCGAAGTCGTAGACTGCTTGGAATTGTACGCCGGCCTGTGAAGAAGTTGAGGTACATTTCCTAAATTGATGGAACGGGTCGAACGTACACCAAAAGTGACGGCTGATTGAGGTTCATTGGAACAGCCCTCTGCGACGAAACCCGTACTCAAAGCAATCTAGGCAAAGGGACTCAGAAGTGGTTCCGACGACGAGGGGGATGGAGTATACGCTGTTGAGGTTGTGTGTCTGTAAACGTGTCATCGAGAGACCTCCGCAGAAAATAATATGGTTACATACCCAAAGAGCCAGAGTTCCGGGCCCTGCACTCCGTCCAATGTAGTCATGCTGAAAAATCATCAATAATGTCAAACTGCCACATCTATCAAGCAAACATCGTCGAGCTCACACCCGAATTCTTGATCACAAGTGGGACCTTCTTTTTCTTCGAAAACGTATAGGCAGCCCGGATATCTTCTGGTCCGGTGACGTCGATCTGGAAGACAAGTAAGAATAGACGCTTCTTTGATTTTGCTTTGATACCAGGAAAACGCACGTAGTAGCTAGGCACGCTCCCTTGCAGACATTGTCTTGGGGCAGCAAAAGCGGCCGGGTTGGTGGTGTTGGTCCAGTCCAACAAGCACTCGTCGCCAGTGGTTTGACAAGTCTCCCATTGCGTGATTTGGTAGCCACCAAAACGCGACGAACGAAACACTGTTAAGACATGTTAGTTCGTCGCTACCCACCCAAGACATGCAATCACGAACGATGGTCTTCGTACAACGCCTGAATCTCTCCACACTGCGCTGGATTAGGAACGTTCACAGCGTTGGAAGACGTCCGCGAGAAGCAAGGTTGGGAAAATGGGACTCCAAGATGCAACCGGCCCCCTACTGTTGCATTGAGGGCCTTCCAACTGGCCTCTGTGACGCCACCACACAGAACGCGACTGGCAAAGAGTCCGAGCAAAGCAAACGAGAGCGGAAGAGAGCTAGGCATGGAGGATACCGAACTAGATTGCGCGAAGCAGTTTTAAGGAGGCCATATGTCAGCTATTTTCAAAGATGGAGGACCAAATCCTGTGCACCACAAGGGATTAACCCTCCTGGTTGACACTGATGCAAGACTATTGGATGACATGAGATGCGTCGGCGAAGTGGTGGCCGATGACCGGCCACATGTATATCATCTCTCGATGAGGAGGAGATCATTGCTTCTTGAGCTTTCTTCCCATCTTGACTCTTGAATAGAGGAATGTCTGATGCGGCTTTAGGATCGCCCACGGGTTCCTATCAATGTCCTCAGATCCGATGTATGTAACTGCTAGGAAAGTCGTAAGTCCCGAAACACCTTTCCCCCAAGTAATTCTCACCAAACTTGAGCTTGAACCCCCTTGGAGTCGGACATCGCGAAAGTTTTTATAGGTAAAAATAACATGATAAAACACCTAGCATTCGAAGACCGCAGCGCGAATGATTACCAACACTCGGGGTAATGACGAGCGAAAGCCGCCGCAAGTGTTAGTCAGGTCTTCCATCCACCCGTATTAGATCAGTGTCGCAGCTTCGATAGAGCACCCATCATCTTCAAGTACGTAGCGGGAGAGCTCGATGCGCCTTTCCCTTTAGGTCCTATGAACTCCTCAACAGCTTTCACACCAGCCTTACGTCCAGAAACATAATCCGCGAGATACTTGGCCGCCGTGGCCGACTTGATCCCACTCAATCGCACGATTTGACCATTCAGCGACTGCTTCTTTAGCGCTGCATCATAGTCAGAATCTTGTTCGATACAAGATTCCAATATCCCGAGGAACGTCTGAGCGCGACCGTTCGCCACTAGCTGGTCTGGGTGGACAAAGAATCTGTACTTCTTGGTCAAGAACCGGATTCGAGGGTGAAGTGGGAGTGTAGAAGGGCCCGTCGTGCCGGGGTGCGAAAGGTCCAGCCCTATGCGAGGGGAGAAGTAGATCTTGGGAGGAGTCTTTCGAGTGGTCGGGTCCATGGCTTTCAAAAACAGGCAGGTCGGTGGGTTGCCTTCCGCCGAGAGGAACGCGGAAGTGTTTCGTTCCCATTTGTTCTCTACGAGGTCTTCGATGGACGGAGCACCGCTGACGCTGAGTATCTCATCGACAAGGAGCGAGGGTCCTGATATGACCTTGCCGCCTGCACCCAGTCGGCGGAGCGACCGTATGAGGACGCCACCACGCTGAAGCTGCCTCGTCGGCTTTGGAGGTTCATCCTTGCCAGCCTCTGTGGTTGACCCCTCTGTCCCGAAGTATTTCAAAGAAGAGTGTAACGGTTGGCCGCCCAATGTGAGGTCCATCCCTTTTCGTGAACCGGAACGGTAGGCAGTGGTGCTGGTAAGACTTCGGTGCGAGTCTTCTGAGCGTCTAGGTGCGCGATGGAAGTACCTGACAGCATGCAACACGTCAACATGTGTTCCAAGATGCGAGGAACGCGTGAAGAACGCGTAAAGACGCGACTTTGCAAAGAAATGAGGATGCTATGGGATTTCACGCACCATCGCCCGCTGACTTTCTGTTCTTCACTTCCATGGGTAAAAGGGTCTTCATGGATGCCTTCAATCTGGAGGTAGAATTCGGCCTCGAGAAAGTCGAACTCCGTTTCCGTGCCGTCTGGTTTCCGGACAACAAGTCGAAATTCATGCAGGAGCGCTTTGGCGATACGGTCGAACCGTGTCTTGATTTCTTCCTCGCTTTCGACCACCGTAAAATCTAGGAGCTCCGCGAATTCTTTGAGCGACAAGGGCGGGACTTCAACGTTGTCGACAGCATCAGCGCTGGTGCTTGCTTTTTCGTTCGACGTGGCAGGTTCAGTGTCGTCTTTCTTCACCTTTTTCGCGAAGATGAGGTACACTTCACCCTGTTGTTTTCTCTTGTTGCCCGGCATGGAGGAAATCCTGTGGCAATCGAGAAGAGAGAAGGAGAAGGAGCATGGCGAGGGTCTGGATCGCGTTTGAATAAATAGTGCGACGGTTCGTGTGAGCCATGACCAAAGAAAGTTCAGGTTCATCGGCGTCTAATATAACGCACGGACCACCGTGAACAAGACATCAATTGCCGGCTCCACAGAGCCTCAAGGGTCAGAAATCAACACTCTTTTACGCTGTCTTTCCCTTTGCCTTTCCACCAAAACCCAACACACTTGGATCCTTCAAATAGAGCGCCAGTGAAAACACCGTGTGGTTCAAGGTCGTCATCAGCAGCGTCGCACTGCCTAGACCTAGTTCTTTGGGTGATATGCAGGTGAGGAACCCAAGAAGTGCCCATGTCAGATTCATGGCGACTTTTCAAGACCAGCGGTTAGAGGACGTTCTCAATCATCTGTATCGAAGGACGGTACTTACAAATAGTAGGACGAGCTGCAGGCCCAGAGCGCCAGGCAACGACGTGCCCGACTCCGACGGCTGCGACCATGCATACGATGGACTGGTTGAATCCGGGTGCCGATGCAGCATTGGAGAGATGCTAGAGCAATGCTATGAGCGCCAATTCTTGACTATAATTCATACCGCGGCCAAGAGGTCTTGAACATACCAGTCCCGTGAACGAATGCAAGGCTTTGGTTATGACAGATTCGTAGATGATAGACGGTTTGACCGTGAGGATGAGGGCGACGACGACGTCTGCAATGCCCTTGTACAGGATGAGAGCGTCAGTCATATTGCTTTGCGACGAATTGGTGCAACTAGCGAGGATGAAAGAAGTGACTGTGCTGTCCTATATAAAAAGATGTCTGTTCTAGGTTTAAATTTCGAGTACAGGACAACCCTGACGGCGACGTCGGAGAAAGCCCAGACAAAGCCATTGAATAGTAGTGTCAAGGTCCAAAGCAGAGGTAATAGGGTATACAAGATACATCCCAAAGGACAATAAAAGCAATAATCTCTATACTAACAAGCAATTAACAGTTCGTCCGAGGTCATAATAGATCGTCCAAAAATTGTCAGAGCGTCGTGAAGAAAACTACTCCTGCAAGACAGGTTGAAAGGAAGAGCGATGGCATCCATAAGCTTGAATTCACTCCCGACGTTGTCTGCGCTGACGCTGGAACCGAGGTCGTTGGCGTGTCACCTGTTGTCAACAGCGAAGTTGAGCTCTGGGGGGTTGATGCGCTCGAGGAGGAAGAGTTGGACACCGGCGGCGCATCGTCGGAAAGGTATGTGCGGATATAGCGGATTTCCCAGTACGCGGTGGTGAACTTGTCGCCTGGGCCGATAACATTGTCATTCACCTTTGAAGAAAAAAAATCAGGAAGATCAGAGTTGCCAGGAACTAGAGGAACTCACGCAGGAACGAGTAGGCGTTTGACATGTGGAGGCGTAAATGTCTGGTACACCAGCCCATACACCGCAGAGCGTCGTAAGCAGAACGAGGGTCTGAGGAGGGAAGAATTCGGTCATGTTGCACGAAACGGCGGGGTAGGCTGCTGTAGGAATGCCCCAGGATGTAGTGTCGATTTGGGATGCAGAGGTGGCAGACCTGATGTTTTCCGGAATATCATTTCTCTGAAAAGAACCAATTGTTGTTAGGATTTTCCTCTTGAACTAGAACCGAAAGGTGCGTACGCTCCAAAACCAAAAGAAAATCCCACTATCTGCAATCTGCGTCACGTAGACGCCTCCACCTGCTTGTGCGAACCCCGGACCGAAGCTGTTCGCCTTGGTCTCCGCTACGATGCACCCACGGGGGGTCGAACAGTCGCGCTCGATTGTTCTTCCTGTCTGTTCCACATTTTGCGCCTGGAAGCACCCTTGCTTGGTATGCAGAGCTATCTGGTTGTTGTTCATTCCGTTGATGGCTTCAATAATATCGATCTCTCCGGCGAGTGGCCACTCCTCCTGCAGGCCATATGTCCAGAAAGCCGGCCATACCTGTGAGTTATTCTAGGTTATCAGCCTGATCACTTAAAAATAGATAGAACGCACTGAACAGCCATAAGGTATGTGAAGCGCGTCTATAATAATCAAGGACCCGACGCCGTAGCTGTCCAGGGAGGTAAGCCGGATCTACGTGGCATCAGGACAGAGTTCGCGTTGAGAGATGCTCCTGGCTCACTGATTCGCGATGGACGAGGGTTGCGGGCAGGATAGTCGTGGTGTTATCAACTCTGACGACAGCGTTGCCTGCGTCGTTCACGTAGGTCAGGCTCTTCTGGTGCGCGCTTGGTTGATCAAGATACGTGACATTGCCTGTGTGTAAAGATGAGTTGAGCGCTCTACATAGAACTCTTGAGCGAACGCACCCCAGGTTGTATTATCCACATCTCCATAGTACGACCACCTATCAAAGAACGTGGATCCCGCGTACTCCCGCAGAGGATTGTAAATGGCGTTCGTTTGCCCGAGAAGACAGGCAAACGCGAAGAAAAGGGTCGTCCCCCTCATGGTGGGTAGGAAGAAAGCGTTCAGACATCGCGCTTGACGGGGCCAGAGCGGTTTTGTATAGCGCGAAGAAGACTCAACATGATTTCCGGTTTGGCCAAGTTTATCCCTGGAACGCGTGGGATGGATCAAAACGGTTCCTGTTCTGCCCACCACGGAGACTTCATCCCGCTTCTCTTGATCCTGCAAGTTCGCAAAATTCAACATTAGAGGCCACGAGGCAAGGCCAGAGCTTCGACCTCCAGCACAGTTTTGAGCTCGACTCCTGAAAACGTCTGAGGTAAGTTTAAGAAAATCATGCTGCTAAAGTTTTGCCAGCGCTTTGAAAGCTTTATAGTTTTATTGCTTTAGTGGCGTTATCTGTTGGTGTTGAACATAATTCCGAAGTCACTTTCACGATAAATTTAGGCCAGTACACTAGGTTTTAAATGGCAAAAGCCTTGTTCGTTATCTGACCTTTCAACTCCTAGATGCATCCACATCGCAGTGAGGGCGTCTCCGGGTTTCTCGGGGCCCAGTGGACGTACGGCCCACAAGCATCATAAACAGGCCAAACAGGAGACGCTCCCAAATGTGTTGCTCCGAATAGGTTTTCGAGGCAGAAAGGAAATCTTGGCCAGCTGCCCAGCACCGCAGGAGACTAGCAGGCAGATCTTCCTGCCAAAAGTTCCCCATCGCAATTCATCTCGCCTGCTCACCTCCAATGTCGTACGACCTGCTAGGCTGAAATCCGTTCACTGAGCCACTATCGTGCTCTTCGCTCTTCAGCGCCGCCGCCGCTGAACGGAAAGGGTCATATTATCACTATCCCACTCCCAGCATACTTCATCTTTCACACTCAAAATCAACCCTCTCGACCTCTCCGTCGACGGGCCGATAGCGTTCACTGTCAAGAGCGTCAACTCTCTGGCATCGCACTTCGGTTTCGCCGCCGGCATTGGGCTCGTGACCGAGGGCTATAGATCGTGATCAAGGAGGCGCCAGCGGCCAGTTCAACCTACGTTTGCAGATAACGCGAATAGTGGGCAGCGGCGTGCGTTCCCCCACAGAATTACCCTCAACGTACCGATTGAAAGTCACGTCCACCTCGACGGTAGTGTTCTCAAGATTTTCTCTGCACAGCTGTACAGGTAATGCGCCTTCGAATTCGATGTGGCGGATCGTCGAACTTTCTTCTTACCCACAGAGTTATTCCTGCGATCTCATGCGTCATCGAGGAAGGAGGGTGGAGAATCGATAACTCTGTGTGGCACTTGCCTGGCCTGATAAGCCTCTGTCAGCCTGCGCCATCGGTCCGTGCGCAACGGTACGCCCCATCTCTGAATACGGAAATTGTACCCCGGCGCCTCCTCACTGTTGTTTGCGCGTCAAAAAACAATTGCAACGGTCGGCCAAGCTTTGAAAATAGCCTGTCTTATCTGTCGCCGTGCTCCACCGTTCGCGGCACATGTCCGTGCCCGCTCAAACGTCGCCTTGCCGTTCACGTCCCTTTTAAGCTCTTGTAAAGGTCTTCATCACAGACTCTCTGCTACCTCACAACGTCACCTGCGCTATGGGTGTCTGTCACATTGACGAAATGAACGATGAACGCGTGCTTCTTGTCGTCTGGGTGCACCTGGGACTCGGGCTCTTCTGACCGGATCGCCATCCTCCGTACGTCCGTCCCCTACCTCCTTATGGTTCTCTGCGATGCGCGTCTAATCACGCACGGCGGTTGCTGATCATCAGTGGATTGACTCGGAGACTCTGCGCGGTGCGTACGGCTCTTTGACCATTGACGTACGTGCGTCAGTCAGTTGTCACTGTCGGTGCTCGCTGTTCAGCACGGATCTCGTTGAGCAAGGATGGATTGAAGGCCCTTCGTGAGCTCGAGTGACTCTGGGGGTTAATATCCTGCTGCCTTCGCGCTCGGGGCAGATTCGAGGCACTCTTTGACCAGCAGGGGTTGATGTTCCGTGTTCTTGGCACTCAACGTCTTCGCCGTACGTACGGTGCCGGTTCCTTAGCCTCTCAATGAAAGCCTACTTCTGCCCTGAACCCAATTTCTGACTATAGGCGCGACTATCACCGCTGGTTGTCATTTTGGCACAGACGGAAATGGCTGTCGACCTTGGGTGGCCCTCACAGTGGGATGCTAATAACTCAATGCAGCGACGACCGATCGTATATCGTCTCCGAGAACGAGCATATTCTGCGTATGTCATAGATGGTCCTGTGGTGGCGCTAAACGCTCGAGGAGCTCAAGGGCAGATAAGCTCGTTTTCATTGTGAAGATGTAAACGAAGCGCACAGTATCTCAGCCTAACAGTATCCCTTCCTCGATGGACGTCACCTTCTCTTTCCAATTCGATAGCAGCATACACTTGACCCCGATCCTTTCCCCACCCCACCCTCCTCCGTGCCTTCGGGACAACGCCATCGTGTCCCGAACACCGCATCCGCTTTCAAAATGCGCAGAATCAATGCGGTACGGCTGAACCGGGGCTGTAAATGTACTAGTGCTCGGATTAGGTCTCGGGGCTCGCAGAGAGGCTAGGATGCGTGTCCTTGTCTGACATGACATCAAGTACGACGACATCGCGGCTGGGGCGAGACTCGGACGCGACACGGAGACGAAATGGGTGTTCATGCATGTACATTTTGTAGTAGAATGGGTCCGTCGAGGGCGTCTGTCCAGATACTGCTTGAGAGGGAAGGGCTGTTGCGGAAGGGCAAGATGCTGTCCTCTTCGTATGGCTCGCTGACAATGACATGTAGTCTAGCTGAGCGCTTCCCCAGCTATGTGCGGCTCTATGGGAACTGAATTCAGGGACGGGACGGCCAATGCAAGATATTTATATTTTCGAGAATCAAGATGGAAAGAAAGATATTCGGCGAAGACCACATAAGGGGGTTTTCCTCAGTTCATGCTTTTAGTATGTTCTTACACATTCCACCTTAGATACTGCTAAGCCCATGCAGCCCAGACGTATGAAAGATCGGAATCCCTGGTGATCCTTAAGAACATCTGTGTCGGCCGATAATTTTACATAACTTCGAAAATGGGTCATCAGATCTGGGCTTAACTTTCTGACAGAGGCGCACGTCGTGCACCAGATCCTATCACGGATCTGGTGGCGCACGCCATTGTCTACCAGGATGCACGAAAACATGAAAGCAGGAGACGATTCGCACTGTTATTTGACACCCACTCCCCAGGATGTCGTAACCGCCAAACGATAAGGTTGAGAGGGATCGAGAGTTGGGTCCAATCAGGAAGGTGAAGAAAAGAAGCGAGGAACATGAGGCGGAGAGGCTCTATTTTCGGGAGGAATCGACGCGAACTCGGTGAGCTTCTGGCTTCTGAGCGGCTTTGAAGTTTAGTGGAAGAATAGGAAGTCACCGAATACTGAGCGGATGTAATGCAGCGAAACAGTTCTTCTTGAAGAAGTGGTAGTTGGAGGGATAAGGGACTAGCGTGGTAGCTAACGAGGCTAGTTCATCTTCTTGACAAAGCCTGCAATTACAGTGGAAAATCATTTTTTATCTATACGCATAATTATGTTCGAACACTCAGGTTCCCCGAGAAACATTGTATGTCAAATGGATCTTCGGGCTGTTTAAAAGGTATGCTTAGCGCGGGTAGTGTGGCTGTGCATAAACCAGCGCTTTCTTCTAGAGAAGGTACAAGTCAGAGTTTTGAATATCTCAAGACCTCCTCTTATGCGGGGAAAGCTACTTGCGTGGGCCTTTGTTCGCATCGGGAATTCGTGGTTCTGTGAACACTCCCACGAAGGAGGTAAACGAACGCGTTCCCCAATGCGCTCTTGTCCGGTATCTCAGATTTAACAAAAGAGAAGTGTCTCGATCTTCTCCAGACTAATCTGTTTGACTCTGGGTGTCTGTGTAACTACTGTCATGGGTGATGCAAAGACTACGAGCCTGGCCAGTAAGCTAAGATTCTAGTCATCTAGACATCTCGATGTGCTGTGAATATCGAAGTGAGGTGAAGTAAAGCGAGAGAAAGTAGGGTGCAAAAGCATGTACAGCGTTTAAACGGGCTCGGAGAAGAGAAGGCTGCAGGACGTTGGTGTGACTACGGCCCGAGCCGGATGTAAATTGGAGATAGTGGCTAGGTGAAAAAAGGCACGATTTCAACGCATCTGCGGGCCTTCTGAGAGTACTTTCTGGTTTATTCAGCTCCGGGCACCTAGTGGCGCGTGTATAGAACCGTATTGGACGTTGGTTAGATGCCGAAAGCGGCCGACGCGACCCAGACGCGTGCCACGTGACCTCCGGAAGCGGCATCTGAATAGCTCGATCCGGAAGTGACGTACGGCGGAGAATGAAAAGGAACTTGTGCTCTCGACGCGACGGGCACAGCTGTTCACTCGACCTCTGCCCGCAGATTGGCGTTCGCGACAAATTAGACACTTTCATGGGGATTTGTCAGCCACTCTTCCGGCGTATATATACTCGCCCGCCCATGTTCGAATCTACACCCCTCCTTCTTTCCTCCCGCCGCCATCTCCCTCGCTTCCGCCCCCTGCAGCGTCGCAGGTCCCCTCATCGCGTCCCGCCATTCACGTTCTATCTATCTGACGCCCACGATGTCCTCTGCGATCCAACTCTCCTCCGTCTGGCTCCTCCGAAACCTCTTCTTCATCGTCGCCTCAGTCGTCTTCACGTATCTGCTCATTCGGATCATATACAATCTTTTCCTTTCCCCGCTTAGCGCGATACCCGGCCCATGGCACTATGCCATTTCTGATCTTCCGCTCATCTCTCACGTCGTTCGTCTGCAGCAGTGCAAGACCGTGCAGTCCCTCTTCGACACTTACGGTCCCGTTGTCCGCGTAGGGCCCAACAGGGTCGTCTTTCGAGATCTCTCCACTATGCGGAACGTCTACTCAGTACACAAGTTCGACAAGAGCAACTACTACAAGAGCCTTCTCACGTATGTCTCCCTTCGTATCCAGTCCCCGCTGAACTAACTTTTACGCCTTCCCCAGCAACGACAACGATCACGCGTAAGTGAATCGACGCATATATGCGCTTATTTCACCTTATTTTGTCTATGCTAGTATGACCACTCTCGATCACGCTAGTCACACTATCAAACGAAAGTCCTACGCTCCTCACTACACGCACAGCAGCGTTGCTCAGTTTCAACCTGAAATGCAGGAATATACCTTTGAGCTTATCAATGTGAGTAATGCCCATTGCGATGTCGCCTGGGTAGCTTTTATGCTTATATGCCGTTTCAGACCCTGGAGAGTATCTCTGGGAAAACTCCGGTGGAGTGCCTGGCCCTCTTCCGACACCTAATGGTTGATGTGGTGGTTTCTTCTTCTTTCGGTTATCGCCTCGGAGCAGTAGGCAAGTGGGCCATGGACGTCGAAGATCCCCTTTCCACGGCGATAAACGACTTCCCCAAACGCGGAATTCTGGTAAACGCCTAAACGATTTCCGCTGGCATTTCTGGGCTGACAGCATTTCTCCTCTTAGCGCAGCGTTGTTCCCACTTGGGCCTGGAACCTTGTTTGTCGAATCCCCAATAACCGCTGGAAGCAGCTTTGCGATTCTGACAAAATTCTTGCCGAGGTAAGTCTAAAGTTCCAAATATATGCGCACATTTCCGTGGTTGACGGGTGCGTCTGTGCAGTTCGTGAGCGGTCGCGTATACGAGATGCGTGCACAGATGAACGCTGGAAAATTTGGCGACTCCGAGAAGCTTTCCATGCTTCAGCGGCTGCTGAAGTATCGATATTCCCCAGCTGAACAAATGCCTGACCATGATATCATTTCGGAATGTATCGGACACCTGTGAGTCGTTTACTGCTCTAATTTTGCTTCTCGTTATGGAACTCTAACGCATGTATGCAGAATGGCTGGAACTGACACTACGTCCACGTCCATTTCGTACCTATTTTGGGAACTCAGTCGCCGTCCAGACATCATGAAAAAGCTTCAAGCCGAACTCGACGACGCCATGCCGGACTCCAAGGTACTGCCTGATATCACGGTTTTACAAGAGCTGCCCTACTTCAGCGCATTTTTGAAAGAAGGTACGTCGTCGTGTACCTTGATTTCACCTTGCTCTCATGTAACTCCAATGATACCTAGGTCTTCGTCTTTACACCGCTGTCCCCAGCCTTCTTGAACGCGTGGTCCCGACCTCGACTTCGAAGAACGGGGCGTCAGATGAGATCTTTGACCTGATGGGCTATGCCCTTCCCCCAGGAACGATTGTGGCTACGCAGGCGTGGTCCATGCATCGTGATCCCTCTGTTTTCCCTTCCCCAGAAACCTTCCTTCCAGAACGCTGGCTCGAGAGCTCCTCTACTCCTCCAGAGGATCTGGCGAGGATGGCGGCGCATATGATGCCTTTCGGAACTGGAAGCCGGATTTGTGGCGGCCAGAACCTGGCTCTTATGTTGCTGAAGATGGCCATCGCCGCTTTTGTGCGCAATTTTGATATTCGAGCACCTGCTGAGACGGACGAAAGGAGCATGGACATCAAAGATAGCTTTGTAAGTGACGCTTGTGGCCATCTTCTCTTTCTGACGTTTGAACAGGTGATTTTCCCGAGCGCGATGGAGTGCAAGCTGATCTTCACCCCGCGCCAACTGTAATTTCCTCTTCCTGCGTCATCCGATTCGTTCTTCCTCGCCGCGAGACCTCCAATAATCACACCACTCTGATGTTAAACCCATTTTTAATCGAGTGCTTTTCTTTCTTTTATGTTCACCGCATCGTCGTCGTTATTACTTCACGCTCTCTCGCTTTGCTATCGGCACATCTTCAACACCATTAATTTCTTGCCTTCCTTATCATCTTTGTTTCGCGTCTTGATTTCAAGTGTTGTCTTTTCTCATCCTTCAAACATGCGCAGGTCTGTTTGCGTGCTCCTTGGATAATCCTATGATGTATTCTGTGTTTTCCTACGCTATTATCTTTGTGTAATACCCTTCGATCTTACGATCCAGTATTAACTTATTCGCATCCTTCGTAGTTTTTCTACTGAAGCTAATTATTTACTTCGTATTTTTATACCGTCTGTGAAACTGAATGTAGCCAATAGTCTACTCGTCTCTCCCTTCGGAAGAAGAATGGCGATTTCCTACTTCCGTTCCTTTTCCTCCCTCTTGCTAACGACTTTCCCCCCCAGATATATTGCGCTTCGTCGTGAAGGCCAAATTTGAATGCTCAACGATTTTCCGAAGCATCTCGCTATCCTGGAATTGAATCTCTCTGGAGCTTATCCGACCCGGAACCTCGTCTGGAGAAAAATGATCTGCTTTACCATTGGCCTGATAATATTTCCAGTAGATGATGACCGTCTTCAAACGATTCTCAAACCGAAGTGCGCCCTGTAGAGCACTTTCTCATCTCCGGGCCGCAACCGGACCATTCGAGAACCGGTTCGAGGTATGGACTGGTTCGAAATTTCCTGCGGTCCCTATTGGCTGAATCGGTCCCTCGTGATTCGGTTTAGCCCAGTTCGTGCGATTGGGCACGCGATATGATTAATGACCTGCTCTTTAGCCGAAGAGACAGATGCTCGGCCGCTTTCTCATCGACTGCGACATCGTCCGACATTCGTCTTGCCCAACCTCGGCTGGTTATTTCTCCTTTCAATCAGGCAACGAAAGCTCCTCAACGTAGAAGAAGTCAGGGAGAGGGATTTACGCACAACCTGCAGGTGAGCACAAGCCATTAATATTAAGCTGCGTAATCGCACGGTGGTTGAGGGCATTGGGTTAACGACCACGAAGATAGGTGATAGATACAGACAATCTCGAAGATCCGGAAGCCTTCGAGCAGCTCTGCAATAGACAGCGATCCAGTCTATCGATCAATCACCCACATCAGCCGCACACCTGTACCCCACGCACACGAAAGCTTCGGGGTACTTTGACTCTTGACAGCCTCGAGGCATCGAGCAGACTGCACACGATTCCCCTGTTCGTATTCTCGGAGGATCGGGATATACACAAGACAGAAGAGAGACACTGAAGATGCCGGCCCCAGCAGTGTATGTCCTTGCTATCTTAGGGACTGTCGGTGCTGTTTTCGCATTCAAGGAGGTGCGTATCTCAAATTGCGTTGACCTGGGATCCTCTTAATCTCCTTTCTTCGTCCCAGTTCGTTTATGAGCCGCACATAGTTCCAGCCTTGGAGAGGTGGAAAGCCGAATATGACGCACGGCGAGAAGCGAGGAGGCGGAGGGGAGCGCCTATTGAGGTGCCGATGAGTGAGAGAAGACATTCAGAGACGAACGACTCCCCCAACGATGAAGACGACAGTGGTAACTCTGCCTCCGCAAGCGGCCCTAGCACTTGGAGAAGCGAGTTTATGCGAAATGGACTCCTTAGACGCCGGGGTGCTAGTGCGCAGCCTCCTGTGCATGCTACTGGAAGAGACGTCGAGCTCGAGAGCCTCGTTGCACCCGAGGTCAGCGCGTGGAGGAATGCAACTTCGAACGGTGCTGCTCAAGATGTCGGGCAACGAAGCAGCGCAAATCTACTGGATCAGAGTAGCCATTCAATCGACGAGGTACGCCTCAGCACCTTCGTTACCTTTTACCTTACTTATGATTACTTCTAGTCCATCCACGCAATTCCGTACCCCGCTCTGTCTCCCACCCATGCACCTCATCATGTTCTGTTCGACTCTTCGATGAACTCGCCTCTGAGCACGACTCCCTCCAGTCATGCAAGTGGTTTGCCATCCATGCCTGCGTCGCCTGCCCCAGGCACGATGTATACCGGGACCCTTCCCTCCGGTACTAATTCGGGAACTCCAGAAAGGAATGCTTCAGAGGAACCACAACCACCGCAGCCTCACTTAACGCACCCGTCCGGACCAGAACCACAGGTTGATTCTAGTCGTCGGGCTACGCCATCTCCGCCACCAATTTTCGTATCGTCTGTTCCCCTCGTGCCATCGCCACCACCAGCCAGGGTTCCATCGCCTCTTACACCCCCACTTTCGACCTCCTCTTCTCTGCTTCCGTCTCCTCCAGCTCCCGCGCTTATCGAGAGCGCCGTCAGCGAACCACCTACCAACGAGTTTGCTCTCCTACACCAGCTTCCTCGCCTCGGGTTCAGAACCAGCAGCAGGACGTGCTGTCGCCTTTGCAACTCAGCGTTTTACCACCTTCGCCTTCTAGTCGAGCTTCTAGTCCAAATTTGACGCCTACTTCTCCTGAGGGACCTGTGTCTCCAATCAGCTCACTCCCTGCACCAGTTCCTGTCCCGGCCACATCCGACCTTCAAGGATTCACGGATAGCCATGCAACCCCAACGGCAAACCAGTTCCAACACCCGTCGTACTCGATCCAGCAACCAATTCTCTCGCTGTCTCAGTCCTATCCACAAGAGCTAGATTACGAGCAAGGACTCGAGCTCCTCTCTCCACCTTCATCACGCGCCGAGTCTCCTTTCTCGATGGCAGATTACAGCCCAGCAGCCAATTTCCGCTCGTTCAGTCCTCTCGGCGTGAACACGAACGTAAGACCGGAAAGCAGTCTCAGCCCCCTGAGCTCCGTTTCGGCTTCCTCGGCCTTCTCTAGTGTCTTTTCCTCGCCTGAAATGACCCACTCGCCGATTAGGATGGGATTGGGTAACGAAAGCTTCGATACGCTGTCGCCTGTAATGCAGGCAAGGGCCTTCAGCGGCCTTGGAGCGGCAGACAGGGCTGTCACATCGCCTTTTGCTGATCCTGTCGACTCTCCACGCTCTCTCCGAGCTTCTGTCAGCCCGCAGCCCTCATATAGTCAAACGAGCTCTGCGCAGAGCACGACGTATCTTTCGCTGAGTGGGTCAGACGACGATGAATCGGAGCTCTACGGACCGAATACCCGCGCGGATCAATCGACGGATCAAGGCCTCGGCTTGACACTGTTCCCGACATCCGTCTCCGCGTCTACGCCGACTGCTTCGTCCGCTATTCAGCCCAGGAGCCCCGGAGCTCAGACCCAAATTCAGAATCACCCGCAGAGTGATAGCGAGTTCTCCGATTTGGATTTCCTGAGTGATGTTGCTGGGACTGAGTCGGAGGCCGAAAGCGAGGAAGGATGGAGCGTGGCTGGCTCGGAGCAAGGGCTGAATCGAGCTTCGAATGCTAATGGAGCTGCTGCATTGGATAGGAATGAGACGATTAGAGCTCGTGGCGGAGCTTTTGGCTGGAGGAGGTAGGAGGCCCAGCGTCAATGATCCAACGGAGGACGAGCATAACAACGACAAGCCACACTCCAACGACACAACGAGAGCCAAACAGAAGAGACAATTGCCCATCTCCGCCACACCACTTTATCGGTTTCCCACTGTCTCGCAAACTAGCCTTGGATAAGTTCGTGTCTCTCATGGTCTTTTACCCCACCTGAATGGATTCAACTGTTATTTAAGTCCCTTTTCATTTGCCTCCCTGTAGTCTTTTTTTCGATTTTCCCATTCCATCCATACACACACGATACAATACGTCATCGCATCGCACACATTCTGTTTCCTTCTTTATCTTTTCCCAGTTCTCTTTCTCCTTCTTCGTCTGTACAACCCCAATTCCTGTGCTATATCCTATAGTTACCGCCATCTACTGAATCTGTACTCTTACCCTTTCATCCCGCTTTATTCCACTTCGTCTCGTCAAATTCAGGGTCTGCATATCTTTTTTCCCTCCGTCTTTTCACTGTACAATCTCCTCGAATCTCTTTACCTGTGCAGGTTCGTTTTTCCCTCACAAATCCGGTTTTCTGCCCCTTTATTCTATTGATATATTATACGTTCACAACATCGCTATCCATGGGACTCTCACTGGAATCTGTTCTCATCATAGCTTCTTTCCCCTTCCTATCGCGGCCCGTAGAACTACTGGTTCCCAAAGCTTTCTTCCTTTCTGTACAATTTCCTGCATCGTTTCTCTGCGTGCCTGGCACCTCTTTATTTATGTAAATCCAACTTGTACTAGCCGTTGAATCAGCTTTACGAGTCCCAAGCACCTATCGGTAGCCTCCCGATCGGCCGCCTCTCCGCCGATAACATCTCACTGAAGCCGATGTAGTACGCGATAAGCGCTGTTATAATCCCGAATACCCCTCCGGCCTTAGTCAACCTGGATACCCGAGATGAGAGCCAGGTAGAAGAAAGTGAGTGTAGGCTTACACTGCCTTCCCGGTAAACTCTGCAGAAGCCAACAGAATAAATGCGATAGTAAGCACGGAGAGGAGGATGACGAAGGAGTTGTTCTTGCGAATACAGACCAAGCTGTGCCAAGCAATATTGAACCGCTTTCACGATCAGGAAATCGAGAAGGTCAACGTACGCGAAGAGGAAAGTGACCATGAACCAAGTAACGAGATAAATTCCGAGCGCATTTCTAAGCCCTTGAGGGTCGTTGTCGTACGCAGCGAGGATGCCAGAAGCAGGAATGAAGATTGTGGCGTAGGACATCCAGAAGCAGCCATAAGAGGAAAAGGCTGTGTGGCGCCATCAGGGGCGATCGTTAGCGAGGGAGATACGTGGATGGGATGCTCAGATGGCCGCAATCATGATGCTTACCTGTGGCTCCAAAAACATTTCCTCGAGGGAACTCCCACATACCTGCCATGAATTGGAGGAGCCCGCCAGTAAAGATGGCCATGCCGACGACAACATTGGGTTCGTGCACGCCGCGGACGTTGACGTTGTACATCGAAAGCATGAAGGTCGTTGACGCAAATGAGAATATACCTCTGAGAAAATAAAATGTAACGTCATCCTGAATGTTGCAGAAACTGGGAAGAAAGAACTCACGCGGGTGCAGGATTGGCGATCCTCGAAGGGTAGGCCTTTGGGCCAACTGGACTGGTCGGCCTGTCAGACCCAGCCTCCTCGACTTGGAGATCGTTCGCCTTTTCAGAAGACATTTTTCTCGTTGCTTTATTGCCCTAGAGATATGTGAGACCAGGGAGCGCGGAAAGAGGAGTGGCGATGGCGTTCTCTCTGGACTGCATATATTTATACGATAGTCATCGAGTCTTCTCATCGTATCTTCTCCAGAACAGAACGGCAAGATATCCGTTGGGTGAGTGTGCCGAAGAGTGAGAGAGAGGAAGTAGCGGAGAGGAACGGGAGAACAGGTTCTCTGTGAAAGGAATGCTAGGAACGTTAAGAATCAGCTTCTGCATCGATAGGCAGAAATGTAGGCCGCCCCCACACTGGGGAAGAAAGGTTCATCGAACTGGACATATACAGCGTTTGGATTAGTGATTCATCTAGTGGGGAATACGATACGAATATACATGGATAGATACTGCACCAGTCCAATGCATGTGGTCTTGTCATCGGCATTCCGCCAGGCGGTCTGTCAGCAACTCCATCATGAGAAGCATTTCTCGAAGTCTCCATCGCCGTTATTCCTGGCATACGCCTGACTCGTGACGAAAGCCTCAAGCTCGCAAAGTCCATCTCCCTTGGCACCACAAAACTCAAGAGGCTGCAGGGCGTCGTTGACCAAGATCCTCACATAACTCGCCGAGTTCTTGCCACCCTTGACTCCCGCCGATCCATGCAACTTCTTGCACGTCAAGCGCTCCGTGACCATCCGTCCGCTGAAAGGCGTCAGGCGACTAGTCACCCAGGTCCTCTCAGGATCAGGTTTGGCGGGATCGAGCGGCTGCGGCTGAGGGAAGAGCCCGATCGCAGCGTAGATGGCGATCATCTGGTTGTCGTGCGAGAAGTCTGCGTAGATCGTGCGGTTGAGCGGGAACGTGGCCGGATCGGCGTCGAGAGTCCGGTTGGTCTGCGTCTCGTCTTGCACGGGCGTCTCCGTCAGGCGCGCGAGGAGCTCGTTGACATAGCCGACGCCTTGGACCGGGCCTAACTCCTGTCCATATCTATCAAGTCAAGCAAGGAGAAACAATAGAACGTAAGCAGCTGCCAATGACTGAATGATACAGGGACCGAAAACGCACCCAGTGCCATAATACTTATCCAAGTCCCCGTAGTACTCGTACTGAGCAAACTCGGCGGGCGTGAAGAGGTCACAGAACGGGCTCGGCGCTTTCCGCACGATGGAGTCGAAAGCGCAAAGCGGCATCAGGAATGAAATGTCTGTGGCGGTGAGATTGGCGCCAAGTGCCTGGGCGTTTAAACGAGTGGCGATAGGCGCGCCAAAGATGTTCGTCCAGATCTCCGTTTGGGCGTCTGAATCGCCTGCGTTGGGGCACATATTATCGTCGAGGGTATCGTTACGCTGGAGAGTAGAGCAACATAGAGCAACAGTTAGCATGTTTCAGACCAGAGAGAGGTGTATCACGGACGTCTTCATCGAGGATGACAGATAGTGGCGGGTTATACACACGGTTGCTTGCCAAAGAGAAACCTGCCCGAAGCCGAAGGGGTGAGATCGCGATTAATGGCATTCGAGTCGGAGAGGGACGAACCAGCAGTCCAGTTCGTCGCAGAGTCGACGACTCGTTGCCCGCTGGACGACCTTACGAATGGGATATTCCTCTTGGAAACCAATTTGGAGTATCGATAATAGGAGCGAGCGCCAGCCTCTGCGGATCTACAGCCACAATCCCACAATTAGCACTCCCCGCAGGAGACAACGCAGATTGGCAGCCCCGTTTCACGTACTGGAGCGCGCCAAAGGGGACTAGATCTGCGACTCCTAGCGAATACGTGTAGTTGCGGAGGAAATCCAATCGCGGGTCCGTGTACGAGGTTGCAGCTAGCAGCTTGTTGACTGCAGCTACGATACCCATGGTGGCGCCTGATGTAGGGAACCTCGCCCCATGCCGTTGAATCTTGACAGGATTCCGTATTTCAGCAATCTGATCAGATCATGCGGGAATAGCGACCTTACAATGTTCACCTGAGCAAAAGTGACGTTGGGTCGAGTCAGTAACAGCGCCCATCGACCGAGTGATGAGGTGCTTGTCGTACTCACTTGGGTGATCTTACAATCGGATGGAGGCGATCTGTAGGGCTCCGCCGAGAAGTACGGTGTGTACGCTGCCCAGGAATGCAATATGTCTGGTGGAGCAAGAACGATGCCGTCAGAGCCCTCCATTACGGACCCAGCTACACTCCCAGACGCTCGACATAGCAGCGCGCCACCAGTCAAGACGAGCCATAGCGCGCCCGTAGTCATCAACATAATCGGAATCGCAAAGAAGAGAGCGTTGCGTCTGTGGGCGGGGTGTAGGAAGGACGACGCTGGATCTTCCGCGAAACACATCGTCTGATATAGGGCTTCCTCGCTGTCCCACGTCCATCGTTTCTCGCGTCGGTGAGGGGTCCGAACGTCCCTTTTAGCGTCGGAAGAGCAGCCACGCTCGCATGGATGCAGTGATCTGGAAGCTTCCGATGTATAAAATCGCATTTGCGGTGATAGCAGCAACGGCTGGACTTCGATCGTGCGGGGTTCTTCATCCTCGAATATGGACGACCCATGTGCGTGTTTTTGACTTGTGAGCATCGTGGAGACCGTATCCGAAGTCCCTCTGATCATCCGAATCGAAAGGATTGCTGAAGGTGGTGGGTGTCTTGATTAGACCTTGGAGGAATAGGAGAAGAGATGGATGGGAAGGAGGGAGATGGAGCGATGCCTTGACGGACATGATCATACCAAGTCCATTGTATGCATGACACGAAGAGTGGGGCTGGCTTCGGGCCTACTGCTGTACGTATTGGAGCAGACAAGCACGTTTCTGACGACCACAGCCCGTGCGGTCGCGGAAAAGCCAATCGGTGCTCGCACGTGGAAACCGGCGTATGTTGTCTGGCAGCCCTAAAATATAACATAGGCTCCTGAAGGGGTTTTCGGTCGAATTTGACCCCTTCTTCAGTTCCTGCTTGGCGGTCGACAAAAGCCAGCCTGTTCATCGACCCTTCAAAGCTTCAAGCTTCAAGTTTCGCGGCCCGTTTATCTGCAAGAACGCGGAATTTTCTGCAATAATTGTGGGATTAGTTCAACATGAATCCGCGAAATGTGAGTCTGAGAAACATCCCATTCATGAAAGCTCGCATTCAATCAAGTGTCGACAACGTTCCACGTTGGATGTCGTCTTCTGAGCATACGGCTTTCGGACAGCTGCTATGAGAAAACGTAACATGTGCTCTCAGGCCCATGAGGGTTATTTTTAGACCTGTATTCAGGTAAACGCTGAGCAAACGTGCAGAAGAAGTCACTTACAACGAAAGACAACTTGCTTAAGGTAAGATTTGCTGAATACCCAGTGGCAGACCAGCGTGCTCATCGATAACGCGTTTTATCAGCCAGCACATCAACCTGCGACACGAATTCTCGGTAGATGCGTATTTTTGGGGATACGAATTCGAAAAGGAGGGGATAGCATTGCTGATGGGCAACAGATGACATGTTTGAGAAGGGCTAGATGGGAGTTGCTTCCAAAGGTCTGTTCGCATGTTGGCCTCTTTGACCGTTGACGCCGTGGTGGCGGGAGAAATGTTGACTAAAATAGCCGGAAGGTCACACCCATTGTCGGGCCGGACATACCGACTCGATAAATTACACTCAGAACCAGAAGTTGCCGTAAAAAAGTTAGAATAAAGGGTTGAATGCACGATTCCTGGAATAAAAATGCTCTCCGTGGATGGTTGCCTCAAGAATATTCCTGTGGGGCTTTCACCATGGGCACTTCGATTCGAGTTCTGGTCGAGGCTGAATGACACAGAGGATTACAAATAACTCCCTCCTCGTTCTATATCTTTGGGATGCGTATTGACCCAGGTACCCCCTCTGGCTGTTTACCACCAGCATCAAATCGACAAATTCTGTCTCTCGGGATAGCTGGCCCATAGCTGATAGTTCGTTGATCCCACAATGGGCGATTTTCGCCAGAATCTTAGTACCACCATCGATCCAACCACACTTCCGAATCCTTATACACCATCGGCATTTTTGACTCCCCAGGAGGCGTTCCAGTCAAACGTTATGGTCTATATCACAGTTTCTTGTTTGGCTGTAAGGCGTCCTACATTCAGCTTACAAAAGGCTGATTTATACTTTCCAGATCATCATTTGGGACATACTACATTCCCTCTCAGACGAATTAACGCTGGCTTTTAAGCAGCGCATCAGAGCGCCAATACTGGTTTATTTTTTGTCACGGTAGGTTTTGTCAATAATAATCACATCATTGATTTTGAGTAGTCTTCAGATATTCCACCCTAGGCTATCTTCTAGGAAAGACCATCCAGCTAAGTATGTTGCTTCTTCCAGTGGACGCTGCTGATCGCCCAACTCACAAATACACAACAAGCAATGGAGCTCCCGGATTGCTCCCTTGTCCAGATAATTATGAACACCTTCTACACCCTCACGCACGCTACAAGGGGGCTGCTTTTTTATTTCCGCGTCTGCGGCGTATACAACAATCACCCATTCGTCCGCATTTTCTTCGGGGTCTCCTGGCTCGCAGTGGCTGGAGGGTTGTCGGTAACATTCAAAAGCATCGTCGGCTTGAACATCGGTTCGACGCGGCACTGCACCTCCAAGATCATACAGAGATACATCGTGATTCCATGGTGGATGAGCATGATGAATGACACGCTGGTACTTGTGGCCATAATGTGGAAGCTGAGCTCTGCGGTAGTGGAGTTAGAAATGATGAAGGGAGATGAGAGGCAGGACCCGCAAGGCCCTCATAGGAGAAGGCCGGTGCGGCAACTGGACTGGCGCGCCTTCAAAGTCCTAATTAGGCGCCCATCCCGTTGGCAGCATCTGACGGAGGCGTTCCTCCGAGACACTCAAATCTGCTACCTGTGAGTAAACTTCCGTCTGTTGTCGGGTCATTACCAGGTCCACCTCATATAATGTTCCGCGCAGATTAGCAGCCTTCATGAAAGTCGCCCTTTTAATCACCTTCTTGGCAATTGGAGGTCTACTGTCAACAGCTCCGCACCGCCTTATGCTTTCCTACCTGGACACAGCCGTGGTAAACATCATAGTATGCCGCGTGTACAGAAACATGAAGGTCAGGCAACCTGGTCTCTTATGGGTTTCCAGAGACAGCACCGTTCCGGACATCCAGTTTAGATCACCCACAGCGAGCAGCGAGGACGTATGACTACTCTGACTAGAGTATAATTCTGTCTAAATTGCAGAGTACATTTTTTCCAATGGGTAACCGAGGGCTTCGAAAGTTTGTTGAAAGTCATAGGCGATATAAAAAACCTCTGAGGACCTCAGCCCGCGGGCTTTCACAGAAAGCTTGAACCCACCGTACTGCATCATGCTACTTAGTCTTTCGTTAGGGGTACGCGTACAGTCAGCAATCGCGCCCATTAAAGGGTTTTACTTTGTGTCGTGTCAGGTCGCGTCGCGCCGTTTTTTTATTTGAAAGCCGCGTGAGAAACTGTCATGATCGGGCTGCCACAGTTCCACTGCCAGCAGGTACCGAAGCAAATCCTCGTCAACTTTTCCCTAAAACCGCATTCGAAGAAAATAATCCGGAATGAATGGTGAGTTTCGCACTCAAACAAAGATAACCCAGTTCGACTCCTGTCAGTTTGTTCTGTCCCGTCACGTTTTTGTTGGGTTCAAAAGCACAGTAAATCTGATCATGGAGTCGGAAGCACAAGACATACCTAGCTAAATCGATGACTGCTAGATGCACTCTAGCACTTTTCAGATGAAGTCTGATCGAGAACATCCTTGCAATTGAACAAGGCACTCCGGGGCATGTCTGGACGCATCGTGAGCGGTCTTCTCGACTCCCTCGACATGTCGTTCGACCACCCTCAGGTGAGTAGTACATTTGAAGGATAGCGCAAAGGCTAAACGCGCAGTCGAAGATCGCAAAAGAAGCAGCTCCTGAAAGCATCGCCACAGGTAGACGCATGGAACATCAATTGATTCCGCTTGCGCGGCGGAGGCTGGCGGAGAGCAGTCCGGACTTGCCTTGACCGAATGTCCATCACCGACATAAACCCAACTACACAGAAGACAAGGTGGCACGAGATGGGGATTTATACCCAACCGTTGTCGTTGCGTTAGCAAGCTTTCACTTCTCCCACTAACTATCGAAGACGACAGACACCTCGCGGTCACCATCAAGCCAAGCTGAACTCTCCTTCACGAAGTCAGCCACCTCTCTTTCTTCCTCCCACTCTTTCTACGATGACGGCTCTGCGGCGAGCTGGTTGTCTCTTTCCTTTGCTATGGCTTGCGATGTCCTCGTCTTCAGCGTCGGCGGTGACGGCTGGTACCTTCGTCGAGAGCGGTAATACCCTCGTCAGTGCAATGATGGTATGTACTTTTTCGCCATCGTTTTTTTTTTCCTTTTTCCAACCTCTCTTGATAGATGTTTCTGGGCAACGAGGAGAATGTGTACATTCTGGACAAAGCTGAGGGGAACAAGGCGCAAGTGGCTGGCCATCCTGCTTGGGGATCCGTATGGTGAGTCGCTTTGAGATCGCCTTCTCTTCCTCGTCGTCGTGACAGCATGCGGGTTCTAGGAATATGGATACGCATGAAACGGAGGTGATGGACGTCCGCACGAACGTCTTCTGCGCGTCTGGCATGCACCTTCCCAACGGCTCGTTCGTGACCTTCGGCGGTAACGGGGCCGTCGGCGTCGGGGGCAACACAGGATCGCAGGTTGGGATGGACGGGCAAGGTGCCTGGGACGCGACCTATGGGGACTTTGACGGACGCAAGGCGATTCGGATGATAAACCCATGCCGAAAGACGGACAACTTCAATGCTCCCGCCTGCCAGTGGTTCGACGACCCCACGGTGCTGGCGATGAAGCGCAACCGGTGGTACTCGACGGCAGAACCGACGGGTGAAGGGCAAATCGTGATCATTGGAGGCTTTGTGGCCGGAGGGTATGTCAATCGGAACGTCCCGAACATCGATCCAGAGTTCGAGGGAGGAGCGGCGGACTGCACGTACGAATATTTCCCTGCGAAGTCGACGGAGCCCCAGGCGTTCAAGTTCCTGATCCAAACTTCGGGTCTGAATGCCTACGCGCATACATTCTTGATGCCGTCGGGAAAGATGTTCGTCCAGGCGAATGTATCGACGGGTAAGCCTTCTCCGCGTGCGTGCGTGCGTGCTGACTGAGCTGACGCTTCTCCAGTTCTTTGGGACCACGACAACAACATCGAGACGCCGCTTCCCGACATGCCAGGGGGCGTCGTTCGTGTCTACCCAGCGTCAGGCGCAGCTGCCTTGCTCCCACTCAGACCGGAGAACAACTACAACCCGACCGTGATTTTCTGCGGAGGACAGGACATGCCAGAAGGCCACTGGGGCGACTATGCGTTCCCAACCGTCAACACCTGGGAATTCCCCGCTTCGAAGGATTGCCAGAGGATTGCACCAGAGCCAGAGGGTGGTAAAGCCGTTGCGTACGAGCAGGACGATGACATGCCTGAGGGCCGCACGATGACCCAATTCATCGCCCTACCCGACGGCAAGCTTCTTCTGGTCAACGGAGCGCTCAACGGTACCGCTGGGTACTCGCAGCAGACCGGCATCGTCAAGTCGTACGCTGACATGCCCTTTGGCGAGTCGCTCGCTTCAGGACCGACTCTGACACCCGCTCTCTACGACCCCAAGGCGGCGAAAGGCAAACGTTGGTCGACAGAGGGTTTGAGCACCTCTAAGATCCCCCGGATGTACCACTCCACGGCCATCCTCCTCGCAGACGGCTCTGTCCTCATCGCCGGCTCGAACCCCAACGTCGACGTCAACATCACCACCATCTACCCCACCGAATACCGTATCGAGATCTTCTACCCGCCGTATTTCTCGAAGACCCGCCCTGTGCCCACCGGCGCACCCAAGACGATCTCGTACGGCGGGCCCTCCTTCGACATGGTCATCCCCGCGAGCTCGTACTCCGGGTCAACGAACGAGGCCGCCGAGTCCGCGGAGGTCATCATCACGCGTGGGGGGTTCACGACGCACGCGATGAACATGGGCCAGCGGATGCTGCAGCTGAACAATACATACACCGTGAACAAGAACGGGTCGATCACGCTGCACGTCGCGCAGGCGCCGCCGAACGCCAACCTCTTCCAGCCGGGACCGGCGCTGCTCTTCGTCAACGTGCATGGCGTGCCAAGCAACGGATCGTATGTCATCGTCGGGAATGGGCAGATCGGACCACAGCCTACGGCGGCGGCGAGCACGCTGCCTGCGAGCGTCCGTCTCGATTCGGCGTCGGGCTCGGCATCTGGGTCGGGGAGCAACAGCAGCGACAGCGAGGAGTCGGGCATGAGCATGGGTCTTATCATCGGTATCGCTGCTGGTGGTGCCGCCCTACTCCTGCTCGTGGGCATCGTCTTCGTGTGCATGCGCCGCCGGAAGGCCGCCGCGAAACCGCCGTCATATCAGATGTCGACTTCGCCGCCGGGCGGGTACAACATGAAAACCGCCGCTGACTCAAGCTCGTTCGTGCCTATGAACCAGTCGAACGACAGCCGGGCGTGGGCCGCACACCCCAACGAGAGCACGGCGAGCTTCAACTCGGCGCCGTATCGTGATGACCCGCGGGGAGGGGATCCGTATGGAAGCCAGGCTAACCTAACGCAACACCAGCACGGTTATGGGAACCAAAACGCCTACGGCCAGCAACCGCATAGGTATTAAACGTTGAACAGCTTACGCTAACGCAGGCCAACGCGCTCAAGATCTTTCGTGTACGAATTCCCAAACCACCGCTCGACCATTCATCCTCTCCTGTTGACATCCGGACAGTCGGACCATTCGATCTCTAGAGTCCGCACCACCATATCGTCGCCGCTGTCTTCCTCGCTCTTGTATATTTAAGGTATCTATAGGATGGGTTACGATCTCCTCTTCCCCGCTTCGCGCTCTTTTCTTACTTTAGGCAAGACGCCAGTCAATGGTACATTCAGTAATAATTTTGTCCGTCTGAGGTTCCTCAGAACTCAGATAGACACCACGGACACTCTTCACCGCTACGCTCACTTGAATGGTTTCATACATGTAATATACCCTCGGGATAATGTAGAATTTTGGTTATCTAGACATCATTGCTGTCGACACAATGATTGTCAGAGCTTGAGTTTGAAGTTTGAACAGCAACCTTGTTAGCTGCCCATTGCCCGCTCCCGTCCCCGTAATTAGAAGGCGCCTGCAGCACCTTTCTCCGGGCTCACAGAGCTGTCGTGCTGCTGCTGCTGCTAAAAAGCAAGCTTCTGGACCCAGATGATTCCTTGGTATGTAGTGCGTCGATTTGAACAACGAAGGATTTCTCGCAAATCGAACGGATGTAATTGGATAGGGGCGAGCCGCCCGAAAAGGAAATTTCAGGTCCCAGCGGCGCACTTCCGTCTTCCGCGCGAGCCCACTGTCTTCTCGAAGCCTCCCCCGTGACTCTTAGTAACTACCATATGCCTTACTCATTCTTACAACACTGAAGGCATATTCTCAGCAACCGTCTACTGACATTGCCCAGAATACTACCAAGATTGAAAGCGTTTGGTCACCCGAAGGTCTAGACGAGCCCATATCCCCTCTTTGGGGAGACTATTAGATTTCTTGGGAAGGCGCGTGTTTCCGAGCGTTTGGCGTCAAGCGTAAATTTAGTGAGTTTAGCCTCTGAGGAACGTCGCACCTGGTGGGCGGGCATTCTTCACCGCTTCCGGTCTTCCTGAACTCCTCGTCCTCGTTTTCCTCCGATTTCTCGAGGCTCGTGGAGTAGGTGTTTTAAATAGAACATGATAGCATGATTAGAACTAGGTTCGCTGATCGAGGTTGTCGGCGTCCCGAACTTCTCTGAGCGGTTGTTAGAAACCACATCAATGACAAGTCTTATCGCTGTTCTCTTACCCTGCAGACCGAAGCTTTTCTCGTCGCTCAAGTCTCTCAAGCTTGTTCTTTTCTTGTGCTGCACCAAAGGAGAAACACGGCTTGCTGGATGCCTCGGCACAGCCAACCTTCTAGCGACTGTTTAGACGGCGGAGGCGGGCTCGTGAAGCCGTTCCGAACCCTCCGACGACGGAGGATCCTTCGAGTTTCACTACACAATGCCGGTGAGCCTCCCAGCCGTTCTCCTCGTCCTCCGCCATGCAGCAAAATGAAAACCTGGGCACAGGGGGATCTCCTCGATGCCGGAAACGGCACCGTGCAGGGAGAAGTTCATTTCATATCAAAATTTCAGCCTCGGCATCCTGATCCTTCTATAGCTGGTCGCCAGGCTGGAAACGGGCGTTCAAGGTGTGCCTTTTGGGGAATGGTGCGGTGATGTCGACCAGGAGTCAGGTCTGGGCGGTGCCCGTGCTCAATCCTTTTCAACCAGAGGTCCAAACAAGCTTTCATCCTTTTCTCTTTCTCCCTCATCGACTCCCCGCGCAAGTACGTTCGCCATGCGCTCTCCACGGCTGCCCTTGCGGGCTCTATGTATCGCGTCTGCGTTTTCGACTGCTCTGGCCGCTACTGGCGGCACGTTTGAGGAGGGAGGTAACACGCTGGTCAGCGCGATGATGGTACGCTCCACTTTTCTCCTTCAAAACCACTTCTGACGGGTGCATTTAGATGTTCCTTGGAAATGAACAAAGCGTGTATATCCTCGACAAGGCGGAGGGCAATGCCGCCCAAGTGCTAGGACACCCCGCGTGGGGTTCGGTATGGTACGGCCCCCTTCTCGCGTGTGGTCAATTGAGTGCTGAATCATAGGCGCAGGGATATCAAGACGCGCAGGGCGGTCGTAATGGACATCAAAACCAACTCGTTCTGTGCATCTGGCATGCATCTTCCCAACGGTTCCTATGTGACGTTCGGAGGGAATGACGCAGTGGGGCAGAACGGTGTTGCGGGGTCACAGAAGAACCCCGACGGAACGGGTGCCTGGGACTCGTACTATCAAGACTTCGACGGCCGCAGAGCCATTCGCATCGTCACCCCTTGTACGATCACCGACACTCTCAACTCGGGACCGTGTGCGTGGTATGATGAGCCCACCCAGCTGTCCATGAGGCGTGAGCGGTGGTACTCGGCGGCAGAGGCAACGGGTGAAGGGGAGGTTGTGATCATCGGAGGCTTCGTCAGAGGAGGCTTCGTCAATCGATGGGTTCCGAACGTCGATCCAGCAACATCAGACGGCCAGGCCGACCCGACATACGAGTACTATCCTCCACGATCCGGCGAGCCCAGGACCTTCGATTTCCTCATCAAGACCTCTGGCCTCAATTCCTACGCACACACATATCTGATGCCTTCAGGAAGGATCCTGGTTCAGGCAAATTTGTCGACTAGTGAGTTCTCGCCCACCGCTTGTGATCCTTTTCGATAACTAAATGTCGCGTGACACAGCCCTTTGGGACCATAACACCAATGTTGAGACGCCACTACCTCCTATGCCCAAGGGCGTCGTGCGGGTATACCCTGCGTCGGGCGCTACGACTATGTTGCCTCTCACCGTCGCCAACAAATACACCCCGACCCTTTTGTTTTGTGGTGGCTCGGATATGCCCGAGGCTGACTATGGCGACTATGGAGGCCCCTACACCGATGTCTGGACAGTCACCGCTTCCAAGGATTGCCAGCGGCTCACCCCTGAACCATCTGACGGGTCAGCAGTTGCCTACGAGCAGGACGACGACCTGCCCGAAGCACGGACGATGGGCCAGTTCATCAACCTACCCAACGGCAAGATCCTCGTCCTCAACGGCGGCGAGAAGGGCCTTGCGGGCTACTCTCTGGGCACCCGAACCACCCCTAATCTCGCCGACATGCCCTTCGGGCCGTCGCTCTGTACAGACCCCGTACTCACGCCCGCCATCTACGACCCTACTGCCCCCAGAGGCAGCCGCTGGTCAAACGCGGGCTTCGGTGCTTCGAAGATCCCCCGCCTGTACCATTCCACGGCGGTGCTTCTCCCCGATGGATCTGTCTTCATCGCAGGTTCCAACCCCAACCCCGACGTCGACCTCAGGGCGTTCTACCCCACCGAATACCGATCCGACATTTTCTATCCATCATACTTCGATGCCCCTATCCGCCCCGCGCCCCTGGGGGTTCCGAAGACCCTGTCGTATGGAGGACAGTACTTCGACATTACGATCCCCACGAATTCGTATGAAGGGTTGGCGAATGATGCTGCTGAGGCGACGACGGTGTATATCCTCCGCAGTGGGTTCACGACGCACGCGATGAACATGGGCCAGCGCTCGATGGAGCTCGCGACTTCGTACACCGTCAACAAGAACGGCACCATCACCTTGCACGTCGCCCAGCCTCCGCCGAACCCAAATCTGTTCCAGCCCGGCCCCGCACTTCTGTTCGTCAACATCAAGGGAATTCCCAGCAATGGCACCTACGTGATCGTCGGGAACGGACGCATCGGCACCCAACCCACCTCCGCAGAGAGCGTCCTCCCCTCGAGCACGCGCCTCGACGGCGTCTCTTCCTCCTCCGGCACCTCAGGCAGCGACGACACCTCCGGATCGACTTCGGCGAACAACGACGAGGGCGAGAAGAAGATGAGCACCGGCATGCTGATCGGCGTCATCGTGGGCGCTGCGGCCATCGTCGCTGTCCTCGCCGCCATCATCGGGATCATCATCGCCCGCCGCCGGCGTGCTGCTGCCCGCTCAGCACCCTCCTTCGCGATGGAGCCTGCCGGGCTCAAGCCCATGGCCGTCGGTGCTGGTGCGGGCGGCTGGAGCTCGTCAGCAGCGGACACGGCCGTGTTCACACCTCTTCATAAGAGTGAGAACGACGCGTGGGACGCGAGCACGGCGAACCTCCATGCGCCGTATAACACCCCATACGGCGGTGGGTACAGGGACGACGTGTCGTCGATGAACACGCGGGGAAGCAGTGCGTATGACCAGCCGTACGATCCGTATGCGCAGCACCCGATGCCCATCCACGCTGAGACGCACGGAGCACCGAACCCTAACATGAAGGAGTTCCGGTAGTCCCACGGCGCGGTGTCGATGATTGATTAATCGACCTCGCTAGAAGACTGGCTGGCTGGATATTTTATGACGACCATTTTTTTTCTTTCATTCCAGGGAACGGACTTGCACATCATGCTTTCTCTAACGGACTGGATCTCTCTCCTACTCATCTTTATTATCCTCCATCCATCCATCCCATTCTCGTACACTCGTTGCTACTACCATTTGCTGCTCTGCCCCACGTCCATTCATTGCTACTACTCTGTACATACCACCGACACTTGCTATGTAGATATCCAATCGCACAAACATCTAATCGCTACAAATAATGGGACTCGATGCATCTAAACCTAGATTTTATGATCGTATAGTCCTCATTTCACTGGATGACCGGATACTATATACTGGTGCTAGTGTAGGCTATTCATTCGGATATTACCCTATGGAAGCATTACCTCGTCCTTTATTTTTGAACACCTGGCCTGGCTGCAGCTCGTCGTCTCCTCGTTGTTCATTACATAATACCCAGCGTGTCTACTCTGGAGTAGACCGTTCGCAAACTTCTGTGCGGGAGAACAGACCTTTTCTCTGCTCGACGCTTTGGCCGACAGAGATAATGTGGGTGATGTGATGGTGTCTATACTCCATGTCAAGAACGGCTGAGGTGAAGTATACTGGGGCCACCGTGGCCTACTATCCCTGAGAATTATTTTGCAAAACCTGATTTTGGTGGCTCTCTGCAGCTCGTACACGCTTGAGCAAAATGCTATCACGGGGCTATTTTTAGCCAGCATAACGTTTAACTTCGCGAGCAGCATGTATGATAGCACCCTCCTCGAGGGGTAATAGTAGCACGCCCCTATTGCCTCGTTCACCGCTCTCTCTCCAAGAAGCATTCACTACATCCATGGGATATATAATGAACTGTCGTTCGCGATCTCATCCCCCCACCCTCGGCTAGTTGACCAGGATGGTCCATTTCGCTGTTGTCGTCGCAGGAACTTATGTCCTGTACTATCTCCTTAGAGAATCTATCAAACGAAGCAAGGCGAGCTTCTGAAATCTGCCTCCGGACTCCTTGCCTGATCGAGATTCTCAGCTGGCTCATATCCCAACTCTTGGTTATTCATTTCCTCTATTCACATACATAACAGCCTTCAGGTTTTATCGGAAAGCGGGAGAGATGTTGCAAGAAGGTTATCGCAAGGTGATTCTCCTGAGCGCCCGCTTGATTTCGGGCTCGAGCTCAACAACGTTATGCAATTGTTGCAGTATCCAAATCAGGTCTGGAAGGTCGCGACCCTCCAAGGCTGGTTCGTCGTCGCGAATGGGATACAACGCGTGCAAGATGTCAGCAGGGCTCCAGATGACCAGCTTTCGTCAGGGGCCAGCTTCGCTAAGGTACCGTTCGTCCTCAAGCTCAAGGTTTATCTGCTTGACGTCGGAATTAATGGATCTACTTATTGTTTCAGCAAATGCAATTGGACTATACCTTAGGCCCTGAGGTCATGGAGAACCCTTACCACCGTACCGTCGTCAGAAATAGAATGACGCGCAACATCGAGGCCCAGTTCGACGATATGCATGACGAGATGTTGCAAGCGTTTCAAGATGTTATGTCCCCTTGTGAATCCGATAATAGTACGAGAAATTTCCTCTGTTCGTCGTGCATCCCATTAACCACATTCCAGAATGGACTAGGATCCAGACGTATGAGTCCTTTCTGGAAATTACGTCTCGTGTGTCAGCACGGTTAGCTGTCGGCTATCCTCTTTGTAGGCTTGCATCCCTTTTTAGGAGAACAGCTCTAGCAGTCTCACGAAGCAACAGGCGGTGTCAAAGAATTTCGGCGTCTGTGCATGAACTCGTCTCATGAACTTGTTCGGGGCGCCGTCCTTCATTTTTTTCCTACATTCTTGAAACCGTAGGAATTATACGTCTTAGCAAACTCGTCTTTCTGATACTCAGTTGCACAGCGTGTTGGGGAATATCGTTTCGGGGGCCATGCGCGACGTCCGAGAAATGTCCAAGTGTCTGAAGCCATTGATAAAGGAGAGACTCGAGCAGGAGGCCCTTCATGGCGCATCCTGGCCCGGAAAACGGGCAAGCAGAAGCATTTTATCTCCTGCGTGCATCTACTAACCAGAGCCGCAGAATGATTTATTGACCTGGATTATGGATGAGGCTGTTCGTAGTGGAGACAACAGAACACCCCTTAACATGGCCAAGCAGCTGTATTTTCTGTCGTTCGCAGCACACAGCGCTTCTACGGTTCGTTACCTGCAGCTCTGAAATGTTTTTGAGCACAAGCCTATGTTTACCCAGATGCTCTTGCTATCCCTCCACGAGATTTGTAGACGCCCAGAGTATATTGGGCCACTGCAGGAAGAAGTAATAAACCTTATCCAGTCGGAAGGGTGGACGAAGAATACTTTCATGAAAATGTATAAACTCGACAGTTTCTTGCGGGAAATCCACCGGTGTTACGACATGCGGTTATGTGAGCATTCATCTGCTTCTCCTCTAGCTCTTACTCATCCGCATGGAATGAAAACAATTTATTAGTACACATGGGCCGTATGACTCTGCGCGATTTTACCTTCTCCGATGGCACTCTCGTGCCAGCTGGGTCCTCGTTATTTGTAAATTCTCATGGGCTCTACGGCGATGAAGAGATTCACGCTTCGCCCCCGACCTTTGACGGCTTCCGTTACCTGCGCGAAGACAATTCCTCTCAAGCAATGCTCACCACACCAACGTTGGATTTTCAGGCCTTTGGATACGGGAGACACGTATGGTATGGAATATATTTACTATGTCTGAGCTTCAGTTTTGACATTGACATCATTTGTTTGATATATAGTCCTGGGCGCTTTCTTGGAAGCTATCAGCTGAAGACTGTCATTGCACACGTCCTTATGACGTACGACCTGCGAAGTGACGAGGCATCAGATTCATCCGTCACAGAGCCAAAAGGGGCGGAAAATATGCCAAACATCAAGGCGGCTATTTGGTTGAAGAAGCGAGTGGTCGAGCAGGAAGGAAAGAAGGAAAAGTGAGTTGTTGGCTGCATTCCTGACTACGTGATAAATTGTGTCAAACACGGTATTAGGATTATTTCGAAAGCATTCTGCTCTACTTCTGTCCTCGATACGAAGACTGAATGGTGCAAATACCACGAAGAGACGTTTCCGGCGTGCGTAATTGCCGGGATGCCGACAGGCGCTTATGGATTCGGCGACGGAAGTCTTCGGCGCTAAAATGATCACATGACCGGCCCGACGGAACTCGCCCTTATCTTGTGTCTCACCACAGAACTTGGGATCAGCAGTTACCGCCGTTGAAGCTGCTTGAAACACCATCGATCGAAGAAATCATGACTGATTCCCTGAGGTTTTGGAGTCTGGAAACGAGGCGGAGTGTTCGACTTTGTCTCAGCGATCTACGGGGTACCACGACTATCTGGCAAAACCACTAAGAACCTACCCATTACTAGCTTTACATAAAGGAGTCCAAACTTCACGTTCGATATCTCATGCTTCGCTTGTTGTGTCTCTCATCTGATTTGGAACATCCTTTAGCGCCGAGGCGCGATCTCACACTGACATCCGGAATTCCCGGAGATCGACGTCGACGGGCGCTTCATGGATGTGCTTCGGCGCTACGCAACCGGCGCTCATCCGACGGAACTTGTGCGTCGTTTCGGGTATTCCCTTATCTGGTGTTTCACAAATGGCCATGGGATGAGCAATCTCCACCGTTGAAACCCCACTATGGCGCTCGAAACACCATCGGTAGTCGATCGACAAAATCACGGTTGAGTCGCACAAGTTTCGGAGCCTGGAAACGAGGTGGTGTGTTCGACTTTTGTCTCAACGATCGAAGGGAGAAACATGGGGCATCACGCGGCGTCCATGTGTTATCGCTTCGGACTGAACTAGCGATTTTTGGGAATTCCTATTTCTGTATCGAGATCAAAGCTGGTCAGGCGAGTTTGGAAGCCGCCGGCTACTACTTAATACTAGGCAAAATCACTAACCAACTCACCACCATCGTCTTCCGAACGCTAGACCTTCGGCTTGTAGCTTGTCATCCATCTTGCGTCGTGTCTATCGTATGGTATTCGGGGATCGTTAAGCGCCCTTGTCGGGTGATCGACCATGCGGGCGTCTCACGAGCGGAAGGAACGGCGCTTCACAACTTGCGTGTCTAAAATCGGAAAGGAGGTTCGCCTCAGAGGTATAAAAATGCTCGCTTTCTGCCCCAGGAATTCAAGCTTCGAACTTCGTCGCTTCGCATACCAAATTCACCGTCATCGCGCGTCCTCCTTTACCAAACCACATCACTGCTTGACGCCTGCGTTGCTTCGGTTCATAACTTACCACCACCAAAGATGTCTTCCGTGAGTAACTCCTACCTTCTAAGGCCATCTTCCCGACTAACGATCCTTGATAGTACAACTCCTTCGGCGCTGCAGCTCCCGCAGCTCAGCCCAACTACGAGACAGTCTCCCTCGTCTGCGCTGCCTACATGAACCACCTCTTCGGCTCAGCGCGCTACCCCTACCCATGCCCCCGTTCTGCCTGGCAGCCTCACCTCCCCTCCTATATCAAAACAGCCCTCATCTCCTCCCAACTCGACGTCTCCGTCGTCTACCACGCCATGACCCTCCTCGGGCAGTACAAAGTAGCCCTGCCCGAAAGCGTCGCATACTACGACGATGCCTACCGCCTCTTCATGTCCGCGTACATCGTGGCAGCGAAGGTCTCGTGCGACACCCCGCACGAGCTCCGATTCTGGCGCCTCGTCGGGCGGGGCAAGTTCACGTCGGAGGAGTTGGTGAAGATGGAGCTCGAGTTCTGCCGCGTGCTGAAGTGGGACGTGCAGATCCAGGCGACGGCGTTCACGTCGTTCAAGGGCATCGTGGAGAGCTACGAGGGGGTGACGTTTGTGCGGGGAAGTGCTGGAGTCATCCAAGTGCCCCGCTTCCCGCAGTTCGACGAGCCGCCCCCACGTTACGAGTATTCCTGGAGGGACGTGAGGATGCTCGTGCTTCAATCGGAGGACGACGAGTTGCCTCCGGTGGTGTCGCTGTCGGGCATGGAATCGCGCTCCTCCCGATCACGAGTAGAGCGTGCTGCTCCCCCACCCACATCCGACGCTGTCCGCACGAAGCCCTCGCTTCGGCGTCGAGTACTTAGCGCCATTCTTATCCGGCCTCGCAGCGCATGATTTTCCTTTCATTTTTGCTCACTTTTTCGATATCTCATACCCCGTATATTCCGACTACTATATCACTGATTTCTGTTCATTACTTACTCAATGCAATCGTTTCTTCCTTCCACCGTTCCCGACCGTGAGTGTTGTGAGCATCGTCTGGGAAGCGAGTATCCCCATATCGATAATGCTACAAAAAATGAACGCACTCCTCGCACACTCAAAGGTCTGAAGATTTCTTGCAAAATTGCCCGATGAAAGCTCTACTACCTTGCATGTTCTTTGTTCTGGTGACGAACACAACCGAAGTTCAGCTTCGAGAATTGGCCGGAGGGCAATCATCGAGCTCCTGCGCGTTGGGATGTGATTATAACACGTATATGCCCTTTGACGCGTCACAATCCGGCGGCATGGTGATAATAACGAGGGGTAACCCTTGACGGAATCACACCCCGAAAATAGGCTTGAGCATAGAATGACGTCAGATATTATTTTTTCTGGCAGGTTAGGGCAGTTATCGCAAACGCAATGAGTAAATCGTCAAGTGACTAGTAAACCAACAGTACATGATCGATGCGCAAAACCAGGAGGAAAGAAAGCTCGTGAAAGGCCTATAAACTCGGTAGTGTCATTACGGAAGAAGTTCGAAGTCATAAGGTTCGTCATGTCAAATGTGTAAAGATCGCTAGAACAAGAGAAAGTTAGATAAATAGAGCAGACGACGGCGGCCGGAGAAGGCATCTATGTGGACAACGAACTTGCAAACGATGATAGAAGAAATACACGGAGAAAAATGTGGGCGTGAAATGCAAAACGATGGGAAATGAGGTACAAATGAGTAGAGGACAAAAAGGTGGCATATGCAAGGTCAAAATTATGTGGGCTGAAGAAGTTCAGAAGAAGATGATAGCGAAGAAGAAAATAGCTGAGTACGTGGGTAGAATCCAGATTCGAAGGGGCAAGGTATTGTTCAACAACGCGTACTTCATCACCGCTCGGACCCAGCGAAGAACGGTCCCTCAGGAGGCTTGTCAGGCGACCCAGGATCTAACACTGAATCGGCAGAACCGTTCGTTTCCTCCCCATCCGCGTTCACGGATCCCCACACCGCACTCTCACCGTCAGGATCAAACCCGCCCCGTCTCGTCGCCGCCCGCCTCCTCTCGCGTTCCAGCTCTCTCTCCCTCTCCTGCTCCCACGCGACCAAGATCTGCTGTTGGTAGAACGACACTGGCGCAGGCGAGTCCGAGATGGCCTCTTCGAACGACCCGGGGTGGATGAGTGGCCTCCTCGCGTGCGATATATTGCGTATTCGCAGGGGTGGTGAGCCCCACGATGACGGGCCAGAGTCCTCTTCTACGTCAGATAGAGGGGTAGGAGATGATGTTGCGAACCGGTCGAGCACCATCGTCGGGGCAGGTTCTGGAGCGGCCATCCCGGGAAAGGGTACAGTGTTTTCATCAGGTCCACTTGATGACATCGCTTCAAGTATAAAGGGCGGAGCGGGCTGCCATTCGCCGGCGTATGCCCCAATGTCTTCTTCCTCGTCGGGTTGGATGAAGAAGTCGGTAGGGTCTGGAGGGGCGTAGGCGACCATGTCGATAGAGATATCAGAGTAGGAGCGCCGCACGCCAGGCTTTTGTGGAGGAAATTGATATGATGGTGTCGACGTTACGGATTCGGAGAAAAAAGTGTAGATGCTGTGGTCTGATGCTTGGGAAGTGGATGATTGTGAAGACTGTTGGCCGTCTGGGCCTTGTGTCCGGACCTTGTCGTTGCTGCGCGAGCTGAAGAAACTGTCGGACGCTGACTTGCAGGGAGTATACCGCATACCCAGCGGGTTTCCACTGTTGGAAGCAGTGGTTAGCACTTTTATTCAAAGGAATAAAACGAGGGAACGCACCACACCGCGCACCCGACACCTTCCTTCACACAGCCGCATGAACTCCGCACGAACCTCGCCGCCTCCCTTGTATCAAAGTAGCAAGCGTCTAGCGGTACCACGGCATCCGTAGCTGCACTCCTGGCCGCCCAGACGCTAACCCGAGGACGTGGAGCAGCACGGACGTGAATCACAGCACCGCATCCAGTGCTGCGCTTCGCGTCCTGCTTTAATGTCGCAGACGATGACGCGGAGGGAGGATAGAGCGGTAGAACGCTGGGTTTGAAAGGTTCCGTATCACCAAAGTCGCAGCTCGTCACTTCGGCACCACAAGTCAGAGTGAAGACGTATTCATCCGGTTCTTGTTCCTGGCGAGGGGGCACATTGGAGGTGTAAGGTCCGTAACGCCGCGAAGAGCGCCTTCGTCGAGGATATCGCCGCCCAAAGTGCCCGTCGACAACCACTTGATCCATGTCGTAGTCAGAGTCCCAGTTCTGCCTTTCAGCAGCGGCTGGTGCCCTGTTGCCGTCGGGGTGCAATGCATTGTGGTCGATGCGCATAGCGCCTCGACGACGTAAACGAGAGGCCTCGCCTGTGCGCACAAGATCCGATAATACGATAGTGTCATCGGCGTCGTGAGGCTGTAGGTTGGACGAAGAGGACGACGAGGATGAAGCTGAGGATGCCGAGTACGACCGTGAGCGCTGTGGGGGTTCGCTTCTTGACATTAAAGGGTATATCTGTGGCATTTTGGCATGAGTTTATAGAAAGGGTTGATGAGCTTATTCAAGAAGATAGGAAAGGAGATCGTTGGAGATGGTTGTGGTTAGTGGAAAGAGTGCTCCGGCATGCGGTGCAGGCGTGTCTCGCGTGTTATGTAAGCGTTTAGTAAGGTTGATGACTCAGACCTGTGGGACCAAGTGGGCGCCAGATGGTGGGGTCGACGCTTCGCTTACACGTAGGTCAAGTGAAAGAAAGAAAGGAATTCAACTGGTGGGAACTAGTTACAATAGGCATTTTAACTGAAGGTGGCGCGTTGGAGGTAGAATGGGAAAGTACTTCCAGTAATGTCAGGACGCCTCAGATTTTCGCTACTTCCTGGGCGCGGCCAATTCAAACCTCAAAAGCTAAATTCACGGCGACTCGGATACAGGGCCGGATAATTGAAAGCCAGGGTATTTTTATGGCGAACAGGGAACATATTTATCGTCAAGTGTAGATGGCAGGACTCGTTGTGTTCCTCCTCGTATTTATAGGTAATACAAACATTAATTTGCCACTCGACGCTTCGCCGATTTCGACCAGTCCCCTATAGCTTCCTCAGTATACTTACGAGGATATCGAAAAGATGATCTGACGTCATTAGATACCTACCCTTCGCTATTATCACCTTGCTGTGGGGTGTGATTCCCAGAAAGGGCGACCCCTCGCTATTATCACCATGCTGCCGGACTGTGACACGCCGAAGGGCGTACCACTCGTTGTAATCACATTCAAACGCGCACGCGCCTGATGTTCGCCCTACGGCCAATTCTCGACATTGAGCATCAGTTTTTTCTTTCTGAGCTCAAAGAACATGCGTGGTGGGAGAGCTTTCATCGGAATATTTTCTAAGAATTTCTTTGAACGACTTTGATGTGTTACGGTGGGCGAGGAGTGCTTTCAATCATCGACACGGGATGCTCGAGGCGCCCTCGTCGAGCACGAATAAAAGCTCTGGATGAGTGGCACCGATGTTCAGCAAGCAATCTCGCTAGTATCGACAAACACCTCCTACGAGTACATTTACCGCTTACGATGGCATATTACAACCCCCTCCACGCTCCAGTCGTCACCACCCAACACTCCGGCTACAGCGCACTTACCGGCGCTATGTCCGACCGCTCTTCCGCACCCGGCGCCAGCCGCAAACGCCTACCCCAACCGCCGTACACACCTTCCTCCAAATGGCAAAATGCCACCGGCCGCTCGAGCGCCGTCCACTCCGCGGTCTCCTTTGACTACAAAGGGTACAGCCGGCAGGGCGTGTCGATGCGCGACTTGAGTACGCGGAACCTGTCCGTGCTCTCGTCGATGATGGCCGGTGGTGAGGATAGGGTGTTCGCCCAGTCAGGGCTGGCGAGGATCACCTTCCGTATTTTGGTATGTGTGTGATTCGTGAATTAGTCCCAGCGCTAATTTCTGTGTGATGTAGTGGCCTGGCTATTCAGTTGACTGGGCACGCACGATCGAGCTTAGCGCCGACGGCCCGATCACCCGTGCGCGCTTAGCACAAGTCATCGCCCAGAACTTCTCTCGCTTCATGGAGGTAAGCCCATTCACTTCCTTTGGAACCCAGATCTTTTTTTGACCATGTACTCAGGTGCATCGTAACGACAAAACAACGGTGCCCGAATTTGCCATCTCGCCCACCGGCCTTCGCTTCGATCACCTCGTCCTCGTATCGTTGAACAACGTCTTCGAAGATTCATGGCAGGCCGACGTAGTCATTGATCTGCGATAGGAACATCTTGTAGACCTTTCTTTGGGATTTAGGCCCTTTTTAATTAAATAGTGTAATAGCTTACTCGACTCTATCTATCGAACTATATCATCTATATTCAAATATTTCTGGAGAGCATTGACATTTTCTACCAATTTTCTACTGCCATTGTGTGATCTCAAATACATTTTCTAGGAATATTACCATCCTTTCTTCCCAGACAACGCTAACGAATATAGGGATACGGCCCGGCAAGCGTTTCCATCATGAATCGCACCTCCAGAGACTAGGAGAACCGAATGTATCAGTCTGACTCCTTACGGTTGAGAACGGGGTAAGGAAGAAACAATTGCATTGAGTAAGTAATGAACAGAAATCAGTGATATAAGTAGTAGTCGGAATATACCAGGTATAATGAGATGTCGAGAAAGTGAACAAAGACGAAAGAAAAATCATGCGCTGCGAGGCCGGATAAGAATGGCGCTAAGTACTCGACGCCAAAGCGAGGGCTTCGTGCGGACAGCGTCGGATGTGGGTGGGGGAGCAGCACGCTCTACTCGTGATCGGGAGGAGCGCGATTCCATGCCCGACAGCGACACCACCGGAGGCAACTCGTCGTCCTCCGATTGAAGCACGAGCATCCTCACGTCCCTCCAGGAATACTCGTAACGTGGGGGCGGCTCGTCGAACTGCGGGAAGCGGGGCACTTGGATGACTCCAGCACTTCCCCGCACAAACGTCACCCCCTCGTAGCTCTCCACGATGCCCTTGAACGACGTGAACGCCGTCGCCTGGATCTGCACGTCCCACTTCAGCACGCGGCAGAACTCGAGCTCCATCTTCACCAACTCCTCCGACGTGAACTTGCCCCGCCCGACGAGGCGCCAGAATCGGAGCTCGTGCGGGGTGTCGCACGAGACCTTCGCTGCCACGATGTACGCGGACATGAAGAGGCGGTAGGCATCGTCGTAGTATGCGACGCTTTCGGGCAGGGCTACTTTGTACTGCCCGAGGAGGGTCATGGCGTGGTAGACGACGGAGACGTCGAGTTGGGAGGAGATGAGGGCTGTTTTGATATAGGAGGGGAGGTGAGGCTGCCAGGCAGAACGGGGGCATGGGTAGGGGTAGCGCGCTGAGCCGAAGAGGTGGTTCATGTAGGCAGCGCAGACGAGGGAGACTGTCTCGTAGTTGGGCTGAGCTGCGGGAGCTGCAGCGCCGAAGGAGTTGTACTATCAAGGATCGTTAGTCGGGAAGATGGCCTTAGAAGGTAGGAGTTACTCACGGAAGACATCTTTGGTGGTGGTAAGTTATGAACCGAAGCAACGCAGGCGTCAAGCAGTGATGTGGTTTGGTAAAGGAGGACGCGCGATGACGGTGAATTTGGTATGCGAAGCGACGAAGTTCGAAGCTTGAATTCCTGGGGCAGAAAGCGAGCATTTTTATACCTCTGAGGCGAACCTCCTTTCCAGTTTCAAACACGCCAGTTGTGAAGCGCCGGTCCTTCCGCTCGTGAGACGCCCGCACAGTCGATCGTCAGTGCGACATCCGACCTCGGCGTTAAACGACCCCGAAAATCATACGATAAACACGCCATGCGATGGATGAGTAGCGTTGTTCAGGAGGGGAAGGTTCGAAGCTCTGAAGCTGGTAACGGAGAGGTGACAGTATTTCGTGAACTCGCCTGGTGGGCCGCTTCGAAATGGGCTTGATGACTTGCTTTCGTGACGGAAATGGGAATTCCCAAAACTCGGTGCCTCAGCCTGAGACCAAACGTCAGCGCTTCAGCGGGAGTCATGGGGATACCCCACGTTTCTCGCGTAGATCGATCAGGCGGAAATTCAGCGCTCAGCACTCGCTGAGTTAAAACTCCTTTTCGGTATGCGACACCCAAGTCGTGAAGTGCCGCTCATTACCTCGCTCGTTAGACGCCCCGATGGCCGATCGCCCCGACACCCCGCGTTGGCGCTCAACGATCCCGGAAATCATGCGAGAAAGACGACGTATGACATAACAGTGGTGCAGCGGACGAAGGTCGGATGCCCTAAAGCTGATGATGCAGAGGTGTCGGCGACTTCGCCTAGTAGGCCGCTTCCAAATTGGCCTGAGAAGCTCACTCAACCTTTCACAGAAATGGGAATTACCAAAACTCGATTGTCCAGTCTAAAACGATATGCCGGCGGAGGGCGTGGGTGTCGCACGACATTCCATGTTTCTCCTTCAGATCGCTGAGACGGAAGTTGAACGTTTCCAGACACCGAGACTTGAGCGATTCAACTGTGATTTCCTCGATCAACTACCGAAGGTGTTTCGAGCGGCATGGCAGCGTTTCGAAGGTAGGGATTATTGATACCAAGGTCCGTGGTGAGACACCGGATAGAAGGCAATACCTGCAACGACTCGTAAGTTCCGTCGGATGAGCACCGGTCGTATAGTCGCTTTTAGCGCCGAAACACTTGCAGGAGGCGCCCATTGAGGCCTCTCTCCGGCAGCCGGCAATCATGCACACCGGAAACGCTACCGTCAGCAGGCTTCGTCATCTCATATCGATAAACGACCAACTGGCAACTTTGAAATAACGAAGAAATGGTCTCTGGGCTAACAATAGATTGTCGAGTGTTCAATGCATACCAGTGATCTGAAGGTAAAGCTTACGATTCCGTGGCTTGCAAAAAGAACTAAAAGCCACTGTTTTGACGCTTCAGACGCTTTCACTAGTGCGAAGTTGGCTCGGTGCTGAAGGATTCCGTATACAAGCAAATGGGTCGAGAGGTCATGGTGGTTGGTGGAAGAGTGACGTGAATTTGTTGTTTTGTTTGGTTGGCGATATCTTGCAAGCCGTTGACACTGCATGCCAGGACCGCGCCTCTCGTTCATGCCCACCACGATGGCGTCGACCAGCCCCACTTCTGATGTTCCTGAACCTCAGCCGAAAGTCCAAGGACGTACAGGGAACAATAACAACAAGTATGGGAAGAACCAATATAAGGATCGGCGTCAGTGAGCGTGGTTTTCGGCCCCTGTTGTTTTCGAGGCTCAGAGTCACAACTTCCGTTCAATCTCATAGCACCTCCAGATGACCCACACGTGGCGGAACTATTGACAGCATACCATAGGAATGGGATTAACGATCGTAGGGAGGTCAGCAAGCTACTGTTGGAGGAGCATGGGATCACGCTGAGGTACGTCAAAATTCGTGCGTTTCGAAGACGTTGAACTGAGAGGCTACGCGTTTCTTTGCAGTGAGTCGAGCATATCAAGGAGAAAGCGCAAGCTGGGTCTCCGGGCGAGCCATATCACCACGCAGGAGCTGAGCGAGAACGTCAAAATCCAGCTCATACTCGACCAAATGGCCAAAGACCCTAGTGGAAAGTTGGGACCCAGGATGATCAAACAAGGGATCTTTAAAGATACAGGTGTTCAATTGACCAGGTGCGCTGTCGTTTCAATTTATTTTACGAGCCTGTTTATTGCAGCAAAGGCTGATGTTCGATAACACAGGGATTATATTCGCGAAGAAATGAAGAAGCTGGACCCTGTAGCTTGGTCCAACCGTGGACCAAAACACGTCAGGGAGAAGCGGCAGCTACCGCCTGGTTTCGCCGGACAGAGTACTACGAACTCTGTCGCTTCCTCGCAAGCAGCAGCGGGCTCTTCGAATGCGACAACGATCATACACGTCCACCCTACCCGTGCACACCACCCAGAGGCCCAAGCGATCGCTGGACCCTCCCAGCCACCACAGCATTCTCATCATGCTGCTAGCTCTGCTTCACAAAGCCAGGATCTGTCTTTTGCTCCCGGCCAACACCCTCACATGTCCATGAATCCTTCTATGCCTCAACAAACTTTTCCGGACGCCTATCATCCGCAAATAGTGCAACCTCCTCCTGCAGATAATCATATGCATGTGGATGATGACGACGACGACGACGGTGACGACGCGCCCGACAGTGGTCATTACGAGAATCACTTCCAACCTTCGTACAACCCCCAACCTCAGCATCTTGGAGTACCCCTTACCATCAACCATCATTCACAACCGCATCCTCATCTTCATACGCAGTACCCTCTTATCAATGCCCATCCCCCGCCAGCCGCGCCACACCCTCCATTAGGACAACAGCCCATGGTCACTACCATCAGCCTCCTGCAAGAAACGACGCCGAAGATGGAGAATCTATCGCGCTTCTTGAACTCTCTCCACGTGGAGAACGTGATGCTCGACGCTGACGCCTATCATGCTATCTTGCAGGGTATGGAATCTGCGGCCCTGCTCGAACGTCAGCTCTCAAGGATTATCTCGCGGACGCATCAGCACTACCCCAGGTCGTGATCCTCATGCATACCACGCGGTCTCGTCGATTATGTTATGTTTACTTGAATCTTTGGGTCTTTCTTCGTGTCTCCAGCTGTCCAGTTCCCGTATCTATCATGGATGAACGGCCATGTTCGGCCATCATAATTTTAGGCAAATCTGCCATAATTTGTCGTATATTGGGGTACGCATTATAGCACATACTTGGAATACCTTGCCTAATTTACATATTTAAGCTCCTGTAAGCATGTCCTCGTGTCGCCTACAGGCTATTTACGAGGGAGACATTGACACATTGGATGCAAATCAAGATGTCAGTCGATCTGTGACAGCTGCAAGGTCGAACGAGAGGACCTTCGAGGGACGATGCACTGCCTCGGCCACGTTTGTAGTATGAAGGCTTAATAGGAACATAATGCATCGATAATCCCAGCACCGTCCACCCTCGTAACCGGTTTCTTCAATGCTGCTGATGCCGGTGATGCCGGCGTCACCTAGGAGTGCGAGGGTTGGGTGTATAGTAATGGTAGCGAGAACTAACAACCAAAGAGGACGTAAAAGATGGACGAGTAAACATGGCGTATTGCAAGAAGATAGGAAAGCAGCGAATGGATGGTATATGCAGCGTATAACAGAATTCCATCTGTCCTGTCCGCATGAAGGAAAGAAAGTGAAAGGAAAATAAAGGCCAAAAGAAAGAAAAGAGCAACGAGGAAAGAGCAACGAGGAAAGAAAGGTAAAAGAGTAATAATAACGGCCAACGGAAAATCCTGCTCTGGCTGACGATACATAACCAAAGGAAAAAAAACATCATTCACAATTAAAGCGAAGCACCGCGAACCTGAGTGCTTTAAACGCGAATAATTACTCCTTAGGCGTGGTATTAGTGTCGGTGACCGTGATGGCAAGCTCGATGTCGACGTTTTGGTCCTTTAGAGTGTGGTGTCGATGGTCAGTGGTCACTCGAAAGAAGAATAGCTAATGTGCAGAGGAGGTGGCGTGAGGATGACGGGCCTGGATATATGCGCTTGGAGAGTCAGTTTTGCAGAGGTATAAGCTCTGGTGAGGTCGTAAGGTCGAATGAAAGCGGATGAATATGTCGACATCAACAGGCATGATGATGGAAATATGGACAAGGTCGAGGGGTCGCCGACATTGAGGATGAGGTCAGGAAATATGCAGGGTGGGGGGTCTTCGAGCCGACGACCTGAAGAGACGATCTCAATGGGCCATCTTCCCGCTATCCATTGGGCATACGGTGTTGAATGAATGAATAGCCCGACGCTCGCTGAGATCTACGAAATAGAGGGAATACTGCTTAGACACAACGGATCGTGGCGAGGGATTCGAAGGCAAGGACTCACATTGACCTTCCCAACGCCGTAACTGATTCGACGGACGGTAAAGAGATGCCCGACGTTGTATCTCTCGGGAGTTCTTGACGGACAGACGCAACTCTCACCTCATGCATAGCACAGAGAGGCATCTTCGTGAGTGCGAGACGACGCCGACGTTGAAGATATCTCAGGCTCGTAGATGGAGATAGAGGGGCGGGGGGTTGCAGGACCACTTCTTCGTCAGGAATGAGACATCTTAGAACCTAGGTCGTCCGGCGATGTGAAACGCAACTCGAAGACTCAACAGTACTGTCAGGGATCGAGCCCGGTGCTTGGCGTTAAATGCGTTGCTCGAGAGGAGCTAGAAACGTCACAACTGAGGTGAATTCATCTTGTACTTGGGGTATGACTCTATCCTCAGAATTCTACGTTCGCTTTCCTCAGGCATAGACGTCGGTCTGGATTCATGACCAACGTATCTGATTTTAACGAAGAAGTGGTTAGAGTTTGACGATAAACATAGCTTGAACGACTGCTCAAAAGTGAGAAGGACAGAGTTGGAAAATACCAACGAAGCGAAAGTTGCCGACACTCCGGGCCGTATGTCCGAGGACCAATCAGCCACGACGAACAACAAATTATGTCAGCTGCCACGTCTGGAAAAGTGGTGAGGTGGCGATCACGGCGCGTCTCACCTTTCTCTTCATACTTTCATCGTCCTCCGCCCGTTCGCCACAATGAGCGGCTGTAAGTCCTCCGTTTCTTGTATCTTTTAGGCGACATTCGCTAACATATTCGTTGCAGTTCGGTTCCTTAATCTCGTCCGGCCGTTCCTTCCCATCCTTCCTGAAGTCTCGTCACCAGATCGCAAGGTGCGTGTTCCATTTCGTTGAACCGTTCGACGATACTAAGCGGGAATTACAGGTTCCTTTCAACCAAAAGATCCTATGGACCGCCGTCACGCTCCTCATTTTCTTGGTCTGTTCGCAAGTACCCCTCTACGGCATAATGTCCTCCGACTCGTCCGACCCCCTGTACTGGATGCGTGTAATACTGGCCTCCAACCGCGGGACGCTCATGGAGCTCGGAATTACACCAATCGTCACCTCCGGAATGATCATGCAATTGCTCGCTGGCGCCAACCTCATTGATGTTGACTTTGGGTTGAAGGAGGATCGTGCGTTGTTCAGTGGTGCCCAAAAACGTGAGTATTCGCTCATCTTTTTTCGTTTCCCTTCTGTCTTCGTCTTTTCCTATTCATGTTGGCGCGAAATTCGTTCTTTTTCCTCTCATCTCTTCGCACTCACCGTTTTCGTCTGTACGCTGCCGTTCTGCTGTTGCAGTATTTATTTGCTCTTGACCTCGTTCTTCGCCGGACGTTCGTAGTTCTCCCCTCTGCATTTTCCGATTACTGGAACTTTCTTTGCGTCTGTGCTCCCTTGTCGCTTCGTTGGGCTTCACTTCATCGTTCCGTTAACGGTTGAGACACGTAACTTCCACGATTCCATACCTTTTCACCACGAGGCAAAAGTTCCACATTTTTCCGACACGATGTCGTTGTCCTGGAAGTGCGACCTTCCCCACTAAGGTGGCTCGTGGTCACCTCGCAACCAACGCGTTATAGAGGCCCACTTAGACCTCTTCCATTTTCTGTCTGGAGCTCTTGAACTTCGCTTCACAGCTACGCATTCCTCTTGCTTAGAGCTATTCCTTCTTTGCAATCATTCTTCGCCACCGTTTCCCAATCTTTGTCGTTGAACGGTCTATCTCGCCCACGAACACCTGCTAACATCTCTTTCAGTCTTCGCCCTCATCATCTCGCTCGGCCAGGCCACCGTCTACGTCCTCACGGGTCTCTACGGCCAGCCCAAGGATCTCGGCGCCGGCGTCTGCCTCCTGCTCATCATCCAACTCATCGTCGCGGCTCTCATTGTCATTCTCCTCGATGAGCTCCTTCAAAAGGGCTACGGCCTTGGCTCGGGCATCAACCTCTTCATCGCAACCAACATCTGCGAGTCTATCGTCTGGAAGGCCTTCTCCCCTACGACCGTTAACATCGGCCGCGGCTCTGAATTTGAAGGGGCCATCGTCGCCCTCTTCCACCTCCTCTTCACGTGGCACGACAAGGGACGCGCACTCAAGGAGGCATTCTGGCGCGAGAGGCTGCCCAACGTCATGAGTCTTATCTCGACCGTCGTCATCTTCGCCGTCGTCATTTACCTTCAAGGTTTCCGCATCGAGATTCCGGTCAAGAGCAACCGTTTCCGCGGCCAGCGTGGCACCTACCCCGTCAAGCTGTTCTACACATCGAACATGCCCATCATGCTCCAGTCCGCCCTTACCTCGAATGTCTTCATCGTCTCGCAAATGTTGGCTTCGCGCTTCCCGTCAAACCTGTTCGTTCGTCTGCTTGGTGTTTGGGAGGTATGCTTCTCCCTCTTTTCTTGTCCTCATCTTTTCAATTGACGTGATGTTGTTCGTAGCCTACTGAGGACTCGCCCCAGCTCAGCGCCACCTCCGGTATTGCCTATTACATGTCACCACCGCACACCATCAAGGAGGCCATCCTAGACCCTATCCACACCGCCGTCTACATCACATTCATGCTCTCCGCCTGTGCCCTCTTCTCGAAGACCTGGATCGAAGTTTCTGGTTCGGGTCCTCGGGACGTCGCCAAGCAGTTGAAGGATCAGCAGATGGTAAGTTGGAATTTTTTCTCCGCCGCCGAGTTATCTCTAATGTTATCTTTCTATCACGTTCATAGGTCATGGCCGGGCATCGTGAAGGTTCGATGTACAAGGAACTGAAGCGCGTCATCCCCACCGCCGCTGCCTTTGGAGGCGCCATCCTTGGTCTCCTTTCTGTCGCCGCCGACCTCTCAGGCGCGATTGGCAGCGGCACCGGTATCCTCATGGCGGTCACTATCATCTACAGCTGTAAGTCTTCGTTTGCTTATCTTTCATCCTTCGGTCGCGTGCTGATATACGATTCCTTTTCGTAGACTGGGAAATTGGCATGCGCGAGTCCGGCGGACCCGAGATGGCTGCCCTCGGCGACCTTCTATGATCGACTCTCTGGCTATATACACGTGCAACAACGGTTCAGCTTCGGCGAGGATAAGGAAGATGTGTACGCGAGCGGGAGGTGGGAAACAAAAGGACGCGACTCACGGGTTGTTCGGGGTTTTGGTCGTCGGTCGTAGGGTGTGAATAAGTATCTTACATATACTGCTACGGCTCTACGTGTTATATATTCCCTATTCCTCTTCGCCCGCGTTTGTCCTCGGCTCGTCCGTAACTAGTTACTACTGCTTTTCGTTTTCGTGTAAATGCAATAATTTAATGAGCTACGGTTCCAGTGCAGGCTTGTGAGCCAGGTTGCAATTGTGACTAGTTGACCCAAGTCCGCAACGTTTGAGCAGCCGTCAGCGAGATCTATGGACGACGAACAGGGATTGTTCTACCTTCTCGGGGAGCAAGTTAGTCCAATGAATAATTTGAGATTGTCTAGAGGCGTTCGTCGTTGTCTATTCGCTCTTAAGAACTTTGCACGACGGAACAGGGCAATTTCTATCGGGCCGGCGCCACTCAATCATCACCACCGCTCTCGAAACACATCTTCGCTGACTCTTTCTCTGAAATCACCTCTATTCACGAGAGAATGCGCCCTAAGGAGCTCAGATCTCTCCTGCGACTACCTATGTAAGCACGATGCTTGGTTCGACTTACCCTACGAACTATGGGCCCGGGCTAATACTCGATTGTCCTTGCAGCCTTCTCCCTTGTTCCTTCTTCGCGGGCCCACAGAAGGCCAACTCGATGCTAGAGAGGCTGGAGAACGCCGCTACCTGAAGTATCGGCTCACGAGATGGTGTCTTGTGGTCGAAGTCGAAGAACACCGTGCTGAAGGGAGGGGTATAGAGACGGCTTCTTCGTATGTAGCTTCACTCATTTTCCTTCTTGTTTTCACACTTACGTCGCCGTCTCGTGCTCACAGATCGTGGACTCTTTCCTAGGAGCACCCCATCTGGCGAGGGGAGAACCTGCAAGCCGAGATTCCGCGAGATCTCACTTGGGCGAAACCTGTACGCAAGCAGACAAGTCGCAGCGAAGTCGTGGTGGTTGATGTGAAAGAGGCGTGAACTTGTTGCTTTATTTGGTCGGCGCTCCGTGTGGCGCTCGTCCACAACCACGATGGCATCGACCAGTCCCGCTTCTGAGTCTTCTTTACATACCGCAGAAAGGTCCAGGATGCACGGGAAACAAGAACAAGAAGTATGAGAGAAACCGATACAAGGATCAGTGTATTCGTGACCGTGGTTTCGGCGCCTGTTGGTGTCGAGGCTCACAACGTCTGTTCAATCCCAAAGCACCGCCGGACGACCCACACATGGTGGAACTATCGACAGAATATCATAGGAATGGGTTTAGCGATCCACATCCCCCTCTCACGCTCTGAAACGGCGAACTGCGGCCCATTGAGAGAAAGGGGCGGCAGAGAGGTCAGAAAGCTGCCGTCGGAGGAGCATGGACCACGTTCAGGTTCGCAGGATTGCTGTGGTTCGAAGATGCTAAGCTGAGAGTCTACACAAGCTGGGACTCCGAGCGAGCCATATCACAACCCGAGCGTTCAGTTAACGAGGTGCGCATTCTTTTTGCCCTCTTTTGGGGCTTTTCGCCTGCAGTGAGGGCTGACGGCAGGCTACACAGGGGTTGTATTCGCGAAGAAATGACTATAGTTTAGTCCAGCTGTGGACCGAAACGCGTCAAGGGGAGACGACAGCTGCATCCCATTCTCGCTGGACAGAGTGCTACGAACTCCGTCGCTTCCTCGCAAGTACCAGCGAGCTCATCAAATGCGACAACGGTCATACCCGGCCACCTTACCCGTGCACACCAGTCAGAGGTCCAAGGAATCGCTGGACCCTCCCAGCCACCGCAACATCCTCACCATGCCGCTAGCTCTGCTATACAAAATCAGCATCTGTCCTTTACTGCCGGTGAGCACCCTCACATGTCCATGTATCCTATGCCTCACCAAAGCCTTCCAAACGCCTACCCACAACCTCCTCCTGCAGATAATCATATATATGTGGATGACGACGGCGAGGATGACGACACGCCTGACGGTGGTCATTACAAGAATCACTTCCAACCCTCGTACAACCCTACACATCAACACGTCGGTTTACGTCCTGCCATCAACAATCATCCATAACTGCATCTTCGTCCTCGTACACAGTATCCTATTATCGACGCCCGTGCCCCGCCTGCCGCACCACACCCACCACCGGGCTCCCAGCCGCCATTGGCCTTTTACAAGAAACGAAGCCGAAGATGGAGAATCTATCGCGTTTCTTGAACTCTGTCAATGCAGAGAACGTGGTGCTCGACGATGACTTGTATCGTGCTATCTTGCAAGGCATGGATTCTGCCGCTCTTCTCGAACGTCAGCTCTCGAGGATGATTTCGCCGACACACAAGCACTACCGCAGGTCCTGAGCCTATCACACCGCATTCTCTGCATCGTCAAATATCTTATGTCCATTTCAGTCTGTTGGAGTTTTGCTCGTGTCTTCTGCTTTGCTTCCTTCTACGCGGTGTCAAATTATTCCAGCATCTGCCGGATGTCATCACATACTCGGGGTACGCATTAAGGTACATATTCTACACATCCTGTCTAATTCACCTATCTAACTTCGGAATGTCAGACGCAGCCTCGTTTGGGGGTGAAGAGGAGACATCACATCGCTTCGATCGCAACTGCATTACCGCCGTTATATCGATGGACTTGTCTTCGAGTCGATGCATCAAGCCGCCTACAACAGACTCAGCCTCTACCACACCCTTCCACCCCGAAATGTTGCCCAGTAGAGATAAGATCCGCACCTTCTGAAGACTAGCGACGCGGACAACAAGTCGCCTGAGCATTACGCTATTGAACCTGGTATGCAATCGGTCATACTGATTCTATGGTAGGAATTGAGGACGTCATCCCGACGGTCTTTCGCGTTCTCCAGACGTAACGTTGTGTTACTTTCTTGGACTTTTGGCGTGCAGGAGGCCAATGTGATGTTATATAGAATATGTGCCGTTTTGCTCCAATGTCTTACGCCATCTTCTGCAGGCTCGTGAAAGTGGGGACCTAGTCATGATCTCTAGCTTCTTATTCCCATGTATGGTGTCGTCGTTTTCGGGTTGTAACACCCGCGTCGAGGACCAATAAGCCCGCTACGTCAATATACCCACACCATGTCTATATGCCCACCCCTTCATCTGGCAGAACTTTAATTTTGCAACACGTTCAAGCTCGTTTCGTGGGTATCGGATCTCCGGGTCGAACTCTACCCAACGAGCGTCCGACTCTATTGGTGGCTGTGGTTGGGTTGCTGCCTTATGTTCCGGAACGTATACGGAATAAAGGTTTGGTTCCGTAAGTCTCATGTCTCCTGCAGATAGTGCGCAGTATCCACTGTACAATTTGACCCAAACAATGACAGTGCCCGTAGTGTCTCGCTACACCCCACCTCTAATTTAGGACCTATGTGGATCATTGCACACCCCTGATTCATTGCGTCGGCGGAACTGTCACACAGCTTCAAGTTGAATATGTATTCAAGACACGCGAAAGCCTTAAGGCTTGGGGAAACCAGAAATAGGCTAAGGATCGTCCCCAGAGCGCCATTTTCTTCTCTGATACAGTTACTTAGCGCTGAGCACAATCTGAGGCCATAGCGCCATTCTGCAGCGAACATGTCGAGAACACGGTCAGTAAACCTCCTGGTGCCACCGGGTGATAGGTATATAAAGTCGAACTTCAAGAGTACCCATTCAACAACTTCGAGGTCTCTCTTCTTCCGATTGATCATCGATAAGCACGTACGGAATTCCGTCCCTCCTGATGGAAGCGTCAGAAATCGTGGTTCGATTCTGCCCTCATTCCTCTCCGCGCTATCCACTAACTAGGGATGAGACCACTGGCACCAGACACGTATCTCTGATAGGGTATAGAGTTGTAGCTTGTGGGAAAGGCGGGAGAACGCGTCAGGCGCGCTCTATCGGCTTTATCCGTCTCGATTATCTTCTTTTTCCCTTCGACCTGGACCACTAATCCTTTCCTGGACCTCGAACATGAGGACAATGAGGCGTGGTTGGTGTACTTGAGGGAGGATTGATTGGTCGAAGGATGATACGAGGGTCGTGAGTCGCTCCATACCTAAGAACTCATCCAGGGGCAATGTCTATTCTACCTCTAAGATATGTGTAATTCCTGCGGGGCAGCTCTCGATCTGGGCTCGAGATTAGGCCATTCGTCCGTTTCCGTTTCTGTCAGATATGGAATGATCTCGGTCTTCGGCGTATTCGTGAGAGTCATACGACGACATGATTCCCCCTCCCTCCACCTAGTCCTTATAATGTGCGCATAATGGACACAACAAGATGGGCTATTCGATCTTGTAAGGTCACTGGGCGTGAGTTGTTGGCGGGTCTTTCGCCCGATCGGGAAATTGAAGCCTTTTTGGGAATTTGTGAAGGAAAATGAACAAAACTGCCCTCCACAAGAAATTTCCTTTGCGATTTCTCTCAATCGGTGACCAGAGTGTTTTATTAGGGCGTACTCTGGCTATTCTTCTTGATTCATGGGGACGCACTAATGTTCTATCGGAACCAAAGATCAGGCCAAATATGCCTATCCTAGGACGCGAAATTGCGAGAGCTATGGTATTATATAGAAGGAGACTATTTCTCGAACTCTCTCTCGACTTGGGCTTGACCATCTACATTGACGGAGATTAACTGTCACAACTCCTTTACCCCATATATCTACAATCTGCGCATCCTGTGCGAATCTGTGCGACTCTTCCCCATCTGTGAGGGAAAAAGAGGAAACGACTCATCTTTGCATGCCCAAAGGTTCCCCGAGAAACCCAAGGTGGAGCCATTTGAATGTATTTATAATCTCTGAACTGTCTTTGACATCTACACGATGAAAGGTGGTGGCTACTTCTCAAGGCTTTAGAGGGCCCTGGGCATACCATTCCCGGAGCCTACTGCCTGGTCCGGATAATCTTGCGGTCTCAACAAAAATCTTTCAAAAAACCAAATCTGGAGGGCAGCAACACTTGGGCTTGGTTCCAGCAAGTACAGGCCACTCCTGGGAAAATTACATACATACCTGTTGGCCTTGTGGTTAGCACGCTTGCTCGAGATCTTCTGTATAAAGCCCACGCTCTCCCCGCCTTTCTTTTCGTTTTCTGACCACAAGTTGTTAGCTGCATCCACACTTCAAGTATAAATCTTTGCTCCAGGTCTGAGATATGAGCATTCCATCCCCATTTAACACCGAGTCCGGCCTTGCGCCGAGGGTGAATGCCCTCGAGGTGGTGTCTGCTGAAGCGCGCACCGCCCAAATTGAAGCCGCTTGGTATGTTTCCGTGGAACCCTCTTCGGAAGCCGTCGCCCCCTGACAACCAGCTTTTGGCAGTTCCCAACTTTTTGTGGCGCTTTTCCTGGTCCTCCTCCAGCGCGCGAGTCAGGTGGCGAGCTGGGTGATGACACTGGGAATCAACGAATTTTGCCAGTCGTCCTATGGCCAGCAGGCGGTGAACCTCGACGCAGCCGATGCCAATGTCGAGAGAGGCGACGGAGAAATCGTGGCGTGGCGCAAGACACTGGAGCGAATCTCGTGGGCGTGGAAGGCAGCCCGGATTATGTCGGCGGTGCTCATCCCGTTTGTAGCATCGCCTCGTAATCACCACCGCCGTCGATGTCAACTAATTTTGTTCAAAGGTCGTCCATCGCTCTGTTCCAGATCGAACGTGTCCTACGCAATAGCGCGCCCTTCGTATGTACCTCGTTTGCCTTCTTATTTGCTTTGGCAGCGTTCGCATCGAGCTGCCTGTTAGCGGGCATGATGCCGAAGCTTGCCACATCACACTTGTCAGACATCTGGATCAAGGTATAGCTGTTTCATGTCCTTCGAAATGTGTTCCAAAAACTGAATATGACGCTCAGGCCACCCAAGGCTCAGTAACCTGGAAAGGCACATCGCCGGCGAGTGTACAATTTTGGATCCTTGTCGAGTTACCTCTGTGTTCCGCTGCCTGGTGAGTTCTGCCCGTGAGGTCATCTATAAGCGTACTAATTCTTGGACACAGGTCTACACTATTGACTTTCGTCGCTGCGCTCACTCTAATCCTATGTGATGGCGAGGCCGTAGCGTTCACCAACTCCGTTCATGTTTTGATTGGAGTCTTGATTTTCCTTCTCTCTATTTTTCTCTCGGCGCTATTCTACGTAGCTACGAGACTGATTGGACCAATCCCCGAGTAAGAGCTATAGTGGATAGTTGAGCCCGAAATGACGTTCCTGCAGTTTCGATACCCGTCCCCGTCACACATCGCAATTTAGCTACTGGCAATTTTTTGATGGAAGAATGAATTCTTGGTTTTTCGCAGAAATAGTCAAATAAATGTATTTGTACATAATCAAAAGATTGCGTGGATACATGAACAGAACACTTATGCGGAGGCGAAGACAGTCTGAGGGACGTTGTTGATCTCTCCTGGAGGCAGGATCTTCGAGAAAGGCATCTCCTTTGCCGGTTGGAGCGAATTATTCTCGTCGTAGTTCGTGTACGGCGGAGATTTGATCATGTCGAACGTGTAGGCGAATTGGGTGTGCGGTTTCGTGTTTCGTTCCGACTTGTGCAGCACGAAGCCGTGAATGAGGACAAGGTCACCTGTTGGTGTACTAATTACTGTGCTCTCAGACATTTATATGGTACTCTTTTGAGCGCGCTGTAACAAACAGATGTACGATAAGTAATCTAGGGAAATGTGTTTATAGCAGTGATGATCTTATGGACGTACGGCGTCTAATGTGACCTTGGGTTAGTCCCATTAATTACTTAAGTAAGCGTGGGCGCTTTTTTGCCCACGTGCCGATGGGCGTCTCTTCACATTACAATATTACATAATTATTATTCTTCCGTCAATCAGAGCTCCTCTCTAGGATAGGAACGAGTCATACTGCTCGAATTAAGTGCTCGGAAGAATCTTTACATAAACGTGCCAGGACGACTGGTACTTCTTCGGCCGTCTTTCGCTCGTCTGTCGTTTTTGAAGGGAGTCCGTAGAATGAGACCGGAATCAAGAAATCGCTCTCTTGAGCAGCATTGACAATTGTTACCACCCAGAGCAGATGTAAGGTTGGAAGACACTGTGTCTCCGTTGTTCAGTAAGATAGTAGACATCGCTGAAAAAAAAATTGAAGATGCCTTGATTGATTTCTATTCCAAACCCGGCCTAGCCACTACCGTCCTGGCCTCCCCGCCTTCAAGACTACTCATGTTCATGCCGAGAGCAAGGCTGAACATGGTCTAGGTCCTAGGCCGCATAAGAGGCGATCGCACAACTATTCCTCCTTCGCGCGTATGGGTCACTGCTTCCTTCTGCAGCTAAGGTGTTGGTAGGCGCGGAGTACGCGCCCGTTGCAGACGGCGGCGACGGCGGAGATGCTCTAGACGTGAAGAATAGTCTCGATAGGTAACGATTCTCCGGCAACTCGTCCGCACATACGTCGTAGGTAGACTGAATTATATAAGCCACTGGGTCGTTTGCCGGACCGAGACTGGACGGAGAATCCAGGAGATGTAGATGATTCCTTTCAGCGAGCCGAGATCCGGCATCTCACATGGGCGGCGGGACATCGAAGTTCGAACTCGAGGGCAACAACTGAAGTGTGCACAGAAACGAGAGCGAGAGCGAGAGTGCGATAAAATCAAAAGAAATTTTGGGTAGAGGATAATAGGGGACATAGTCAGCACAGATTTCTATCGTCCAAGACACGAAGGGAGAAGGACGTACAGGTGACTTGTCTTGGGCGCGGGAGCTCATGCCCAGTGAAGGATTGTTGAGAGCCTGAATTTGCTCCTCCCTCACACTGCACTCGGTAACAGCAGGTGGGGCTCGCAATAAGTTAAGTAGGAATAGAGATCGTCTTGGGGTGTTATCACGTAAGGTGAACTGCCTGGTTCGTTTGGATGCGTCAGGCTTGGGTTGGCTGAACCTGGGGCTGAGGAAGCGAAGGTGCGTGTATGAAGGCGTGAAGGGATCGAAAATGGATTGGGGTGACAAGGAGAGGGTTGGACGCCTAGGCGGGTCGAGTAAGGGTTGACACGGCTAATAGAAGGGGTTGGATTGTCACTGCAGGCAGAGATGAATTGAACTGCTGGACATGAAGGTGCATCGTCTGATAAGCATGAGTGAAAGGGTGAAGCACAACGAAGTCTAGACTTACTCCGGAAAACCCTCAACTGGGGCGACTGTTCCTTTCCTCTCAGCGATCCGCGGCAGAAACTCGTCCAGCCTCGTTTCAGAGAATCTGGACGTGGTTGAGGAAGTTGGGAAGGAGCATAACCAGCATCCCGTGTCAGGACAGGTGCAACACGTTGCCCGTATTGGGATCCGGACAGTGGTAAAGGTGGGGACGAACTTGTGTGGGGGAAGGTGTTGTGGTAATGATGATAAACATCGAACATTGAACGTTGAACATTGCATTGAACACGATTCCCAGCTACCGAAATTGCCATGCGGGTCGTGCTTGTGGAACTCTGGTCGCCAGGAAGTGAAAACGCCAACTACACCAGCGAGCTTCATCACCTCGTGTTGATGAACGACATAAGTACTAAAATCTGAAATAACGGAAAAAAAATTCCTGGACGAACATTAGATAGCGAAAATTGTCGAGTAGTCAGACGGCCTTACCTGAGTGCCAAGTCTGCGGTTCCGTGGTTTGAGGAGAGTCGTCTCAGCGAAGTCGTGGTGGTTGTTGTAGAAGAGTGAGCTGCTTTATTTGGTTGACGATATCTCTCCGGCTGTTCGTCCGCAACCACTACGATGACCTCAACGAATCGCGCTTCTGAGGGTTCTTCGCTTTCTACAGACAACTCAGGGATGGCACAGGAAGCAAAACGACACGTACGGAGGGGAACCAATACAAGAATCAGTGTCGGTGAGTGTGGTTTTCGGCCCTTGTTGGTTTCTAGCCTTATTATGATGATGATTTCTGTTCAATCCCCAGATGTCCCACACGCGTGGCAGAGCTATTGACGGCGTACCAAAGGAAGGGGATTGACGATAGCATGGAGGTCAGCAAGCTGCTGTTGGGATTACATTGAGGTTTGTCAACGCCTTTCCGTTTCGAAGTCGTGAGCTGAAATACGCGTTTCTTTGCAGAAAATCGAGCATTTCAAACAGGAAGCGCAAGCTGTGCCTGCCCCTGAGCCCTCTCACCCCGCAGGAGCGGACGGTGAGCGTTAAAATCCCGACCAAATGGCTAAGGAAGACGGTAATATACGGAATCGCCGAAGATACTGGCGTTCAGGTAACGAGGTATGCTATCTTTTTATCGTCTTTTACAAGCATTTCCTCACGGTGAAGGCTAATGTGAACCATCCAGCGATTATATTCACTCAGAAACGAAGATGTTCGACCCCGTCTCCAAACGTCTGCTGCAGAACAGTCTCGCTGGAAGGAACCCTACCAACCTGTCACCTCCTTATAGCTGGAGGCTCTTTGACTGCACCTGCGATCATCCCTGGCCACCCTACCCATATTCTCCATCCAGAAACCCCATCCCCGGCTGAGCCCTCCCGTAAACCGCCCTAAGCTTCACGCAGCCTCAACTTCCGGGAACCCACATCTATCGTTTGTTCCCAGCCATCATGTGAATGAATCCTCCTTCTATGCCTCCTCAAACTGTTGCAAACACGTACTATCCGCAATCAACAGCACAACCTGTGATAGACAACCCGTGTGCGCAGGACGGCAGTAATGACGCGTCGGACAACCACTTCCGGTCGTCGTTTAACCCGGCACTTCAACACCTCGATCTCCCATTACCACCGACAGTCATCTACAACTCCATTCAGACCATCATTCTAACGCCTAATACCTCGGTATCAATGCCGAGCACCACCTGTCCCGTGCCATCCTCAGGACATCAGTCACCGTCGTTGCCGTCGGCCTCCTACAGGAAGCAACACCGGAGAAGGAGAACTTACCCGCTTTGTTGAACGCAGTCGACGCGGACTTGAATCTGCGGCCCTCCTCGAACGTTAGCCCTCGAGGATCATCTCGCTGGCGCACCAGCTCTACCGGGAGCCCTGTGCCTTCCTTGTACCACGCGGCATGCTCTGCTTTGTCAGATACACTGTGCTGTTGGGGTGCTCATGTCTTTGTCTTTGCTTCTTTTCTCCATTCGGCGGTTCATGAACGATTTCGGTTGGGCGAGCATCATAATTTAGGCTGCCGTGGATATCATATCTGGGGTATGCTTGAAGGTACATACTCTATACATCCTGTCCATGCTTCTCTAACCTTGTCGTGTCAGACGCAGCCTCGTTTGTGGGGTTGTGAAGAAATCATCACAACGCGTCGATCACGACTGTATCATGGATAGCTTGTTTCTCAACTTCCTTGTCTCCGATATCCGTGTCAGCCCATCAAGCAGTACCAAACATAGATAGTACTAGGCATAGGGTCGGCTCTGATTCCATGGTGGGAATTGAGGGCAGCATCTTGACCGTCATTCGCGCTCGTCAGACGTGGAATCTACCCTCTTGAACCTATGACGTATGCGCAGCTAGTTTTACTCGAATATCCTAACCCGTCTTTCTGCAGGCTGCACGCCAATGAAAGTAGAGACCTTCTCATGAACTTCTCATCTTCCATACACCCTCGACAATGATGGCGTCGTGTCAGCGTTGTAAGACCCGCGCCGAGAACTGATGCACTATATCTGCACTTCGGTCTCTTCATCCTGCAGAATGTGACTTTGCGAATAACGAGTCTTGCTCCATCGGTGTCGAACCTCCCGAATACCCAGTTCTCCGTCGATTCCTTAAGCTTTCATTTTTCGCTGTCTCTCGACCCCTCCACGTTGCTCTTCTACGTTAACAGGTGGCCTGTCCGCGACGGAAACCCGGAAAATCGTATGTTGCCGACCGAGTACGATCCTTTTTTTGTTGCTCTACTCTCTGATTTTGCACATCAATACTTCAGAGTTGATGGGGACCAGGCTTCCGCATGATGGATGGATTAATCATTCTACTCTATTAGCGATGGCAGCGTGGATAGTGGTCTGCGTACCATCATACGGAAAATACGGAACTCAGGTCGAGTTTCGTCAGGTGCTCGTGTTTGATACCATCAAACATCGTGAAGAGGGATTGAAGGTCGACTTTCTCTGAATGAGGAAGACTTCGATCGTACTGCACGCAGCATGTTCGAATAGGTAGGAAATACGTGTACTTTACTATCCTCTTTGGTCTGGAAATACAACAGGTATTAACGAGAACGAAAACCACCCAATTCCCGCCTATAGATCTAAACAAGAGTCAAGGTTTGAAATAGGCGCCTCATGTGCGAAGAGATTTGACTAGCACTGTGACTCATCCCCAGACTTATCGCCTAAGTAGTCTGATAGCTCGGTAGATCAATGCCCCTTGGAGCGTGATCACGAGAAGCGCCCATGCGGCGTTCGCAATGTGGTTCAAGCCGTGCACAGGCCTTTCCTCATCGTCGCACCATATCAGGGTGAAGACGCACGTCGTGATCAGGATGATGCACCTAGAGTTTCGGTTCTGGTTAGTCGAAGAGAGAATAATGAGATTAAAATAACATACCATGCGACAGACCACACAGGAAATGCAAGGGCAGTCCAAAATTCGATTACGGAAAGCGTCTGGACGTAGTTTGTGGAAGCCTAGAATGGGGGAACATTGTACGCGGTTAGGTGCATTTAATGACGATTAATGCTCTATTTAACCTAACCTCGACCCAAAGGTTAGATATCTGAGCCGACTGAAGCGTCGGTCTCATAGTAGCGAGGAGGAAACTTGACGTCAAACTAGCGACGGAGAAGAGGAGCGCAGCGATGGCGCAAACGAGCGCGACCCTCGTGCGGAGGACGCACTCAATCGCCATGAGACCAATCGACGACCTGACGGTAGAATTTGTTTAGATTGGCGATACGCCTTCAAAATGGCGAGACTCACGGAAAGAGGAAAGCTGACGCCACGGCTGCGAACTTCCAGGCCCGCGAAATACGTTCCAATGTCTCCGTCCACGCCTCTAAGGTTCTATCGTTCCTCTCAGTGTCCGAGAGTGTAGCCTGAGAGTCTCCTTGATAGTGAAAAAAGGACCGAAAGACTTTGTCAATCCCTAATGCCCAGCCGCTCATGGCCCAAATTCCGAATTGCGAGGAGTGCTGCTTGAATAATCGAGAAACGTCAAGAGGCAATTCCATGAGCTTTCTGGTGGTATTCAGAAGATCTCAGAATATTGCAAAGGCTTCCTGACTGCGTGACCGGACGTCCTACCTGGATGTCAATGTCATGACACGGGAAGGCCGTCGGGTGTTCGAAGTCGATTCGTTGGAGGCGAAGTTAGTGGAGGATAACGCAGCCATTGGGGGGTTGGGACGTAATGCCACGATTAGATATAAGCTTGACTTTTAAGCTGTACATCTTCATGCCTTTCGAACCGTTCGGGCTGGCGTCCCGCAGCGTCTAGAGGACTGGGTCTTGACTGGAACACAACGGGACCGCCTCTAATAGGATTCTAGTTGCATGGCGGTACATTGACCCATAGTATATGAACGTTTGAGCCAATTGCAGTTGAACGCCCGAAAACGAAAAGAAGCTTCTCCGCCGACGCACACGGCATGCCTACGGAAGTGTAAAGCCGCCATGTAAGTCGCGACTGGCCCAGCCGTTAAAAGCCGTGATCGCGTTGCTGTTCGACAAATGGGCCACCATCCGCAGGTCATTTTTATTCCCGTTTTGTCTTGGCTGTAGCCCACCCAATGGGAGGGCTGTGCCTGTCCCACGATCTTAGCTTAAGCGCCCATAACGTTGATCGGCTGTGTACTCTCGACAAGTTGCTCGCATCTCATTTATCCTCGTGAGATGCTGAGAGAGATATAGCACCCTATGCGTAGTGAGGCTTGTGGACGGAATAATACCACGAATGCTCCAGCTCAACACCATGTTCTGGTAAAATCGACGTGACACAGGCGCAATGAAAGTCCGCCAAGACCGATCGACCCTCGTTCCAAATAATTGGAAGATTCGCAAGCAGATAATTGGCTCCTATAAGCTGGGACTTGACGGCTTCCCTGGGCATTCGGCTATGACGTGAGCGCGTGTGATATCATAGGCCTGTTGCTCAACACGCGTGAGATGCACTTCAAGGAGTCTCCAATAATAGCGCACTATATGTGCTGACATACTTAGTTCGAGTATCGTCTAGATTCTTGGCCCTGACGGAACAAGTACCTTGGAAAGGCTGTGTAGGTTTTTGATTGTGAGGCGACTGCGTCTGTCGAGACCGTCAAAATTCATCCAATCATTGGTAGCTGCTTATAACCCACCGGAATGTGTCTCGTCTCTCGCGTACGCCTCGTTACAGCAGTGGAGACTGGAGAGTCCAGATTTAGAAGATGCTGAAGTGATTGGGGGCCAGCGAGACAGACTCTTCGCCATCGATTTGCTGATAATGAAGATCGGCCGATAGAAGAGTATTCTGACTGGAACTGAAGAATGACCTACTGGACAAGGTTTGTTGAGTCTTTTATAGTGTATTGCAGCACTATATCGCGGTTCTACTGCGAGTTGCTCGCCCAATTGGTCGAAAACACTATTTAAATAAGAAAGCGCCGGAGATACGTGAAGAGGACTGTCTAGCTCTTTAGCTTCGTATAAAATTCGAAATGAGACCATTCACAAACGGCAGCGCCTCCTCGATCGACGTTCTCTTTGGACAACGCTCGAGGACAAGCCGTAATCGTCTTTGCACCCCTGCCTATTGCTAAAAGCCTAACTCGATGGTTGAGCCATGCAGGTGGCACACCATTATTCTGCCACTCTCACAAAGAGTCAATGAACCTGAAAACACCCCGTGGCCTGTGCCTCTTTGCCACCATCGGCCCAAAGCCGGAGAGAATTACCAAATATAGAGTGTACCGCTTTGTGACGCAATCGAGGGTGTACTACCCTTTATAATCACGGCTCAGTGAAGTTGGGTATGCTTCGCGCGCCGTACGACTTTCATGCACCATACAAGGAAAAAAAATGGAGATACACTTTAGAGTCTTTCCTTGCCTTTGGCACATTCGCAACCGTTTCGCGTTGTAGGAGGCCAAAGCCACTTGAAGCCACTTGGACTAAGCGCGTTTGGCCCCTGTGAACGCATTCTTCGATGCCACAAGTGTTGGATAGTGAGCTTTGTCTGCGGGCCAGATACTTAATGTCTGCTAGGATAGGTGTCAGTCCTTACCAGCCAACGCCTATTCTTCAGCTTCCAGAGCCAACTACCCAACTCACCTAACGTCAATTAACGCCTATCCTCTCTATCTAAGCACAAATGGCCCACATCAACCCTCTCCACGCTCCTATCTACCCAATCCAGCACTCGGGGTACTCCTCTCTCTCCGGCGCCATGCCTGCACAGGCACCACTCCCCAGCGGGCGCAAGCGCCTGCCACAGGAACCCTACACACCCGCGTCGAAGTGGCACAACAGCACGGGCCGGTCGAACCCTGTCGAGGCGGCAATCTATTTCGACTACAAGGGGTACAAGCGCCAGGGCGTGTCGATGCGCGAGCTCAGTGCGCGCAGCGTGCCGGGTTTGTTTGCGATGCTGGAAGGAGGGAGTGACACGGTGCTTGCGCATACGGGGTTGAGCAGGATCACGTTCCGGATAAAGGCTGGTCTATTTCTCGTCTTCTTGGGTATATTTCTTCGGTGTTTATTTTTCGCGTTTTCGTTTTCGTTTTCGTTATCGTTTTAGTGGCCAGGGTACGAGTCCGCGAACTGGGCACGCTCGATTGAGATCAACACAGGCGGCCCGATCACCCGCGCTGGACTCGCACAGGCCGTCGCGCAGAACTTTGCGCGCTTCATCGAAATGTGCCGTGGGGCGAAGTCTTCGTCGCCCCAGTGGTCGATCGCGCCCAACAATATCCGTTACGAACACCTCTACCTCGTATCGCTCTTCAACGTCTTTGAAGACTCGTGGCAGGCCGATGTTGTTGTTGATCTCCGGTAGACCTGGAGGCTGGGATTTTGGACTCTTTGCCTTTGGTCCTGGAGAATATTTATGCCCTTGACGGGCGATTCATGCTACGCTATCGTCGATTAATTCGTAGAACCTAGTTACGTACCCACTTAGTCTAGAGCTTTTATATTTCGTTACTACCGCGTCGCTGATCACTTGTCGCGATTACGCCTACTGTCGCTACACTGAAAAAATTCGTAGACCTAAATAAATACGCCAACTGTCGCTGGGAAGTCAGATTAGTTCAACACACCAAGTTTGCTTTTTGAGGGGTTTCGACGGGAATCTGGCTCCCGTATACATACTCCAACACGCCTTTGGATTCAGGAGACCGGAACACCAGATTTAAGCCAACGAAGCTCTCGACGAAGCGTCTCAATGCTAATTCAACGGAGCGAGACGTTTAAACGCCGATTAAATCGAGAGTTTGGAGTGGGTACCCAAGCTCCTCACGGATTGCGACCAGCTCGATTAAACTGTCTTCGCCTGTGGAGTTCAACGATGAGGGGCGTGGTTGGAGAATAATTCGGATGAAGGTGGAAAAGAGATGCGATCGATTAGAATGATGTCGAATTTGAAGACTTGTAGGTTGGATGCAGGTCGACAAAACGTCTCCAAGGTAGAAGTATTGAGCGCAATTGCTTCAACTGCCATCAAACATAGATTTTTTACGCGCTCCCAATGGCCGTTCAGTAATGTCCTGAAATTTTGAATGGCGTCGTCGTCGTCGTTGAAGAGATCGAGGTCGCCGCTGATGTATAGCGGTGTGGTTCCCGTTCTTCGCAATATGAGATCTCTCAGAGAAGGTTTGTCGTAGATTTGATCCAAGTCAATGTCTCGACTCCACAATGAGGGCGAGTTCAGGATCAACAGCCTCCATGAACGACAAAGCTAGGCGCCACGATGGAGGACTGCCAAGCTGGTCGAGGACCATGACGCACGGTTGAAACGTTCTGAATTAGGCCTGTCCCTTGGGCGGGTGTTCTCCCAGAAGAGTTTCCAAAGGAGATCTTCAGAGAGTCGGAATATCGGTGCTTCCTGTTCAGGTGACATGGTTTGGAGAGGATGATTGGCGCCCGGCCATTTCGGCAAGAAAACCGAAAGTTCAATCTCACGTGATCCAGCGCGGCATTTGTATGCGCGTGTTTGTCTCCTGTGCAAATCGTGTTCTGATTCTCCTCACTGACAACAATTTCTCACCCAATTTCCCCCAATTTCTGCGATTTTCTGGGCTGTGTTCCTCGATATAAACACCGCCAGCGCCGACGTCGAGCTCAACAATGAGCTCCAATGACAATCCACCGACGTTGGACCTGTCGGACATTATGCATCACATGTCGCCGTCCCCTGTGCCCTTCGAGGAGCCGCCGCTGCCTCCTGCGACAAATTCCGATGAACAGACGCCCAAAAATAATCGCGATGCATCTCCGGAACCTATATCTGAGTCCAATATCCAGACCATTCGCCGAAGACTGGAAGAAATGGGTCTTGTAGCCACTAGGCAGAGAATAGCAGCAGAAGCTGGCGAATCTTCATCTAGCCGCCTGATCAGCAGTGGCAATACAAGCTCGAGGGAAAAGGAGCTCGTTGATATGGTGCGCCACATTTTCTTAATCTGAAGCATCGCCTTCTGAGTCGCATACGTCTCTTGTAGATTCTCCGCCTTACAGATGTTGTGCCGGTGGATCCTGCCCAATTAGAGCAGCAGGCTACCACAATATCCCGGCTAACGGCCCAAAGAGACTTTCTGGTTGCCCAGGCAGAAGAGGAACGGCAGTGGTGGCAGTCGGAACGAGAGGGCTGGGACCGTATGGCTGAGGCGCTGTTGTCGCAGAAGAATCGACCGCCAAAGTCAGAGGTGCGTTGCATCTTGTGCATTAGCACACGAGGATTAGCACGGCTCATATATTCTCAGGACTCTGAACGCCAACGGCTAGCTTATGAGATGGAGAATCGCACCCTGCGAGAGAGAGTAAGCCATTGTTTCACCCTTCTCTCGTTCTGGGGTCTCTAATTTTTTTTGTTAGCTACAAGACACACAACGTCGGTTGTCCACTCTGGAGGCAGAGCTAATCAGACTCAAGCCATTGCTCTTAATGCAACCTTGCTCTGCACCTCGCTCAAAGCATCCTTCAACGTCAACTCAGCCTTACAAGTCTGTTCCAGGAAAGGGCAAGGGCAAGAGAAGAGAAAACGAATCTGCAACACACAGAGACTCTCTTGGGCCCATAGCCGAAGAATATGGGCATAGCGAGGAACACGGTCATCAGCAAAGTAATTCTTCCTCTCCGTACAAGTTGGATCAGCAGCATTATACATACAGCTACCGTTATCAAGATTCTTCCGCTCCTCAAGCACCCCACACAGCGAGTTCAGCTCCTGCACCCTCTTCCAATCCAAAACCCCATACATCTCATCCGACCCAACCTAGTTCTCAGCCGAACACCTCCCAGCAAACCCGACGGCCACGAGATCCCAGCTCTTCCAAGAGCAAACGACATCACCACCTAGGCACAACGCCGCTTTCCTCCGACGCACACACTGAGCACGTCCTGCTGGCAGCCCAGCGGATAGGCAGGAAACGTGCAGCGATCGTCACCGGCCTGCAACAGCACGCCGAGCGAGAGAAGGAGACCCTCGCTCGAGAGCAAGAGCAGCTCAGGACAAGACGAGAGCACGAGCGGATGGAGAAGGAACGTCTGGAGCGCCTGGCGAGCGGGACGTCCGGGATGGCGTATTACCGAGCGTCAGCCGATGGACAACATCTTACGACGATGACGAGCAGTCCGCAGAGAGGTGGGGGCCCACGGTCGTCTGCGAGTACTACCATGCCAAGGACGCCTAAGAGGGGCATGGCCATGCACCCAGCGCACTACCCCGCGACGCTAGGCGTCGGCCCGAACAACAACGCCAACCCGGGCGGGGTGAACACGCCCCCGCCCTCAACGTACGTGTTCGTGAACACCTCGGCGACCCCAGTGCCGAAGATGCCTGCGTACACGCATACACCTGGTGCATTGGGCACCCCAGGCCATCTAGGCGCCCCAGTCAACTTGATACCGAGCTCAGCGACGCGCCAGGTAGCGAAGAACACCAACACACATGGGCCGATTACGAGCAACCCGCCGACGCCGCTTGACTCGCTGTTGACGGCTGCGAGGAGTATGATGGATGATAGCCCGAGTGCAGGTGGGAATGGAGATGGGCGAGGTGGGCGAGGTGGGCAGGGGAAGACGAATGGGAGGAGAAGAATGCTGGAGGAGCCAGAAAGTCCGGTGCCGAAGAGGAGGAGGGTGTCGACGGATAAAAGCGCTGCGAGTGTTGGAGCGGGTACAAGTGCGGTTAGGGCAGGCGGTGCGAGGTTGGATCGGGTGAGAAGTGCATTGGATGTGCTTGCGGACCAGGCTGCTGCTGCTGTGTCGAACGAGCCTGGACCGTCGGGTTCGAGGGCTTCCGGTGTCGGGCCCTCAACCTCAAATATGGCGAAGGGTAAGGCGAAAGCAACGTCGCGAGCCGAAGCAGAGGAAGAGAAGGAGATCAAAGCTTCTTCAAGTCCTGAGGCCGATGATGGAGACCAGCCCTCGCAAGAGAGCGTCGTCTCCTCTTCCTCAAGAGGCAGATCAACAGCCTCAGGTCGGTCAACACGGACACGACGAGGGTCTGCAGTCGCTCCAGCTCCTGCCCCTACATCGACTCGACCAGTCCGACAGAGCACGAGAAAGCGCGCCACCTCACCTGATCGCGCTACTTCTACCTCAACGTCAACAAGAGGGACTGGGCGCTCGAAAGGACGGCCGAAGACTGCTGGGGCGCCGAGCACGAGGCAGAGGAGGGGTTCCTCGAATGCAAGTGTCGCGAGGATGATTTCGCCAGCTGGGCCGAGGGTGATTACAGCTGGGCCTGGGTATGAGCAGGAGCACGAGGTGGAAGAGGTGGCACCGGTACCTTCGGAGACTGTACCTTCACCAGCTGCACTCCCGTCGGTACCCTCTGAAGCTGATGACCGGGACCGAGAACGTGCTGTGCCAATGCTGGAAAAGAGTTCTGATTCGACTCCGGCGTGGGGGGATTGGGGTAGAAGGGATGGACATCGTGCACGGTCGAGAGAGGTGGCTCATCCTGTTGAGAGAGAACCGAGTCCGGTTGAAGAAAGCAAGGACGGGAATGGAGAGGTTGTCGCGATGGAGGTTACTCCTCCGACTGAACCTTCTGCAGATCCAGCTTCTCTAGCTGTCGAGGCACCAGCGTCGGTGCCAGACTCATCTGAACAACTTCCAGATGCAAATCCACCTTCTGCGCCTTCACCTCTTCCCAACGGCGACCTCGAGATCAAGGCCAAATCTCCCTCACCTCATGCACCCACACCCTCAGCAAACGATATTGAGATGCACTCTCCAACACGCCCCGATGATCCAGAGGACATAGATGCTGACGCTGACGCAGAAGCCGACCTCGACGAAGACGCCGAAGGCGAGCAAGAGGACGAGGAGGACCGCGACCGCGACGGGGACGACGACGCGGAGATCGCATCAAGAGATCACCCATCCCGATCCCGATCACCCCCACCCCCAGATCCCCCACCTCCAGGGCCCGGCCCTGACACTGACGGCGGCGGTCCGCCGCCTCCTGATGTCGACGACGATGAGCACGACGCTGATGCCGACGCGGAGGGAGAAATGGAGTTTGACGACGAGGAACAGCACCACCAGCAGGCATCGGGTTCGGATTCGGGTTCTGTGAGCGCGAGCGCGGGTACGTATCAAGCGGGAGCGGCATGTGCTGATGAGGTCGCGTCGTCCCTACGTCCCGGTCGTGCGCGTGGGTACGCACCGCTGTTTGCTCCCCATCGCCCGGATAACATGCCCGGATGCCAATTGGGATTTGTCCTTCGAGCGCATTCCAGGACTCGGAGTGTTCCCGTGAGCGCTCGAAGGGCAACATGGAGACAAAAAGAAGCGACTTTACCGTCTCTGTTCTTTGAGCCAAGACCCTCTCTTTCCTACAATTGTCTCTCCAGAGTGAGTGCCTTCATTTTTTGTGCACCAAAATGTGTATTCTGAAGCTGGCATCTCTCTTTCCACCAGTCCGTAGCACTGAGCTAGTTCAGGAATCGTGCTTTCTGATATGCCGTTCCATGACATGAGGTCCATTGGAGAACGACAGTATCATTTCATTTCGTACGCTTTTAATCTCCCTTTTGTCTGTCGTCTGCTCATCGTCATACTGATGCAGTAAGTCCTTCCGCGAGACTGTCCACCGTGAAATGGTGCTGAGCAATACTCCATTAAGCACTTTTGCCCCATCGGAATATTTCCTCTGGACTCCAGACACGGAAACCGCTTTCCATCCTCAGCACGCAACCTCTTCGCAGAGTTTGCGTAGCGACACCCATCCTTCGAATCGTGCCGACACCTCAGGCGATATTTATCAGTATTGCTTTATCTTCCACGATCTTTTGGCTTTTCTGTACGTATTTTGTATCGTATCTTATTATTATCTTTCTTCAATAGGTTGTATTATTCCTGTAGCACGAGAACGCGAAAGTCGAGATGCCACAAATGGTCCTGATGGAGATAACTCTGTTTATTTCTCTCCGACTAAAACACACGCTGCGCCGACAAGCCTTGATGCCAAAAATGCACATCCAGAATGGAGTCCACCTCTGTGCATTCTACACGCCCTTTAAATGTGACCAACAACGTTGAGATTGACCGTCAGGCTGCGATTCGGGCGGCTTTGGTGGAAGAAACCTGATGCTTGGTATAAGCGTGTGCCTTGCTCAGAAATAGAATATGTTGCCCCCGAATTTGGTACGCGGAGGGTGCCGTATTTCGCGCCAAATTCCGCGGTCGTGAGCCCAATCTTCCCGGGTATTTTGACCAGGCAAAGTCGTCTCCTCTGAAGCCTTTTTCTGCGAAGATCACGTCAATGTCCCTGGCCCAACCCACCATGAAAAGATGATTGCCAGGTTTGTACAAGTCCCCATACTTCACAGATCTGGCTAGAGAACTCACTTCGTCTTCTTCAGTGCTATCTCGGTCCAGTTCTCATGCCTCTATCACCCATTCACCTTCCGTCAACTTGGACGCAATCGGAACTTGTGGCTTCTTTCTTCTGTCATTCCATTTTTCCTTTATAACCAGTCATCGAAAATTTGGCCCATCGCTAGCCCTTCCAAAAACACATACTCTCGCACGACGTCCACGATACGCGTATACTCACCGCAAGGTTATGGACTTCATAGAGACTGCTCAATATAACACGCCTGCTTCTTCCGTCGCTGCAGGAAGCTCAAGGTAAAGACCTTCTGAGCCTATTCCTGTTCACCGATGCTCACCGATGCGCGTTAAAATAGTCAAGCATCACTTCCTCCTCCCTGGCGCCGGTATCAGCACCCGAACGGCGACATCTATTTCCACCACCGCGAGCACCGTCTAATAACGCCAGACAACATCTACGACCCCGAAATCCTCGAGTATATTCTTGAAGCGCGCGAGGATCACCTCCAGTGCCTTGCAGGAGACCCAGGCTCCTCGCGTCTCCCGTCAGACTATGAATTGGTGATCTCGGAGGTTAGCGACACAGCTGCGACGATTAGAATGTACTCGAGGGGGGCGACGGAGGCGTATACTTGGACGGAGGAGAACGGTAAACGATCAGTCGACTCTGCGCGTTTGCTGGGCTAACTCTCGCCTTCCAGGCCTGGTCACGAAGTCGAGAGAGCACTTCTGGTCCCATGTCGCTGAGTACCCCTCGCACCATCCTCAGCTTCCGCCCAACACGGAGGCAGAGTTTGCACGAGCCCTCGAGAACGGTAGGTTGGCCTGTCCCTGCCGCCCCCAATTTCGATACTGAAATATAATCCTCTATCAGCCAAGCAAGCGATCGCTGACGGCGCAGTCTTTCCTTTCACTGAACGCCAGATCGACCAGATCATTGCTCGATACGAGAACTTGACAGGTGCGTGCCGGGAGGGTTCTCGATGTGTCAGGAAGATAGCCTCTGACGGTTCGCGAATCTCGCAGCCCTTCGCTCGCAAGGCAGGAACACGACCCCGTCTCTGGCTTGGCTCATCGGTGCTGTTATGCCCCTCGACGCGGTTGGAAGACGGGTCAACGACGATAACCTCCAAGCTATGATCAACGGCGTCCAGTAACACCACTGCAGAATAAAATCTTCCTCTCCTCGATCTAGACACGATATCTCGCCAACATCTCCGCTGTCGTCCCGAGTAATCTTGTTGTATACATTTTCACATGCACATACCTACCCCTTGTATCGTATAGACAGAGTGCAAAAACATCATGCCGAAATGAAATCCAGGCATCATATTCTGTATGGGCGTCCCGCACGGGGGCAAACGGCCGGTGTGAAGGAGCGAAGAGATCAAGATCAGGACCTATTATCGATATTGGTCTGCGCGAAATCGCCTGCAGGGCATCCTCTTCTGAGCGCCTCTTTACATTTAGTTCCGCCCTCTTGTCTCGAAGATGATCGCGGGACTAAATCCAATGTCCCCAGTGGGCGACGGAAGCAAATAAAGGGGATGGAAAACAATGACACGAACCCCAACAAAGTCCTGCAAGTCGACCGGATAATTGATGGGGCGCCGAATGCGGCTATGACCGTTGTGATACACCTGCAAATATGGTCGCCCAGGTAAAAAAAATATTCAGAAAATATGGTTCTTGCCATCGGAAGACCATCACCCACCTGGAGGATGTAGCGCTCTCCTGGATGCTCTTCTTGACACTGGCAGCAGAATTTTCGACCGTACCAGAACGACGAGTGTTAGGGTCTACCAGCTTCCTATGGATGATCATGATTGGAGGCCTTCCTTCTGGTCCTATCACCCGGCAGGAAGGCGATTGAATACTATATCTTGGCCCCTGCTTGATATTTCTTCGTTAGGAGCGGGAGGGGCTGCTGATTAGTTGAATTCATTGGCAAGATTTGAGGGACCCATTCCTATCCAAGTCTCACGAGTTTCAAGCTCCGGTTCGTACATTGGTGGATGAGCCAGGGGTTTGTCATCGTGGTGATCACATTATCCAGCGGTGCGTCTGCCCATCTGAGCGCCATATGCCAAATGTTGTCATCAGGTTGAGTTGAGATGCCCAAAACACGGACCGAAACAGCGTACAAGCGAGCATGAAGGTACTCAAAGGATACACGAGCACCGAGAAGGCCTGTCAAGTGATGTGATTTACAAGAGCAGAAAGGACATATGGGGTCGGAAAGGACATCTTGGAATTCATATATGAACCGCTCTGGAATGAGTCGTCTGTATGAATTGAGCAGGGTTTTGGAAACGACGAGAAACACACAGGTAACTACCCCCGGGTGAACTTTGTTTATGGGCCGCCAGATCCAGCTCCTCTCCACCATCGCACCACACCATCTTCACCGCCGCTGACGAATGCCCCTGGACTACCAACAGCTGGTACCTTGGGCCGCCATGAGACCGACCACACTTCTCCAGTGTCTTGCACAGTCGAGACTGCTGCACGCGCACCGATATCCCACACTTTGATTGTTTTATCCGCAGATCTGCGAATCGAGAGAAGAGATAAATGAGAAAACAATCGGCCAGGTGCACGAACAATCCACAGTACCCGGAAAGCCCCAATCGTCCGTCGGGTGATATGTCAGTGCTCAGAACCCATGAAGAATGTCCAGAGAAAGAAGCTACTGCTCCTCCTGGAGCGGAGCGAACGTCATGCAACACGAGGCGCTTATCTTCTGAAGCACTCAATAGCAGCTTGATCATGGAACGTCTTAGCTGGATCGTGACGAACGTTCCGAGAATTGATAAGAACCTACATTCGAGTCAGGAGACCAGGCGACGGAGCGCACGGACATGGCGTGCGAGGTGAACGTAATCGACAAAGAACTCGATTCAATGTCGAAGATGTAAATCTGCCCTGGTTCCGAGGACATGGCGACTCGACGACCGTCTGGGCTCTGATTGGATAGTCAACTTCATTACAAGGGGGTGAAGGGAAAGGAGGTGCTTACATGCGCACAAAACATCCCGAATTTGTTTCTGCCCGAAGATAAAGTCGATAATCTCTCTCCGAAGTTGCTGGTCTCCGCCGAATGAATGTATACATTTCCAGATGCTCCAGTCGATGCATATGTTGCCGTTTGAGGGTGCAATGAAACAGACCATGCTACAAAATGACAAAGGCGTAAAAAGAGTGAAATACTCCATTACGAAGTAGGAACCTACACGGCTCAGAAGCTGAGTCCTTCGTTCGAGCGTAGCTTTCAAATTTCCCGGCTATTTCACCATTTTCTAAGCTCCACAACTGTGTAAGACCTTCAATACTGTTATACAGTGCCTTCTTTCCGTCGGACGACACTGATAGAGAAACTTGAGCGAGTGTATGCGGCGCAGGGAAGGTAACGTTTGCTGGGTGGGGTTGTCCAGTGACTGCCGACCATTGCTTCACTGAACCATCGGCAGATACAGAAATTGCGGTGTCATTAGCGGTCCAGGATACTCCCCACACAGCATCAGAGTGTGCTAGACAGAGTAATGAGCCTCAGCAGCGTCGATGAGATGAACAACGTAGTAGTACGTTCTGAACAATCGTGCGCGTGTAGGAAAGCTAAACTCTTCGAGACAGTTAGCATCGTAAAATATAGACGATTCAGAGTTTCCTACCATATTTTCACAGCGAAAGTCGCGTTCGCCGTCGTGATACGCGAAGACGTCGTCTGGAACGGCCTCCTCCTGGGCTTGACCGCTGTCGGGGATTGCCGGATCTGAGTCTGAACCTTTCGTATATTGCTGACCGACTGAAACTCTATTTTTCTTCACATCAACGATAGCGGACGAAGACATCCACACCTTTGTAATCTTTTCAAAGCCCCTGTAAACTACAAAAGTGAGTACAGAGATCGTGCGACGGGGTTGAAAAAGCTGACGACGACTACCAGGATGTCTGACGCTGGAGATGACATTAAAGTTGAGGCCGTCGCCGAAGTCACCACCGAGGCACCTAAGGGCAAGCTCTCAGTCGAGGATGCTCTCAAGGTATTTAGCAAGCTAGTATCTCCAGTTATATTCTCTAATTCTCCGATCTCACAATAGCAAGTCTTGAAGAACGCTCTCGTTCACGATGGTCTTGCCCGCGGTCTCCGCGAGTGCGCCAAGGCCCTTGACAAGCGCCAGGCTCACCTTTGCGTACTTGTCGAGACCTGCACGGAGGCCGAATACATCAAGCTCATCGAGGCTCTCTGCGCTGAGCACAAAATCAACCTCATTAAGGTCGGAGGCGCCAAGCTTCTCGGAGAGTGGGCTGGTCTCTGCAAGATCGATCGCGAGGGCAATGCCAGGAAGGTCGTTGGCTGCAGCTGTGTTGTCGTGAAGGAGTACGGTGTCGAGAGCGAGGGTCTCCATGTTCTCCTGGACTATTTTAAGAACCGCTGAGGTGAGTATCAGTATCCTTGCCTTATTGTTCGAGTCTGTCCTCGATCTCCCTCGAGATGACAATACAGACTCCCTCAACTGAGGATCCGTCCTCTGAGGAATCACGTCTATCCGGAATCATTATACTTTTGTCTGATTTTCCCTAATTTTTACATTTCTTTTGGACTGCCACTAATACGTGTTTTACAGCTCGTATCATCACCTAGTCAGCTGCACTTCATGTAACGAATGAGATGAGGTCAAAAAAATTAAAATAACTGTACTAGCGCACTATCTATCGGCCCAGATGTCCATTGGGCCTTTAGTTTTTACAAGGGGTGAGGAAGACTTCCTGGAGTCGAAAGGTGTGAGACCCAGGACCCAGGGAAAAGCAACATAGTTAGCCAGACTATTGCCCAGCACACTACTATGCATGGCAAGGCTCTATACCAAAGCAATTCGATGAAGTGTAAGTCCGTTATCTTGACACTCTGAGTAAACTGCCACAAGCCGAGGAGGAATCCTAGGTCGCTCGGGCTGGCGGTGATTGTTTGCTGGTGTTGAGGTTCAACAACCTCCGGGAATGGGGGATATATGGGATGGTGGAAGACGAGCTCGCGGTGTTCAGGATGGGCCATAGCGTCAAGCAGGAAGGAGTTGACAGTCCTGCGGAACAGGGTTTCGCACCCCGCGGAATCGCCTCCCAGCAGCTGTACAAGGGGGTCTGCTTCTTGAGACACCGGCGTCGTATTTTCGGAGACGGATGCTAAGGTGTCGAGAAAGCCAGTGTCGAGAACCGCCTGGCACGCAGTGGTACTGATGCGCGAGACATTTGCCATGAACGAGATGCAAGAAATGAGCTGCGCGTTCGGTATCCATTGAGTAATGTTTTGAAATTCGTGTTTTATCCTGAAGAAATGTCGTCAGGCTGGCATCTGATAGAATAGATGCGATGCATACCAGAACTTTTGGGAATGAGAAAGCAGATCCGAGACGAGGACCTTGAGGGAAAGGTCGTCCATTTTGCGTAGAACATCCATGAGGAGAGGGTATCGCTTTCTTTTAAGGTTCGTTATGAAGAAGTCCAACACTCTTTTGCGAACGTCTTCAGGATACTGGACAGGCCTACCGCAATGAAATATCGTTAGCAAGCCCCTATATCTTAAGCAACAGACAACGTGCCTTGTATATTCCAGGAATATAGAATACAAGCAAGTGAGAACGTTGGAGGAGAAAGCAGTATGATCTGTGCTCAAGAGAAGATCGAGGAATCCCGCTTCAAGAATGAGCTGGTGCGTAGCTCCCTTTGCGCATGCCAGCTTATGCAAGAACACAATGCTAGCAGCAATCGAAGGTTTGTCTGGCCCTGGGCATGGAAAAGCGTGGCCGTGATGAACAGAAAGAGCGTGCCTATCGCCGTCGCATGATTAGGGAAAACAGATAAAACCAAATTATGAGAAGCGTACTTGACGCCTTGTAATATGGCAGGAACAACAAGTTGGAACTCCTGCGTCCCGTACCTCTCCAAAATGGCCAGGAGACACCCAGACTGGTGGGTGATCTGGAACGCGATGATCCTCAGCGCCTTATCGCTGACGCTGTCTAGATATATGGACGTCAAGACGATGTCGTATATGCCGTTGACGGCGTCGATGCTGTAGTGGCGATCCTGGATTGCGAGGAGGATGTCCAAGATCCCAGCATTAATCAGGGCTTGGAACGCGAATCGATGCTTAAGGATGACTTTGGAGAAGATGAGGACACAGGTTCCAAGTGTGCTCATGTCAGAATCCTTTATGATTTCATCCTGGCGAGGAGGGTGCAGGATAAGGTTTCTAATAAGGCCAGTTTGAATGTGAGTAAGGGATAAGGGCAACGACTAACCCGCCGAAATTGAATTGCTCCAGCATTCCAGATATCAAATGTTCCAGATCCGAGGTGCTCCTGCTGCCGATAACCTTCAGGATAGGAGTGCCTTCGCCCTCCATTTGGACAGAAATATACGCAAGAGCCTTTCTCTTCGTCTTCGGTTCGTAAAGCTGCGGCTTTCTGTTGAATGTGGATCAACTTCAAGCAACAAACAAAAATGTAAACAAGAATGGCAACGTACTGCAGTATGGTCAAAACTAGTTCATTGATATCTTGATGGTCGTCTGTACCAGCTTTCCCTTTTTGTAGTGCCAAAAGCACGTTCATAAATCCAGTCTGGAGGACGATCTGACTGGTGGGTTCGTTGATCTGAGCCAAGCCAGCCATGAACGACAGCAGTCGCTGCAAATAAACGGCCGAGAGGGCAACAGCTTGCTCAGGACGTTTGAAGAGATCTTCCAATGCCCGACGATTGCTGCAGACTAATTGAGCATCCTTTGTATCAAAAAAATGCGTTGGACTCACCACATCGGAGGAAACTGGGCGGATATTTCCCAAATGACACGCGAGAGCTCGATGTTGCACCATTCCGCCATATTCTCGAGCATATATCGAGCTTCTCCTCGGCAGATCTGGAAAACCAAGAGATCAAGGGCTTGCTTGCGGACTTTGTTTGAGTAAGTTCCTGGCCTGTGGTTGAAGAGACGTAAACGTAAATTCCAAGCGTAAATGGCAGAGCTCGCCTTAAGATCCGGAGGATGATATGGAACCTTTTGTCGATTGCGTGGATTGACATATCGTACGACTGGACAACCAACAGAGCGTCGAGAAAGCCAGCCTTGATAACCACCTGGAACGCCTCTTCGCTGATCTGGGACACCGAACCGACGAAAAGCATGACTGAGACGGTTCTCTCTTGGTCAAAGTGGTAGAGCCCATCACGGCTGTGGAACATATGCTGGCGTTGGGGAACGAATGGGAGGTTGGGATCTGAATTGAATCCACGAGGGCCGACACGCTTGAAAATGTCGCGAAGGAGAGGCTCAAGGTCCTTGGAATCCCGTGACGCGAGCAGAGAGAGAATCTGAGTGGTATTCCGGCGAAGGATTCGTGCGATGAGGAGATCGAGTGCTTTAGATCGATAGGTTTGCAAGTCAGAATCTGGCCTACAGGACATGGTCAACAGAACGAGAAGAGGGCGAGTATTGAACCTACTTGAGAGGTTTGAAAAGTAGTGGTACGATCCGACTATCCTCATAAGCAACACTTCGGTCGTTGGCATTTTCAATGATCTCGAGAAACCCGACTTTGAACACAGCTTGCAACTGCGAAGTACCGAGCTCGCTGACTCTGAACAGAAAATCGATGTTGTGCTCCAAAACTGAAGGGGATCCGATCGAAGGAGCAGTTGCGTTGCTCAGTGCTCGAAAGCTGTAACAAGATAGCATTAGCATGTTCGTGCATTCGAGGTAGGGATTGTGACCAACAAAGGAGTATTTCCCTCCAATTCTGAGAGGAGGACATGCAAGTCATCAATGCTCCAATGGGACAGCGCAGTGATAACGTGGTCGATGCGGTTGCGAGACACTTCGATGACAACAAGTGTCAAAATCCTTTCCCGTATGACTGGCGTCATCAGCCGAGGGTGACTAGAGGACAAACCAGATCAGAAAGGACAAGGGAAAACAACAAGATTAAACGTACTTGAGGAAAGCTTGGAATAACGTCGGAATATTCTCCAGTTCTGGTCGATGCTTCATCGCCAGGAGAAGTAGATCCAAGTATCCGGCCTGGAAAACTGCCTTGCGAGCTCCCATACTAATTCCTGCTATCTCAGCTAGGAACAAGAGGATCGGGCGAAAGCTCTGCTTAAGAGCACTGGAGAACTTTTTGTCTTGGGCATGTGCATCCTTGATTGCCTTTTGGATGGGAGCTGTAAGGCGGGGTGGTTGGGTAACGACGGTGAGATCGGGCAGAACATGTTCGCGAACGACTGCAGGGAGTCTCTCCCGACCCCAAGTCGTTTTCCTGAAATTGGTTATGAGAAAGGGAGAAAAATGAACTTTCAACTCTACCTTACCTCAGAGGTACGAAACGTTCAACGATCTCTGGCAGGAGGAGTTCGACTTCGACCATGTGCCATCGTGCTATAGAGTTAATTAATACTTGTGTGTTGCCGTCTCTGATCTGAACGAAAAGAAGTTGCAGGGCTTTATTTCTTAGCTCGTCATTGTACATGCCAAGCCTAGTCAGATGAGATAAGCGCCACAAACGACAAAGCAAGAGGAGGAAGACGCTTACCTCGAGAGCTCGAGCACGACGCCATACATATCCTGAATTCCCTTGATCCCAGCAGCTTCCTCATTACTGTGCGGAAATTTTGAGGTTATCGTTTTTAAGCGCGCGCTGATGATAACACGATCGATACCGCGGATCGTGAATTTTCCGAGTGCCTTGATAGCCTTTCCGCCTAGAGCGCCAGGTCCTGGTACTGTGGTGTCCGTCGTGGTCGTATACTGCGAGCCATCCAGGTCGTGGACGATAATCGTTCCCCGGGGAAACACCTCCACGGCCATGGCGGGGACATGAATGGGAAAAAGGGATGTTCAGATGTAAAATGGTTTACTTAACACTTTCCGAGTACATGACACGGGGTTCGACGTTGCGTATGTTGCGCCCACGGCCCGCCCGGAATTGGAAACCAACGAGGCGTGCTGTGAAGGCTTCAGGGTCAATTTCCCTCTTATTGGTTAGTTCCTGCTAAAAGCTCAGCTGCGGGACAGGAACGGCTCTTGCGGCTGGCAGGTGCAACAATGGAAGCATAGCATCGAAATATATTTTTGCGAAGCACCTGAGCCTAATACGAAGATACTGGTAAGCACGCAGTCATGGAAGTGAAGACAAGGAATTGAGATAATTAGTCATGTCGATTCCTTCGCCTCGGAGGACTCCGAGAGCGAGATCGCGAGCGCCTATCTCCACGGCCACCACGCGGGCCCCAGCCGCCTCGAGGGGGCGGCGAATCAAGCCGTCGTGGGGGAGGCACACGTGAATCTTGTCTGTCGGAGTCTCTGTCTCTGTCGCGCCCAAAGTCACCGCCACCACGACCACCTCCTCGGCCACGGCCACTTGGTCCGTTTGAATCCCCTCTCCAATGGCCGCCACCACGACTAGTGCCAGACCCAGATCCTGCAGCACCCTTTCCCCATCCCCCATCACCCTTCGCTGCACCGGGACCAGAAGCGCCGGACTTCCATCCGTTGGCAGTGCCCGATGACGCCGCAGCTGCTCCAGAACCCTTGATTGAGAGCTCTGTAGGAAGAGTGACATTCTTCGGCAGCAAGACAGCAACCAAGAGATAGTCCCCTGGAATGAATCGCAGCTCGTCCAGCGTTCTCTCCTCCCTTTCATTTTCGCCTGTTCCTCGATGCGATGTCTCTACATCTTGCAAAAGTCTTGGTGCTGTGTGGTTGAGGGATCCTGGTTCGCCGAGAATGTCGCGAGAGTAGACCATGCCGAGATCCTTTGACGAGAAACGCCCCTTGTTGCTGGGATCCGCGTATACGGTTCGGAAAGAAAAACGGGCGAGGGGATGTCGGTATTCAACCACTTGAGGCGCCGTGTTTCGTAGCGTCGTCAGCACCTCGCGCAAGGTCGCGTCCTTCCTATTCAAAATAAGTATCGCTCCACCAAGAACTTCCCAGAGTCCTTACCAAGTGAAGATTTGTTGTTCATCTGTCGTCGGTAGAGTCCCATCCTCGAAAAGAGTCAAACGGTGAAACCCTCCAACCTTCACAAATATTCGTATAAGAAATGGCGCTGTCTGGAAAAACTCGGATAAGCTTGATGTCGCCGATAAGCCTACTTCATCTCACCTTTTCCCTTGGAGCATTTGATGGTTCTGTGGCTGCATCGTCGATATCCATTGCGTTGGGAATGTCGAGGACGGTACAGAGACTGGTCAGGCCCAAGGCGAACCATCGTTATGTAAGCAAACACTCCCACGGATATCCCATGCCCAGCGTCCTCGCCTACTCCGGTATCTTATCTGGGCGTTATTTTAGTGAAGCCAATTCCTTTGTAAGTCTGTGGGTAAAGAAAGGTCCGTACCGCGTGGCTATCTTGACCACCGACAGTCATGTCGTATCAAGCGAAACACCAGCGCAGAGATGTCGAATCAAGGACGAAGACTAGCGTTTCCACTCGATCTCTCCTCTTCGGACTTTCTGTCTTGCTGAACGTCGTCTGCTTCGTATTCATTTTGCGAAGGTCTCATGACTTGACCGACGTATTTTCTCATGGGATCTTTTTTGGCGATAGCTGGTATACTGGCTTGGATAAGACTCCCTCCACGAGCATCGTTGAGGACGCCCCGATTGAACGATGCCCTACACCTTCCCCTCAACCAGCTTCTCCACCCGCTCCGATTAACCCATGGGCTTCACTGGAGGTTTCTGAATTTTCACAGATCGAGGATTGGCTATTCGAAGATGCACGAGGCTTGAATCTGACTCGATCTACTCAATCAGTATCTTCAGACAATGTCATCTTCCTCATTGAAGCCTATTATCCCCCGAAGGATGAAACACTGGCTTATCTGGAGGATCCCGCTTCGTCTCCTTCTCCAGAGAGGTTTGCGAGAGTCACAATTCATCATGGAGGGTGGAAAGACCCTGTTATCAAAGACTACTTGGTCGGACCCTTACCGATAACGTCCAGAACGACCATTCGCCCGCTTGTCGATATATACCATCGCAAGGATATCCCATTCAACGCGCGCGGTCTCTCTCAATTGACCGAGCTCCCCCAATTTCTGGGGAAGGCAGTTGCACCAATCGCATCTGCGATGGAGGTGAGTTAAATGTAATTCTAGCGGTCCGGTGGTTGAAAAATCTGTAGGAGCTCTTCGGAGGAAGCATTCGAGGCCAGGAGAACGACACTCTCGTGGCAGGAATGAGCGGACCGTTCAGTTTTGATGGCAAGTTCAGGCGTCTATGGATGACCTGGAGGAGAAACACTGCAGGGTCTTTCATCCTCCCAGTAAACTTCTATCAATACGTCGACTTCTCTGGGACGGATCCTTCCCAGTGGAAGATCCTGAAGGTGCGGAAAATTCGATTCCTCTTGCGCATCGCGGTCAATATTTTTGTAGACAATGTACCATGGACAAGTTTTCCCCACCATCGACTCCTTCCTCGAAGCCTTCCGCAACGGAACACTTATCCGGCACAAAGATCAAGCCGACCCGAATCTTGACTTGTCATGGACGCAACGCAAGCGCATCGGCGTTGACCGTGATCTCGACAGCCTGCCCGGCCCCCGTTCGGTATCATTTTCTGGCTTGCGCTTCAGGGTTGATCGTGAGCGTCAATACGTCAGTTGGATGGGATGGTGCATGTATCTAGGTTTCGACAGGGACATGGGGCTGAATTTCTGGGATATACGATTCCGTGGAGAACGTATCATCTACCAGGTAGACATGAAATGCGTCCACCCCTACATTCTTCTGATATGGGCGCCTATTTCGCAGCTAGCGCCACAGGAGGCTATTGCCCAGTACGGTAAGCTAGCGATCAAAGCATGCTATTAACAAGATTGATGTCTGTCATTTTAGCCGGAAACGATCCAATGCAAGCAACCACCGCGTGGCTTGATCGTCACTTCGGGATGGGAAGCATGGTGCGAAACATGATCACGCATTATGATTGTCCACAAGAAGCTATCTATCTTCCTGCTACGACTTATTCGATTCTTGGGAATGTCCACGTCGAGAGGGCGATCTGCATTTTTGAGCAGGATACCGGCAAGCCTCTCACTCGGCATTATGGGTACGAAGAAGGGGAGTTTGGTGCGGTTAAGTCTTATGTCCTGACGATCAGGAGCACGACGACAGTTGGAAAGTAAGCCTTCTGATAACGCTCAATGAACATAGCTAATCAGCTCGGTCATTCCATAGCTATGACTACCGTGAGTCCCACTTTCATTCAGAAGAAATTTTGACTAGAGCATGGATTTCAATTCCTCAGTTGTACGTCACGATTCTGGTCGGTTGAAGGCATGAGAAACTGACGAAAAGCACAGTTCGACTATCTCTTCTTCTTGGACGGAACAATAGAAGTGCGCCTTTCTGCTTCAGGTTACATGCAAGGCGGATACTGGAACCCAAAACAAGATGGGTACGGAGCAAGAATCCGAGAAACATCTAGTCAGCTCCTCAGATCCCTTCCTAATTGTCTTCTCCTAATCCTATCTGGTGACAGTGGGTAACCTGCATGATCATGTCATTAACTATAAGTGAGTTCTCAGTGCCGTTTGAATAGAAGGTCTCAAAATAACCATCAGCCTAGAGTCGATTTCGACATCGCTGGGCGGGCGAACTCTGTATTGAAGACGACCACGAAGCAGGAGATTATTTCTCACCCTTGGCTGGACGATGACTGGGGTCAAGAAGTGATTCAGCAGAAGATTACGAAGGAATATATCACGAACGAAGACGACGCGCTATTAAAGCACCCGTTGAATTTCCAAGGAAATTACGCGCTGGTGAATCAAGACGTTAAAAATGCCTGGGGATACCCGAGGGGTTATGTTATTCACCCCGGCTATTCGTCAATCCATAACGTTTGTCTCCATCGTATTTTTTTCCTTCGGTTCACTGACATCTCCTAGACTGTTGTGGGCTCCAAGAGACTCCTCAATAACGCCAATTGGGCACGGTATAACCTGGCCGTCTCTCGCCGGAAAGAGACCGAGCCCTCCTCGAGCACCATGTGGAACCTCCATCTTCCGGGGAATCCAGTGGTCGACTTTCACAACTTCTTTGACGGCGAAAACATCACTCAGCAGGATTTGGTTGCTTGGATTAACTTGGGCATGCATCACCTGGTGCGTTTCTTATCGTCCATCCTCCCCCAGTGATGATGCTGCGAGGAGCAGAACGATTATCGATTACTGAGACTCTCCACGGTATGACAGCCACAGGCCGAGGATTCCCCCATGACAAAAACGAATATCGCAACTTCGAGGTGAGGCGCTTTCTTGGCGTTCTCAGTCACATCGTTCTATTCTTAGCACTTACTATCCATCCTCGTGCCGAACCGCAGTTTCGTGCTCACACCACTGAACTATTTCGATTACGACATTTCTATGGAACTGAAGAACGCGGTCCTCCTCCACAATCCGGAACGCCAAGGAGACGCGTACTCGTTTGATGATTATGGCGTCAAACAAGACCTCACCTGTCTCCCCGAGCCGCCTTCGCCCTTCGAGTATCTGGACGCGCGGATCGTAGGACCGGATGGAAATTTGAGAGACTTCGAGAGAGGCGCAGACCTGCGACGGGCATCCGAGATGTTTTTACGAGTTAGAGTTGGAACCTAAATGAAGGCCGAGAAGGTGGCGTATTTGTCGAAATTAAGCTCTTCCTTGATCCAATTGCTGTTCAACGTAATTTTTTTTAGAAAAGGAGATCGTGAAAAGCGTAAAATACATTTAGACATGAACGGGATATCTCGTAGGTTCGTGATGGAAAATCGGCCCTCAAGCATTTATGCAGCTTTTGTTCTGTCTGTTTCAACAACATCGCTAACCTTCTCGTCGATGTTTTCGTGGGCCATCTCGTTGCCGACTCGTTTCTTCTGTTCCTTGAGCTCATCAGTCTCGTACACTGGAAAGAGGAGCGGTCAGTGTCGTGGTAGCAAAATAAACAAGATCCAAGTATACGTACAGAATGCAAGTTCTTCCAAGCTGCGACCCGAGGTTTCTGGGAATAAGAAGAATACGAAGCAGACTTCGAAGGCGAGGAAGACGCAATAGCTGATGTAGTATTTCCATCCTTGAGACGCGTAATTAGTTGGATGGCGTAAGACGTTTGAGCATGAAAATACTTACCTGCGTTCTCGATGCCGATGGGGTTGACGAACTGGTTGAAGAATCCAGCCATGCGTCCAAACCATTGGAAGATGGAGATACCCTTTGCACGAACGTGGAATGGGAACAGTTCGACCAAGAACGCTAATAGACAAGGCGTAAGTCAGGTTATAATTCCAGATGAAATGAGAACTTACTGTAGGTCAGAGCGTTATATGCCATGTTGTAGCACGGACTGTACAAGAAGATGAAGCTGAAGAGAGCCAATCAGTTGCTATCGATGTCATATGCCAACGCATGGACTTACGCAATGACGGCTCGAGATGATGCCTGACTCTCATCTATGGCGTATCGGGCGCTTGCGACCGTCCAGGCGGTGAACACCACCAAAAGCGAGGTCGTGCAAGCCTAATATCGATATTTTCTGAATGGGTGCTCTGGAGAAAGATGGTATGGACAAACCAGGTACATCGTTCTCCGCTTGAACCGGGAGACAGTAAGCGCAAGAATGGTGGCATTGAGGAAACCCCAACAGGTATTGGCCAGGTTGATCAGGTTCTTGGTATGGTTATCGTGAACGCCGACGTTCTCTAAGATGCGAGCGAGGAAGTAACTGTTTGTATCACACATTTACAGCTTGTAAGCACTTTTTAAAAAAAGAAAAAGAGACCGACAACTTACGAGGTAAGCCCGTTTCCACTCCACTGCGTCGCCAACCCAAGGAACGAGCCAATGAGGACACGCCTCCTCATACCCGGCGACTTCAACAGATCGAACCACCCGACCTTCTTCGTCTCTTTCTCCAACTCGAGCGTCTTCTCGATCTGGATGTACTCGGCCTTGACGAACTCGCTCTCGCGGTCGCCTTCTGCGTGGTACTTGGCCAGGATGTCGAACGCTTCGTCGCCGCGGCCCCTGGAGATGAGCCATCTGGGCGACTCGGGCAGCCAGAAGATGAATATGATCTGCAGGGAGGAAGGGACAATTTGGAGGAGGGAGGGGATGCGCCAGCCCCAGTTGGAGGGCATCTTGAAGGTCCCAAGAGTTACGCCTGCGGCCACGATGGCGCCTGAAAGATGGTGGATTAGTCTGGATGGAGGTAGGGTGTGGCGCGGTGAATTTACCAATGAAGTAACAGGAATTAAACAAGGATCCGAGGATAGCACGTTCTTTGGGATGTCCAAGCTCTAAAGAAATTAGTTTAGTGTTTCTCCTTCCACGATATTGAGATAAATGGATTAACCTCCAATCAAAGAAGATGCAGCGACAATGGCAAACGGAATTCCCAACCCCAGGATAAACCGCGAAATGACGAACATAGCAACTGATATAAGTTAGACTGGTGTTCGGGAGGGCTGAATGGAGAGGTTGCCCACAGTTTTGCGATGCGGTTTGAATGACAGCACCGATGATCATGATGACACTACCGAAGACGATGGCCATCCGACGACCAAGACCGTCTGTGATGACTGGGACGAGGGGTAGAGCAAGGATGGCGCCGGCGGAATACATGGCGGACATCACTCCGAGTAAGGTCGATCTTGGCGAGTTATAAACTAAAGACGGACTGATAAGCGCTGGACAAAGAGAACAGGCTGGTGGGTTGCGACGTACATGTATCCCATGAGTCGACAGCTTGCAATCCGTTCATCATCGAGGAGTCAAAGCTGAGGCAAGATGTTAGGTTACTTGGTAGGGAGCTATGATACAACAATGAAAGATAATTCGCTCACCCGCTAGTCATCTCTACGCCAATACACGTCGGGAAGATGACGAAGTAGAGCACTCGCAGGTTGGGCTTCTGGTACCATGGCGTCTTGTCCTGCTTTGCGAGCTCGGACACGATCACCTCGGGGGCAACGGTCGTAGTCCCTCCAAGCGCCTGTTCTTGAATTTCCGACTTGCTATCCTTGTTATCCGCCATAGTCGCAAGCCCAAAAAGGTCGAAAGGTTGATACGAATGGGCGACAAGTGGCGGGAGGGATCCGACGAAGGAATCGCCTATTCTTCATGTTGGACTTCGCTTTATGAGAAGCAGAGAAGCTAGAATATGTGGGGATGTGATGAGACTTGTGGGGATAAATTCTTCCATAAAAACCCCGCGGGAAAGGTGTGATTGAACATCGCATTTCGGGGCGAAGTCCAAAAGGGACTGTTGGCCGAGATGTGCGAGAAAAGCAGTTTGGATTTTCTTGCTTCAAAACACACTCCTGTGCTAGGTGGCCATCGATATCGATCACAGAATCCTAAAGGCAACAATAGGAAAAGAAGTCGGAGGTGATAGCGTGCCATTGAAGTATAGACCCAGCGAAACCATTCGAAGGATGCATGCCATTGGAACACACATATGCATGTTCAGCGGGAGCCTGGATATTTCTTCCCACTCGCTTTTCGACATTCGGTTTCCCGATATCCCCAAGATCAAGCTGAAGGCCTATCAAGTCCTACACATTTGTATACAGCCAGCGCGAACCCGGGCATAAAGAGCTCTCGAAGGGCCCGGGGTGGAGTTTTCCAGGCGATGGCGATTTTCGGAGAAGACACGGGATTTTGAGAAGTAGAGTTGTCAGATAGAGCACCCCATAAGCGGTAAGTCTGGTCGTAACCGCCGACAATTCGAGGGTCAGCTGGGTAGACGGAAGAGGCGGCTTCTCCAAGAGGTGCATATTGAATCACTTTGAAGTCCTCGTGCCAAATCCCTTGCTAGATTCTTCGCAAAGATACTTCAATGAGGGAAGCAAGCTGAGATAGCCGTAATGTCCGCACAGTGGCCATGGTGGGCTTAGAGCCTTAGGCGTTGCAAACCAGAGTTGGAAGACTCAAATGCATTCGTTCGAGTATTACAATTTAGCTTGGAATTGGCAAGTAAACCAGAAACCAGAAGTAACGGGTGGCTTTTCAGATGAAAAGAGAGAGAGAGCGCCTGGCACGCCGAAGAAAGTTGCAGAGAGTTTCTCGGCCTTCACTTTGTCGTCCCTGTTACGTAATAAGTGCCAATGTTGGACGCCGGACCGGTGCATCCCGGGCCCTCGGAACCTCTCCATTTCCATCCTAGCACTAGCGAAGCGAAGAAAGACAATCCATGTAAGGCGAAGAAGTATGTCCGTGCTCAAACACCGGTCTCTGGGCATCTCCTTAAGAGCGTGGACTAGGACAAGTTCAAGTTCACACCACCAACGGGTCCTCAAGCCCACATTTCGGATTCGCCAATTCAGTACAGAACAAGAATTCTTCGAGGATTTTGGAGAATACAGCATAATTCTTCCAGAGGAGCCTTTCGTGTTTGGTGTCTCGCATATAAGGCCGCGAACAGTGCCTGCACACATTAAGAAACCACCATATGCTCTGCCAGGCGGCGAACAAGCTTTCGGTATCCCCAAGCAAAACTCCGGAAAAATACCACTCGGTGGCTTAGAGGAAAGTCTTCTTGAGCAAGCTGGCAGCTTGGCCAAGAAAGTGAGGCAGTTTGCGGGGATTCAGGTGAAGGTGTGTGCGATACACGTCTCGTGTCATTCTGTTTTCTTCTAATGCCATAGTTCCTCGACAGATTGGTGCTACGACCAATGAAATCGATGCTGCAATCCATGACTTCATAACCAAGTATTCGGCGTATCCCTCTCCGCTGTTATACCAAGGTTTTCCACGTTCGTGCTGCACAAGGTAGAACCGTTGCTGGAAGCCGTCTCACTGGAGCTAATTCCTGTTAGTATCAATAACATCGCTGTTCATGGCATCCCCGACGAGTACGTCAATAAAAAGGAATTTCTTTTTCCAAGAATAATGATTTACAGCCGAAAGCTCGAAAACGGCGACATAATCAACATAGACGTAACCGTCTTTTTAAATGGATACCACGGCGATACTTCAGAAACCTTCCTTGTCGGTGATGTGGTTCGTTATCTGCCCGTCCTTGCCTTCACTACCTCTGATATCCACATTGAAAGGATGAACTCGGGAAAGAACTCGTACAAGTCACCAACGAAGCCCTCAGGCGTGCAATAGCCATCTGTGGCCCTGGAAGACCATTCAAAGACATCGGGCGGACTATCCACGAGTACCTCCTGGACAAGGACTACTCTGTTTCGTCTACTTTCACTGGGCATGGGATAGGCAGGGTGTTTCATGATAACCCTGCTATTCTTCACCATCGTACGTTGACTCCTTTGCCACATCTCGAGGTTGGAGCTTGTATTGAGCAGCTTTGCTGGCAGTTAATGATGAACCAGGCGTCATGGAACCTGGCCACTGCTTCACCATCGAGCCTGTTATTATTCAGGGAAGAAATCCGAAGGTGTGGATATTCCCAGATGGGTGGACTGCTTCGACGGAGGTATGAGGTTGCTTCCATCTGATTCATGCGAACCAAACATTTTCTTTCTCTCTAGAACTGCGCACGGAGTGCCCAAGCTGAACATATGGTCTTAATCACCAACGACGGCATCAAAGTCCTTACTCGATGATCGACAACCCTCACCAGTCTCAGCCTGCAGAAAGGCTTCCAGTAATTGACACTGCAACCCGAGCACCATTCGACGGCGAGCCTAAGCACTAGATAGTAGAAGCGGCATTCAGCCATTTGCAACCAGTCGACGACCTGGGACCATGGTCATGCGACGTCTCTCCATGCGACAGCAACGTCAACACTGCAAGCTGCTGCCCAAAATTGACGGTGTCGTCATGACGTGGATGGAATAGTACACTTCTAATACTATAAACTACTTTTGTCAAGGACTATACTGATGGCTATTTCAAGCATCAACAAAGCAGGGCGAAGACGAAAGGAAGAAAAAAAAACCTGATGCAAAAGAAATAAAATGCGACATGAGATGTAAAGAAGAGCAACAAATGATGAAACGTAGAATATGCGATCATGAAGAACCCCCAATCCGCTCATGCATAAAATTCAACAGCACCTGCGTCAAATCCACTGATGGCTTCCCGAGGACCTTATCACTCGCCGCAATAATCGGCCTCGACTTGGTCAACAGCGTCTGCAAATCCCCAGCCATCTCGCCCGTCATGCCCCTCCTCAGCCTCTCTGCCATCGTCATCGACGACCTCGGTGCCCTTCTCCCACCTGCATCTCTATCCTTGCCCTGCTCAGCCCCGGGCCGCGCAGACGTGTCCATGGCCATCTCTTCCGCCTCCGCGTCGATAGGCGTGCTGTCAAAATCGGGCTTCGAAAGCCACATCGCGAGCTGGGTGACAGAGTAGAGGGAAATTTCCTCGAGGTTCCTACGTGCGATGCGGACGCCTTCTTTCACGCCGAGGACGGTGCTATAGGACCCGGGAAGGGAAGAGGGGTCGGTTAGGCTTTGGCCTGGCGGTCGGTTGACGAGGTCTTTGAGCACATCGAGTGTTCGGTTGCCGAGTTCGAGGAGGGTGCCCAGCGAAGCTGGTTCGCCTAGGACAACTTTAGAGTGCTGGAAGAGAACCCGTCAGACAATGGGCACAACAATAAAAGAGAATATACCCACAGGAACGATGAGAGCCTCCCCGATGGCCCAATCTTCTACTCCAGTCAACAAAACCTGATCCGCCTTGCTAATAACCACTAATGTCCCGACGATGTTGCTTGAGAGTTGGAACAGCCGATGAATCAAATTCGTCACGAAAGGCCGTTTCATTGGGTCCGACTGCGACTGTGCTTTTTCGAACCTAACTCTCTCTTCTTGCGTCACTGGCTCATACAGACTTGCGAGGTGGTTAGGATGTGTGATGGCGTAGTTGACCTGTTGCAGAAGCTGCAATGCGTGTGTCGTGAATACACGAAGTACTTTGTCGACAGCTGGATTAGATTTGGCAGAGGATGGCACGCTGGCTGCGATCGCGTAGAAAAGGTTGACGACCTGGTCGATTTCCTCGAACAAAGGCACAGTGATTGGGTCTCCAATCGTCCATGACAGCGCACGGGATATTTGTTCTCCATACAGTTGAATAAATCCGCAAGCATCTGCGTCGAAATAATGGTTTTGTCGACCTAACGCTGTGATGACCATTGCGACGATGGAGAGCATTGAGCAATGCGCCACATGTGCAGGACTCCGCTGACCAGGCAGCTCAGGTAGCACGATGTCGATCATCCCAGAACTAATTGCTGAGCTGATGAAGTTGTTGCTATATGCGGCCAAAACACCTTCGCTGGCGAATCGCTCAGCGGCGACTGGGTTGCCAGCAAGAGCCATGTGGAATCGGAGGATGTGAGGGGAGTATAGGGGTTGTTTGCGGGGAAGCAGGAGAGGAAGGTCAGAGAGGCCGACAAGGTCGATATGCACGAAAAGGTCAAGGCTGGCGTGGATGACGTCCGTTTCCTGACACCGGGCAAGCCAGTAGGTAGAGGACGCGTCGATGTCTGGGCGAGTACACTGTTCGAACACAGCGACAAGAAGCTCCATGTCGCGATCAAGGTCAACATCAGCTCTACTCCGAGCAGCGACGAAGACGATTCCAAGGGCTTCAATGACGAAATTGAGGGTAGCCTCCACAGTTTGCAAGAATGTAAACCGTTGTTCTGAGTTTAGTGTCTTCTGCCGGTTCAGCATACTCCGACCTTGTTTTGCACAGAAATATATGATTTGTAGGAGGACGCGATGGAAAGGTGCTGGTAGTGTGGAGAGGAATGATCTCGCCGGCGATTGTGCTTCGTTGGCTATGATATCACGGAGATTGCGGACGAGATCCACGAAGGAGATGATTTCAGGTGTCTTGTCCGTCGAAGAGAACCAAGCCACTTCTAGCAGAGCGAGAACAAGTGATAATCTCGATCCATGAATCGCTGCCATCATATCGCCGCCTCTTTTTTCTGCAGCGATGTCATATGATATGCTTGCAGCTATGCTGAGCAGATGTGGCCGGACAGCAGCGTCAGTCCTAAGATATGGAACTACCTGCCTAAGCAAGGCATCCCACGCCTCGATGTGCTGTGTTTCTGAATGTGCCAATGAAAGATTGAGGTTGATGGTCACCAGAAGCCTGTCCACATCCTGGACAGGGGAATCCATGGCGCTGACCAGAGTAGCAGCAGGGTAGGCTTGGAGGCGTAGTCGCAGCAGCTGCATCGTGAAAGCGAAATTCTCCCCATATTCCCGCTCTGTCAGGGGTTCTTGGATCTCCAGTTGTTGTAGAGTCAAACCAGGGAAATGAGCCGACAAGAGCGCTACGATGCTGTCGTGTAGATGAGGTGCATATGAGCTGGGTGCAGCTTCGGCCAAAAGTTCGGTCAGCTGCTCTTCTGACTTCAAGCATGCTTCTAAGTTCGCGTAACTCTCTGGTTTCTTGAGGGGCACCTCCGAACCGTGTTGCTGAAGATGTAGACCTATATCACGAGTGATGATACGGAGTGCATGAGCTTTGACAAGGGTACGATAGGCGTGCGCTTGGATCGGCTCGTGCACTGTCGTTTGCACAATGCCATCAGCTGTCGATGTTTCGATGGTGTCATACTCCGGTACTGGTCCAACCTCCTCGCAGGCAACACCGACAACTCGCTTCCAAAAGTTGCCATCTCTCCGTAGTGGTTCGAGGACAGCCTTATGCTCGAGAGCGTGTTGCCACACAACGTCCAAGAACCTGAAGACGCAAGCTAGGAGAAGAGGGTTCGCTTCCCATAGGTCCTTCCAGGTGATGAGAATCTCCGACGCAACTTCCAGTGCACTTAATGATTGGGTACACTGTTCCTCCTCCTTTTCCTCTTCTCTCTTGTCCTCCTTGCTTTCTTCCTTCGCTTTCCCCTTCCCCTTCCTGTCCTTAATCTCTCTGAACTCAACCGGTGCCCGGAATTTGCCCGTGACGAACAGGCCGGCCAAGGCGGGCTCCTTGTCCACGGCCAACGTCATGAAGTTCCAGATGGTCTTGCGCAGCGAGAGATCGTCATACGGATGCTGGATGATATGCACCAAGGACGAGACGAACGACTCGGGATTGGATAGATGTCCGACGATGGTAGGCGGAGATGGCTGAGATGTAGCCAAAGACGCCATCAGGGCACAAAGCACTTTGGCGGCATTCATTGGTATGCTACCCATCGCCCGATCCTTGATGTAGCCCGCAAGAACGTCGATTGGGTCGTTCCTGGAATGGATCTTATCATGCGAGGCCGTTCCGCCCGTAACACGGGCACAAAGGGACTGCTCCAGCAAACATGGTCGATCGGCCATTGTCGAACGCAATTTGTAGGTTAGAAGCAAATGACAGAGACGTAGACTTTCTTGGACGAGGTAGATGAGCCGTCGGACGTCGCCATGCCGTCGAGAGGCAAGCAGCATCTTAATAACCTGCGCTCCAGAGCTGATGGGTGAGACGAGTGGATTAATCGTTGATGTCGTCGCCTTGAAGAGCAAAACATCTGCGATGGTCTGGCTGAGGATAGGGAAGGGTCTCTCTTCCAGCGTCGGCGGTGAGTTCTCCAACACCTGGAGATACATGGAGACAACCTTCCTCCCAATGTCGAACCGATCACCCAACTGAACGTATTTCCATCCTAAATGCTCCACCCAAATCTCCGTGTGCACGAACCGTGCTGCTCGTAGAAGCACCTCTTCCTTCAGCTGTTGCAACTTCGCATTTTCCGGTTGAATGGATAGGATGGCTTCGCGGAAGAGGGAGCCGACGAGATTTAGGAGCGCCAACGTCATCGTATACTGTCCTGTAGCCCGCTCTGCACCCAGCGCAACCGATGCGAACCCAGGTGACCGATCAGCACCGAACAATGCTGTTGTTGACCGTATGTAGAGCCACACGCGGTTGGAATATGTAGGAATCATCAATAACGCAGCGAGGACATTCAAGGTGGATGTGATGAGTTTCGTCCTCGATGGCGATCTTGCACGACCATTGGAGCGGGACAAGGTCTCTTCCAGGATCATTGTTGTCAGCTGGACCAAATCTGGTGGCTGCGCTTCCGTCATCGTATGGCACACAACAGGGTCTCCGGCCTCCAGCCCGTTCATCAGGGCCTCTGCCTGCACGGGATTGTCCTGAATGACACTTCGTACGAGGTCAAGTGCGTCGGTGATAATTGACTCATCTCCATCCGCATCTCGCTCTATTCCTATCTCCTCGAGTCTCATTGCCTTGACCTGAGGCACATTTCGTGGTGCGAAGGACACGTTCTGGTAATTGCCTCCAGACCCAAAGTCCATTCTGCACTTGTTCACGTAGTCGGTCAGGATCTCGAGGATGACCTTCCAACCCGAATGCTGGTGCTTCCAACAAATTACGACCTGCTCGCCCCCGTCGCCGGTCAGCAGTCGGCCCGGAGATCGTGCAGGAAGAATGGTGCCTCCTGGTAGTCGGATGGACTTCAGGTTGATGTAGTTTAATCCAGGGTTTGCATTGCCCGGCCCATACCGCTCTGCTTGCCGCTCATACAGCGCATGGGCGCCAGTACATGCACTAAGGGGAATAATTTGCGAATACGTCGGTAGCGCAGCGAAAAAGTTGTACACATGGTGGTCGCAGACTTCTCGTTCCGCTGATGTCACAGCCTGGTCCTGCACAGAGTCGGAGGTGTAGAGAGGATCGGTGTCGAGGAAACCTGACCCGGTCATGGCGCGGAGAATGCGGAAGAGGGGTCGGACTTGGACAGGGAAGCGGGACCTTGCGACGTCGAGGATAGCACGGCGAGCCGTGCTGAGACGCCAATCCTGTTGCCAGTATTGAGCTGCGATGCCGGAAACAGACAGTGATTCGCTGCGGCCGAAAAGTGCTATCCAGACTTCGACTAGGGTGTCGAAGTCGGGCACTAGCTCCACTGGTGATAGCTCAACAAGAGCAATAACGAGACCTGCGAAATATCAGCATTGGCATGTATAGATTGAAACATCAAGGCGCACCTTTAAGCACGGAGCGATAGGCGACGGCATTGGGGTCTGTTATTGAGGAACCTGTTCTCCATGCGATTGTCGTTACAAAGAGAGCAGTGCCTGTAAGAAGATTCTCGATTAACTTCAGCAGGCCAGCTTCGGGATCGAGGACGGCTCTTGTCATCTGGGCAACGATAGGTTCTCGGGCTCGGTCTGTGGGCGGGTTGACGTAGTCGAGAAATAATTTATAGCCCTCTGGAAGGTCCAGTGTTGCTTCTGCTCTCGAAGTAATCCGTGAGATAACGTAGGTCCAGGCCAAATACCCACAGGAATATTGGCTGTCCGTATGTGAAGTGACGATATCGTGTATCCGCTTGAGGCTCTCTGGGTTAGCGAAGTACTCCAGCGAGCCTTGGATCTCCAGCGGTAGTTCTTCTCCCATTGTCTCCAGCTGCAGGATTTCGATGGTAATAAGGATCCAGAGCGCAGCCGAGTCCTGCTGTATTTGTGCGCTCTCCTCATCAAGGAGAAGCGTGTTGTTTGTCTGCACTGATCCAAAGTTCGTGCTGAACGCTGCCTCAAAAATTGCCTCCACCAAGTATCCACTGCACGGAACGTAACCCCACATCGTCCAGAACAGCACTTCCAACAATACCAACTGCTCCTTCAGGTTTTGCTTCGCCCACTGTGTTGCCGTCCGTGGGTGCTCGCGATACTTCTCAGGGAGTTTTTCTCTCGTCTTCCGCGTGTACTCGTCGATGAGCGTCTGCGCGAATTTCGGGCCGTCTGGGATGATTTGGGGTAGGACGTCTGTTGCTATGTCGCAAAGGGCGTCTTCAGCACTCTCCTTGGCGCGAAGCAGAGGGATCAAGACGCGAAACGAGTCTAGGAGTTCGGAGTAAAAGAAGGGAGCGATGGCTTCAACCAGCTCGGCGGCCATAACGGACGTATCGTCGGGGTCGGAGATGGGTGGCATGCCCTGATTGTATAGGAACGAACGGAGGAGGATGAGCGCCTGGACCTGGTCGATGTCGAACCGCGCGCTCACGGCGTATATGTGCTCCTTGTCTGCATTCTCGACGCGAATCTCGATACCATCGGGAAGAGTCACGGACCCGCTCTCGATTTTCTTCCTCGACGCGTCCGACGGCTTTCCGAACGTGTTTGAGACATTCCCGAGCTGGTTCTTTCGCGGTTCCAGGTACGAGCGAATTTGGTTTGAATTTACGCCATCTTGAACACCGGGAGAAATTGAAGACAAGAGTTGGGAGTACGACCTGGAACCAAAGGCGTTACAATTGCTGGTGGAATCATAGGAAGAACTTACACATCGATCAAGTCTGAGCGCTTTGGTGAATCGCTAGACATCGTTGCTGGTCGTTAAGCAAATGGGTGTACTCACCGTCCAGAACAACGAGCAACGTATTTGGCGCAGCCTGAAGTGCCAAACAACCCACCTCAATTGCTCTATTTCTGACTATTTCTGATTCTGAATCTCAACGACGACGGCCATTCCACGCGATATCATGTCGAAGAGGAAAGTAGCTTACTTCTACGATGGTAAGCACAGGCTTCGACTGCCCTGAAGGGCTGCACTGAAAACCTCACAGCCGATGTGGGCGCGTACACCTATGGCCTGGGACATCCCATGAAGCCACACCGAATACGTGTAACTCACGACCTGGTGACTGCATATGGGATGCTGGACAAGATGCACGTATTCGTAAGTCTCTAGGGCTGTGGATAATTGCCTAGAAGTTACTGATACGTTATGCTTCGTTCCCAGAGACCGAAACGAGCATCTCCAGAAGTTATGAGCTCGTTCCATACAGACGAATACGTCCATTTCCTACAAAGCGTTACACCAGAAACAGCGGAGAAGATGACGTTCTCAGGGACAAGATGTGTGTTCTCTCTTTCTTTCTTTCATCTTCACTTTCATTCATCTCCGTCCAGTTCTCGTTGGCGAAGACAACCCCGCATTCGAAGGCGTCTTTGAATTTTGCTCGATATCAGCCGGAGGATCCATCGGCGCCGCACAGCGAATAGCCTCAGGAGCTGCCGACATCGCGATCAACTGGGCCGGCGGGCTGCACCACGCCAAAAAGCGCGAGGCCTCGGGGTTCTGCTACATCAACGACATCGTGCTCGGCATCATCGAACTCCTACGGACGTACCCAAGGGTACTCTACATCGACATCGACTGCCACCACGGGGACGGCGTGGAAGAGGCGTTCTACACCAACGATAGGGTTATGACGTGCAGCTTCCACAAGTTTGGGGAGTATTTCCCTGGGACGGGCACTCAGGAAGATAAAGGAAGGGGCAGGGGCAAGGGATATGCGGTTAATGTGCCGTTCAAGGACGGGATTACGGACGAGTCGTTCAGAAGTGTCTTTGAACCTGTGAGTTTCCCTCTCAAGCTCGTTATTCAATCTCAAACAACCGGAAGGTCATCACTCGTATCCTCGAGGTATTCCGGCCATCTGCCGTTGTGCTCCAATGCGGTGCGGACTCACTGGCAGGCGACAAGCTCGGATGCTTCAACCTCACAATGCATGGACACTCCCACTGCGTGCAGTTTCTCAGGAAACAGAACATCCCACTCATTCTGCTTGGAGGCGGAGGCTACACGGTGAAGAACGTGGCTCGAACATGGACCTACGAGACGGCATGTGCACTCGGTATAGAGAACGAGATCGACCCACATTTACCGTGGAATGACTACTTTGAATGGTTTGGGCCGAGATATAGGTTGGAGGTACCGGAGAATAACATGGAGGATGTGAATGTGAAAGATGGGAGTTTGCACATTGTCAGGTACGTGTATGCGATGTCAGCCCTTTGTTTAAGCTCACACCTGATCGAAGGGAGAAGGCTCTGGAACAACTGCAACAGCTGGCCTGTGCTCCGTCTGTGCAGATGCAAGATGTTCCCAGAGAAAGTGTCGGCAGACACCTTGGATTTGGGAAGGATGAGCTGAAGGCGAGGGATGACCTGGACAAGAAGCTCGCTCGTGAGTTTTGCTATGTTCCCAATGGAATATCCAGCCTAAAGCCCTTGTAGAACACGCACGATATGTTTATTCCCTTCAAGACGCTGACACGACCAGCGACGAATCCGAAGACTCCGACTCCTGGGACTCGGACGAGTCATCAGCGAGCGCGAACCACTGGCGGCGCGGGCCGTACCGCTCGTCATCCGCCTCGGCCTCACGCGTCGTCAACGGGCGGTACGGCAGCCAACAACCGCACTACACCTCCGCAAAGGAGAAGAAACGGATGAGCCTGCTGACGGGGCAGTACTTTGACATCCCGGTGCAGGAGCATGGGTTCGCGCACTACGAGGCTGGGGCACCCCCTGTGAAGACGGCACGGAGGCGGTTCTTCCAGGGCGGGAGCTGGGACGAGCTGGGGGTGGTCGAGTCTGCGGTACATGTTCGGGGGAACGGGTATGGGAATGGCCTGTTGGATATTCATGAGTTGGCCGGGATTATGGAGCGGGGTGGTCGGAGGGAGGGGTCTGGAGACGCGGAGGATGGCGAGGACTGCGAAGACGACGACGACGCGATGTCTGTGGATTCGTAGCCATGCGCTTATCCATCTCCGCTGCTATTCCTCCCGAGCCGGGGTGTTTCGTCACGCTGCTCCCATTTTGATTTTTAATTTGTCTAACTTAATCGTGTATTGTTATCGCTGCTGCTTGCTTTCCAATTCGTCTCAAGATAAGAAGGGTGTTTCAGAGATATCTTGAGTCAATGAGGCACGAGGAGTGGTACCTTTTCTTCTTCGACTATGCCACCCAAGTCCTAGGCTTTCATCAAGGTGAAGTTTGAGTTCGCTCTGTATGTCAGATATATTATGCGCAGGTTGACCAGTTGACCACTGCTTCCAGAATTTTGTCGTTTACCAACTGAGATAAGATAAGATTTTCACCCAAGGTACAAACCCAGGCAGGCCGCGATCGACGCGGTTATCGTATCTCTTCAATGCAGCACTCCATGATAACCTCCTACTTATCGCTGTCAAGGAAATCGCCGGCTCCCTGTATATCTACGGCCTTACTATCTCCCTTGTTCGGGCCTTGGGCCTTGAGCTTGGCCGCTCGTAAGGTCTTCCATTTGGACCGGAGGAGCTCGAGGTTGACTGCGAGACGTGAAGAATCGCTGTCTTCTTTTGCGGAATCTAACAAATTTCCATTGATCCTCCACAATTTTTTCAAGGAGCCTCAGATCACGAAGTTTCCACAGCTGATCTAATTCAAAGTTGGCAACTTTGCATACGTTCAGCAGAGAGTCGGCCGCGAACTTTAACGGACAATAGCTATCATCGGCGCCGATGTGTGAACCTCCGTCGCGGGCCTGGATGTCGGACGACTGATAGCCTTGATAGCGCTTTTAAAATACACGGTTTCTCACATGGCCTATCTTCTCGTGCCCCTTGCGAAAGCCCAACGGGATCCCTCCGCCTTGCTCTTTGTCGTCCGCCATGTCATCGACGACGTCTGGCCTACCTGTGCTCGACCAGCAACCCCAGGCAACTGCTCCTCCGACTGTCCCACCCGCGTCTTCGTCCTCAAGGTTCGCTCCACTGAAAGAGCGTGCACAGCGTATCAAGAAGAAAGTGACGAGCCGCGATGGGTGGATGGGCGATTATGACTATGCTTGGTGCGTTCTACGCAGTTGATGAAACCCTGTTGCTGACCCTGAGGGCTGGATTGTGTAGGCTATGCTCACCCACACTGCCTTTCATGAAGCAGGAGCGAAGGAACCCTCCGTTCTACGCTCTTGAAGACGACCTGCCCCTAATCCTGGGGATGTCCAGTGGCCTGCAGCACGCGCTGGCGATGCTGGCTGGTCTTATCACACCACCCATCATCTTTGCGTCTGCCCTCAACCTCGATGCCGCGACGTCCTCGTACATGATATCAGCTTCTTTAATCGCTTGTGGTAAGTGTTAACCTTCTTAGTCCATGTCGTCTGCTCAAAATTCATTCGACTTGTAATAGGCATCATGAGCACGGTCCAAATGTCCCATATTCACCTTTTCAAGGGGTATTATATTGGTACTGGTCTACTGAGTGTGGTGGGAACCAGTTTTGCGACACTGTCTACTGCAAATGCTGTTTGTGATATTTATAGATGATTCTTTGATTCTTGGTCTCTGATTCTATACTTTTAGATTTTCGACGCGATGTACAGGAACGGTACATGTCCGACGACAGTAGGGGCCGATGGCATTGTCACTCGACTTGCTTGCCCAGACGCGTATGGAATGGTTCTTGGTACGTTCCTTCTCCGCCATCAGTCACTCCCTTTCTGACGATTTTTTTCTGTCAAGGAACGTCTCTAATTTGCTCGTTCCTGGAGATCTTCATGTCGTTCTGCTCTCCCAGGGTTCTTAAGCGCCTATTTCCACCTATTGTGACCGGAACCGTGATTTTAATGATTGGCGCTTCGCTCATTGGAGAGTCGGGTGCGGCGAACTGGGGCGGAGGCTCGAACAACTGCCAAACTCACCCTGAGACTGGTATCTTCCGACTGTGCCCTACAATTTTCGCTCCAAGACCGCTCCCGTACACGTTTTATCTTTCTTACTGCACACCATATCTGACTCCTGGACTATAGTTGGGGATCTCCCGAATTTATCGGCCTTGGATTCCTGTCTTTCTCCACCATCATAATCGTTGAGATGTTTGGCTCGCCATTCATGAAGAACATCAGTATTATCATTGGGCTAATTGTGGGGTGCATCGTTGCTGGTGCTGCCGGCTACATGAGCGATTCGACGATTAGGAGTGCTCCTGCTATCACTTTCTTGTGGGTGCATCGATTCAAGCTCAACGTCTATCCTCCGGCAATCCTACCTATGCTTGCAGTCTATGGTGTGTTACTCTAAACACTGTTTTTACAGACATGCTAACCTCGAGCCCAGTGTCCCTCGCTATGGAAGCTATTGGTGATATCACTGCGTCTGCTGAAGTCTCGCGCCAGCCAGTCGTCGGTGACGTCTTCGACTCGCGCATCCAAGGTGGCATCCTCGGAGACGGCATCAGCGGCTTTATGTCCGCTCTCTTCACCGTCACCCCGCTCTCTACGTTCGCCCAGAATAACGGCGTCATTGCCATCACGCGCTGTGCGAACCGCGGTGCAGGCCGGTGGTGCTGCTTCTTCCTCATCTTGTTCGGCGTGCTGGGTAAGCTCTCGGGCGTGTTCCTCGCAATACCCAATCCGGTACTTGGAGGTGTGACGACGTTCCTTTTCGCCAACGTCGCAGCGTCGGGTGTGCGTGTGCTTTCGAGCGTCCATTTCACGCGTCGCGAGAGGTTCATCCTCGCTGCGGCACTGGCGTTCGGGTTTGGCAACCTCCTGAAGGAGGAGCTTTTTGAACACCTCTTTGACGGGGTTGACAACCCGAATAGTGGATTGAAGGGGCTATTTGATTCTATTACGATCGTGTTGAGCACTCCTTGTGAGTTTTTTTTCCTCTCTCTTGCATTTTCCTAACGCATGCTGACCTCTTTTCAAGTCCTGTCCGCCGGTGTTGTAGCTGCTGTCCTGAATCTTCTCCTTCCTCAAGATATACCAGATTCAGCTGATGGAGATGACAGCTCTATAGAACGCGAACATATCGATGTTGAATCCCAGGAGAAGAAGATGTGATAGATTTTCCTAACTTTTCTTACAACGTCCAAGGTTCCTTCCTGCACAACTATCATTAGCACACTTTGTGTTGTAAACTTAATGTAGTAAATATCCAATGCATCTACGCCCCACTTCATCCGGAATGTACTATACTAGCCGTAAGACACACGAGCAAGAACGAGAGATGGGTCGCTGTGAATAATTATAATAGGGGTTGCCGAACATCGGCACTCACCCTTCCCACGGACAATCCTCGTCGTCCCGAGCCCGGCGTTCGCCACGACACGGTCGTCTGAATAGATGACTTTCCTCCAAACCATACTATGCTGGATGAATGGTCCACAAACATCCTCCATCATGATCCTATGAAACTCTATCGAGCCAAACGGGACGCCAGTCACCGGTCGGTCACCTCGAAATACAACATCCTCGGCTTCATCTCGTCTGGGACGTATGGACGTGTCTACAAGGCACAGAGCTATGGCGAGGAGGGAACGATACATGCTATCAAGAAGTTCAAGCCTGACAAGGAGGGGGACGTCGTGGCGTATACTGGAATAAGCCAGAGTGCTGTTCGAGAAATTGCGGTGCGTGGCGAAGGGTTCATGGAAGTCAATGTTGCATGCTGACAATCTTGTCATTGACAGTTGAACAGGGAGATCAACCATGAGAATATTGTTGCCCTGAAGGAGGTGATTTTGGAAGACAAGTCCATATATATGGTCTTCGAATATGCAGAGCACGATTTCTTGGTATGTGCCGTAAACCCGCAATCCCATATTCTCAACAAATCCACCAGCAAGTTATCCACCATCACTCTCAAACTCTACGTGCACCCATCAGCCACGCAGTCCTGAAATCCCTCGTATATCAACTAATCAACGGGCTCCTTTATCTGCACTCATGCCACATCCTCCACCGCGATTTGAAGCCTGCCAACATCCTTATCACCTCGAAAGGCGTCATCAAGATCGGAGACTTGGGCCTTGCTCGTCTCGTTTATGAGCCCCTCCAGCCCCTTTTTGCTGGAGATAAGGTCGTCGTGACCATCTGGTACCGTGCTCCGGAATTGCTTATGGGAGCGAAGCATTATACGAAGGCGATCGATTGCTGGGCAGTGGGCTGTGTCATGGCGGAACTCGCGAGCCTTAGACCTATCTTCAAGGGAGAGGAGGCGAAGTTGGACTCGAAGAAGAATGTCCCGTTTCAGAGAGACCAATTGTTGAAGATTTTCGAGGTGCTTGGGACACCCGATGGTGGGTCCATCTACCAGGTGCTTCCTATGGGATACTCATGCAATCCGATAGAGAAGGATTGGCCTGGCGTCGTCGATATGCCGGAGTACCAAAGCATGAAACGTCTTGACCAGTAAGGAATACATTTCCCCCGCCAGTGCATAGTTGACTAATCTGTCGATCCCAGCTTTGCAAATCGACTATCTGATTGGTGTCATTCACGCATTCGAGCGACCCAAGGCTACGACTTACTTCGCCAACTATTCATCTACGACCCCGAGCGCCGCCTGACTGCCAAAGACGCTTTACAACATAAATGGTTCCAGGAAGAGCCGAAGCCTACGTGGAAGTGCGTCTTCTTTTCCGTTCTCTAGGCTGTTCTTCTATCTTCGGCTAATAATCTACTCTCTGCAAGTGCATTCCAATCTGTACCCCAACACCAGATCCCACCTCACCGTCGCATCACACAGGACGAGGCGCCTTCGATGATGCCCGCTCCGCAGAACACCTCACACCAAGGTCATGGACACATTGCTGGAGGCGTTCCGTTTGGCCAGTCCCATTCAAAGCCTGGGAGCTCGAACAGCTTCGCGAGCCAGAGTGGAGGAGCGGCGTACGCGTCGGGTGGTGCGCCGCCCAGTAGGAAGAAGGCGAGACTGGGTTGATCAGTCATCAGGCAAATACTTTTTGAGTGGAATAGAAGCACAACTTCTGCCAGATGATTGCACATATTCCTACCGTCCTGTATTCGCAAATTCATTTACTTCACTGAGCGCCCCATACTTGATCATTTGGAACCATTTTTTTCCAATGCGCGAAGGCGCGCTTCGCTAGGTCCAAGGGCTGCGAGAAGGATTCATATGAAAAAGGAAATAACTTCCACTTAGAGTTGTTTTCCCGTCAGTGATCGCCGCCGGTTGACTGGGAGGGTCTTCAGGCACGTCTAATTATACACTAGGATCCAGGGGTTCCAGTGCCTAATCTCCTTCAACAGATGAATAATTAAATGCTTAGAAGTTCTTACCGTTTACGCAAGGCGTCAGGTGGCATCGTAGAAGCACGGCTGGTACCGTGAGCATTCAGAGCCGTTGTATGCCTTTCGCTTGATCCAATCCTGACGAACCATCTATCTGACACATCCTAAGAGGATCCGTCTCGATGTTTGTTGTTAACTAAATGGTGCCAGATGATAGGCACATATACAGGGCTCGGCTTAGAAGATAAGGTCCGTATCTATTTTCGCTCATTAACACCGAAAAATTATTTGTCGTGCTCAATATTTCTCTGCGAAGAGTAGTACAACTTCATTTAATACGTGGTAAGTACAGCCAAGGCGGGAGCCACTTTTGATTATGAAAACGTGGCGGAAATGTGCACTTAGCAGCCAGTGTTTTGATATACTTGAGTGGTGAAGCACTATGAAGATAATGAGTGTAACCCGAGAATATCCATAACTGTGGACCCACGTTGTAGTTGTCAGCGTTCCTGTATTTGTTAGCGTCAGAGAGCCTCTGGTCGGCAGCACAGCCGTAGGTGACATCGTCAGTGTTGGCGACGGCATGGGTGAGTTCGTGGAGGGTAGTTCCACCGCGGACGTTGCGGGAAGCGACAGTGGTGCCGGAGCAGAGGTTGGAAGTGGCAACTTCGTTGAAGAAGATGCTGCAGTAGTAGATCTGGAAAAACCTCAGTTAGATCCCACTGTGGTTGACCGCGGTGGTGGCCGCCTGGAAGAACGTACGTTGGTGGAGGCAACGACGGTGTAGGCAATGACACCACCAGTGCAGACGCCGTAGCTGTCGACGCAGCTCAAACTATCACCAGCTCAGTTAATCGTAGGCTCCTTCAACTGGAAGAGGAGGTACTCACGTGCGAGAGGACGAGTTCTCACTGGCAACGGCCTGGAGGACAGCGGTGATGCGCGAGGCAGTGTTGGCGCCCCAGTAGGCGCGGTAAACCGAGTCGCTCGTACCACGGCTGCTGATGTACGAGATGCCGCGGTTGGCGAGGGTCTTGGCCTCGTTGTAGCTGGAGGTGATGAAAGACGCGCGGGAGGTGTTCGTGCAAATGTTGCGAGCGCGGCCCTCGAGCGCCTTGAGTTCGCGCTTCTTGAGGTCGCCGGTGATCTCAACCTGGACGACGTTGGAGACGGCTTGAGCCTTGGAGAAGGTCGCGGGAGAAACAGCCTCGACCGCGGTGCCTGCAAAGACGAAATCGGTTATGGGCTCGAAGGAGAACGTGCCAGCGCCAGCGTTCGCGAAGTCGTAGAGAGCAGCAACTGCAGTAAATAGAGATTAGATCGTTCCTATGGCACAAGTTGATGAAATAAGGTTGTATACCTTCGTGGGTGACGCTGACGGTCTCGCCGGCGTTGATAACTGTGTAGGCAGAGTCATCGGCATCGGTCAAGGAGACGGAGACCTGAAGAAGTTCGGAGATTAGTGGATATGTCCGCTTCTGTATGAGTTGGCTAATCAGTGGCACATAGTTACCTTGACTCCAGTAAAAGCAACGGCGGCACCATCCTTTGTGACGACAAACGACTTGGTGGGCAGCTTGGAATCGAGGATGGTGCCGTAGTTGAGGATCCTGACGGCCTCAAGACCGGTGTTCTTGATGTTCGCGGTGAACTTGAGGTCAGCGATCGAGCTGACCGAGGCGGCGGCGGGAACGATCTCGACGCTGATGCCCTCAGCCCGACGGCTGAGAGGGCTGGCGTAGGATGTCGCGATCAGCGAGAGGCAGGCGAGCGAGGACCAGAACATGCTGAACACTGTAGCTGAGCGAGGGTGGAGAACTCGAAGAGCTAGAGAATAAGGTTCGTCATGTTGCGAGCTTTATGCGATCCGGGCGAGCAGAAGAAGTCACTCCATCATATGGCTACTATGCCCGAATGCGTTCGTGGAAAACCGAATCGCGTAGAATATGGTTGGCTGAGAGGACGAGCACCAGAGGCATCAAGAGAAGGTGCATGTGGATAGGAAGGGTTATCAACGAGGTTTCTGCTCATCGGGGAAGGACGAGGCATAGCGTGACAAGAGGAGCACCTGCGTTTTTGGCCTGCCGAACACGAGTGGATGCAGGTCCATCACTTCAAATTGATATTGAAGCATGCAGGAAAAAAGCTAGGCTGGAGTTATCTATGGATCTTCTTTCGGTTTGGCTTCTTTGCACCATGCAGCGAGCGCGTGGCCGTGCCCAAAAGAGTTGCGAGATGTTGCTCAGGCTCGGAACGAGGGGTTGGAAAGCTAGATAGCGGGATTTGCGCGAAGGTTGCCTCGCGAAGATCCCAGTTGTCTCCGAGAGGCACACCCCGGCATTGAAGCAGGCACCCACTCGACGTCGAGGAAGCCGCTTTCATGCTATAGAGCAACAAGCGAACGAGGGCAGAAAGACCGCTCCTAAGGACTTGCGGGGCTTCATATCCACATGATTGGACCGCCTCGGGCACTTGGTCACGATTCGTTCAATGGTAGGTCGGAAGCAGTGCTAGAACCAGAGTTATTCTCGCCGGGTCTTCGTAGTGGTGGAGTGTCATCGCTATGGTAGTCATACGGGGCGCACGGAAGTTGAAAGAGGCTCGATGCATGTGTTGCTGTAGCTTGTTATCTGGTGGCTGAACGCTGGCGAACGATAAGAAAAAGAATAAACCACCTGCTGGAACGGCCAAGAGTCAGAAAGTATCACCGATGGCATCAAGCGCCGCTGCTTTGGTCGAATACGCTTGTCAAGGAAAAGCAATGAGGTAAAGTGATAAGAAGATACCATCAGCCATGCAAACGTTAAAAATAGTATAAAAGCGATCGCCGATAAATTCTTGGCTGCTCAAGAAAGAACGGCTTGGCAGAGAGTGGGTGCAGCGATAGAGCTGTAGACGTGCGGTAGATTCCAGACGTCGTTAAAATTTCCTGTAGACGAGTAAGACTGAGTAAGAGTGGAGCTATTTCGACGAGATACCTCCCACTTTTCTGCGATCATTGGTTCGAAGAACGAACAGTGGTTCGTGCTGTTCGTTCGTTAGTCCGAAAATTAACCTGCGAAGACCCATGCGGTTTCGTGTTCATGTGAACTTGCGCAATCCTAAGAAGACGAGCCCTATTTTTGAAAACGTGTTAATGGAGGAAAGGCAGCCAAGAAGACTATAAACTACCAGATCGCAACGTGCACCTTCATTTCGTGGTCTCCAGTCCATATGAATGATAGAGTTGGATGTTGTTAATTTCTGAGTGACTGATCGAAGTTAGATCATAGGACCATCGCACTTTAGGCGCGTCTGGCTTCAAATGGGCTTCAATAGCAGGCGTCCTGAAGGAGTCTGGTGCAGATGTCTTCGAGTCAATTATAGTGATAGGATCCTAGTTTGCGTTGCGCAAGTCTCCGAAGCTTCTGTGCCATTGCCATATGGTACCGGTGACTCCATTCGCGAAAAGATAACGGCGCCCGAGAGAAAACCTCAGCGTCCACAATAAAGCAGGTAGCTGCGTGGTGTTGCGTGATGCTCGGCGTCTGCGGGTCGCCAGCGCGTGAAGTAGTCATTTGACATCGTCAGACCCAGTACGCCAAGAAATCAAGGAAGACCACAAGTTTTTCAAGACTAAGTCGATGAAATATGCGACTTGCGCCCTCCCAGAGACCAGCGATTCAGTTGAACGACGAGGACGATGGTTGAAGTAAATAGTCAAGAAACAAAATTCAAATTTGCATGACCCATCTCCGAAAGTCACGGGACCGACTGATGGATTCCGCGCACACTCATCTTGCACTCCTTTGACTCCAACCACCGCCACTCGCCCTCAGACCGTCGTTATAAACGCCCGACACGACTTAGAACCATTAATACCACATCCTAATCTCCTAATCACCCCACAATCATGTTGATCAAAGTCAAGGTGAGGAGCTGGTTCTCTTAATTAGAACGCGTCGTGGTTGCTAACTGCAGGTTTTGAAGACCTTGACAGGGAAAGAGGTACATCGTTTACCACATTCTATGCACGGATCGCGCGAGATCGTGTAATCTGAGGAGTTTCCGAGAGCTGACACACTGGTTGTTGTGTAGATCGAGCTCGACATCGATCCCGAGGACAAGGTGAGCAACCATAAGGAAAGCGCGACAAGAACAGTGATCACTTACCTTTTGTCCTCTAGATCACAAGGATAAAGGAGAAAGTCGAGGAGCAGTCGGGTGTTCCGCCGCCTCAGCAGCGTCTGATCTTCAGTGGGCGTCAAATGTGCGTTTCTTGGTTCACACTCCTTTTGTCTTTGTTCTGAAAGTCGACATAGGGCCGACGACAAGACGGCGAAGGACTTCAACATCACCGCCGGTGCTGTCCTGCACTTGGTGCTTGCCCTCCGTGGTGGACGATGATCCATAGATGTGTCGGACTCCGGCGCCCATCGGAGGTCGTCTGGGAGTACTAGACGAGACGTGTGTATTCTACATATCATTTTATGCTCTGGTTTCAATCGCTATTTTCCTTGCAAACCCAACACAACGCCTGAACGAATTATCCACTATCTAGGCACTGCAGAGAAATTTCCTGAGTTTTGCCATACAGCTCGGCTGGGTGGCTTTCCCCAGCATTTCTGAACTTGATTTTCCTGTCCTCGAGCCTTCATCTAGAAGCGTCGTATCGCTCTCGACCTCCTCTGGTCGAATATACATAAACCACGATGCCAAAGGCGCCAATGTATCCTTGCTCTCGCCCCTAACAAGACTGGCCATATGCCCAGCAACCATCACACAATCCACCTCTCCTTCCGCATCGCGGACCTTCACATCCACCTCACAATACCCCATCGGCACCTTGTGGGTATCAATAACAGGATACGTCACATCGTCGAGGACGAGCTGGGCGTGACTCTTGGGCGTCGAACCAAGGTACCTCTGGGGTGTAGAACTCCGTGGCGAGCCCTGCCACTTCCCAGTCGTGCTGTCCCAGACACAGAACGCCGTAATCCAACCAGAGAGGAAGGACGTCCCAGAGCCGAACGAGTATCTATTCGCAATCTTGCTCCAAAAATCGACGTCAGGCTCGAGGCCAGACTCGGCCCGTGTAAATGCATCGACGAACCGACGGAGGACGGGGCGGAGGAGGTTGGCCCACCGCTCAGGCTCGGATTCGGAGTTCTTTGAGCAACTTGAGCTGGGCCGGAAGGATGGGAGTTTGTCGAGCTTCTGGAGGAGGGCTTCCCAGTCGGATTTGGTGCCCTCGAGCGTGATGGAGGGGATCCCGCAGAGGGACATGTCGTACTCGAAGTAGGCCTTCATGGTGGACATGAGGAGGACGGAGCAGATAGTGGTGTCGGTGGGTGTTGTGGTAGTGAAGCTGGGAAGGACCCACTGCTGGAGGGCTGGGTCGAGGATCTGTTCAAAAATCAGGCTTCGCGGGAATACGCGACAGGACATTGAGACGAACATTTTTCTGAATTTCGTCAGTCATTTGGACCGCAAGGCTCCCGAAGTCGACTGTCCGTCGGTTGCCTGGTATGTAGATTCTTGAAGTTTTCTTGCCTTTGTGCTTGACAAAAAGCGAGCGAAGCTCTTTCGAGTTGGCATTGACGCTGGGATTGAATCCGAGTCAGAAAAGCCGTATACCACTTATAAAAGCTCGAAGAATACGCACTAAACACTAAGCTGGGTCAAAATAGCAATCCAGACATCGTCAGGCCTACAAATCATTAACCGTACGGTCGATATTTGGCAACATGAGGACCCACCTAATAACAAGGTGATGGTGCCCATTATACGCCTCCACCACCGTCTTCACGAAGCCGTTGTTCTGGGTCCTGGCGTCGGCCATCTGGAACTCGTCCTTGAGGCCCTCCTGGGCCCACCACCCGTCACGCTTCGTGTCGATAAACGAGCTTTGGAGGACATCGACGGAATTTGGCTGGCGTGCGCGATTCCTTGAGCGGTTGGGCTTGATTTGGGAGTGGAGGTGGTGCAGTAGTAGATCTGAGGGTGCAGAGAGTTGTTCGAAGTTGGGAGAGACTGGCTCGGCGGGGTGGGGGGCAACTTTGAAGGCTATGGCCATGGCGTGTAGGTGATGTCTGGTGTTCGAAGAGGACAGTTCGGTGGCCCTGTTGGCTGTATTTCAGCCAGAGGCTGCACATAAGGCGGTGCTGGACTCTCAGATCTGTCACCTATCCCAGGCTGTCCATCAGGATGCCGCAGAGAATGTTTCGGAGATCGACGCAGTATGTTCTCTCAACTGAAGCCTAAGGTGAGTCGAATGGATGCTATCACTTGACATTGGATCGGAAACGCACCTCAAGTTTCAACCGTCGGGCCATTGAGATTATGGATGCGGACAAAAACCTCTGGCTAGCTCCATACTTCTGTCGATAATGTCGAGAGCGCAGGCAAGACCTCCATGAAGATCAGAAGCCGTAACTGGCATGTGCATTAGGCTGGTTCGAAACCATTGCAGAGGTCATGGTGGTGGAGAAACTGAGAAAGTTGAGATTCAAATTTCAAAGGTAATTTTGAGTGACAGCGGTTCGTGCGTGAGGTCACGTGAAGTGGCATCCGGATTCCAACCAAGCTTTCGACTTCCCATTCATCTCCTCATCTCCTCATGTCCCGTTTGGAATTTGTGCAGCTCTACAATTCAAGACCACAAATTATTCGTCTCCCCCCTGCTGCCCAGAAGCTCCCGCGGAATCCACAACTTGCCACCACCGCCACTCACTGCGCCTCGACGTCGAGTCCGCCGTCTAGCTGCACCTCGCGCACGGCATTCAAGTCACAATCCCGCCTACTTCACCGCCTCTTGTGGCGCCGTAGAGCCAAATCTGCAAGTCGCGCTGCTTATCAATGATATTCGGCACGCTTCAAAGAATCCTGCGCTGGCTCAGCTGCGCGAGGATATTGTACGTCTATCGTAAGATCCTTTAGGAAAATGCTGATTGAATAAAGTCCAGGAGCTCGTTTGCAACCGCCAAGGGTTTCAGGAAAGGATGCCAAGTTCAGGCTGAACAGCCCTGCAAACGCTCTCCTATGTGTGCTTCGGCTGCTTTGCGACTCCCAGCTCTTGCTGACGTTATTCAGTGGAACCTAACCTCCATGTCGACCTGGATCAGTATGCACTATGGTGCCTCTTCATCCCTTTTGCGCAGCTCGAGAGCCTTTATACAGCGCTCCATGAAGTGGGACGAGCGGGTGAAGAACGACCCTTCTGCTAAGCGCGACTTGTGTTTGCTTTCCTCTTCTTTCTTGTCTCGTTTCCCCATTCACGATAACTACAGACTGGGGTCTATCCATATACTGTCACCGAGCTTGAAGTCATTGTCTTATCCCCGCACTTTCTTCCGGGCGGAAAGAGCCTCTCTGTCCTGCCAAATGAATGGCGACGCCTTCACAGTGACAATGGCGACCCTGTAAAAGACCATACCCTTTGGAAAAACTATCATCGTGGTTCTGGCTGGCACGTCGTGGATGAAGAAGGCCAGCCCATCAGGATTGCTGTTTGCCATGGTCGTGATGCCCAGGAAAGCCTATCCCTTTTTGCATTGCTTGTCAACACCTACCACAAATTACTCGACTACAGCAAGCGTCCAATCCCAGACGCTTTCCTCCGCGCTAGGTTGGTCCTGATGGAGGGCATCATAGAGATGATATTCTACGTGCCTCCAGGGTACACGGGCCCTCAGCCGTCGTCTTCGGTCAGCCCCTGGTTCATGATTGGCATCTGCCGACGCCATCTGGGTCTCATTCGCGTGTGGTGATCGATGAAGAAGGCCTAGACTGTGACGGCGATGATTACAGCAGCTCTGACAGCTCTGAAAAGTCTGACGAGGATGACGAACTCATCAACGGTCTCACAACCACCAAGATGCGTACCGTCATTCAACAGACCGGCGACGGGAGCCTTTCTGGATCCGAACGCGTCAATGCGGCGATGCTCATGTTCGGAATGGCAGGACGTGAGGCTCTTTCCTGGTCAGCTATAGCGACAATCTAGGTTTGCTGATCCGCACGGTGCTCTTCATGCAGGACACAAGACCCCGTTCCAGGTGGCGAGCGAAAGACCGGAGTAACAGCCGCAGAGTCAGGTTGTAGAGTGTACACACGGACGTTAGGGCACTGGACGCAGGATTATGAAGTCTAGTGAGCGAGTTGCACGAGTTTCCAAGTATGTATGCTGTCGCAACTGCACTGCTTTACGCTATCTTCCTCATTATAAATTTGTATCCCAGTGGCCGGATCGACACGAAACACAGAACTACTCGAAGGCCATCTTTCAAATTCGCCGATGCAACGTCGAGCGGCTTCACACCGTACCCTTAGTAAATCAGCATGATAATACCATCGCAAGCGAGAATTTCAATATCCAAAATGTACGTATGGAATCCACGTCAGTAAGGCATCATCGCTGTTCCCTACATCTTGTACCAAACAGCGGCGCCAGCAAAAGTTCAATAAAAGCACGTGATAGAGATGAGCGGGACAATGGACATACTATCCCTTTCCAGCTGTTTGCGGGTTTTTCGATTGATAGATCCGTATCCTTCCTCTCGCTTTCTCGAAAATTACCAAACTTGCTGGGAGTGTAGTCTTTTGTCTTGGCTACTGGAGGATGTAAAAATGTTTGGGAAATTCGAAGGATTGAGTCCAGCGGATGCTTCCCGATCGCGTAGAATCGTGAATTCTGGGAGTTTGCGGGAAACATCACGCAGGTCACACCTCATATTCGACATCGGCAAATCGGCATCCAAGCTTCGCAGGCACAAGAGAGCTCATGACGAGTGTCGAGTCAGGAATACTTGCCGCAGGGCAACGAATTGATGTTTTTGAGCAAGCTGTTTCACTTATTGAGGAAAATCAGTGCTTTAAATGCTCATTGGTAGCAATGATAAGGGTTGCGCATTATTGACGTCCACACACGCTTGGCTCCGGAAGAGGATGTCGAAGTCATCATAGTCGTTGCATGGTTTCTTCTGGAGGTTCACTTTGCCTTATATCACGAAGACTAGGAGGATTGGAGGGATCAGACAGTCTCTGTTCACGTACAGTTTGTTCTGCTTGTGCACTGCCATGCAGGTGGAGATTGAATTAATCACAACATGTCACTCTTCAAATGACCATTTCTACCAATTGTCAATTATCTTCGCAAGGCCAGCAGCTCTACCTCTGAAATTTCTAACCGTGATTCGGATGCTACTAGTTTGCAGAAATATGAAGTTTTTTAAATTTCAGGCAAGCTTGAGGTGCTGCCATCACAGTCGACATTCGGTTACACTGCCCTATTTTGGTGTCATCGAAAACTCATATCTTCGATTTTGGAACGAGATTCCAAGCTTTCCCTTCAAAAAGTGGATGAGCCTCTTAATATAAGCATTGCAGATTTATTGGACTTTTTTCAGGATGATACAACAAATGAGTGGAGCCCAAAACCAAAAACGCAAACACCCCGGATCTGCAAACAGCTGGAAAGGGATAGTAGAGACCCAAATGATTTGGACCGGTGCATAACCTGGGCCTCGTTCTTCAATATTTCAACAGTTATTGGACTAAAGCTACTACATATGTATGGCTAAAAAGACATGGGTCCCGTCTATGCGCCAGGTTTCTAATATGTTCCGGCCCATGTCTTTCGGGCTGTTCCTTTGGCCCTGAAAGCGCCCAAGTATCCCTATTCTTTGAGAGCCTACCATGCCCTGCCAACCCCAACTGTATCCCCACCAAGATAAATCTGGATTGTTGTATAGCAGACTAGGCATAAACTCTGGGATTCGAGCAACTTGCAAGGTGGAACCTATTACAATTTAAGTGCCCATCCCTGCATTTCCACTAGGCTGATATGGCTGATGAAAAAACACCTGCTTGGATTCAGAGTGTAACGACTGTGCTGGATGGGGTGGGGACTTGGCTTCAGCTGGACGGAAGGGGCAGCTGTGCTACCACGCAATGTCTGGGTGTCCCCAATTTCAGATGAACAGGGAGGAGCTGGGTTCCAGCAGTGAACTAGAGCAAAGAGGGTATGTTGAGTTTGATATTCCGACTGAGGAATCTACTACTGTACATGGGTATTTATGCTATGCAGGATAATGGACCATGATTATGTAATAGATAACTTAGCCAGGACAAGGAGAACAATGAAGGACAATGGGACAATGGCTGGGAGACACAATGGAGTGAGCCGGAAACATGGCTCACCTTGGAAGTGCCTCGGAAGTGCATGGCTCGTTCCCAGATGTCTCAGAAGTGTCCCGGAAGAGCATGGCTCATTACCACAAGCCTCAGAAGCAGGATACAGCCTTGAGAGCCAGATAATTGTGCCGGGAGCCAGGGACGGGTCGTGACACAGTCATACAAATATATGCATTTGAAAATGGGAAAAAGACAGTACAGAGCAATGAATAAAACTAAAATGGACAACGAAAGCAAAGCAGTGTAGTGAGAGACAACGAATAGCGCAGGAGGAAGATGGACAGAATTAATTTAGACACCATCCCACCTTCTAATCAGTATGAACGCTTGGTAGGTCTGATAAGTAAGGACTCCTAGTAGAATTAAAAACCAAAGGACCATGAAGAGGCACCCTGTAATGGTGATGGTGTTGTGTTCCTTACACCACATTGTAGTGAGAATGGCTATGATTAGAAGGAGAATGGACCTATCATGCTTTGTCAAATATGGGCGCCGTGAATAGAGTAAAATAATGACCAGGCCAGGGAGCACAACAGAAACGCAATGACCCTCCAGAATGTTGTCTCCAGTCCAGTGCTGGTTGATGATGCCTAGTCATTCGGAATTGGATCAACCCAAAGCAGAATGGAAATTTGACTGTCAGGACATACCTCAATCCAGACCCTCCACAAATTCGCCATCTTGTGTCTCATAATAAGGTATAGGGAGCTTGAGATCAATCCTGACAGAGACAGCAACAAGGCAGAAATGGTGCAAATGAGGGCTATGCCATCATGCCGAACACAATCAATTTGGAAGAGAGTCGCTGATGACCTGTCAGACCGAAGATCGTCACTGGTCAAGAAGGGTATAAAATAATAATGGACATCACGAACGGAAGGAGTATTGTGCATATGAGACAGGCTAGTCTCCATGCTCTTGAGATCCTTCTTAATTCTGTAGCCCACACCCCAGAATCCTCTCTCCTGCTCTTCTCAAAATCGGCTGTGGCACCGCTGTGATCAACTTGGTATTTGAAGGCAAATTGACACACTCTATCGATACCAAGGAGCATGACCCAAGGTGCAACCTGTGTGATACCCAGGAGGAACTTTTGACTGATGTTGCTGAAGATTTCATGTACCTTAATGCTCTGGGGGATAAACCTTTGGAAAAGTTGGAGAAAACCACTGTAATGACCTGAACAGAGGGGGGGACTTGGCCTCAGCATGCTCTTGTGCTGTGCCCCTACACATCATCTGGTTGTCCCCAATTTACAGGAACTGCCTTGGTCTTGACAAAGGAGAGACAAGAAGAAGTCATCCTGGCCAAGGCCCAGGAGACAGAGGATGAACAACAGAGCAGAGGGGTTGTCAAGGTTGAGATTCAAGCTGGGAAATCCAGTACACTACCTAGCTACTTATACTATTGAGAACAATGGAGAAGATCTAGGTTATGTAATGAATGCCAGCAGAACAATGAAGACAATAATGAATGAAACAATGAAAGTAAAGCCCATTGAAGAACCAGAACAATGAACAATGGAACAATGGAACAATGGGTTCAGGAATGGGATGTGACAACCACACACATATGAGCTGCGTACCTGATAATGGCCCATATGCTGCTGCTGAAGAGCTCCTCAGTTGGAGTCATAGGATTCACAAAAAGTAGGATGGTTCCTATGTAGCAGGAGGTCTGATCAAGATGCTGAAGGTCTGGTGGAAGGTTTCCTGGAGGATCCACCAAGGTGCTTTATATGAGTATTGATTTCCTCACTCATTCCTGGCTGCGCGGTTAACGTATGAGTGGGCCGACTGCTTGGATTCGAACATTATGATTCGGATGTTATAAACACAGGAAGAGGAATCCTGAGCACTGCATTGTCGTTCTTCTCATGGATAATTATAAGTGATGGATCGATGCATGCTTTTCCTGCTGCCTGTAAGTATTTTCCAGTTGTATAAGTGTTTTAGATAATATTTCAGTTTCCCCAATCATTTGTTGGCCAAAGGTTGCAAGACAACATACAGATCTGTAATGGCACTATCAGCCAGTGTTCGAACCCCCGAACACGGATCCCCACGGAGATGGTAGGTGTGAAGCGTTGGTGGAGCAAGAGCTATGTCATCACTGTGCCCCCCTTGATTCGAGATATGTACAATGCACTTGCAATGTAGAGGCCAATCAGACTCCATTGGACCATCTAATCGGTTTGCCTCCCAGAAGTAGTGGGTGCGACATCGGACCCTGAGTTTGCCTTTTCAACACCTAAAATTAAATAGGAAGTCCCTGTGTATTTTGAGGCCATGACATCGCTGCATGGCCAGCATGCCTATATATGGAACCTAGAGACGCACAATTTTGTGATGCATATGAGCTGACAAAAGGCCATGAATATGAGCGAGAGCACCTCTATATATGAGTGCAGGTTGTGTGCAGCTTTTACAATTAGTCTCAGGTCAGTAGTTTTAACCAATTATTTCTTGGCCAGGTTTACATACAGATCTAGTAGATCTTGCAATTGCTGATCTTGGAATCTGACAATCATGAAGGCTAGGGTCATTGACCACTCCCACTGCGCGCGGACTAACCCACCATTGCGATCAATCAGACCTTTGTAACGCCACTATGTAGACAAGTCCCTTTTCTGGACGTGTCTTTTTTCCAATGTGGGTCAGGGATGCACAGGGAATAGTATGTATCAATAGTTATCAGGCTCTCTCTCTCTCCTCGCTTGGAGAGTCCTTTCTCACAGGCGCAAAGCAGTGTACTTGCGTCATGGGTCAAGTGAGGTTCTCAGATGGCTTGCCCCTGCTTGTCGGAGGATAAGATAAGCGCATCAACAAATCCAGGAGTTTGGCAGTCTGAGTATTGCTGGATAATGGCAAATCTAAATCAAGTCAAGAGAAATCTCCTCTTTCCTCGAGAAATTTAACGTGAAACACAGGGTATTTATTCCAATAACGGAACCTGGTATCGTGGTTGTCCACGCACATGCTGGGGCGGTCCAATGATCGACGGGCGCTAATTTCCGATCTGGCTTCTTTAATTGGAAATCCGGGTAACCCGGAGTCGCTCGGCACAACGGAGCGCCCCCGCGCGACGGAGGGGCGAAGGCGAGCAGCCCCGAGTGAATTCATACAAGTACTTTGATATTATAAATTCATCTTCACAAGGAGAGAGGGAACAGCCACCCAAAAAAAGGAAGCAGAAATTTACTTTCCTCCTCAAGTCCACGGGCAAACCTCTCGTATGCATAAAATCAATTAACTACACAATGCACAGATACCGAAACAACAACTAAACACAACTCGTCCTTCCACCATAATCCTATACCAGCCACAAATGCAGGATACGTACTGAGCAAAGAAAATAAGAGCTCGACGCTCGACGCTTCAAATGCTCGGCGGAAGGACGGTAAAGTAAGAACTATCCATATAAGTGTAAGTAGTAGCAGAGACAACAATGTAAAGGACAGGAATAAAAAGGACATCACGAGGACAATCAGGGAATCGATCATAATAGAACAGTACGCATAAAGTGGACGACGGCTTTCGTGAAAGCGGAAGGGATTAGATCTGGAGAGATGGAGGTACTTATCGGTAAGGGAATAAATAAGGGTTGCGTGAAGGTGGGAGGTCGTATGGTGGATGAAAGTCTAGCGGGGGAGATGGTGAAGAGGTTTGGCGAAGGGGTGTCACGGAGATGGCGGAGGCGAAGAGAAAGAACACGAAAGGGCACGATGGATGGGTTTGATCTTCATTTTTGCGCTGTTTTCAATGGCGACTCCGGGCTACGACTTCCACGAGGCTTTCCCCTCAAGCAAGTTGCTCAACGCATCGCTAACCTCAACCGGATGACTGACGGTCAGATCGTGTCCCGCACCCTCGACGATCACCGTCTTCTGCTTCGCCGGTTCCGGGAGGAGCGTCGCGATCCGCCCTGCGTATTTCGGGGGCACGGTCGTATCGCGCGTCCCGTGTAGGATGAGCACGCGCTTGCCTTCGAAACCTTTTGATCGGAAGGCCGCGGTTTGTCCGCGGATGGGACCGTCTCGGAGGGATGAGGAGAGGGCGGCGTTGTATCCTGGTAAGTGCGCCGATTGGATTCGGACAATCTACGGAGACAGTGAGTTTGGAACGGGGCAAACTTGTGGGAGATGCGTACCTCGATGATAGGGTTTGTTGCATCTTTGGTGATCGTTTGATTTGTTAGGTGTTGAATGTAACTCTGCACAGATGTGAGCGCTGTTCAGTGATCGTAGAAATTATCACTGACCCTGACGGGTCTACTTGAAGCGACAGTCTGGACCAGAGGCGACGACATGAATTTTGCCGTTCGCGAAAGGTCGCTCGTCTATAGAAATGAGACAATGCAGAATAAACAATGCAGGCATGCACGGACCTCCATGAGACCCGCACAAGCGATAAGGCCGACGCCTTCATCGACGAGATGGGGGAATTGTGAGGTGAAGGCCGCTGCAATTGCGCCGCCCTGCACGGAAGTTAGGTCGGACCCTGACACGTCGCATCGGGAACTCACCATTGACACCCCAACGATATTCGCCTTCTCCCATCTCAAATACTGCATCAGCAGAGCAAGTTGCGTTGTGTAGAGATTTGGGTCGTATGTTGTTTGTGGTGCATCGGAATAGCCGCGTCCATACAGATCTGGAGGTGGCTTAACTGGCGTTGGGTGGAGGCTGTGAACGGCGTCACGCACCGTACAGCAAAACGCGATAACCACGCGACGCCAAAGTGGGTGCGACGTCTTTCCAGATGATAGCTGGTATCGAGAGACCGTGAATTAAGACGACCTAAGAAAGCACGGATTTGAGATCGCAACACGTCTATCTCGCTGGATAACTGCGCACTTTCTTTCCCTTCTCAGGACCTAAAAGCCAGTATCTGACCTGGACAAAATGCGATAAGATAAGACCATCAGTGAGTTAAAGAAGCCAAACTGACCCTCCCCGTAGGAAATTCCGCGTATCCTCCGCCTGGATAAAAGTCTTCCGGGTATATCTCCCATGACTTGGACGTGGGTGGCAGGCTTGCCAACGATGGGTGGATGAAGATGGGTGCTGGGGGTGTTGGGAAAGCCGCAAAGAAGTACGTCGTCAGAAGGATGGGCGGTATAATAAGCAACGAAAGCGTTAGGCAGTGATACGGACTGCTGGCGACCATGGTGGTCAAGACGAAGTTGGACGGACAATGTGGTCAGACAAACACGTCAGGCAAATGACATGCCGTGATCCCGGTCCGCCCGGAGAAATTCTCGGACTCGTGCAGTTAGCGTGACTAGTGACAAGCGTTCCAACTTCAGATCCCGGCGACCGCTCCTTGGATTCCGCTGCATACATACATCGACATGAACCGACTGCTAACCTTTCAAGAATATAAAAGGACGTTCTCAAGTCACGGAAGATTATCCACAATCCAGGCGATCGCTCGGATCCTCCGAAGGGATTCCAGCCCCCCGACTCCCTTGCGACTCCCCCGTCAGCAAGCGGATTTTCGACAGGATCACTGAGCACCATGATATATTCGCCGATCGGTCTAAATGCTCAGCCAAGTTCAATGCCATCCAAGAGATCTCCGGACGCTGGACGATGGGTTCTTTTGCAGAGCAGGATAACAACGGTCTGAAGATGACGGGGCGCTCGAACTCGAAGCTTCACGCACATGTGCAGTCTGTTCTGTTCCAGCTGCTCCCCTACTCGATTCTCCTTGAAATATTACTAGGTCGATCGAAAGATATGTATATGTACAGGTGAGTACGCTGGTTCCCTCTGATGATTGATCAGATTTGATGCTAACGGTGTTCTTTCTAAAGGGTCTCCTCAGGAAAGCATACTCTCTAATATAGTATGTAGGAATTCATCTGCGAAGAAAAGGAATGATGACTGTATTGGGAACAGGAGGACCTAGAGCTCCAGGCGCCTTCAACACGTAGGAGCCGGCCCTAACACCAGCACGTGCTTCAAATTACGTCACGCGTTTATCTCTCAGCCTGCAGTGACGGTTTGCAACAAGTTCGAAGTCGATGGACACTTGCGACCCTTCACAGCCCTTCTATGCATTCAGGCTATTCCATATTCGACGCTCTACGCGGATACTTATCTCGTTCCGTCGAAGAATGGCCCCTCCAACCATTGACCATTGTTCCCCGCGCCCGACTCTTGCGACAATGCTGAACGGCCAAACAAACAAATTTATATGTGTTCTGGTAGAAGTTTTCAATGGCCCGCTCGGGTGACGACTTAGTATTCGGACAATGTGGGGTTCTTGACCGCCCAATGGAGCTTCCACCCTGGCAGCGAGCGCAAAGCATTTCTATAAAGCTGGCCTCTTGATCTCTCCGTGGCGCTTTGGCTTCCCACTCAATCTGCGTTTCGACCCCCAGATTGTATTCTGGTAGCCCATTTCAACCACTCTGCAGCCTATTGGCCCGACAATATGGACGATCCGGGTCGACTCGTCCGGGACCCGAAGACACAAGAGCCCTACTACATCCCGGGCACCTCGCAATTCAATGCGGTGGCCTCTGAGCTACAGAAAGGGCCGGCCATGCTTGCAGAGTTCATCAGTGGTGTTAGGCAACCCTCCGATGAGCCGACCACCGACTCACCATACAACGGCCAATCCAGCGACGATCAAACCACTGCAGGCCGATCTTCTGTCGAATCAGAGCAGTCTGAAGAGGCCGCCCAGCCCCGTGAAGTAATACTCCACCTGTGATAAGGTGTGGCGCACGCTTACGGATCATGGTCTTTAGAAGGATGCCTCTGAGCCAAGGCAAGATGTCAAGGATGCTGGGAAGAACTCGGGCGCTAGAGCGAGTTCATGACTTGGACTTCTTGATAGGTTGGTGGAAACTTGCGCGCTTGTTCATGTTGGTCCTGACATCTGTCTAGTTCTAGATGCATCTTCTGCTCTCACAACTGCTCCTACTTTAAAAAACATGAACCCCTTCCCAATGTTCGCCTGAGATCGACAACGCTTTCTTTCATTGTGTGCTTCGTCTCATGGGTGACAGAGATCTGGTAATTTAGAACTGGCGTTTGTTTTCGATAAGTTATAGTTGGTCAAAGTGTACGATACGAAAAGGTTGAGACCTTGATCATGTATTTATTTTGGTGGAAATGACAAACTATAACACGGCGAAATTTCGAAGTCGCGTGGGAGACTCATCAAGGTCATTCTGTTACATAAATATTCGAGCGGCGCTTGTTTTCTCTTGACCAACATCCAACTGTTTCAAATGTCCTGGCAGCGTGGTAGGCCTCTTGCTATTCTCGTTGGAACGCAGAAGCTGGAGGACTCAGAAAAAGAGTAGACGGAAAACGAAAAGCGTACAATCAAGCTCTCGGAGACAAAGCCTCTGCTGTATTCGCTCCCCTGACCCCAAGCCACGAAATGAGGATGGATGCAGTACGTGCATGAAAGTCTCCAATGGGGCCGACGGTCTCAAAATGAAAATTTGTGCTCGTGTAAGTACCACTCGGAAAGAGTATTTATCTAGAATGTTAACACGACACCAGTGCAAGAGCTGTTCGTATTGCTCTAGCGAGGTATGCGCCGTGTTTCTGAACGAGTAGAAACGGATCTCAGTCTTGTTCTGTAGTGCCAGATTGCAGACTGGTGCGTCGTATTCCCGTTTCCCTATTATTTACTCGAATAACGCTCTCATGGGTCGCCGCCACTAGGCCTAACCACAAACTCATTTGCAACAATTCGTCCGACTTCGCCCGTGTAGCAAGAATGGCCGCGCGTCTAACAAAAAACCCAGAAGTCATGAGGTTCATCGTGCGCGACATCGTGAAGATCTACCGCAAAGACTTCATAGTCGGAGACGGTATGATAGACCTCGAGAAGATGCGCCTTACTCAAGTTATTGTCTATTTCGAGCCATGTAACTGGGACCACGCAGCGCCTAAGAAGTTTGCAGCACGCGAGGGAAAATCAATGCCCGGTAGTCTGCGCCTTGCGCGCGTACAGGACGCTACGCTTTTACTGAGTGAGGACATGCCGAACCCGGATCCGTTGGCCGCGTCTGTTCGCAAGGTTTGGCTGCAGCGACGAGAAGAGGATTACCCAACGGTCGTCGTGCAGTTTTGGTGCCAGTCTGCGATCCACCTCACGACGGTGAAGGTCACGCCCAAGGACGTAAATGATTTCCATTCATTGAAGTCAGAACTACGTATCTTTCACGAATTGAAACAAATTGTGGCCAACTCAATGGTTGGGGGTGTCGAGTAAGTTGTTTTCTTCCCTAAATTCTCTGTTCCTGTTCTGAGTCTGGCCACCAGGCTGGCAAATAAAGTCATTAGTGAAAATGTAGAAAACGGAGATACTATGCATTTGAAGAAGGAGATGTCGGAAGAAGATCGGGCCGTCTACTTGCAACGCCGAGTTTGGGCTGTCTCGATAGAACACGAGAACCACTGGAGACTACTTGCCCTTTTTAGGCTGCGTTCGGGAACAAAAAGATGGCATTTTGATGGCAGATATTTCCTTTTCAAGGGCTCCGGCTTTTCCATCACATGCTACTGTACGTAACCGGTTACTCGGTCACACCAGCTACTCGGTCATTGCCTTTGTAGATGGCACAGTTGTTCGTTTCACTCCATTCTTTTTATGCACTCATGTATAATAGTATCAGAGCAATGTAACTGCATTTTTTGGCGGACAGAGCACCATTCCTCGCGGAGAAATGAGCCTCCCTTTGTGTCTGGTGACGTGTGACGCCCAATTTCCTTATTTGATACCGTGTTTCTGGTGGTCCCGGAGGGCTTTTCTCGATGACATGACACACTGCCAGGAAGATACTTCGGACTTGAGAATTTCATAGTGACTACTGTATAATTAAGCAAGTTTCTCTTATGTTGAAGGATTGCTGCACTTCCAACCTTGAAAATTGGAGAGTGTCATTTTGGAGGTGGATTGGACTGTTCCTGCTGATTTCTCTTAGTATAAAGCATCCATTGTGTAAACAAAGAGGTGAAATGAATTTTGAGGCGAATATGTGTGCATGAAAGAAGACCCCTCAATTTTTACAATTTTCTTCCAAACATAAGACACCAAGCAATTGAAAATTCTTGTTTTGAGTGATGAGAAATGTCAAATTAAATAACTGAAAGGAAAACATCAGAAATCACAAAATAAGAAGACTAGAATATGATAGAGGTGTCTAACTTTCACTGGAAGCATTTTTTCGTTAAGGTCAGACCAACTTTGAAGAGTAATTCAAGGTGGCCGAGTACTGTCCTCGTATTCTGAGGTTATCTTATCATCAGCTTACTAAGCATAACTGACCCTGGTTACAACCGGTGTTCGGGACCAATACCAATCGGTCAAGTCTCGGGGCCTGGCCGACTTCCTGGTTTTGACCGATTTTGACCTATCGAAATAAAATATTTGTGGAGGTCTCAAACCCTCCCTTAAATTTCTGATAATTGGTACACAGGTACTTCAGATGCTTGCCTATTGAGTAGTACTGTTAGTTTTTTTGACACCCCCAAACCAAGCACGCAAATTTTAGGAGACTGTAGAGTGACCGAGATGCCGGTCATCTACAGTAGATGAGTGTGACGCCATCGTGACGAGCTGTTCCCAGGACCCTTCGGCATTCCCCGGCTCACCGGTATCGATGGTGCTTTGGCTATTGGAAAATGATTTCCTCCGCATGTTTGGGGCAGTACACTCAGTAAATGTCTATTAATTACAAATGGGTAAGAAAAGGAGGATAAAACGGGAGGAAACCTCCGCATTCTCGTCATTACTGTGAGGAATCAGCAAATTTGCCTGTGATATGCGAGTATCCTTGCCCGAACCATAAATTTCAGCATTCCTAGCGAGTTATTAGTGTATTAGTGTATGTATAAGTCATTTGCCCTAGTTGTAGCCGAATATACAACCACGCTGAGTCGCATTTTCAACTTCAGGTGAGGTGCATCCCATTTTGGTCTGTCACCCACGGCGTTTACCGGTCACCCTTGCCCCCATCAGGGCATCACGTGGTCGAAAAGCTGGCTGCCGACAGCCATCTTTTTGTTCCCGAACGCAGCCTTATATCTATTATCCATCTTTCTCAAGGGTGTATAAATATTCTAGTATCTAGTACGTATTATAGCTAGCATTTGAGGCAACCGTTGTCATTGGCATCTCATCGGGGTATCAGCGTTCGTCAAATATCAGGAATCTCAATATTTCAGATATCTTTATCCGAGTCTCGAAATCAGACAGTTTTGTCCCGATCTAGAATTGACGCTTGGTCGATGCCTGTATTGTTCCCATCCCAATCAGGCAAATCAAGCACCACTGTGGCGCCCAAATCGAGCGAGCTTCTATTAGCTACTGGCACTATAAAACAGTTTGTTGAATTCGGATGAGGAGATAATCCTTCGCACACATCGGTCTCAGAAGTTCGATATGTAGCTTAAAGCACGACTTGAGCATATTGATAAAAGCTACACGGAAAGGCGGTTATAAACGGTTCGCAATTCCACGGACTGCTCGACACCCTCGTCCAAGCGTTCAAGCACCAACGTAGACGACCTCCAAAATGACGCTGCCAAGAGGTCCGGCACCAAGCAAATCAACGTTATAGTTGAAGTACCAACCGTCGAGCTGGCGTGCGACCCGGAAAATCTTCGGCGAGCTTCCGTGAGGGCTGATGAAATAAACAGTGAAGATGGTCTTCCCGGTGGTCGTGTCGTAGAGGCTGAATTCTCCGTCGCAGCCGCTCCAGGTGTTTTCACGGCCGCAAGAGCCCACCATGTACGAGCCCTTCGCGGGTACGTCCTTGTCGATGGATATCTCGGTATCCAAGTTGGCTGAAACAAGAGAGCATGAGATGACTCGAAGCAACACGATGGAAAGGAAGAACTTACGAGCGCCCTCGCAGTTGTAGAACTTGCCCCAACGAAGCTGAGAATTATTGATCTGCAACTTGATGTCGGTCTTGTTCTGGATGGTGATTTGGGTCCAATCTCCGTATCCCATGATGATGGTAAGGTCTACACGCAATGATTAGCTTGAGAGCTGAGGTTGAGGCGTGGAACATTGGTCGCGAACCTTAAGTTGTTTAAGAGAAGAGAAGAGCTGAGCTGTGTTGCGGATGAACGTTAGTGTTCGTCGTGAACTGGACAATTGAAAGACAGCTGCTTGCCTTTACACCTGTACGGCCAGGAGGGTCGTCTAGGTTGGAACAAGGAAGGTGATCGACCCTAGCCACAGAAGGCTCAGTGCCACACATCAGCGCCATTGTCGACGGCGATCGGACGGGCGGTATGATGGCGGAGAGGAACTTGCATGTGTCTTCATGTGGTTGTCCCTGCAGAGGATAACATTAGGCCTTCCTCGTATGAGGGTGCTTCCGCGATGAGAGACCCAGGCGTTCCAGGATAATGACATCGGAACTTATAACAGTTTCTAGCTAAGGGCGGAGAATACGACTCGCACTCTTGTTTCGAGTAGAGAATTTTCCTATACGGATTTATTGTTGAAGAAAGTTTGAAAGCGAGAACGACACAAACTGACCTGATCGACACCCATTTTGTTCTCCGGGACAAGCAGAATCCGAACTGAAGGCACTCCATTGAATTACCTCGTTTTGCTTGGAAAACCTGCGGCGCAGGAACTGTTTCTCGGGATGACAGTGAGGTTGCGGCGCATCGGGCACAGCACGAAACCATGGGGTTCAGCCCTAATCGGTGGAAGTCATCTTTGGGAGCCAGTCTGGACTAGGACGACAGTCTTCATTCTTCAAAGACAACAATTGCAGTAAATCCAAAGGCAGGCCTAAAGGTCGAACTTGAAAGAATTCCACTTGGCAGGAGCGACCACTGAAGAACGACGTAAAGTTACAAGGGTGAATTGCACCCAGAGAAGCTTTGCGCCTTCAATGAAGGACCCAAGATTTCTGTGAATTGAATGCGGTCGCTCGTCATTCAGCGCGTCTCTTCGTAGAATGAAATCCAAGAATGTTCGTGAAGGGAGAGCACCGACCCGACTCGTCGACAGGCTAAATCGAGATACGTCACCACGATCCCACAACGGCTGACGTTCTGGAATGTGAGTTGAGAAAGCGTCGGCAGAAAGAGACTCCGGAAGAGTACCTATTTTCTTTTGTACTAGTCGTACTTGGGGATGCTTAGAAATTTGAACATAACTTTAGGAAGACATGCACTCACACCAGGAAACCATGGTGCTTGTAGGCTTGAATTTGGACTAAAATGATGTTGGACTCGATGAAACGCGGTTAAATTTGAAGTCTGTTGTGTGAATGAGGCGAAATTATCTTATCTTATCAACCAGACTTGCTCGTGCTGGTGAAAGGTCGCCACTGCAAACCAAATAGTATGATATTAGAGAAAAGGAAGAAGGCCGTACGCGTAATGAGAAAGCCGTAGGTCTCTAGTTGAGCGGAATATCAACCGTATCCCCAACATCATCATCCCCAGATTCGTCTAGTGAAACGCGACTCAAATTCTTCTCCTTTTCCACGACCGGAGGTGCTGGAACCTCTATGCTCGTCGGGGTGACGACAGCAGGTGCCTGCCCCTGAGGCTTCGTTTCCTCGCTTTTCTTCTGCTCGGGATCAGACGCCGGACCTGCCTGCTTCGCGGCCTCTTCTTGTGACGCTGTCGCTGAGGCAGGTGCAGCAGCAGATGGGATAGTCGGCGACGCAGGCGGGAACCTGAAGTCCTTATTCATTGACCCAGGCTTGCTCTTCCGCTTCTCCTTTACGGGCGTCGGCGTTGTGCCTCGTTCGAGCTGCACGCTCTGTGTGTCCGGGTCGTCCTCCCTCTCCTCGAGTGTTGGGCCGAACGGCGGGTGCATTTTGCTCGGCTCCGGCTGGTTGACGAAGGTCGAGGCGGGAGGGGTGGCTGGGACGCGAGATGGAGGTGGCATGGATGCGCGATAGGATGAGGGCGTGCCTTTACCGCTCTGGTTTGGGGGAGGGCTGGCCGGAGAGTAGGGCAAAGAGGCTTGGGACATGGATTGAGGACGGGCACTGAATGTGGCCGTTGACGGGGTGTTCGCGCCTAGGTAATATGCGGCAATAGGAACCATTCTGGAATTCGAGTAAGTCGGAAATCTTTATTCGATAAATTGCTTCGCACCTCTTCTCAGCATGACAAGCCAATATCCAGTAAGGTTGCACGACGGGTATGCTCAGCTGCAACGCCCTCTGGTACGCAGCACCTGGTGCTCCACTCATATTCCCTGCCGGACTTGCTCCAGAGGGAGTCGCCGCTGGCGTTGTACACACAAAGTGAGACGTGTCAATCTGGATCTTGTCACTCCATTTCGCACCCATCTCCCTCAGAGCGAGTTTCGCGTTTTCTAGCAACACAGGGTCCTGAACGTTGCCGAAGCAGACGGAGATACCAGAAGTGTCGGACATGGTGTGTGTTCGGACGCGTAAAACGTTGGATGGGTACGTGCCCGCCGTGGTGCGTAGGATGAGCTGGAATGAGTATTCGGTGTTGATATCCATGCCTGAGTGTTTTGTCGTCGTGTTGGTCAAGGGTGATGGAACGGAGGATAGACGCTGGCCATTCCTGTAGATGTCGAGAGACCGAAGCTTTGCCGTTGCGAGTTTGATAGGTGGCCATTCAAGAGTAACGGAGGTTTGTGTAATATTCCGAACCTGCACAACGGAGGTCAACTCAATCCGCATTAGGTCTCTCTAGAAGAAACGCACTGAGAGCTTCGGTGGTTCCGGTGAGTCCTGCCCGTATTCCTTCAAGATATCGTCCTGCAACGACCAAAATTCCGACTCCCGTTTCTGCTCTTCCGCGTGGTTCTGATGGACAGCAATGTTTACGATTGAACCAGTCGTTGCCCCAGGTGGAAGAAGAATCGAAGGAAATTCTATGAGATGAGCCCTCTCTCCCAGCAAGATCTGGTAAAATGAACACCATTGAGTAACTAGAATCCGTCGAAGGTCGAACACGTACAGCCATTCCAGCATCTATGATGACATTGTTCAGTTTGCCACTTCTAGAGCTATCCTTGAGACGTACCGAGCTTTCCGACAGTGAATGTGAAGCTATCCGGTGATTTTGAGTCCATTTTGGATGGGTTGGGTATAAGCTGGGTATAAGAATAAGGTAAAGTAAGTGCTTGGCTCCCCAGAGGTGCCGTCCTAAGATGCGATTATGGTTCCCACGGTCCCTGGTACAGGCTGCTGCCGCACTGCAGCTTCCTTGAATCTTGACCTTATACCGCGACAGCTGCTATATCTTCTTGTGTTTCTTGGACTTCTTAGGAGGTGAACGGCGAAGAACCTCCTCAGAGCAGGTCCGCGAAGAGGACGTCACTTGGGCATGTCATGACGTCGCCAGCATCCCACACGGTTCCTGTACCGAATGGCAAGCACGATGAAGATCCGCCGCGTCTTACGGAGAGCCCAACGCAGGTAATGGAGTCGGATGATGAGGGCGAGAAGCCAAAACCACAGGAACACACGGAAGTCACCAGTGAGGAGGATGAATCAGACGAAGAGGAATCAGGCAGAGAAGAGTCGGACGGGGATTATGAGGAAGAGGACGAAGAAGAGGACGAGGAGCCGTCTTTGAAGTACGAACGGATAACAGGCTCTATTCCGGATCTGTTCAAGAAAGATTCAGCCTCTGCACTAGCAATATCCAACAGTCTCATGGTACGCAATTCACTGCTATTTTTCAGTGCCATATGTTAAAATACGCGCAGGCATTGGGCACCCATGCAGGCATCATCCATATTCTCGACTTGACAGGAAAACGGATCAAGTCTTACAAACCTCACATGGCCTCTGTGATTGATATTTCGTTGGACGCGACTGCAGATTTTGTCGCGACTGCCTCAATGGATGGTGGAGCGCTTTCTGCTGCCTCCTAGTCCCGTTTCTTATGCTTTCTTGCTCAGGACAGGTCGTCGTGCACTCTCTTTCTTCGCCCGAGACGTATTCATTCGACATGAAGCGGCCGATGCGGACGGTTGCAATGGAGCCTAATTTTGCGAAGAAGGGCACGCGTGCGTTCGTATGTGGGGGAATGTCTGGTGCTTTGGTCCTTCGAGAGAAGGGATGGTTGGGACACAAGGAGACGACGATACACTCTGGTGAAGGGCCCATCTACCAGGTCAGATGGCGAGGACGGCTTATTGCATGGGCGAACGATAATGTATGTCGTTATGTTATTTATAACCTTTTGGATGAAATTAACGTAACATCAGGGTGTCAAAATTTACGACCACGCCTCGCAGACGCGGATATCGTATATCGACCGACCGGCCGACAGTCCGCGAGCTGATCTGTTCAAATGCACTCTCCATTGGCAAGATGACTCAACCCTTCTCATCGGTTGGGCCGACATGATCAAAGTCGCTCGAATACGGGCACGCCCACGAACGAATCCCAGCGCAGGAGCCTCCAACCTTCCTCCATTCCTCGTCGAAGTTACCGCCGTCTTCAAACTTGACTGCATGGTCGCCGGTGTCGTGCCTCATCCGACACCACTAAATCCTGCAAGTTTGGCTGTCGACGGTCTTCCTGAGTCGCTGAAGCAGGATGGCGGCAAACGTTCTTCTACACTAACACTCACATCCTTCCTTATCGTCGCCTACACTCCACCAGAAGCCTTCGACGACACCGACGAGATGACGGACGACCGGGCGCGACAAGCGCGTAAAGCCGCTGAACGACCGGAAATGCGGATCATCTCACGAGCAGGCGAGGAGCTTGCCGCAGATGCTCTGAGTATAGCCAACTACCAGAACTGGGGGTGTAATGACTACACGGTTGTGGAAGCGACAAGCTTGGACGACCCACACGTACCTGAGGCAGCGAGGAGTTATGTCGTCATGAGCCCGAGGGATCTGGTGCGCGTCATGCCGAGGGATAGACGCGACCACGTTGACTGGTTAGTTGAGAGACGGCGATATGAAGAAGCGTTGGCTGATGCGGAGAAGATCGAGGCTGAGGAGAGTCTGTCTGGGGTCAAGCCAACAACTGGGGTGGATGAGAAAGGGCGAGTCCATTTGACGGCCCAGGATATTGGACAGAAATATATCGAACATCTAGTTCATGAAGGTCAGTAATCTGATTTTTTTCCCAAGAGGCATCGTTCATTCCATTCGTTTTCAGGCGACTTTGTGAAGGCGGCCAAACTATGCCCGAAGGTTTGTGGCCATGACGCGAAGCGTTGGGAGGACTGGATATTTGCCTTTGCGCAACGGAGAGAGCTCCAAGTGCGTCTTTTCCACATTTCACTTATTATAATCTTGCTTATTGTAGTCATGAAGGCTATCATACCCTACGTCCCTACCGAAAACCTTCGATTAGATCATGTCGTTTACGAGATGGTACTCGCTCATTTCTTAACACACGACCGGCAGGTACGTCGCTGGGGTTTCTCCTTTTGCTTTTCTGAGACCTAAGATTGTGCTTTACAGACTCTGTTAACGACCATCAGGGAATGGCCACGCGAAATTTACGACATCGCCGCTGTCATCGTTGCTGTACGAGCAGAGTTAGACAAGACAACATCTATCTCGTCTACGATATCCTCAAATGGAGGTACGTCCATCCTCATGGAATGTCTCGCTGAACTGTATGCGTCAACACTTTGTCTCTCTATGGGCTTGGATTAATTTTGTCGCGTATAGATACACAGCAAACCGGCAACCAGGCAAAGCGCTTCCTTTCTACCTCCGCCTGCGACGGCCCAATGTGTTTGACCTCATTCGAGAAAACAACCTGTTTACCGATGTGCAAGACCAAGTTTTGTTACTGGTTGAGTTCGACCACGAACTGATGGAGAAGGCAAAGAAAGAGGGCAAGGTAGAGGAGCCAGAGAGTGAAGCTATCAAACTTTTGGTTGATAACATACACTCCATTCCGGTAAGAAACGTCTGCTTGGCTTATTTGGACACTTTTTGAGCATCTACTTAGATTACGCGAGTTGTCCAGCAATTGCAACAGCGGCCTTACTATCTCTTCCTGTATCTCGATGCCCTCGTCCATAAAGATTCTCAGCTCGTCTCTGGTTTCGCTGACCTCCAGGTAGATCTTCGAAACCTCGCATATGCGCATTTTCTTCAACTTAACTGCCTCTTTTTTCTCAAAAGGTCAAAATGTATGCAGAGTTCGCCACACTCCGACTTATCGACTTCCTGCGCGCCAGCAGCTCCTACAACCTGGAAATGGCGTACCAAGTCTGTCAAGAACGCGATCTCGTGCCCGAGATGGTCTTCCTCCTTGGGCGGATGGGCAACAACAAGAAGGCGCTGATGCTCATCATCGAGCGGCTGGGCGACGTCCATCGGGCTATCGACTTTGCGAAGGAGCAGAGCGACGATGATTTGTGGGAGGATTTGCTGAAGTATTCGGAGACGCGACCAGGTGCGTGGATATCGTTACCGAGTTGGTACTGATGCTGATGCTGATTTTTTTCTGCGCTTTCCAGCATTCATCAAGGTCCTGCTTGAGAACGTCGGCGTCGAAATCAGTCCTATCCGCCTCATCCGAAGGATCAAGAACGGTTTGGAGATTCCAGGGCTGAAGGAGGCGTTGATCAAGATTCTGCAAGACTTCCATCTACAAATCTCTCTCCTTGAGGGATGTCAGACGATCTTGAACGGAGACAGCTCCGACCTATCGAGGAAGCTGCAGCACAACCAATCGGCAGGGTTCTTCCTCTCTTGTAAGCCTCCTTAGTTTCCTGTAATGAATTTAATTTTGATGATGTGCTGGGTTTTGTGTAGCTAGAACACCCTGCACCGTCTGTTCGAAATCCCTGCAAGACACGCCTCAAACCCTGACGCTGCTCTTCCTCTGTCGGCACGTCGTGCATGCCACATGTGTGAGTGGAGGCGAGTACCTGCCCCTTCCAGTCGACCCGATATTGCGAACACTCGAGGGTGGAGCGTCAAGAGGTATCAGTGGGAGCATTGCTTTGTGAGTTGGCTTGGACTCTCCTGCACAGGGTTTAGAGCTGACCCGTGTCGCGGTTTGAAGCGAATCGATGATTAAGGCGAAGCTTAACCAAGGTTGCCCAGTCTGTCATAAGAACGCACAAGGCCAACGGACGTCGTAATAGTCTTCGTGTGTCTTCGACTTTTTTTCCTGACCTCCTTCGAGAGATACTTTCATCGCTGGATAACGTCTACCGTTTTACATACCAGTGTCTCTTCCGTTCTTCTGCATCTTCCGGAGCTGTACCATATTATATCCATATGCCAACGATCTAGGAATCCTTTCTTTAGAATTGGCTATTAATTTTTTCTTGTCACGTATACGCATTCATTCGCTTTCTTCATGCAGTTCGATTTATGGCACCAGAGTTGGATGAGATTTTCGGAAATGAATGGCACGAAAACAGGAAAAGAATGGTGATACAAAAGCCAGAAGAAAACAAGATAAATGTTCAAACGTTCAGCAGAGATACTGTACGATTCGCTATGACCATCCGCGAGCAGCTCCTCGTCCCCCACCGTGTCCTCGTTCCTTCTCGATGACGAACATCGCGTCTCGCATCGTGACAACTGTCCTCGAATCCTCATCCGTTGGTGTGTCCTTGCTCGTTGTCGTTGCCGGCTTCTTGGTAGACACATAAGGCCGAGCCCATGAGCTCGCACCTCCTGCAGGTGTGCCGGTGGCAGTGGCAGCAGGAGACGAGGCAGCAGCAGGGGTCGGCGCTGCAGCCGCAGCTGCAGGCTTGGGTTTTGGGGGAGGGGTTGAGGCAGCGTTTGCTGCTGTCATCCAGGAATATTTGCCGCCCAGTCCAGCGGCCTGTGTCGCGACGGCATTGGACATCTTCTTCCGCACGTCTTCAGACATGTTTCGTGCAGTCACACCAGGGCCTTCCTTCTTTCTCTTCTTCTTGACGTTGCCCTCGCTTTCCTCCATAGCTGTATCTGCCATGCCTTGCGCACCGGCCATTCCGTTGGCCTGCGCTGCGAGGGCAGCAGCATGAGCAGCCGTCAGCTCCGCCCGTTCCTTCCTCTCCTTCCGCATCCTCATCTCCTCCTCCCTTTCCACCTTCTCGAGCGCCACCAACTGCTTCGCAACGTCGCTCCTAACCACAATGCTCCACATGGGTGAGCCATCCTCATACAGCGAAGCCGGCCTATCAAATTGGGTATCGTTGCGGTGGTGTGCCGCGGCGATCATAGCGGTAATGAGGTCCTGCAGGCGCGCGCGAAGAGACAGAGCGAGGTAGTTGACCGACTCTTCCGGGATACGGGTCACTTTGTGCGAGGTGCCAATGTTGCGCATGGTAGTGCCCAGAATGCGTGTGTCAAAGGCGGGTTTTGGGGGTTGTTTGCGCGTCCGGTCTTCGTAGGCCCTGTAGGGCTGGTGCGAGTCGTGTGTACGTTGTAGGGACTCTTCCTCTGCCTGTTTTGCGTTAGTTCTAAGTAAGAAGAGTAGGAGCATTGTACATACCCGTAGATCAACGCCTGCACTTCCAAGGGCATCGTTGAGAGTGGCAATATCCGCAGTATCCATCGTGCTGCTGGCCCCACCCGCAGTAGTGGTCGTTGTCGTATTTGCGGTGGTCGTCCCAAGACTATACGTACTTGTTTGATACTGCTGCGTCGTTGTCGTCGCTTGTGGTCTTGGTGTAGTAGTTTGGGTTGCTGTTGCCGATGCTGTGGCCACCTGTGGGGCGTAGGCTTGATAATGGGTGGCATATGCAGCCTGGGGGTAATGCGAAGTATATGGATAGTATTGCGACGGCCTAGACAAAGAACGCAGTTTCAACAAAGGCACGCCGTCTCAAAGAAGACGAGTGGTTTACGTGGCTGGTTGTGGTTGCAGCGCTGCTCTTTGTGAGCTTCGAGCACGGGCCAAATGTGAAGGACGTACGCGTTGTCCATTGCGTCGCGTAGGGCTGCTGCGTCGGTGCTGGCGTTGATGGTTGGCTGGGTGCGGCTGGGGTACTTGGCTCCTCCGTTTTCATCTTCACTAGTCGTGTGTGAGAGGGTTTCTTCGCCGCGCCTCGTTTCGTTCAAGATTTCAACTTCCAGTCCTTGAAGATTGAAGTTCTAAGGCGGTCAAGACCGAGAGTCAAGTTTGACGCAAAGTAGCTTCTAGAGTGCAAGCAGATTGTCCTGGAGCGCTGTGGAAAGGAAGTGATACAAGTACTGAAAGGAGAGGAGCGTGGTATAGTCGTTGAGGTGATATTTGATTACGTAATCTCAATCGCTGACCTTCGACTCGACTTGAACCTGACTTGAACCTACACCATCTTTGCTCGTTTCCCTGCTTCAGACTATGTCCGATAAACCTGTGGGCATTTCATTTAACCTGAACCAATAAGTACTGACTCTACCAAATAGCCGGTCTGTTCATTCTTTACGCGGGCTGGGGGATGCAGATACGGCAAGAACTGTCGCAACCTACATCCAGGGGAACCCACAGCGGGATCGGGATTCAATAGTAGTGCGTATACCTTGCTCGTTTTAACCTGGGGGTGCTTATATCTATGCAGATAATAATGCCTGGAATCGCCAAACGACAGCAGCTTCCAACGACTCAAAGGCTTCAGGTGTAATACCGTATACGTGAGTACACCTAGGCCTCATAAGATCCCAGGGGCTATTTCTGGCCATCTCCTTGATTGCTTGAAACACTTTAAGTCGTTTTTCCGTGACCTTGGGACGCGATGGATGTCGGGTGTGGAGGAACACAATGTGGCGGAACCTGGGATGTGGCGAATGTTGGGAATGAGGGTCTGTTCTGAAGATTATCGGGCTGTTTGCTGCGCTCTTATGATTTGGATCTGCTTGGATATGACACTCAAACGGGACGTTGCAGAGAGACCTCTATATCCAATGATCTCGATCCAAAGAACGAGAAACCTTCCTGGCCACTCTCATCCTATGGACCTGCAAAATTCGAGCCTCAGTTGATCAAAGGCTTTGACGAATCACCTGAAGAGCTGCGATGGAAGGCTGTCACAGCGCAGCAGACTGGCAATATTAACCAATACGTGAGTGAAGCAGTTCCTCCTAGGAATGCGTTTTAACGATTTGTTCAGCTGCAATATGAAACCAACAGGATAGCAGAGGCGAATCGAACGTATGAAGTGCGTGCCTTCTGACCTTTTTCGTCAGCATTCATGAGCACGATTTTAGGATGTCAGAAATAACGTCGCAAAAGCCTACGCGGAAGCGTCAAAGAACTCTGCAATACCAGCAGGCGCCTCAGAGCCAAAGTCTGTCTTTGGCTCGGGCTCAGCCTTCCCTTTATCTTCATCGGCCTTCGGAAACACCTCTACAACAGTGCCATCCGCCTTTGGGAAGACAACGACACCGTCTGTCTTTGGCGGTAATACCACACCCTCTGCCTTCGGCAACACCAGCGCTCCGTCCGCCTTTGGTAACACCAGCACTCCTTCTGCCTTCGGTAGCACTACCACACCGTCCGCCTTCGGCAACACTTCAACACCTTCAGCATTTGGCACTCCCGCTAACACAACTACAACCTCTGCCTTCGGCAAACCCGCGTTCGGTGCCCCATCTGCATTTGGCCAACCAGCCTTTGGGCAGCCAGCGTTCGGGAAGCCGGCGTTTGGACAGGCCGCTACGCCTGCTGCATCGACGAGCACCACGACAAGTGTATTTGGGCAACCTGCGAACACCACAGCACCAACATCCGTTTTCGGCCAACCCGCATCGACTACAACAGCACCGACGACCTCCGTGTTCGGACAACCAGGGATGAGTACAACAGCACCTACGACCTCCGCATTCGGCCAACCTGCCTTTGGTCAACCGTCAGCCTTCGGACAGGCCCCCAACAATCAGGCGGGATCGTCATTCATCAAGCCCGCGTCTGGAGCCTTCAGTGCATTCAGCGGGACTGGGGCGTCACCCTTCGGCAGCACCGCGACTCCCAGCACGAACACAACCACCACTCCGGCGACTGGAAACGCGTTTTCCGCCTTCGCAGGGCAGCCGTCGGCGTTTGGCCTTGGGGCAGCAGCTGGGTCTGGCACGAATACTACACAAACAGGTGGTTCGGTATTTGGGCAGCCGGCGTTTGGACAACCGGTAGGGAACCCGCTGAACCCACCAGCACCAGCAGGTGGTTCAACATCCGTCTTTGGCGCACCCGCTCAAGGTGGGACTACGTCGGTGTTTGGTGCTCCTGCTGGAACCACGACAACGTCGGCCTTCGGGCAGCCATCGGCTTTCGGCCAGCAGCAGCAACCGCAACAACCCAGTTCAGTTTTCGGTGCACCTGCTGCAGGCGGCGGTTCGGTGTTTGGAACACCAGCAGGTAGCTCAACCTCGGTATTTGGCAACACGACGACGAACCCAACCAACCCCTCCGGTTCTGTCTTTGGCCAGAGTGCTTTCTCCAACCAGCAGAAACCCTCCTCTGTCTTCGGCGGAGCGACAACACAGCCAGCCACGCAGCCGACCTCAGTCTTCGGCGGAGGGACGTTCGGCCAACCGTCCTCCTCTCAGCAACAACCCCAGCCCGGGCTCTCAGCATTCGCGCCTACAGCACCTTCGATATCCATGCAGTCTACCTCTGGCTCCGGCTCGAACACGAACTCTAAATCCAGTACGAGCGCCCCGTTAGACTTCAGCAAGATCAAGGCGAGCTACAAGCCGGGCTCGACGCCGTATGACTCGACGCTGCCCCCCAACTACTCAGAGCTGCTGCCCAAGGCGATGGTGGAGGCGTTCAAGGCGGCCAAGTTCGAGTGGGGGAAGGTGCCGGAGTGGGTGCCGCCGTTGGATGTGCGGTAGGGGAGCCTGTTGGGAGGTGAAATTGGGACAGGGTTGTATTCTTACTTTCCTGCAGTACGTACATACTACACAGTTACTACTCAGTACAGTGCAAGTGCGCATATAGGTCACGTGACTAAAACTATATGCCAGATGCCAATGGTTGTCAATTTTGGATGCTTCATCAAGCTACATGACCCTACGAACGAGGAACAAGGGGTTTGATCGACGTCGGTGTTCCTGGTATGCTCACTACCGTGTCTTAAGAATTTGCCTTTCGTCCTGAGATCCGCTTGGGCATTCACAATTTCATATTTCACAACAACCAGCATGTACCAGATACGTACCAGAGCATCGGAGTCAAATTTCCACCGCACTTATTTCCCCTGACCCTGCCCGATGGCACTATAGAATAGGTATGGGGATTGTTCTATAGCTCGAAAAGACCCTTTTGACGTTGTTCGCAGCAAGTCAAGTCAGGTGTCAGGTACGTCCAATAAAACGCGCATCCATCCGAGTTTTCCGCTTTGTATTCCCTACCCTGTTTGGTGACTTATAAAAGCTCAACCGCGACCACCCTGCTCTTGCCATCCTCAAGGATAATTCCCATCATGTCTGCTATCGAAGGCGTCTCCTTTTTCAACAAACTTTCATCGATACCTTTCTCTGACGACGAGCTGGCGGCCTTGAAGGTCGTCAGCGAGGAACGAACTGCATTACCTCTGGAACTTAGGGCCCTCCTTGATCCTAGTATCGAGCCGCCTGAGGCTGAGGAATGTAAAATAGAGGAGTCCGAGATCGATGGTTTGTATTTTTGTCAACCTCAGTGTGCTGCTGATTGTCCTTATACACACTTCTTCTAGACATTCGGGAAGCGATTCCAGATAATCTATTTGCCGGTATGCGGCGCGCTTACATCTTCTCATTTGGTTTTGCGCTTACGTTGGATCCAGCTTCGAAAGAGGTGGCCGACAACCAATTCAACAAAGCGGAAGATGGTGCGTGTAATACGGTCAGATCAAACAAAAAAGTGAGGATACTCAAACGTGCTGTAGATGACCCCATGGAGGTCGACGACATGACGCAGCGCATCTTCCTCACAGACGAAGGTCTCCGCATCTTCTCCTCAGGCAGCTTCGACGAAATCGAAGCACTCGAGCAACAAGCCCAGGAAGACTGGAAGCCCATCGCCGACACGGTCCAAAACGTCGGATTCGACTGCTTCATCAAAGTCGAGCACGAGGGCGAAGGCGACATGTACGTCGCCAACGTCCCTGAAGCCAAAGCGGGGTCGATGTGGATCAACGTACGACGCATCCCGTCGGACGTTCCGGATCTCGGATCGATGACGATCTCCTTCAACATGTACAGCGAGACGTCTGGCTTCTTGTCCGTGTCGCGTTCGACGTGGAAGAAGGTCGGACTGTGGTTGCTCCCGCATCTAGTGGCAGCCTTGGTGGGCTCGTTGACGGGCTACGCACTCAGACGCGGCGCTGCAGCCTTTGGGGTGCGTGTTTTTGAGAAGCTGGTGCGCAAGCTGGGAATCAGGTGGGCCTCGCGTGTGGGGGTGTTCGCGCGTGGGGTGGTTAAATTTGGTGGGGGTTTGCTCGCAGCAGCTGCAGTTGAGGCCGCGTTCTGGGTGGCTTGGAGAAAGTACGCGTTCACAATGTCCGTGTATGTGTTCGACACCCAACACAACTGGAAGGCGACGCATATCACCCTGGACAATGCGGAGTTCCCGGAGGGAAAGCATTGGGAACCCAAAGATCTTGGGCGGTGCAGAGCTCCTGGTTCGTGTTACATCGTTTCCATTTTTCATTTTGTATGAACTAAACTGCTCTTTTTTGTGCAGGGGCGATGCTCAAGGCAGCTGGTTTGCAGCCAAAGAAACAAATCCACGCCGGTCCCTCGATTCATTACTACAACTTTGGAAACAAGATTGAAGTTTTCCAGGGCGTGGGTGCCGGTTTACGTTTTGAACGCGATGACGGTACACATTGTAAGCGCCTTCCTTCAGAGCCCTTTCCCAGCTAGTTTTTCATGATTCATTTGCTGACTTACACCGCAGCCGCTGCAGCCAAGTTTATCCTCCCTCGCTTCAAAGACTGCGCTGTCAAAATTGCGCCCGACATCCCCCAAGATGGTCTGGATGCGTTCTACAGGAGCGATAACTGGGTCGTGGGCAAACCGAAAACACGTGAAACAGTCAACACCGCCGGCGGTACAGAGTTGACAGCCATGTGGAATGAGGTTAAGGACGAGGAAAAGTTGAACCCCTCGCTCCAGAAAGAGTACAAAGTGAAAGTGTTCCTTGGGAAGCCAACAGATTTCGGACTGGAGCATGATACGGACTGATGATGTTCTCTACTTTCAAACGATCCTCATGACTGTCAGATATTTGCTTTTTGAAGTGCATTACTGTGGTATTAATTTTAAAAAAAAATCAAATCAGTAGAATGATATTAAATCGTACGTCGATCGGGCTAGGTATGAATCACCTACTTCACATACTTTCATCAGGGTCCAAGGCTGCAACTTTTTTTTTTTTTTTTTAAGAATGTTCCAAGGCTGCATCTTTGACCAGATCTCTCCACAATTCCGATCGGGGCACAATAGCACATTGAAATGGCCTTTTATGACTTAAAAAAAGTGTCAGTAAGCGTGGAAATGTCTTACGGAGCATCTATCTGTACCAGACAATTCCATCATCAGCGAATTCGTCATCGAGCGGTATTTCATTTCCGAGTTCATCTCTCGCTCTCTCGATCTTGAATGCGGCCAAGACAGATACGATGGTCATCCACGTCTGCGGATATTAATTTAGATACTTCATCCGTAAGTATGTGAGGCATACTTACAGTTGAACTGGCCACGTGTTGACCAACGCAGACCCTGAGGGAGGACAAACTCTGGATCAGACAATTTAGGAAACTTGCGCCACCCTCATTCTCACCGTCGGCCGAATCCGTACGCCAAGACCCGTTCATCCCCGTTCAGTGTTCCGTTTTCATCAAGAAATCGCTTCGGCTGAAACTCGTGCGGGCTCTTATAGACCTCTGGATCGTGTGTCATTGCCCTGACGAAACGGGTTTAACAATCGCCGTCAGTACTTGTGTCACAACTCACCAAATATTTCCGAAAACCAGTGATCCTAAAACAAAGCTGACCTTGTGTAGTACTACACATCAATGAGATTTACCTACCTTTGGGTATGAAGTAGCCCTTGAAATAGTCATCTTCGGAGAGCAAGTGGCTGATTCCAAGACCATCAGGCGGTTGATAACGCAGCAACTCCCGATAGACAGCTTCGACGTACGGAAGCGCCGGTCGGTCCCGGAAGTCCGGGAGCCGGTTCTCGGCGCCAATCACACGGTCTATTTCTACTTGGGCTCTCTTCTGAACATCCGGATTGGCGGCCATCAGATAGAAGAAAGAGGCGGTCGCAGATATTGTCTGTAAGAAAATTCATGATGAACAGCATTTGTCACGACGCTCGTGAAAATTACCGTGTCTGCAGCACCTAAGAAAGAGGACGCCGATATCAATATTACATGAAAATAAGCTTAAACAATTGGCTCACCTCCATAGACGGTATATGCGATATTGTTTATTATCTTCTCGTCTTCCTCCGACGCCCCAGTTGTGATTTTGTTCTCCAGGAAATCATACACCAGTGATGGAGATGCATTTCCGGATGCCTTCCAAACAATCGTTCTAAATTAGATTCCATGAATAGCAGAATAAACAACAAAATTTTCTAACCATTCTTCGTTTCAAGTCTTCCATAGGGATGCGCTTCACTTCCCTCGTGAGACGTGCTACCTCTGCAGACTTACTCTGGGACGTTGCCCCGGGGAACCAAGAAGGCACATGACGAAGGAGAGGGAAGATGTTCATCATTGATCCGCTAGAGGACATCAGAGGACCACCAATATTGAAGCTCTTGGTAGCCGCAACGACGACAGGATCATCAAGAGAGCTTGCGTCGTAGCCGTACATCATGTCTAGTGGTATCGACACTGACAGACTAGAAGAAAGGAAAAAGATGCTTAAGACAAGAAAATCCACATGAATGGGACTCACAGCTTGTTGAGAATATCAAACTTTTCAGGAAAATGAAGGAGGCCGTGGAGGAGCACTTTCCGCACGCGATAAAGCTGGACTGGCTCGAACCTCTTTGATGCTTCACGCGTGAAGTATTGTTGCGCCACTCGTCGATGGCGTTGCCAAGCTGGTCCGTAATCAAGGAGGGCGAAGTTATGGTCCCAACCCATCCTATCTTCTTTCTCAATTCAAGCCACACGCAGGAGCATGGCAGGACTCACAGTTTCATAGGCGGCGCTTCCAGGCGACCAGAATAAATGTGAGCGCGTCTTTCCAGTAGCTCCTCCGCCAATGCGAGCTTGTTCAAGACGATGATATGCTGCCCGAAAGCTGAGAGATGTATGATATCGCCTGTACAACAATTACAGGATGATTTCGCTATCGAAGGATATACCGGAATGTTGAACCCACTTCGATATTTCTTCCCCATTTCAAGGTACTTTCTCGCTGCATGATCCTTGGGGATGTCGAAGAGGTTGTCAATGATCAACTTCGGTTGAGGCCCAGGAGGGTAACGCCCGTGTGGTTTCTGGAGGCAGGACCAACTTTTGACCAGGATAACAGAGCTGGCTATTGCCAGAAGAATAGAAAGACAATTCGCTCGCAATGCCTCGTCCATCAATGCGACAGTGAAGTCAACCAGATGAGTGATCATGATGATGGGAAACTTGATCCAGAAGCTCTTATCGAGCTTTTTGTAAGACGTCCGGAATGCGTTCCCGTATGGTTAGATGAGGTTACAAAACAGTCTGACGCTTGTGAACAGGGTGTTTGTTCCATCCAAAAGGTTATTTGACCTTTTGGAGGTAACGTGAACGATGACGGCACCGCGTCCAAAACTAAAAAAAAAAAGGTACCCTATCGTCTCCTGTGTTGAATTGTGGAGGTTTAAGGCTCGAAGTAAATTTATTTGTCCTACCGTCTCAAGAACGAGTCTGTGTGTGTAGGCAATTTATGCGCCATCACATTTGCGAGTTTCGAGCGCCAACTCTGTGATGCATGCCCAGCGAAGTACATTTGAAAACTTCTGCGTCCTCATCCTTAGTGTGAGTCTTGAGTCGATTGTTATAACTCAGATCCGGATCGCCGATACCCGCTCCGGCGCTTCTTGACAGCGGGAAGTCCGCTTTGGGTTGCCCGCCTCGCCACAGCGCAAAGGCAATGCAGGGACCCGGGAGACCAGCGCCACCCATGGCCGGCGAAGAAGGGCGTTGCGGGCCGGCATTGTGGGAAATGGCGAGCGTCTACTGCGACGTCGACAGCCCCTGGGCGCGCACCGTTACGGTTTGGTTTATATATTTTCGTTAACATGGTTGGCTTGTTGTCATAGCCAAAATAAGGTACACCAAATGAAAATCGTTCTCGTTTGCCAACGAAATATTTTGTTCTTTTGTGAACGAAGAGTTTTAACGAGCAATCCCATCGCCTCTGGGGGATTTTTAAAAATGATTATGCACACTACTCTCGCATATTTTACTGTCATAGAGTATGGATTTTCAAGTCCGGCGAGACAGTTTACCGCAGTGTCAATGGCTATGGAATCCTTTGCTATGTCGTCTTTTGTAAACAACACAAATTCTCAATGCGAAAAGGGATCAAATACGCGGTTGAATCTCTGCGAGATCGAGTGTGATAATTCTGCGGCTCACAGTAGGAAAGGATTTCGTGATATGTGAGATATTCTGACGCCGTTTCGATGCCTGGAAAAGGTTGGGTAAAGACGACAGTTTCGTGCTCGCACGGAGTCATAACTTTCATTGTTTTTTTTTCATTCACAGGCTATAATGGGCCACTTCTCGATTTTATGTCAAGTCTTATCTACCATACATATGTCTGGGAAATTGCATCCACGGCAAACCCAGGGACACCTACTAGAAGTTGCGACAACTCGAGGTGTTCCGCCGCAAACTATTTTTAGGCCAGTGCCTCCGGGCCGAGAATTTGAACCGCATATGCATTCAGCGCTCCGAGGGCTGGTCATCTCACCGTCTCGATAAATGGGCAAGTTCAACATTGGCTTACTTAACGGGCAGTGCCCTGGGTCCTTGCCTGATGCGCCTTTCTCGTTTTGGCAACGTTCGCGAACCACGACGTCCACGGTTGGAAAGGAAGGCGCGGGTATCGGCGATCCGAATCTGAGTTATAACAATCGACTACAAACTCCCTTAGTGTGGGGCATCGAAGCCTGTGTCTGGATTTAGTCTTCGATCTCGACAGTGACGATCCCTTCCTTCCTCCAACTTTCGAAGCGGGCCGCCTGCTTCTGTAGCTTTCCCCTCGCTTCATCCGCCAACCGATAGACGACGCGCTCTATGGGCCGCGGATGTACCGAAACGCCTTCTAGACCGAACTGTGCATGCTTTATCCGTGCGTCCATGAAATCGAGAACGTAACCACGGAGGATTTCGTCGGCTCGAAAGATCTGACCTTTCATTTCCAGCGTCCGCAGGTGAGGGAGCGGATAATGCCTGACCCCGCCGACCTTAACAGCACGTGAAATCTCGGATAAAAAATCTCGGACGCCTTCGAGATGACTTGAGCCTGGCACATCTTCTGCGCTCCAACAGCTATCGAACGAGCCGGAGACAACGAGCTCCTCCAGAACATTCAATAATTTAATGGAAGGCCCAAATTCGTAGCGCGCCATAGCCTTGGGGACCTGCAATTTCTGCAAGGTGTCCCCAATACTGTCGAGATAGCCAAACAGTTCCTGCCATATACCGTCATCGTCTTCACTTTCAAACTGCAGGACGAGCTCTTCGATGGCCGGAGTGCGAATTTTCAAGGGTATGAGCTGAGGCATCCACCTGGAGATGAGTTCCAAGCGCCTCAGCTTCGGAAGATGAACCAATGGTAGACTCGCAGCGGCTGGAGTAATTTCGCTGCTGGGATCGTACGTTCCAAGGACGCATGTTTCCAAATTCAAACACCCGCGCAGAATGGGGAGATACAGCGCCGGATCCGTCACGCCAGTGAACTTCAGATAGGTGAGCTGCGTCCACGGAACGACGTACATATCCACGTTAAAGGCCTGGCTACAGTCGAACGTGAAGCTCCTGAGAGAGATATACGGCTGGAGGTTGATGACACCTGTTGGCAAGTGGAGGTCCCAGTCAGCAGCGTTGTACACTTGTCGGGGCCAAGCATCCTCGAGAACATCCTTGCGAACGGAGCTTGTGAGGGACAAGGTATGAACTGTTGCTATAATTCCCGCATTCAACAACCCAGAAAACACGGGTTCGAAATCGCTCGTGTACGTCGCAGACAAGTCAATATTTTCCCATTTGCTGTTTCGGGTTACCTCGAGGATCCTCCGAATAAGCTTCTTCGACGAATGCGACAGATTTTGCGCTTCCACCTTTAGGGACATCAGGCAGCCGTTCGCGCGTTCGGTACAGGTCTCGGCGAACTCAATGATGGCAACCTCCTTTGCCTCATTATCGTAGCGATTCACTGAAATCCGGGTCCACAAGGAGGGAGAGCCGACGGCTGTTCCGCGCCAGAGGCGACAGACGTGGGATGGGTGGATGATGCCCTTGGAGTTGTCGTCATCCTCGAGGAGGTGGCGAAAGACCTCGAGAAGGATATCGGGAGGTAGGGTGGGAATGTGGACTTCTCGGAGACGACACAATAAATCTGCTCGTTGAGCAAGAAGAGCTGCATGCTGTGTTTGAAACAAATTATGCAGCCTCCTTCCCCAACCGATAAGTGACGCGCTCTAAGGGTGTCGGATTGAACAACTTGATCCGTTCCTCCACGAATCGGAGAAGGCTGGCGTGGATATAGTCATCGCAGTGGTAGGTCTGATCATTCAGTTCCAATGTACGCAATCGAGGGAGTATGCCCACTATTTGGTCCAGCACAGTTTGAACGCCGTGAGAATGGGCCAATCGTGGATCGTATATTTCGTCGCCAGCAAGCGAACCCGAGAAGTGAGCTCCTCCAGAACTTCGAACGACTTGATGAACTCAGAGACTCGGAACCGCCGCGCGACTGTCGTGGTATCACCAGCAAGTTGTACCTTCCGCAAGGTGGACCCGACGCTGTTGAGATAGTCCCTCAGTCTCCCCCGTTTACCGTAATAAATGTCAGAATGGTGGACCAGCTCTTCAATGACGGGAGTGCGGAGGTAGCAGCAAATAAGAGGAAGTGCGAGTAGCTCCAAGTGCTTGAGTTTGGGAAGATGGATAGGCGGAAGAGCAGCGAGAGATTGATGGTTTTCGTCGGTGTGGGGGCCGAGGACACATGCTTCCAAGTTGACACACTGTCCCAGAATTTGGAGATACTGCTCTGTATACAGGAAGGCTGCGAGCTTTAGATATGTTAGATGCGTCCACGGCACCGCGAAGATGTTGGGCACAATCTTCTCCCAGCTATCAAACGTGAAGCTCGTAAGAGCACAGTGCGCTTGAAGATCGATAGCGCCCGCCTCCAAGCACTCGTCACTGTCGTAGTTGATTGAGCTGGACTTGCGGAGTTTCAAGGAAAGGGTATGGACCGCGGCTATACTCTCAACACCCAACAACCCACCGAAAAGCGGCTCGAAGTCGGACGCGCACGGCGACGATATGCAGATGCTCTGCCATCTGCAGCCCTGTGTCACTTCTAGGATCTCCGCTATGAGAGCTCCCAAAGAAAACTTTGCGGAGGATTTCTCTGAATCATCGTCAGAGACATCAGGCAGCCGTTGGCTCGTTGGGCACATGCGGCAGCATACTCGACCGTCGTGCCATCCTTCCCTTCTTCAGACCCGCCAACCAGCATCCGGGTCCACAATAGGGGTGTGCCGACAGCAGTTTCGCGCCAGAGATGGCAGACGTGAGAGGGGTGTACGATGATTTTTGAGTCATTGTCCTCGACTAGGAGATGGTGAAAGACCTCGAGAAGGATGTCGGGAGGTAGGGAGGGAATGCTATAATATTAGGCTTGCGAATACGACGCAATAGCTCCTGTCTTTTTGGAAAGGAGGATCGCATGCTTGTTGTTTAACGAGAGCACAAGTTCCTCCAGTTTTTCGATCTCCTTATCGATTTTCTTGAGGGTAGTTGCAACCGATGGCCCGTCTTCGGCCATGAGACGGCTTTCGTGATATAACGACTGGTCTATGGGCTCTAGGAAGACAATCGGTTACGATTCTAGTGGAACCAGACAAAGAGCACGTACAGGTTGCATCACAGAAATGTGGTAGGCACGTTGTCAAACACAAGCTCACGACTTCAAGCTTCAACAGGAGCTTAAGTCCGCCGTCTTAGATAGTCCTGCGCAATTATCTACAGGGTAATGGTTTTTAGAGAAAGTATGCAGTTGAAAGGGTTCGTTGCCTTACCTGGATGGCGATTTCCGGCGACAAGTGCACCCTGTCAATGGGTTGGTTCAAGTTGATCAACCCTTTGCAGCAGAACTCCAATTTGCACAAATGCAGGGTATGTACTACTACATGCCAGAAGACGAACGAAGAGGTCAAATAGAAGCTCTAGAAATGCATCTGAAAGCTAAAGTACAGGTCGTGTGTATAAGTAAGCAGGTCTCCTCCTAACCGTCTATGCGTGAATGAAGTGTTACAAAAAGAAATAAAAAACATAAAAACAATCTCCGCCCATCAAGAACGATAAGTCATAGCAAGTCGAATGCGAGGTATTGGGAGTAGGATGTTGAGTTCAACTGTGAGATACGAGTCTCACCGAGGGCTGGGGAAAGTCCCTGTCCTGGTCATCCGAGGTGTCGTCGTCGTCCACCTGGTTCCTGAGAGGAGACGACACTCTCGTCCGCGAGTTGTACGAGGCCGACGTCGGGCGCGAGTCGTCCCTCGTCTCAGGGATCGTCGACAAGTGCACCTTCGGTCTCGGTGGACGATGACGGCGCGAAGAGCTGGTCGAGCTGCTGCTACTGCTACTGCTGCTCGGTGCGAGGAAGGGGTTCTCGATCGGACGCGTGCGGACGTACTTCGGTCTCGCAGGCGGTACGCTGGACATCTCGGGCGGGGGACCGTCGGTGCGCGGCTGGTAAAACTCTTCCTCTGCTGCAAGTCTTCGGCGGCGCTTCCAGTACCAGTACGCCGCCCATGCGACGAGGAGTGCGAAGGTCGTGCAGACGATGCCTAGGGCGATGGACAGACCTCGCCTGGCCCCTGGAGAGGTCGAAGATGCCGCAGCGGGTGTTTGGGTGCTGGATGGGATGGGTAAAAGGGATGTGGTGGTGGTGGGTGCTGCGGATTCGGAGGTCGTCGTGACATCATCAGGGTCTGGCACGGTGTACCTGCACGAAATTCAGCGGATATTTTCGTCAACAAGAAAGCACATACACGAGGCCGTCGACGACGGCATGTTGCTGGCCGAGCGCGACAGACACGACGAGCGTGTGCTCCTTGTTGTCCAAGCCCGTCGCATCCCACACAACGTCCGACGCGACCGTCTCCGGCCCATCGACGACGAACGGGGTCTGGGTGTAGTCCGTCAGATCAACGAACACGGGAGATTGGCCATCGATGGAGATGGCCGTGTTCACTTGAAATGGCCACAGAGGCGAATAGAAATAGATAGCGACCCCTGCTGCGCTATCAGCGTCGTTGAACCGAATCGACCTCGTCGTCGCTACACACCTGTGAAGTTGAACGTGGCCGTTGCATTCGGGTTGGAGGTCACCCTGTGCTGGCCGCCAAAGTTCAAGGGGTCGAACGGAGTCTCCTTCCAGCTGAACGCAGGATGATAAGTAATAGATGGGCTATTGTCGTCGACGGTGATGTTGGTCGCGGCCGCCACGATGCGGAAGAGATAGGCGACGAATAGCGTCGGCAGCAGCATTCTCGTGCCACAACTGCTGCTCTAGACGCAATTCATGCCCTGTGGTCGTCGTTCAACGTGAAAAGAGTTGTGCAGCGGTCGTTGTTCTTGGGAACTTTGTGCCTGGGCTCTGTTTGGCTTCGCCCAGCAATCAGCATCGCGTGCTTCTTTTCCACCCGCTACGACCACCGATAACGCCATAGTCCGAGGAAAGCAACCCAGGACTCAATACTTTGCAAGAAAACGGGATATGGAACGGGAGAAAGGCAGAAGTTTGTCAACGATTAGAGGTGGAGGATGCCTGGTGAGTTTTCGTCGTTTACTTGAGACGTTGAAGCTGACTGAGACATTCGAAATATAGATATTACTTTGACTGAGAGCTAGGTGTGAGGCGATCTTGGACAAGGACCTCAAGATTTCCTCGCTCGACACAGGGCAAGTGAATCTCTGGCAATACGATGATCTCGACCTAGGAATACCTTCGCATCCTAGGGACAAGTATCGGACGTCAGATGTGTCGCCTGTGCTGTGTCGTACGTGGATTCCTTGTCGTGCTTGTATCGAACTGAGACATCCACCTTCTATACAGCCGCGCATATATTCACATCTTTCAAGCTTCATGGTCCAGAAATTCGGTGCTGCTGATCCGACACGCTAATTCTCAAAGGCTCATCTTTCGCGTCCATGAGTGAATCTACGAGCAGAGCAACGGCGCCTTGTTCTGAAATGCGCACCAAGAGACGGAATACCCCGGCATACGGTGATTGCGATCTTTACCGGTTCTCAGTATCCATATTCCAGAAGAGCGAGACGATTCTGTGACGCCGTCTCCCTTTCGAGATGTTTGCCTACGAGAGGCCATACAACAAGCATCTCGAGGTCGAGGTTGTTGGGTAGGGCTGGATATTTTCCTTTCCAACCACTGGGACAAAACGCTTCAATGGTTGGCAATTTTTTCTCGAAGATCACATCGCCCCCTGCACTTTGATTTCTCTCGCAGAGCTCTAGTGGTCATCCTTGGGAGGCAGAATCGAAGCAGGCGACGCCTGGATAGGCATGAAAGCCATCCAGGTGCTACTGATTGCTTCATGGGAGGTAGAAATCGTGTGTAAACTATGTAGCAGAAATTCATATCTTAAGATTCTTTCAATGTGAGCAGGACGCGTCGCGTCGTTGTGGCTGTGCATACACTCTTTGTTCCTGACTTCCTCCAGCCTCCGAGTCCTCGACACCCCTCGAGCGCGTTATGTGATTATCTTGTTTTCAAAGGTCCTCTCATGAATCGGGATGACGTCCTCATGAAGGCGACAATTGCGCCACAGGAATAACAATGCCAGTGATCCGTTGACAGGGCAGATGAACGAGGTCGTCATGACCGGACAAACAACCTGGCCCATGAAGATGGTAAATCCTTGTTTTTTCTTTTGTTTTCGCCTTGCACTGTACATTGACGAGGGTTGCCAGCTTTTTCGATGCACAGGGGACCTCTTACAAGTTTCATTCCAAGTACAATAATGTTCGAGTCGGCCGACCAACAGTTACAGAATTCCAAATATACGGCCACAGAAGCACGTTTACAACGAGGCGTTTTACGTTCTCGCAGCAGGGTAGTGCTTCATAGGCTCGAGCACAGCCAGAAACAGAACGTGTCTGCCGTCATCTCTTTTCTCAAGCACAAGTTCTTGCCTCGTGTTGCAAGACCCGCGATCAATCTTCGGACTGATACCTGTTGTCTAATCTCCTTGAGGTGAGAGGATTCATTTCATCAGGCGGAATGTCGGTTCCAGAGACTCATTGTCGTTCGAATAGGCTACGCGGACGCGTGGAGAGAGGCCCGAACGTCCAAGGAAAATGGGGACACAACGTGTTTGCCTTGTTTTGTGATCTACGCGCGATTATCACGACCCTCCCACACGCAATCTTGCATCGGCACCACCGCTCCGCGCCTCGACGCAACCTCCTGGCATCTCATTGATAATGCCCTCTCGCCTGCCCGCCATCTCCTCGCATCTTCTCCCCACCCCACCGCTTCTACCCAACGGCTAGGACAAGACACACGGCCAGCCACATCCTACCCACAACTTTATCTATCTATTCCACCCTCCTCCCTCGTAGACGACCATGAGCAGCCCTTCTCCCAAACCTGGCAGGTGGTCTTCCCGCATGGGCGGCGCCCTCCGCCGAACCTCGACTCTCCTTAGCATCGCGAGACCTGGTACGCCTTCTAGAGAGAATGGGTCTGACAAAGACAGCGACACTGCGTCTCTGAGGCGCAGCACGTCCCGCTCTAGTCTCTCTGGCCCGTCAACCCTTGCTCCTCCAGCTCCAGCTCCTCAAGTGAGTGCTCCAAGTCCCATCGCGGAGAGTCCTGCTCGCGAGGAGTTAGCCGTCCAACAAGACATTGTCGGCCCATCGCCTCTTGCCAAGCAGACCACTGCGGAGCCCGAGTCTATCGAAGCTGCCGTTACAGCCTCTCCCGAACCTGCTCCGGTCCCTGCTCGTGCAGAAACTGTTGAAGACATAGCGAGTCCGGTTGGCTACATCCCACCTCCGGTCATCGACTCCTCTGCCGGAAACCCAGGAGCTTTTACTGACGAGCCTGAGGATCTTCCTCAACCCGAAGTCGCTGTTGACCCGTTCGCTGCATCTAACACCGGCCCACCTGTTCCACCTGTCGAGGAGGCGAAATCAGAAGTCGCGCCTCAACCAGCCATCGAAGAACCGGCTGTCCAGCCACAAGTCATCACGGCTCCAGCGCTCGAGCAAACCCCGTCCTATTTCGACAAACCCATGGCAGAGAGCATGAAGTCGGCCGAATCGCTCGTTCCAGCCTCTAGAGCAGAGTTTGCGGAGGCCGTTGAACAGAACACCGCAATCGAGGCAGCGGCACCTAAAGCAGAGGTGCAGCAGCCCACTTTACCGTCAGCACCAGCAGCTCAAGCTCAAGAACCCGACTACGAACACGGCGAGGCGGCATCTTACTACCGCGGCGACCCATCAATGCCCATTGCGGAGCCGCATCGTGTTACTGAGCCTGAGCACGAGGCGGAGCAGCAGCCAGCAGAGCCCGAAGTCGTCCAGCAACCCATACATGCGCCCGTGCCTCAGCTCAGCACCACCGTTATGCCCAGCTACGACCTCCCTGAGTACTCACATCAAGAGATCTGGGGTGGCGCCTCGCATGGACAAGCTCCGAAGCCACACGATGTCTGGTCTGCTCCGTCGCAAGATCCTGCTCAGTCAGCGTACCATGGCCCGTTGCCTGTCCCAATTCCGATTCCTGTCCCAGCTGGAGGAGCGAGCGGAGCTGGTAACGGGCACGCCAGCTATCATGGCGAGTCGTCGATTAGGTTCGTCAAACAATTTCTACTTATGATTCTGAAAAGCTGATATAAATTTGATTAGGATGCCGAATCCACACCCCGAACCTGCATACAGCGACCCCTTTGCGGATCCTGTCGCTCCAATCATCGCTATAACGCACTCTGACGCGCCGCATATGCCTCAGTATGTGTTCTTTCCATGTCCGAACCCCGAGTGAAAGCTGACTGATTTTGAACTTGTAGTCCTGAAGTTTCTCGGCGACACCAGCAGGGGCCTACGGAGACGCCCAACGATGCTCAAGGTATCATCACCATGCCTCTGCCACCAATGAATGAAGTCGTACACAAGGAGTATGTTTAGACCTATTCATACCTTTGGTAATCTTACCTTTTTTTTTTTATTCAAGGCCTGTTCATCGCGTCCCATCACATTCAAGCCTTGGAGGCAGCCGTATCAATTTGGAGACTGAGTACGTCGACGTACCCTTTTTTATCGTTCTTCCAGCTCATTGCTTCGTCTTCAGCGAGACTCTGCCTCTCCTTTCCCGTCCAGCAGGAAAGAGCAACTATCTCAACACCTCCACCCACGGACACAAGCATGGCGCCTCCTCCACCCACCACGTCACAATCTCGCCTCTAGCTCCCTCTCCTTCATGGACACCACATGGAATCAGCCACCCTCGTCTGCACGAGCTCGGATGGCTCGAGTACCACCTCCCAGATGGAACTGTTTACTACGTCCATCCTACACGACGCATCACGACCGACATCAACCTCCGCTCCGAGAGGCTCCTGGATGCCGTCTCCTCATGGCTCGATGAGCGTCGTGACGAGAGCCCCAACATCGGAGTCGAGTGTTGGCTGAAGGAGGTTAAGGATCCGAAGAAAGGGTCCAAGGGCGGTTGGGGCAGAAAGTCTGGGAAAGACGAAGCGCCGGTGGTGTTGGAGAGGTATCTCGTCGACCATCATGTGCGGACGGTGGTCAAGGATGACGAAGAGGAGAGGAGCTTGGTCGGCTTCGGCAGGAACCATGCTTACAGCAATGGCCACGGCGGACATGGGAAGGGCAAGAAGCAGGCTGTCCCGAAGGTCGAAGAAGATCGTGCGTGGCTCGGGGCTTTCTTGTTTCTTCACTTGCTAATTCTGACGTTGCAGAACTCGACTTGGAGTACCGTTATTGGTCGTTCATGGAGGCGCATCCGGCTCATACTACTCTGCCTCACAAGGCGCGAACTGAAGCAGTAGATGTCTTGAATTGGGCTTGGACCGATCGACTTCTGCCCTCTCATCGCGCCATCCCTGCTCCTTTCTCCCAGGAAGAGTGCCAGGAATTGATCAACATCCTCCGTTCCTTCAACAGTGGTAAGCATTTGTCTCAAAGTCGCGTGCGATAGCGAACCTCAATCGGACCACTTTTCAGATAGCCAACAAGACGACAACGGCATTCAAACTCGTGTTGTTGCCAGGATTCTCTTGCGAGTTGGTAAGTAACTCGAACCCTCATCTGAGCCTTTCTGAGCAGTATTCTTCGTGATGCAGCCCAGTGGCGTCAAACCTATTTCCGTCCCAACAAGCCTTTGCCCAAAGATGTTGGCACGCCTATCGGTGCATTGCCAGTTCAACGTCGACCATTCCGCAGGGCCGTCTTCGACTTGCTGATCTCCTGCCTGTGCCTCGGCATTCCATACCTCTTCATCGAACGGGCCCGTGTCGCCCTCCGCGGAGCTGACCATGAATCTGGTCTTCGACATTCAAGTCCAATGCTCATCATCGGCGCATGCACCTGCCTTGTGGTGAGTTTATTTCTTCGCCTCCGTACCGCCTACCGACCTAGCTTTTGTTGGGAAGGCTGCGATTGTCTTGAGCGCATCTGTAACCTTCCTCTCTTTGCCAGGCCTGGACAGTGTCGCGCGCACTTCAGGGATGGTGGCCGTCCTCTTCGCTGCAGGTGCCATTGCCGCCACTGGCGTGGCTGTCCTCCGGCATAAGGCGGATCTGGAACGTCCAGTATCGCGTGTAGGCGTCGAAGGGATCATGATTGTCACAGTACGTTTTTTCGTTCTTTCCTGCTGAAATGGCTTGTCTAACGCGGCACGCTGAATCTCAGAGACGAACGATGGCACTATCGTTGCCCACTGTTTTCCTTGCCTATTCTCTCATTGCATTTGTAACAGGCCTTGTACTTTACGTGTATCGCGGCGTCTCTTTTACCGACCCATCGTTGCCTCGCAACTCCTTCGAGGATTATACCAGATGGACTGTGGTCGGCATCGTGGGTGTCCTCGCAGGCATGCTGACAACCACAATGCTTTTGTTCCAGGGATAAGGCATTTATTCCTTCATCTCCTGCTTCGTTGACCACGCTCCTCTATGACCACTTTTTCTATTTATTACGAATCATGAATTCCACACGCACGACTTGCTAGACATGACCCCGTCTCTCTTTAAGACATTTTGTATATGTACATACCTCTTCGCAATTCGCATTGACAGCGCCTTCGCCCTTCAGCTTCAGTCGTCATGTTCGCAATTTACGATATGGAGCGGCGTAAAGATGATTTCATTATTTTAACAGAAGAAAAACGTGAAACTATCGTGATACAGTGCATATCTACAAACTCATGATTTCTCGCTGTTTGAGGGTTGCTCGGTTTGCTCGTCGGCGAAACCTTTACGGTCTCCTTTGCCGATGGCGTTGAGCTCAGCCTCGCGCCTATCGAGGTTCCTGAATGTAATGAAGAAGATGGTGCCGATGACCCAAGCGGTAACACCGAACGAACCGAAGAGCCATGCGAACTTGGGCTCGGTGTTGACAGCGGTGAGGGTGAAGTTGAGGGCAGACGAGAGGGCGACCTGGAATTGGGAGAAAGCCATGACGACGGACTTCATGCGGGCGGGCGCCTTGGTGAAGGCGTACTCGAGCGAGGTGATCGAGGCGAAGATTTCGGAAAGGCCGACCATGATGTACGGGCCACTTACAATCCAGACGTTAATATCAGCAGGGAGTTGGACTTCGTCAGGCGTCATGCAGGCGGAAGGCTGGTTGTCGTGGCAAGGCGACCTCTGGAAGATGAAGTGCTGGAGGACGGCAGCGTACAGCATGGCTATAGATAGAAACGTAAGTATGAAGAAAAAACTCTTGAATTTGCGATGCTGCATACCAAGACCGGCGACGATGAAGCCAGTGAAAATACGCTTGATGGGGGTGAAGTTGATGCCTCTCCTGCGCAGGAAGGGGTAGATGACATAGTCGAATATGGGGATCATGATGACGATGCTGATAGGATTCAAATTCCTGGAGAACATTTTAGCATCAGGGTGAACCTCCTACGAACAGCTGAGAAAACGTACTGAATCAAATCATTGGGTGTGCCATCGAGCCTCATGCCAGCCGCTACAGTGCCGAGATTTCCATCAATCTGGGAGTAGCCTAGATAAAGATGACGTCGATTAGCCGACGTGAAAGGCGAAGGTGTAGGCGAAAACTTACAAAGCCAGAAGAAGGGGAAGAACAAGAAGACGGCGCAGGCGTTGAGCGTACGACCGACCTCACCGACGAATTCGTCGTCCCAAGTTATCTTCGCAGGAAGCTTGCCTTCTTCATAAGACGAAGGCTTAGCGGGGTCCCAGAAGTCGGGCTTCCTGATGTTGCGCACAGTCTTGAGGGGGTTGATGGACCAGGCCGGGGCAAGGGCGTAGATGATGACACGGATGGTCTGTCATTCAAAGTCAGTCGCGGCTGGTCTCGCTGCCAATGGAGATGTAGACGTACCTCGAGCAAGATCGAGCCACGAGGAGGGGTCTTGACATACTGGTTCTTGCCGATAAGAAGGATGCCGGGGACGAGGAAGAAGATGCAAGTCGGCACGAGGTAAGCAATCCAGTACCCATTATCGCGAGCAAGGAAAGACGCCGAAATGGCACCGCACGCTCCCAAGTTGATGGCGGCATAGAACCCTGCGAGTAAAACCCCAGATGTAAGTTTAGCCGACGCAGACAGACAGACAGACGGCATCGCGCCAAGACAAAGCAGAAACTCACAAAGGTAGATACTCTGGATAGTGACAGAGGGCGACATGATAACAACTTCGCCCGAGTCCAAAGTAACTGCGATAGTGGGAGAAGCACATCAGATGATATTTACATTGAGATGGTTGTCGACAGATAACGCACCTTTTCGAAGCTTCCCAGTATACTGCTCAGCGATCATGGGAGAAACGTTAGCCTTGATCGCACCAGCTCCGAGACCCTGTGAATAGAAGATTTAGAACTATGGAAATGCTGAACTGCTAAAACATCGCGACGTACCATGATAACGATGGAAAAAACGAGCAGACCCATCGCACCGTCGGGGTTGGCGAGAGACGGAGCGGAAGCAGAACCGACGAGAATGATGTGACCAGCCAGGCAAACCACGGAGAAGACCATGATGGTCTTGTAGCGACCCCAGAGGGTGTCGGCGATAATTCCACCAATCCAGGGAGTGACATAAACCCAGAACGTATTGAACTAGAAGGATGTCCATGAGCGGCGATTAAATGATGGACAGCAGTAACTCACGGTACGGATAGCAAAGGAGATCTGCTGGCCTTTGTTGAGAGCGCCAGCTACACCGCCCGCGCGATCGGCGTCGACAACGACTGCACCAGTGGTGGAGAACCTAGGAAGAGGCGCACGGATGTAGTTGTTGAAGATGTTCGTCGTGCCGTAGTACGTCCATCTGATAGGTGAACTATATGAAAAAGCGTCCAGTCGAGAGAGAGGGATTGGTCTTACCGCTCGGCGAATTCGACGAAGACAACCAACCAGGCAGCGTAAGGCAGCCTGTCGGCGACATGTCTCAGGGTGTCGAGGTCATGCTGAGTGACGCCCTCGGAGCCCTCGATGAAGCTCAGGGAGTCATCGGAGTGGTGTCCAAGCTTTTCATCGTCAAAAGAGGGAGAACGGGGGACCTCTTTGGTAACGGCTTTCTCGTCGAGGGCAGGGGCGGCCATGTCGGCGGGAGACAGAGACGACTGAGAAAGAGGCCTGAGAAACGCGAGGCGATTCTACCGACGATTATATAGGCTTCCTCACAAGCTTGGAGTGCACACTCCCTCGATAAGGTTCCACAATGTTGAGTTGGGTTGCACATGGGGCGCGCGTTCTTGGCATTTGGGCATTTCTGCCAAGCCAATGCTGCCGGTGGAGGTTGGGATTAGACTGTCGTCCTGGGCATAAATTGATGATTCTGGGTGATGTGCGAAAGGACAGAACACATACGTAGGGCAAAAATAGACGAATCTCGCGATCTGGGACATGAAGAGACCCAGGTCCAGCGACAATTTGGGACCGGAGCATTTTTTGCATGTAGTGCCAAAAGAAGGTCGAACACATGAACGAGACGGCGAAAGCATGGGGAGCCATTTCTCGCCAAGAACGGACCAACTGATCGAGTACATAGAGAGGAAAGAGAAGCCTGTCAGAGCCCGTCGGAGTCCTGCGAGAAGAAAGGACCGTCTTGTCAACATGACACTCGACATAGCACACGACTCGAAAGATCTCGCCATAGACGCACAATTCATCGCCCTCGCGCGGTTGGCGCATTTTGAAACACCCCTAAACACCCTTCGACTTGTGCCATTTTTCAGCATTGCGGATGCAGCTGGAAGCGGTGAGAGTCCATGTGCATCATTCGCTACTACAGGCGTGGACGCGAACTCGGGCATCGCTAGACCGGCGACCAGACCGCCAGGGCCCTGTTTCATTCAGCTGCAGCCCAATCTTGAAGAAAAAGGTTAGCCGACTGGGGATCTGTTGGAAACCTAAGCGCGTTTGGCACCTGAACTCACCTTTGCCGATAGCCGCCCCCAGTTGAACATTGACCCCTCACCGTAATTCCGTAGGCTCAGCATCATCAAAGATAGAGATGAAGGGGGTGTTGTATATGTTTAAGAACATTCCGGCATCGCAGCAGCGATGGTGGTAGCGATAAGGGAGGGGAATTTGACGTCGTGGGTTGACTCACGCGCCTTTATTTGTTCACTGGTTTCTTGCCAAACACGCCGCCACCACTGCCGGACTTCAACTTAGGCGCCCACAAGCGCCGTATCGCGACCTTTAGAGGCTTCGAGAAGAAGTGCTAGAACCCTCAAAGCTAAGAAGCACGAATATTCAATTTTGCTCGCTACACATGTATCCGACGTCACTCTGGCTCAAAAACCTTAGAATGAATTTTACCCCGCTGAGTCGGATTTGGAGGTTGTCGATAAGACGGCAGGCGAGGCGGCAGAAGTCATTGAGCTCAACCCCTTGGATATATTTCTATGTCATTTAAAGGAACAAGTTCTGGAAGAAGTTCTTCACTACTCACTTAGCCGGCCTTGGATTCACAGATGATCCCGGAAGGACCTTTGCTTATCTTGGTCAACTGCTACGTCTTGATATGCAAGATAAGTGCATTCGATCTTGGTATACCTTTGGCTGACATACATAGACATACATGTAGTTGCGTTCATGGGGCAACTTCTAGATGCTGTTAAGTTCGTACTGAATTCGCCGCTACCCGATTCGCCCACTGTCATCGGGATCATCACGCCTTCGCTGAACCATGTGCAGCTCTTGATATCCATTCCCATACGCTCTTTCCCCAAGGGTCCATCCTGTGTACGAGATAATCGGCCCTGGTTCCGCCTGGACGTCCATTGACACTTGTCGGCTTAGACGCCTAGATTTCAGCTACCCCGCCCCACCAATCGATACCCAGTGGCACGACCAATAATGCTCCTGATAGCTAATCTAAACGGCGCATAAAAACCCTCAGTACCTGCCCCAAGATGCGGAGACCTGCTTTCCGAAAGCGGGCGGAATATCGTGAACAAGGCTAGCTTTTCATTGCTCATCTTTGTGAAACGAAAAAGCTAATGAGGTGAATGACAGTCTCGCCATATGCACCAGACTGCATGGACATTTAATTTGCTTCAACCCTTTCTGTTGGTGAGCACTTTCGAGATGTAATCTGAATTGCTGCGCGATGGGCAGAAATGCAATAGGCGCTGGCTAATTTACCTCCCCATCTTCCTGGCGCCAAGTGAATAAACCAAGTAGCACAGCTTATAGTTCACATCCATACCTGCGCCACACAACATACAGCTGCGATGCTTCGACAGTCGAGCTTCGTACGCGATTGCTATGAATAAATTAAAACTATCCTAAATTTATCCCTGGACCGACAGCCATACGTGCCCTAGCGCATGGCAGACATCCTACCGTTGCCACCAGCGTCTTCGGCTCGGTACCAACAGCCCAAACAGTCGCGAAATGCCAGGTCTCTCTTCTCGAGAATATCCGGCAGGCGCAGCTCTAAAATTAATGCGACAATCAAAGGCGCTTAGCCCACCCCCAGATCCTTCCAAGCGCACGCTTCCCCATTCTTTCGTCCCCAGTTTCCACAAGTACCTCCGCTTGCCCCTTCTCCAGTCCCAGCTTCTCCTCACCCACGCCGCGTTCACGTGCTCGGATCGCAGGACCTTCACCGGGGCCCCATACCGCGTCGGTGACGAGATCCACCTCTGCGAGGGGAACAAAGTGCTTCGTCTTGCCAAGGAAGAACCGCTCATAGAGCGTGTACCCCGTGTAGAGGATAGTGTAGAGTGCCACGCCGATATACGTCGCCACAACATTCTACAAGACCCAATCAGCTTCCCACCCTTTCTCAGATTACTATAACTTTCAAAACGACTCACCCTCGCCTCGAATGGCTCTTGCCTCACCGACGCGTACCCTTGGCCAACAAACATCGCCGTCCCGAGTACCACCACCCCGATAGGCAGCAGTGGGAACAACGGCTGCTTGTACGGCAGATCCGTTATGTCACGTCCTTGCGCCTTCCATGCCGCCCGGAACCGCAGCGAGATGAGCCCGATGGACGTCCAGACAAGGAGAGCGGAGATGCCGGTAATGTTGAGCAGCCAGGTGAAGACGATGCCGGAGCCCCAGATCGTGGTGAGGAAGGTGAGGCAGGAGAAGAGGAGGGCCATCCTAGGCGTAGAGCAGGTTATGCATGAAGGGGAATTGTGAGGGGGTAGATGGACGTACAGAAGTGCAGGAACGGGAACGCCACGCTTGTTGACCCACCCAAACACCTTCGGCGCGTTCCCGGCGCGTGCGAGAGACAACAGCATGCGCGAGCTAGCGAAGAAACACGAATTCGTCGCCGACAGGACCGCCGTGAGCAGAACGGCGTTCACCAGGTGCACCGCAGCGCCAAACCCAGCGCGCACGAACACAACCGTAATCGGCGATGCCGCAACGTCGCTGTCTACACTCAAACAAGACGAATTCAGCCACTTTCTCGAGAGTATACTTCGGAAACCCACCAAACGCTGCATTCAAAAGCGTCTCATCCGCATGGTTAATACACAATCCCATCGTCAAGATCGCAAGGATATAAAATAGCACAATCCGGAAGAACGTCGCCTTGATCGCCCGCGGGACCGACTTGTGCGGCTTCGCCGACTCCCCAGCGGCGATCGCGACGAGCTCGATACCGCCGAAGGAGTAGAACGCATACACGAACGTCTGCGCAAAATTGGCGAACCCGCCGATGAACGCTTGGCCATTTTGGAAATTCGAGAGACCCTGTCAAGGTTTGCGGTGGGCAGGGGAAAAATGTGGAGAGAGATGAGGGCTTACGGGTCCTGGGTGATTCTTGACTCCTCCCCAGTCGTAGATGAGGCCGACGATAATGAAGAATATGATCATGACCACTTTGATCATGGCGAACCAGTATTCAGTCTCGCCTGATCGCTGTTAGAGTATAGCCTTTCAGAAGGACAATTAAGGTGACGTACCATAGACCCTGACATGAATTAATTGCAAAGCAAACATGGGGATGATGATGATAATCGCCCAATGCCATGGTTGTAGAGTTTGCGTCCAGAACTGGAGGATGACCGCAGCTGCAGTCAGCTCGCTTGCTGCGAGGCTTTCAGTGTCCTACCAGCACGTTGAAGAGAACCGGACCCACGTATTGATAAACTCCTAAGAGGAAAATCAGAAAAACAACACCTAAACCGACGAAACTCGGAACGCACCATTGCAACCAATAGTTCCAACCTGATCTCCGCCGTGCATCAGAGATATTCAACGCATCCAGATTCGCCGCTAAACTCACCCAGGGTAAAGCCTAACGCCGGCGAAACGAAGCGTGTCCCAAATGTCGAGAACGCGCCCGAGACGGGGAACATTGATGACATTTCTCCAAGCGCGATAACAACGGTGTAGACGAACAAACCGACAACGCAGTAAGACAGGAGAGTGCTCCCAGGTCCTGCCAGCGCGATGGACTATCGAGAGCATTAGGATACAGCGCCCAAAGTCCAGAGAAGCTACGTACCGATCCAGCACTGAGGAAAATTCCTGTCCCTATCGTTCCGCCAATTGCTGAGGGACTGGAATTAGGGAAAATAGAGGAAATTTGACACCCGAGCTCACCAATCATCATCAAATGTCGGCTCTTCATCCCTCTCTGCGTCTCGTTGCCCGCCTCTGCACCCAACTTCTTCCAGAACCCGCCATTGTTCGTCAGAGCCGTTTCATTATTCGAGTCATGGGAGCCGGAAGAGTCCTCTTTCGCGATGCTATCACGCGAAGCCGATTGAGACGTTGGCGACATTGTCTCCGATTCCGACCCGTTCCTGTATAGGTCGTATTCCCGGATCTCGTTAAACGATGATGGAGGTCGAGGAAGAAGAAGGGTGGCTATATAGACCTCCGAAGCATGCAATCGAACGCTTTACCACGAAAATAAGACGCCATCGGGCACCATGTGGGCGTTGGTCGGTTCAGCAGCCCGATCTCTATTCCGTGCCCCTCGATCTCACCTCGCAAGGGGCAGAAGGACGGTTATTTATAGGTCATGGCAAAAACTGACGGAATAGGTATCTGAAGGTTGGAATTGCTAAGAGTTCGGGGTGTCGTCAGCTTAAGTTCCATTTTTAGGCGTCTGTCCGACTCTGTCGAGGTGTAAGGGGACTGCGAGGCGTCATGCGGTGGTAAGAACCGAGGCCTTGGTGAGCCATGCACTAGCGAAATTTAACTGATAAGATAAGATGCATGGTGTCGAGCTCGAATAGATCTGAACTCGAATTTCGGTCCAAGAAGTAGTTGAACCAGCTGATAAGCGAGGCAGAGCGAAAAGCGAGACTTTTCGCCGCACTCGGGACTGAAGGACCTTGACAAATTTCAAAGGTATTCCTGAAAATTAACGAGCAATGTCAGGGGATCGACGGGATGCTCACCGCATGTTCGCCACTCAACATTCCCGCCATTAATTGAATGTCTGTTCCCGACAATATCTCGGCGTGGTCGCCTTATGATCCATTTCACGCCAGAGCTGACCGCCCCAATAGAATAAAGTACGAAGGAGTTTCTCCTCAAAATATTAACGAAACCAGAAAATGGTGGAGATCTTCAATGTAAGCTTTGTGAAATTTAGCAATATTCAACAAGCAGAATAGCCGTTAATCGAAGGCGGTTCCATTTAAACTTTAAAATATGGATCTATCCATTCACGAACTTCAACAAACTTTATATTCTGTAACGAAATATACTTCTAGCATCGCCGTTATCATGGACGATGGTGAAATAGAATAGGCGCTCAGAGAAATGGCAACAGAACACCAAGTTAAAGCGCCCTGGACTAGGACTACTAGGGCTCATGGAGCCACGGTCTACAGAATATCCTATACGCGAAGACCGAAAGATGGCTTGACGTTTCCGACAAGATACATGTCTTTACAATCGTGTGAGGGAGCGGCCACTGGCTGGTGGTGACGACGGGCGCTTCCGTAGATGCCGGCGTGCCGATGGTGGCCGCGGCTGAGCCTGAAAATTGGGGTGCTTCGTTGATCAGTGTTTTCGTTGGTTGATGTCCGCGGCCACAGGTGGCCACATTTCTCTTATAAATGTCGCGAATTCTGAATCCCTTGCACCCCATTACACCACAATAGCCGTTTCCATGGCTGAAGACGACCCACTTGCCGCCGCCCTCAAGCAAATCGAAAAAGAAATTGAAGATCTTCTTTCGAAAAGAGACAACTTATTGCGTCGCATTCGCGGCGCCACCTGTCCCGCCTTACCTCCCGACGTCCTTCTCGAGGTTTTTCACCATCTCCTGAACGACGACAACGACTCAAAGACCATCATCTACCCCTCCCACGTCTGCCGTCTCTGGCGTAGAACTGCCATCGGTGCCCCCTTCTTGTGGACGCAGCTGTTGATTGGCACGTCTGAAGAAGGAAAGGATGCTGCGACGGTGGCATACGCTGCCACTTGCGCTCAACGTGCGGGTGGACGCCTGATGTTTCTGACAATGGTGGAGCGAACAACTTGGCCGCCAAAGCCATCGTCAAAGGACTTCCTCTTATCCATCCTCGAGGCGACACGAAGCTGCAGATGGGAGAAGATCTGCCTATCGTCGGGACACACCTGCGATTTCGGGCACCTTTTCGGCGGGTGCTTGGACTCCGAGAAAGTAGCGGAGGTCCATACCTTCTCCTTGACGAACCGTGACAGTGAAGCACACTCGAAGGCAGGAATTATCAACCTCCAGCCATACCGTGCTCTTACGAGCTTCACGTTTGACTGCCGGAAGCAAAGGAATGCCGACATCCTCTCTGTTCCGTGGCAGCAACTGACCTACTTGAAGCTCGTTACGGCCATGGGCACAGACCAACATCTCCAATTTCTACGACAATGTGTCAATTTGGAAACATGCATCCTTAAAGACGAATCTCGAAGTCGCCCCGCTCGTCACGCACCTGTCCACCTTCTCAAACTGAAACGCCTGGAAATACTGGAGACACCTGATATCATTTTCGACCTTCACACTCCCGCTATTGAAGAACTTGTCCTGCATTCCAATTCGGACGATTACGGACGGGAGGAGCTGTGGGACTATCTCAGTAGCATCGGGTCCACCTTGCGAAAGATAGAGCTTCCCGGCGAGATGATGTGGCAGTTTCCATCGTTCTTCGAGTCGTTGGAAGTCCTAGAAGAGCTCGGTATCTCGGGTTCACTCGAGGGCAGATGGGATGACGGCTTCGAGGATGAACGAATGAGTCATGATCAAGGCGTTAGAGTTTTGTTACAAGACATGTTGTACTCACGCCCTCGATTGCGTACGTTGGAGTTGAAGAACCAGTGGTGCTGCCCTGGTGAACACATCCAGGACTGCCTTCTCCAATTCGTGGAGGATCGCATCAAGCGTGGAAAGCCGACTGCTTTGGAGCGTGTCACATATCGGGTGGACACGCATACAAAGCGAAGGATGGAAGAAATAGCAACACGCTTTGAGAATTTGAGGAAAGGAGGGACTGTTACTTTAGATATCGAATCTTAAACAAATGCATTATTTTGACACACGCCTTCAGATACCACCCGCCCCCTCGAGGGGCGCTGAGCCCGACATTCACCTGCTCGTGTTCGGACACATTGCTAACGGCTCAAACCTGTACCAACATTTCATCAATAGGGATGCCATACGCGTAACCTCGTTTGACCCACTGGCGAGAGTAAGTGATGCTTCTCAGTGAGCATATTTCATGCAGAATTTGTGCAGAATTCAGTGAGTACTTACGCCGATCTTTCAGCTGTGAATAATCTTATTTCGTTCGCCTGTATCAAGAAGCTTGGTGGAGAGAAGGAGAGCAAGAAGAGTGTATTGAATAACGTCTTCGATTATTGTGATATGTTGCGACATACCCTCCGTCTGGGGTGACCTCTGATGTGACGGTCTCCCCTGAGGGTCATTTCCATCTTATCAACACTGTCAACAGTAGAATACGAAGTCCTAGGACCCCTAGCAAAGCAAAGTCAGCATCTGAGACAATTGCTGACAACTTAGCGCTTTCCTCGGTTTGGATGGACTGAAGAAATTGCAAATTTATTTTTGGCTGTAGCATTCCTTGATACACCTCGCGGGTCGTTATGGTTGGCGGGTCTGCTCTGGGTACTTCCTAATGAAGAAATGCATACCTCATTGGGGGGTATTGAATGAGGCTGTGTTCCGGACAGACCCGTGATCGGAGATTCAATGCGAACTGAGATTTGTTTCACTGCAACTGCAATTGCAACTTCCCACCAATCTCAACAACCAGACGATGGGATTGGAATACTACGATTCTTGCCCCTGGCCTGAGGAGTCCAAGCAACATCGTCTCGCACCAGCGGTCAGCCTCTCGAAGGCTGGTATTCCATGCGTCGTCTGGGCGGAAGATGCTCTTGCCTTCATCCATCTCGTGCCCACCGGTCTTTCTTCTCTCCAGCTCCTCATTCCGGATGAGCTCATTCACAAAGCGACCTCCATTCTGACTACCCAGTCTTTTCAAGTTGCCGATACACCACAGGAGTGGCTCGAGTATCCTATGTGGGACCGATCTACGCCATCTTGTCATCCAGGAAGTGTTGCTTTATGCACTACTGCTGCGGAAGACAGTCTGGATGAGGATGACCCCCCCCCAAGTATGGCTACATCCCCAATCTCTCTTCTCGGTCGATGTTCGCGACCACTCGCTCTCCATCACCCTCGACAAGTTCCCGGACACAGTGCGTTTCCTGACACGAGCGGCTTTTCTTGACACCATCTTTGCCCTCATCCTCGAGCCTCCCATTGGGTTTAACCATCACAGGTTTCACAGCACGATGATGTGTTATTATAGCGGTCTTATCCAGCATACCATGCGGGGCCCTAGCAGACTGCCATCAGGAGAGTTAGGAGAGGCCCACAAGGCAGCTTTGGCTGAGGTGAGAGAGGAGAATTACCCGTATTTCCACAATTTACTCTCCGGTGGACAAATGGCTTGGACCGAGGCCGTCGCACAGCGGCGGGAAGTCATGGGTAAGATCAGGTGAGTGCTGCCAGTTTTGTTGTCTGCAACGTGCTGAATGAGTTTTGCACTCAGAAAAGGACACGAAGTTGATCGTCCATTTCCACGAAACACCGCAGCAGTGGAAGAAAGAAATGCCAAGATTGCAGCAGCAGCAGCCATGCAACCAGTCTCAAATGCAACATAAGATAAACTGCAATATCATGTGCCTTGTTATGCTCCTCACATCGCATCATATGATTCACAGCCAACGGCGACCGTATTCCACTTCTACGTGGTGAACTGGCCATCATTTCGCAATAAATGTAATGCGCTTGCTCCGTCACTGATCAATATGCAGAGCTCTTGCATTGTTTATTAAAAATATATGCTACTATCACCAAAGATACGGTTTAGCGAAGTATCCCTTGACTTCCAACTTCAAGGTTCCTTACGGATCCAGCCTTTGATGGCGCCAACTTCGCGGGCGCCTATCCTGGCAAGCCTCATGCCTGTTCGGAGGTTAATTCACGTTGCCTACGTTCCAACTGGTAGTGCCCTGAGCGCCCCAAGTCGAATCGAGCTGATTGGAGGATGGGTCAATTGCCCTTAACCACTGGGTGGTTCAGGTGAACCACAGGCGCCAAACAAATACAGTCGGCGGAGTGTCAACTTCGCTGTGTTGGGAAACTTTTGAATCTCTTGGTAACAACGGGCCTTCTGGTCCCCACTATCCTGTACGTCCGAATTTCGCTAGGTTTTCAGAACGAAAGGTCATATATGACTCACAGATTTGCAGGAACCGCCAGAAAATCCCATGGACGAAGACGAACTGTCAAACGCTGCTCGCAAGAAGATTTATAAGGAGATTCAAGATCACCTTCTCTCGTTTAAGGAGCAACATTTGTCCCTTCTCGCCCAGCGAGCCGATTTACTGCAGCGTCATCGTGAACCCTACATCCCCACCGACGACCGTGCCTCCTGACATCCTTCTCGAGGTCTTTCGCCACCTCCTCCGAGACAACGACTCCTCCAAAATCATCCTCTACCCCTCCCATGCCTGTCATCTTTGGCGCAGATCCGCCGTCGGATCGGACCCGGATTTTAGTGGATCACCACGATAGCGAGGCAAAGAAGGACGCCATCGTTGAGTTTGCGATGACTTGTGGCGAACGCGCAATTGAATGCTTAATTAATGTCTTTGAATACTCAATCTGGGTAGTTGGCCTCTGACTCCCGCGCGCGTGCCCCGCACATGCGACGCGTCAAATAGGGGTATCACGAGACCGAGAATGATGGAAGCAGACCTCCGTGTACATCGGAGTTTCGCTCGACACAGAGTCTCGTCGACTTTTGAATTAGATATACATCATCTCCCTGCACAATTTACAGGTACTAACCCGAGCTACGTTATGTACGATAAGGGCCACGGGTGTTTTACTTTCTAACTCTGCTGTACTGTAGTGCATGTGAACCGCGGAAGCATTGCAAAATATGCCTCTTGACCCGAAACCACGTCTACCACCTTTCTAATATCCTCGGTAATCATTGTGTGTAGCCCCGGTTTGCATACAAGACATTAGATCGTCCATCCAATATATCCAACGGAGTTGAACTACGGTTCACGAACGAGTGATACAAGCACAAGGCTCGTCTTGACTGTTTCTCAGGTCAGGGAACAGTTTGCTAATAATCTCAAAGGCCGATAACCTGCGATGCCCGGCATAAAGCACCTTGAATGCACCAATTCAGCCCTTTCACCTCAAGACGAACATCTGGTCCGCGGCCTAGCCAGTGACATCGACCTGCATCTCAAAAAACTTGACACTGAGCTCGAGGAGATCATGCAACGATATCAAGACCGACGCGCAACCCTCCTTCTCCAACGCAAACCGTTAACGTCTTTGCTCTCCGGAATGCGACGATTCCCAGGCGAGATATTCAGGGAAATCTTCTTATACATCGCCGTCGAAGATTCCGCCGAGCTCATCCCCTCCGCTCAAGTGTGTCGACGCTGGCGGGAGATCGCGCTCGAGTTCCCAGAGCTATGGACCAACATCGTGTTGGGATCTTCGAAAGCTCTTACTGAGCAGCAATCGAGAGGGATCCTACAAATATTGGCCACGCGATCGAAGGAGTGGCCCCTGTCTTTGACGTTGCGGGTGGTGCCCGAGATGGATGTGAACTGGTTCTATTGGATGCCAGACCTACTCAAGGAATTTGTTTTTAACAAACCCTGGCGATCGCTGATTGCATTCGACGATTTGGCCAAAACGACCCTTGATCCCGAAAAGAACGCCCGCTCTTTGGAGACCCTCCAATCACTTTCCATCATCGACACTTACTGTTGGCCATACTTCCTATCGGACCTCAACAAACGGAACATCGCAAAAGCAATCCCTAATGTCACCTCTCTAACGATCTCTGCCCTCACCAAATGCCCTAGCCCTTATTCCCGTCTAGTTTCCTGGAAGAAGCTTACCAGCCTGAAGATAACCTCCAACGTGATGAGCTGGTTGTCTTGTTTCCAAATACTCTCGGACTGCGCCAGTCTGGAAGAGGCGGATGTTCGCACCAGTAAGGAAGTGGACCCAACGCCAACAGACATACAAATTCTAGTCATGCCCCATCTCCGCCGAATGTCGATGTCTTCCGACAAGATACCCCAAATGCTTCCACAATTTCTCAGCACGCCGGTCCTCGAAGAGCTCGTAATTTCCTTCTGGGAAGATATCACGGTGGACGACGACCAAATGCCACTGCTGGAATGGATTCTTGATGCCGCGCCAACGCTGCGGACACTGCAAATTCCGGGACAGGTTGAGCTCCGAGCGCTTACTCTGGAACACTTTTCAGATTTTCCGTCGCCACCGCCGTTGGAGGAACTCGCTATTACCCCACCAAATAGATCTCCAATTGACATTTTCTGTTGGTTGACGGTGCAGGATGAAAAGGTGCTCTTCCCTCGCTTGAAACAACTTGAATTTCTCCACAACTCTACCACCTCGAAATACGACATTGAATATCTCCAGAAGCTTATCGACTCCCGCCGAAGTGCTGGGCTGGATGTTGCTTGTCCTCTTCGGCGAGTTGTATGGGAAGTGGATGGTGAAATGCTAGAGGAGTCTTCGGAGATCTTTTCTGATCTTTCCAAGGCTAAAGGGTTCAAAGTTGCTGTTCCTCTCAGCGGATATGGGGTGTACTACAATTCTAACAATTTCGTATAAATCTAACCAGAAGACTTGTGCATGTGTATAATTGGAGTATGCCAAGTCCTCCATCGGCTGGAAGGGCTGGCATAACTGTGAGATATAAGCATCTCGGTGGCGGAGTCCATGGTATTCAGCCTTCCAAAGAGTCAGTATGGGTTTCCAGTGACGAGGAATTCAAGACCCACCACTTCCGCCTCCGCCTCCGCCTCCTCCGCCTCCTCCTCCTCCACAGCCGCCGCCTATCATGAAGGATAAGTTTCAATCAAAGCAAAGGAAGGAACACAGCCAACCTCCGCCTCCGCCTCCGCCTCCACCCCCACCACATGCACTCGAGCTCCCTCCACCCCCACCACCAGCACCACCACATCCAGAGCTTGACCCCGCGCCGCCGCAAGAGCTCCATCCTCCTCCTCCGGATCCACCGCAGCTGCTCTACGCAACAAGATACATGCGTTCATACAAGGACGTACAGGAGGTAAAATCGACTCACGCTAGCACAACCAACAGGCGGCGCGACCGTGGTCCCGTGAACAGCTACACAGCCAGCATCAGCTGCGCCCATAGCTATCAGCGGCACGGGAACGAGGAAAGCAGGTCTGAACCCCGTCCTATTCCACCCCCTCGAGTTCCACGCCTGGCCATACGAATGCGGCGGCATGGACGTCGCGCCGTGTGAGATCGCATCCTTATCAGCCTTCCTCGCCGCCTCTTTCTTCGCCGCCTTGAGCTCTGCATACATGCGCGCGGTCGTCTCGTTCGCGCTCTTGCTATGGCTGTCGAAGTGCACGGCATTGTGATCACTTGGGTGTGTCGCCCCAAGGACGTCCGCACGGTTCGTGTATGGCGAAAGATGCGGGGCGGGTGCTGGAGGTGGGGCCGTGTAGGCTGAGATGAGACGCGAGAGACGCTTCCCGATTGATTCGCCCGGGACAGGGCACCCACAATGGGAGTATCGGACGCCGAACCGCTTCATCCAGGCTCGGCAGGTCGCATCGAAGGAGGAAGAGAGCTTGAGCCCTTCAACTTTGTCATCACTATAATGTTGGATAAGAAGGTGAAAGTTTTGAGAATATCGCTCATGCTTACTGGTCAATGAACTGATGAACATACGTGCTGCAATCCGCTTGATACTTTCCAGGCATGAGCTGATGCGTGTGCCACACTAGATCGATGTCGAGAGTTGGGACGAAGAACGATGCAGGCGAAGAAGCCATCAAGTCCAGAAATCTAAACAAATAGTTCAATGAGCATGCTGAGCTTCGATGTATAAGAAGACATTACGCATGGTATCTTGCGGTAGCGTGATGAAGAGCCATTTCATCTTCAGCCTCGTCAAAAAATCCTGGTCTGGTCCACCCGAGATCGTACATTTTCTGAACGAAAGACCCTTGCCGGAGAACAGCACCGACAAAGTCGATCGAGTAAATTTTGTCGTCGTTGTAAGCGCTCAAAATCTTGGTTTTCCTATCCAAGGACCCCGATGAGGTCCGAGGTAAGTATAGAGTATGTATATAGACAAGAAATAAAAGGCGTGAAATAGACCTTACAGTGTCGACGAAGGAGCTATCGCCTTGGTTAGTTTCGACATGGAGAAATTGGCGTAAGAGATTGCCGCGAGGATGTAAGCGTTTATGTATTCCGGTGACCCTTTGGGGTGATCTCTAAAGGACCCATATACCTCTATGTTTGCTGACACTTGTCGCTTCGTCGCCTTGGATGCATTCCGATCTGCAGGAGAAGCAGGATTGAAAAAAGTTCCACTACAAGTTAACATAGTGTAAGTAAGAGTAGTGAAGGTTCGGCAGCCTGAGGGCCGACGCACGGCAAATACGCAGGAGGAGTATGAGCAAGGTCTTGCACGAATTTACGAAAGGCGAGTCGTTCTTTCGTTATATCCAGTAATCCGCAGCCTTGGATACAGTTGGCGGTGAACTTCTGTTGGAGATAGCCCGTTCCGTTGTCAGTCATGAGATCTAAGCGCTCTAGTTAAATCTACCATCTGGACCAGTATTTCTGGCTACTCACAAACAGCGATCGGCATCGTGCAGTGAGGACATGCGATTGTACGTTGGTTGAAAAGTTGAGCGCTGTCGACGTAGTCGAAAGGTTGAGAGGTCTTTATCACCCAAAAGTCCACTTGTTCTGTAGACGGGGTATCAGGAATAACGACTTGACCTTTCTGCATTTGCTTTACTTCAAGGATAAGAAAACTTCTCAACGAGACGCGTACCAGAATTTGTTCGAACAGGGGCTCGAAATTCTGCAGGACACCGCATGCAGGGATTCGCAGGCAATCCTCTGCGTACCATCTAAGCCTATAGGTCAAAACATAGCCTTGAGAAGCAGTTTACGCCGTACCGCGGGTTAAGCATGTACGAATGCCAGACCTAGCGAAATTTAGCCAGAGGTGCAGGGATTTGGCAAAATAGAAGTACCATTAGGACGTCAAGGGGCGGCAGGACGATTTCCGGTTGCAACCTCGAGTCATCAATGTGCAATGAACGGCACCATATATCAAATCTAAGGTGAAAATTGAGTCCATGAATTCGCCAACGATGTCCTTGTACTCACCTCTCCACAGCCAAACCAACGAACCATGCCCATCTCCGCTCACTATCTGATGGCATGTGGAGAACTGAGACCTCGAGAGATTCGATACGTAACCTCAAAACTGCCAAAAGGTGAAGGAGGGCCAGGTGTCCTTTGATTTCCCGTAGTTTTACTAATGGCCTGGTGGTTTGCCCATGCCCAATGGTGTATTCAGATGGAATCTGCCGCCGTGTGTTGGTTCCGCCGTCCTGCGAGTCGCTCGTGGTGAAAGTAGAGGGTAGATTGGTCGCCATTCAGAAAGAGATGACTCGGGGAGTTGATGATGTTCGGTTTTCATGAGCAGCCATGGTGTAACTACTCGGGTAGAACGGTGTCGGGGCAGTGCCGACAGGGGGCTAGGCATCCGGGTCTTCGAGCGCTCACATCTATAAATATATCGGCTCCTTCGCCTGCATATGATAGATAAGTCTGTGTGACGCACGTTGCTCGAATGCTCGAGGATCCAGGTGCATGATAAAGTGTTTCACTTTCAGTGCATCAAGAGATGGTGGTAGTAGTTCAAGTTACATGCGGGGAAATTATGGAAGGCCGCGCCCATTTTGGCCAACGACTCGGAGCCGAGAAACACGAGTCGATCTAAACACGAACGAGGGTTGAGATGATAGCATGCAGCTCGAGAGGGATTATTTATATCTCTCGAGTTACAGAGGTCCTGTCAATCTCGTGTCGACTACCTGGCGCAAATGGCAGCATTGAGGCCTCCGCTTAGGAACTGGAGTACATGTCGCAACTTGAAGGCTTGCGATAAGAATGGAATACCTAAGGATCGTAGAAATATAGAAAAGTAGATCACGCTCACCTCTGACTCCATGCGTTTATATATAAAAGTAAATCATTCCTCCAAGTCGAACTTGACGCCTTGGCTTTCCCATTCGCTATACCTCGCCCTGCGCGCCTCTAGCTGCTGCCTGTCCTCGGAATTTAATCGGAAAACGACACTGCGCAACAAACTCGCCTTTCCGAGGCGCGATTCCAAGAACTTGAAGAGGTGATGTTCCACAACATGCTTTTCCTCAACGCTCTGGTCGATGAGCCGGATGACTTGAAGTCCAGGGAGGCATAAGGGCTGCTCGATGAGGTGGCCGAAGACACTCCACACGTCCAAGATGAGAGACCCGCGGTAGGAATAGTGGGAGTTGTCGCTAGATTCGGGGCTAAAAATACCGGCGATAGTCAGTTCCTCAAGCTCTACCAATGGCGCTAGAATTTCATTGGAACGTCCGGTGAGGCCAATTGCGGGCATCCGCAGTTTCTTGAGCGTCGGGGCGCATTGCTTGAGAAATGATGTCATGTATCCGCCCCCGTCTATTTCCAGGTAGCCCTTGTAGTCGAAACAGATTTCCTGAAGGACTGGACATACGAGTTTGGCGGGAATCAAATCGGGGACATAGAAGCAACCGAGAAGCTCCAGGATTCTGATTTTTGGGAGGTGTACAGGCTTTCCAGTTCGTTCGGGCAGAAAGAGGTCTTCAACATCTTCCGCTGTGTCTGGATAGATGGAGCAACCCTCTAGGTTGACGCAGTGGCGCAAGATGTTCAGATAGTCCAATGAAAACATATTGGAGGTCAGCTTCAGGTCCGTCAGCTGGCTCCACGGGGCCAGCACGCGGTCCGTGAACTCTTCGGAGAAGTCGAGGGTCAGTGATGTGAGTTGCGTGAAGGACTGCATATCCACCACGCCTCCCGCTATGTCCAGTTCGAATACGCCGGTCTCGTCGCGGGTACGACAAGTAAGCGACAAGGTCTTGAGCTGGTTCGTGTTTCCACGGTTGCTGTCCTCAAAAAATGGGGTAAGATCTTCAACTTGGTCCACCACCACCGATAAAGAGGCCAGTGTGCAGCTTTCCACCATTTTTAGCACGATGTCCAAGAAGGATTCGATTGAAAGCGTAAGAGGCCGTTCGCGAACTCGTTCTGTGATAACCTTCATGTACGCGCGAACTTTGTCTTCGTCTTGACCTCTCGCTCTTGCGCAAGTCTAAAGCCGAGGCGATTCCGTGGTTATCTCTCGCCATAGGCGGCAGACGTGGGACAATGGCACCATGGATCTTGAATCATCGCCAACGAGGTTTTCGAATACCTCCAGAAGGATTTCAGGCGGAAGAGACTGTATACAAACGCCATGAGGTGCTACTGCAGCTCGAGCTCGTCGGTCTAGCAGAATGGTGCGTCGAGCGTGGAAACGACGGTTGGCCTCGTCGGCCTCTGCATCGAGCAGCCGTATCTGTTCTTCGAAAGACTCCATGTATGTCCTTAAAAGAATGTGTCAAGCTTGATGTACGAGGCATAATGCAGGCAACATACGTGGTGGTTACACTGGTTAGCAATTAGGAAAATTGCCGAGCCCGGCCCGTGTGCAGTCGGGGGTCGCGATACGAAATGAAATTATAGGATATGCACCGTCCATAGTTTAACTCGAAATACGCTCTAGAAAAAAAGCTTGGTAGATGCCTTGAGGAGATTTTACATTGTGCAGACAGACAGGGCATTCCGCATGTGCACCTCTATGTCCAACCCACCATCATCCCTCAGCCTCTCAAAGGTGTGTCTGCGACGGCGCACATCTTCCCACATTCTCGAATCTAATAGATACCTGACCCGCCTCAGCCGCGATACCCAGCCGAAGCTTTCACGGTCCCCTATGTGCCTCGCCAGTTCTTCCGCCTCGTCGAAGCCGCGTCCGGAACGATGTTTCAATAACTTGAGGAATGCTGCGATGACATTGTCCGAAGTTGATCCAGTATTTCCAACACTTCTAGCCGGGGCATACTTGGTTCGCCTTGAAACGAGCATTCTCGTTGAAGTGCCTTGAGAAATCGGGTCGCCATTGGCATCACTGGTCTGGAATCGCCCAAAAATCACTAACTTCTCAAGGAAAATGAGGCGGGGGAAATATTCAATGAGGAAGTCAGCCTGAATGCCAGGAGCCCGAATACTTTTTAAGGTGCCGCCATTTCGACGCAGGAGATGCCGATATCCCTCTAAATCGTTGACGTTGAAGCATTCTGCATGATTAAGATACAGAGTTTCGAGCTGTGGGGCATGTATAATCTCTGGAAGAGCGCGAGCGACAAATTGGGAGGTGATACCTAGGTGTCTGAGGTGGGGTAGCGAGAGATGGCGCGTTCCATCTGGTCCCAGATCGTCTTCAGGGGTGTCGAAAGCGACGGAGCACGACCTCAAATTTGTTGTCTGGCGGAGAATTGAGATGACGTCTTCAAGGTCATTGATTACGTTTGTGAGCTCCAGCGAAGTAAGATTTGGCCACGTCGTAGACGCGTTGATCCTCCAGACATCTCCGCCATAACCCAGCTCCTTCAGGCGGGGAAGCATGTCAATCGTCCATGTTTCGACATCGGGATCTGGATGACGAGCGAGGGGGGATAAGTTGACCAAACTGCCTAGCAGTCCTTTCTTCATCCTGTCTCGGATTATGCGCGGCCCTTTGCAAAAGTAATGGTCTGTGATGGTGATGGATCGCCACTCTCGTCCGGCTGCCTCGTCGAAGATTGCTTCCAACCAATCGGTGCAGTGGTGGTGGCGCAGTTGTTCATCCACATCATCTATAGATGGAGGATCTCTGATGAGCAGGCTGAGTGGGAGGGTGAGGGAACGGGAGAGACACGTCCGAACGTGCCCATCTAGATTTACAGGCGACTGCGACCGGATGTTCAGCTTCGTCCAGAGCCGCGGGCTTCCTGTGATATAGCTTCGCCACTGCCGGCATACCTGCGAAGGCCGAACGAGCACTGTCGAATCGTTTTCAAGAAGATGTGCCAAAATCTCGCCGAAGAGTTCACGAGGCAAGAGGTCGCGGAATTTTGAAGGATTACGGCTCCTGGAGAGTTCCCGGAGACGCCGTCGCTTCCGTAGGAGCTCCTCTCGTACTGTCGCGTATTCTCTGAATAGCTCTTCCTGCAGCTTTGTGAGCCTTTGAATCTTCTCTTCGATGTTGTCATCGTCCGACTGGCTCTCGACTGGAAGGGGTCCTTCGAATTCTGTCGATTCCGAGCTCATCAAATGTTGTTCTAAAATCTAAGTCAGTCACAAGGGACGGTATATGAGGGTATGAGAGACTCACATCAGAATGATAATTCAGATGATGTGGTTACTGGTCAACCAATGAAATAATGAAATGTGAACTTGAGAATCGGTGATTGCCTTCAGAAATTACACATGAGTACCATACAGACGGGGAGCAAAGCGAAATCCTTCTACTTACTCCCGCAGGGTCCGTGGATGGGCGCCTAGTTCTCTGTACCAGAGTACAGACCAAGTTTTTTTCTGGAGAGGAAAGTTTTCGTACGGAGATGAGGAAGAAGAGGAAGAAGTGTCGCACTGTAAACTTCTGGTAACGCAGGTACGAGAGGAAGACTTTGTTGAAGTTCGGCCTAGGCTCGCCTTCACAGCTCGATTTCTGCAACAGTGGTCAACTTGCCATCATTTTGAAGACAGAATGCATCCGTCATTGAGCAGGTGGTAAAGAAAGATAGAATACTGGTTTGCAAAGCGTTGCTTCATGTTGAAAACAGGACGGGGATAATGAGAGGACTGTAAAAATACAATGAAGAAATAAATGCGCGTAATTCAATTACGAGGAGAGACGTGAAGGACAGGGCCTCTATGTACGGGTAATAATTAATAACGTCAATGCATAGTCAATAACAAAAGTCCACGCAACGTAACGCAAAGCTAGCCTGGTGGAGGAAGAGGCGAGGACGCCGACGGCGGCGGCGACCCAACAACCGCCAGCGCCGCATCGTTCCAACTCATCCGGCGACGGCCCAACGTCGACGGCTGTCTCTGCGGGGGCGGCACCATGCGCACCGTCGGTGGGCCATTCGCATCCAAGCTGCTGTTCGGGCTGATGTATCCCGCCGGCGGGCCCGATAGGGACGCGATCCCACGTCCCGCACGCCACGTCCCGACTCCAGCAGCCCCAGCGCCGAGTTCTGCCAGGTCAGGAGCGTAAGAGGACGAAGAGGGAGGAGGCCAGTCGCTTGGCTCCGGTGGGGGTGTAGGTGCGACAGGCGCGGCGCTTCCGACGATGCCAATGTCTGAGGTAGAGTCGGAGGTCAGGCTTTGTAGCTTTGGAGGTGGTGGCAGGGTAAGCTTGTCCTCTTTCTCTTTCTCCTTCTCCTGCACCTTCTGACGGAAGAACTTAAATTTCGGCAGTGTTGACTCTTTCTTCTTTTTCTCCGGCTTGGAGAGAGGCTGGACTTGGGGTGTTATCGGTGCTGATGCCTTCTCTTTCTCTTTCTCCTTCCGAGGTGGCGATTTCGTTGGCTCCGCGGAATTCTTGGACGCAGGTGCTACTACACCCACCGGCCGTTCTTGTTCCTGAGAGGGTGTCGAGATCGGAGGTGATGACGAAGATGAAGACGATGACGGCAATGGGAACGGCGAGGACATCGTGAGTGCCGGAGGTCTCGTCGGTGGAGGTGCTCTCTTGTTCTCAACTACAGTTGGCGACGGCGGGGATGATGCTGTAGAAGAGGCCGTGTTGGTAGCGGCCGCTGGTGCCTTGTCCTGCAGCGGCCTGGGAGGAGGTGGTTTCACCGAGCTTCTCTTGTTCTCCAACACCCGCACTGGCTCCGGGGTTGGCTTAGGCGGAGATGCAAGCACGATAGGTGCTGCTAGCGAGGTGGGAGGTAACGAGGAGGAGCTTGACGGTGCATTCTCTCGATCTCGCCCAGGAGACACAGGTGATGACGGCGTCGAAGGATATCTTGAGCTGACGCTATCCCTTTGGGTATTGTCCTGCGTCGGCGCCGGTATTGGCTGTTGTTGTACTGGAGGTGGGAATACCTTCGGCGGAGGTGTCGCCACGGCTTTAGCTTCCCGTTGTTCTTGGCTGGGTGGAGACACCGGGATCGGAACCAACGATGGCTGGGAAGCCGGAATCGAAAAATAGCTTTCAGTTGCCTGCGCTGGTTCCTGGAAAGGGTTTTCGACGGGTGTCACCAAGGCTTTCACTGGCGGCCGTGGGGGTGGGGGGACACGAGGCGACGACGGTGGTGAATGCGGAGGCGAAGATGACTTTGAGACATTGGACACCAAGACGTTGCCTGGCTGCTTCTCTGCATTCGGGAAGGCTCTCGGCGACAAGCCCTTTTCTCGGTCGTGCGCTGGCGATGACAGTGGGATTGGGGCCAGCGGCGACGGCGAATATGGTGTTGAAGAGAGCGTTGTATGCACATTGCCGTTAAGCTTGGACGAGCCGTCGCGTCTTCGACGACGCCACCTCCACAAAAAGAACGCGGCGACTCCAAGAACAATGGGGATCACAACCCCGAGTGCAATCCCGACGTTTCGACCGGTGTTACTCCCACCACCCGAGGATGATGAAACCTCAAATCTTCGCCCGAATCAGTCTCTCGTCATGGCGAGAAGAAAAATCAGCGAACGCACATGATGGCGTCCATGACGGCGAGCGTCTCGCCAGGTGTCATTTGGAAGCTCAGCTGTCGAGTCCTGCTCGCACCACCTTGATATGTCGCCCTCACACCTGCCCTGACCGTGCTCTGACCTGAACCATCATTGACGGTGTTGTAATCTTGCAAGTCGACTGTCCGGAAGAAGACACCATCCACGAAGATGTTCGTCTTAATAGAGAACGGGTACAGCGCCGACACGAAGTCAAAGTTCACGACTGCCACGACTTGTCAACGAGTTCCTCCAGAATGCAGGGCGGAACTCACAGGTGAAATTTATCGACGCAACCGCGTCTGGGTCCGCCGTCACCGAATGTCCTCCACCACTATCCCACCCGGCTCCTCCGTCATCGTGCCATTCCCAGCTTGCACTCGGCGTGTAACGAAACAGAGAGCTTTGATCGTCGACAGTAACGTTCCTGAGTTGCGCAAGAGCAGCGGAAACTGAGAACCCAAGGAACAAGAGGGATTGAAGCAGCAACATTGTCAGCGTTGGCCAGAGGTCATGGTGGGTCGAAGACAAGAGCAAGCTTGGCTCTTTATAAAGGTGTTGATAGAAGGGCCCTGCCGAGTGCATCCCTTACGTCATAAACGGTGCAAGAATTAGCTGCGGAGTGCGCACAGCCGCGTCCAGAAAGGGCCCCTCGAGCTGTCAAAAGAAGGGATCGGAGAAAAGCCAAGCTCATGCGTCAGTTAGAAGAGACCTGAATGCTCTTCTCGAAGTCAGAAACACGGGCTCAGGTTTCCGTGGTGAACAAGTATGAAAAGTTAATTATATCATCTAGGCAAACTTACACTGTCAGTGAAAATGTTCACCTAGACGACTGCGAATGAAATGTCGAACAGGCTAACTTGAACGATTACCGGCTGTCCAACCTCCATCCGCCCCATCGCCCTTTCTCATCGCACTCACGACGGAAGGCGATGGCCCACCGACAACCGACAACGCCGCGTCGTGCAGACTCATCCTCCTCGCCCGCGAGCTCTCGGCGTTATCATCCTTGAAAGGCGACTTATATGCGCTCGGTGCAATCGTTGAGGACCCGGCCAGACCGGCTTGGGATCTCGTCGATGAGTAAGCCCCGGCCTGTCATCGCAGGAGGTGATCGCCCGTCGTGTCCATCGCCGTGATAATCAGGTATGCTAGCGTTCGGAACCAGAGGTCCAGAGTTTCTTTGCCTTTTCTTGACTAAACGCCGCCAGAGAAGGATGAGGATGAGGAGGGCGAGGATCGGGCAGACAACACCTAGAGCGATGGCGAGATTCCTCGCGCGTCGATGCGCTGACTCAGAGTCGTCGCCTGTCGATACCTGCTGCGCGGTTGTGGAAGAAGTTGAGGGGGTTGAGGAGGTTGACTGCGGGGTAGTCGTGTTGGTTGTCGATGCGAGAGTGGAAGTCGGCGTTGGAGATGTTGATATACTCGTTGATATCAATTCGACGTCGAAGCTAAGTAGAATCTTATCAGCGCCTACCCAAACTGAAGGTGCGCAGCAATGACTCACATAAACGCGTCTACGACCACGTATCCTCCCTCAGAAGCCATTGAAACACGAATAGTCTGGGCCCTATTGGTAGTTCCGTTGTATGACGCGACCACAGTGGAAGGGATAGTTCCAGCTCCTGACCCATCGTCCGTCGAATTGTAATCTTGGAGGTCCACGGTCGCATCGTGGACGCCATCGACAGAAAGGTCGACCTTGATCTCGTAAGGATACTTTGCTGATAGACAGTGGAAAGACACGACTGTTCATATGTATGAGTAAGCCAGCATGTATGCGCGAATTGAAGGCAGGTTACGCACAAGTGTAAGATATTTCCGCATATGCATCGGGATCCTCTGTGACCATATGCCCGCTTCCACTATCCCAATTCGATCCCTCGACCTCCGTCCAGCTGGAGCTTGGAACATAGTTGATTAACGGACTCTGGTCGTCCACTATGACGCTCGTGAGTTGCTGAGCGAGCACAAGACGGATTAACGCTCCGAGCCCAACGAAGAAGACGCAAAATCGCATCGCTGAAGATCATGAGATGGTCGGAAGGCTGCGAAGGGTGAAGGCAACGCACCTTTTGTAGGAATTCGAGCACAGCTTTCGGGCAGGGTTCCTGAAATATGTCCATGAGAAGGGTGCTATAATTGACATCCGTCAATGACTCTGTCAAAGAAATAGGCGCTTGGTTCCCACCACGTCAAAGGTCACAGCGTTGCTTCGAGGACAATGAAGGCAACATCGTCGAACGAAGAATCCAGACCATAAAGAGGGCTCTATAAGCCTTCATTTCACCTGTAAAAAGGATGAAGTCCAGGTTCGTTCATGTATAGTTGGCTTGTTCTGCACTGACTCTACGTCGAGCGCCACAACCGCAAAACGTTATGAGGCAAGGCCCTCGTAGAATCATCAGGTGTACAATGTGAGTTTGTGTGGGGTTGGCCCGCTCTTATGATTCTGCTTGAAGCTTCAAGACTGTCAACGGAGTGGTAGGAGGCAGCTAGGTTCGTGACCAGCCTGAATATGAGCGAGACAAGTTAGTAAGCCTGACAAGGAACCCCTCGGATTATGAAGTGATAATACCTCTTATCAGCGTAAATTTTAACGATTATAGTTGGCGGTAGCGTGCGGTTCGACAGTTGTCTTGATTCTCGCTGAAGGGAACATGGATGAAACTGACAAAGGTTTCTTGAACCACCGGGCCGGCCGTTCACATTAACGGCAATCTCCGAAATAACCCAGCTGATTACATACCCTTATCTCGTTTTGCAGTGCCATTTTGTTCTTTCACCGCAAAGAAACCACCAATATCTCCAACGAACTCTTCTTCTTTAAGTTTCTATTCCGAAATTCGTCACTGAGCGAAACTCGAGATCACCTGCCTCCAAGCTATCCGT